AACGCTCTTTATAACACCCCCTCCGATCTGTTTTTAAGAATTCAAAGCCCTATTATCCCTTTTAAAAGAAAAATAAACGGCATTTTATTTGATAAAACATTTCCCTTTAAAGACACCCCGGTACACAGGTGAGACCATTATCCCCGGGCCTTTATCCCTTATAAAAAGGGTTTTAAAAAAGGCCCCTTTTACAGGCCTGGAATTGTTTTATATAAAAAAACCTCAGTTTCAAACAAATCCTTTGGCTTTTACCTCCTAAACAGAAAGCGATAACCGGGACATACCTAAATATTCGTCTAAAATAAACTAATAATAAGCTAAGCTAGTGCTTATTAAGATATATTATTATTATAGTGAAAGTAATAATACTTATATACTTTTATAAAGGAGATCGACTCGCTATAAGTATAGCCTTAATATAAGCTTAAGTAGTTAAAAAAGTAACCTGCCTTAAGCTTATATTAATAAAAGGAATAGTAATAGTAAAAGGTATATAAGCTACTGCTTATTTAGTTTTTAATAAGTTAAGTAACTGTATTATTAAGGCAGTTAATACTTTTTTATACTTAAATATTAATAATATAAATATCATAAAAATATAATAAGGATATAATAAAAATATAATAAAAATATAATAAAAACTTAACTTACTTAATTCTTTACTTAATCTTAATATACTTTATAAATAATTTATTTCTAGTTTTAAAGTATTAAGTTAATAGCATTTTATACTTATAAGAATATATTTTATTAGCCTTAGTAGCTAGTATAAAAAGTAGTAAAAATAAGCTAAGTAAGTCTTAAGCTTAAGAAAATAAGACTATACCTAGCTATATTAGGCATAAATAAAAGTATAGTAAAAGCTAGGTTAATAAGTATATAAGTAAAATGCACCTGCTTAAAAGTAATATATACTTTTTAAAAAGACTATTATAAAGCCTGCTTAAAATATTAAAAGTCTTTATAAAAATAAATTCTTATATTTAGCTTATTATTTTTTATTTTAATAGCTAAAGCTATTATAATACTAGAATTTTTAAATAGTTTTACTAACTTATATAATAAATAATATAAATATAGTTTTATAGTAAATACTTTATTAATTTAAATATAAAGGATATAGTTTTTATAATATTAAGTATAGCTTAAATCTTATTTTAATTAGTAATTAATCTTACTTATATTAATAAGCTTTTTAATATAGTATTTATAAATCTCTTTTTTTATTTTAAAAAAAGCAGAATTATTATTATTAAAATCCCTTTTTATAAAAAAACTATTAAAGGACTAGTATAATTATAATTTAAATTAGCACTCCTTTTATTATAAATAAAATATATATACTTATAGCTTAATAAAAATTAAAAGGATTATTATTACCTTTATTTAAAGGAGGAGAAGGAGTAAATATAATAATAAATATTATTAAAATATTAATAAAATATAATAAAGATTAAATAAGGTTTATACTAATAATAATAAAAAGGCATAATAATAATAATAATAATAATAATATTAAAAGTAAAAGTTAGTAATTAAAATATAAAATATAAAAAGTAAGTATAATAAGTATATAATATAAAATATTTTATATATACTAAGTATTAAGTAAGTTTAGTATTAAATATAAAGTAAGGAATAATATAAGTTATATTTACTTAAGGTAATATATACTAAGCCTTTACTTTAAGCTTAAAATATATTTAAAATTTTTTCCTTTTAAATATAATATATATAAATAAGGTATAGCTTAATACTAATATAAATAAAAATAAATATTTAAATATAACTAAATAATAAATAAAGAATTTTTTCTTTTACTTTAAATAATAAATAAAATTACCTTAATAAAATAATTAAGAAATTTATTTAAAAAGATAAATAAAAAGGGTATATAAAAGACTTAAGCTATACTTATACTTTAATTAGTTAAGAATTAGGCTTATAATAGGCCTAGGTAATAGCTATAAGAGTTATATATACTAGTATATAATAAGCTTAAGTTAGGCTTAGTATAGGCCTATATTAAGCCTTAACTTCTTTTATAAGTAGGTATATTAAAAGTATATAATTTAAGGACTTATTCTTTAAGTATATTAATTTAATAATAAATACTTATTTAGTATTCTGCTTATAAGGCTGGTTTTATTATAAAAAGGTATTTAATTTTAATATAAAAGCTAATATAATTTATACTTTATTTTTTAAAAATTTTAATTAATTAAATTATAAAAAGTATAAGTTATATAAGGTTTTTTAATATAGTAAAAAATTTAAAAAAGTAAAGCATGGGTTATATTAGGCTAGGGTGTATAGGTTATTTAAGGTAGCACCTTTAATTATGGCAATTATCTTAGCTTAATATCTCGATGCTTGGCACGGCGCTTAACGCTCAATTGGCGCTCGATCCCACGTCGTGCTATATCGCATAATAGATTTTGCTTTGTTATTAACTAGAAGTGGCCTGCTATTGTAGAATCTGAACTTGTATCTCACTATGACCAAGGATGTTTCTATTAAGATAGTGTCGCGGTAACGTAAGGAATAATAGTCAGGTAAAACAGAAGTATAGGAGTTTGGCTTGTGGACCCAGACAACGGGCATGTGGCTCGAACTATAAAGAGTTCCTGGCCATAAGTATAATATCTGCCCCAGCGTCATCCTCAATATGCTCGCCGCCAATATTCTATAAGACCATGCCCGCTCAACTTCTGCTTAATACAATATGTATGTCAATATCGGTGGTTAGTTGATTTCTTAGCATGTCCTTTAGGTCAGTGGTATTTCCACATCATCTCCGCATCATCTCCGCAAAAGGTCAACAGAATTTTGCATTGTGTGCTGTTATAGGATTCGGCGGGAATAAGAGGACGAGCAGAAGGAATCATTCCACCATTTGAGCAAACCAAACCACAGACAAATCAGCCCAAGCCTCGCCCGGCCTTTGACGTTGTCATCTTCTGCCCTCTTCGCGGATGTTCTTTAGACATCTGCGGACAAAAGCTCGGAGTTATGCCACCCTTGCCGCGGACAAAACACTAGCTCTTGGATCAGCCGGGCAGTCCCTTGAACTTATGCAAGTGGCTGGCGGGATGGCGTTTGGTGATCAAACCCCCCCAAAATCTCACTCCGCACTCCGTGAGTTTTGCGTCAGCCACAAGCGGAAGCCAAAGGGTGCAAATCCACAACGCGACTCGGGCGACGTTTCTGGGGATTCCAATTCCGTACTCCGAGGGGATGCCAAGATCAACAACTTCTTCAAGTAGAGAAGATGTGATCAGTCGACTCAAGCCAGCGACTTATTATGCCATGAGCGCTGCTTAATACTGCTTATCAATCTGTGACCCCAATATGTCATAGATTCTGACACCTCAATTATAACAAGGACGAATCAGAGGCTCTGACAAGGCATCTCTATATTCCTTCTCTTGATCATGGTGATGCCAGAATCTCCTCATTCATCAGGAACTGCGTCTCATCGGCGCGCATAATGCCTTTTACTCCGAGTCTCCGAGGCCGAGGGCCCGCATTTGTCAGCGGTTTGTTTCCGCTCGAAGCTCCTGGATCTCTATAGTATTATGTATGCTGCCCCTCCTAGAGCGGGAGTGATGCCATTGCCTGGCATCCACAGCGAATAGCTGCGTGGAGAATGCTGAGAGTGATTGGCAGATGCGGGACGGGAATGTACGAGAATCACAGAGTACGTCAATGACTTGCAAATTTATAAGCAGAGCATGAGGGTGTCATGGTACCTACTTATGAGCAGAGACATATAAGTCAATCGACGCCATTGGTGTTGAAAGAACAGACGACAGGATCGTATATCGTCTCACTTCACTATACCAAGAAGATCGAGCGTTTTTGAAGCAGACACGGTGAATAAATTAGTCAGTATGCCGAAATCACCAATTGAGATTGTCCTAGGCGTCGCCAGTGTAAGTGAAGCCTTGCGAATGTCAACCTAAGAAGCACTCGTTGACGAGTCCCTTGTCAGGTCGGCGACAGGTCCCTCGACCCAACAGTCAGATACGACACCCCTGAAGAAGTCGAAGCATTCCTCAATGCCTTCTACGAGCGAGGCTACCGCCAGATCGACACGGCCAGGGGCTACTCACCACACGCGCCAAAGTCCAGCGAGCCTCGCCTCGGCGCCGTCAACGCCGGAGAGCGCTTCCAGATCGGCACCAAGGTCCTTTCCCGCCCGGAAGGAGCTCATAAAAAGGAAAAGGTTGAGGAGAGCATCAGTGGCTCGCTCGAGGATCTGAAAGTCCCACAGGTCGACATTATGTACTTGCATGCGCCTGACCGAACCGTCCCCTTTGAGGAGACGGCAGAGGCCATTGACAAGGCATACCGAGAGGGAAAGTTTAAGCGCTTTGGGCTGTCCAACTACACGGCTGAGGAAGTTGAGCAGTTTATCAAGATTAGCGAGGAGCGAGGCTTTGTGAAGCCGACTGTGTATCAGGGGCAGTATAACCCGATTGTGAGGACGGGCGAAAAGGAGCTATTTCCGGTGCTGCGAAAGCATGGCATTTCTTTTTACGCCTGGAGGTAGGTTTTTTTCACAAATCTGACTCAAAGAAGTATTCATAAACTGACGTATATGGTCGAACAGTCCTGGAGCTGCCGGCTTCTTCAGCGGAAACCACAAGAACCCCCAACCCGGAAGCCGTTACGACCCCTCGGTAAGTCTCCCTTTATGCTCATACCAGAGCTCTTCCAGGTTACAAAGTGCTGAACGTTCGTTCTCAGCACGTAATCGGTAAATTGTACAACGCATGGTATCGCAAACCCAGGACCGAGGCCGCCGCCGACAGAGTGCGAGAAGTCGCCGCCAAGCACGGCATCTCGGGCCACGCAGCCTCTCTTCGATGGACGGCCCATCACGGGGCTCTTTCCGCCGAGCATGGGGATGCAATTGTCATTGGAGCGTCGAGCATTGCGCAGTTGAATGAGAACTTGGACATCTTTGAGCAGGGGCCGCTGCCGCAGGATGTTGTTGATGCGGTCAATGCTGTTGCGGAGGAGATTGGCGAAGATGCCATTCCTTATTACTTCTAAGCTTTCATCAATGTAGCTAAACATGAGATTGTTTTTACGGAACCGCCTTAGTTTGACTTTTGTATTAGGTATCCTCAAAAGGCATCATACGGAATTCAGTTGAGCGAGACAAAAGAAAGTGAATGGTCATACCCAAGTCTCGACCTCCGATCCGGCGTTCAAATCTTCAATGACAGAGAAGAAAGGATGATTCACTTGAGCACAGAGAGACAAAAGGAAACTCAGCCCAAGTCGATTCGATCTGATGCAGAAAGATTCGTAGTGCTCATGGTGTTCATGCCCCCCCAAATTTCTTACTCCCTCTAGGGTAGCCTGCAGCATTGACGCACATGCTTAAAGCTGCACGTGACTTCGTATCATGTCGCGTTAATTGTCAAACGGCATCGCGTCTCCCGTCGTGAATCGCAAAGCTTCAGAAGACATCAACTCCCACTTAAAACTTGGCATCTGGCATCTTGTCTTTCACTCAACTCAGCACTTGATGGCGGCTCGCACATAGACACATCATACGGGCGATTCATCACCTGCCAACATGCCCGAATTCCCTGGTAAGCTCCAACAACCCAGGCTTCATAGCTTGATGCCCCGCTCACGGTTTGGCAGAGGCAGACACGATCCGCATCCTGGTTGCGACGGACAACCATGTCGGCTATGAGGAGCGAGATGCCATCCGCAAAGACGACAGCTGGCGGACGTTTGACGAGATCATGACGATTGCCCGCACCGAAGACGTTTGTCGCCTGCTTCTGTCTGTCTCGTCTCCAAAGCTCACGCATCATCACAGGTCGACATGGTGTTGCTCGCCGGCGATCTGTTCCACGACAACAAGCCCTCCCGCAAGTCCCTCTACCAAGTCATGCGAACGCTACGAAAGAACTGCCTTGGCATGAAGCCGTGCCCGCTCGAGTTCCTGTCAGACCCCGCCGACGTCTTTGAGGGCGCATTTCCCCACGTCAACTACGAAGACCCCGACATCAACGTCTCCATCCCCGTATTTTCCATTCACGGCAACCACGACGACCCCTCTGGCGATGGCAACTACTGCTCACTCGATCTGCTGCAGGCGGCGGGTCTCCTCAATTACTATGGTAGGGTGGCCGAGGTTGATAATATCGAGGCAAAGCCCATTCTGCTACAGAAAGGAGATACCAAGCTTGCGTTGTACGGGCTGAGCAACGTACGAGACGAGCGGATGTTCAGGACGTTCAGAGACCACAAGGTCAAGTGGTTCCGCCCTGGTCAACAGACGGGCGAGTGGTTCAACCTCCTCGCCGTCCACCAAAACCACCACGCACATACGGCGACGTCATACTTGCCCGAGAACGCGCTTCCCGACTGGCTCGACCTCATCGTTTGGGGGCACGAGCATGAGTGTCTCATCGATCCGACCAAGAATCCAGAGACGGGATTCCACGTAATGCAGCCCGGATCGTCAGTGGCCACATCGCTAGTCCCCGGAGAGGCCGTACAGAAGCACGTCGCCGTCGTCAGCGTGAACAGCAAAACATTCAAGGTCGACAAGATTCCTCTCAAGACTGTCAGGCCGTTTGTCACTAGGGAAATCTCACTCTCCCAGGAGAAACGCTTCAAAGGCTTGGACAAGAAAAAGGACAACAAGCATGAGGTCACTTTGCGACTGATGGAGATTGTCGAGGAGATGATTGCCACCGCAAACGCAGAGTGGGAGGCCATTCAAACAGACGACGAGGCCTTGGAAGAGCGACCGCTGCCGCTGATCCGCCTCAAGGTCGAGTATACTGCACCAGATGGTGGCGAGTTTGAGTGTGAAAATCCACAGCGCTTCTCCAATAGATTCCTGGGAAAAGTTGCCAATACCAATGATGTGGTGTATTTCTACAGAAACAAGAAGTCGGCCCCGCGTGAGTCACAGATCTATCGAAACTGCTCCTCCGCCTCTCGCTAATCATTCTACAGGGACAAAAGCGGCCAACCCGGCTCAGATTCTCGAGTCATTGGGAGACGACGCCACTGAAATGGTCAAGGTGGAAAACCTCGTCAAACAGCTGCTTGCGAAACAGTCCCTCAAAGTCCTGCCACAGGGTCCTTTTGGCGAGGCAGTTAACCAGTTCGTCGCCAAGGATGATAAGCACGCGATGGAGCTCTTCGTGTCGCAACACCTTTCCGGCCAGGTTAAGCAGATGCTGGGTCTCGAATCGGATGACGAGGACCTGAACACTGCCATGGAACTTTACAAGCAGGGGGTGGAGCAGCGGATGGCCACTGCCGGCAGCATGCGCAAAATGGCGCCGCAGGAACCCAAGCGAGTGCTGAAGCCCAAGCCGGACACATGGGACACAGATTTCGATGGCAACTGGGAAGATGAACCGAACGCGTGGGAATATGAAGACGTCGCAGAAGAAGACGAACCGCTAGCACGGCCTCGGGCGGCGGCTCGTTCCTCGCGAGAGACGGTGGAGGATGATGAAATGTCGATTGTAGACGAAGATGAGCCGCCGCCAGCAAAGACGAAGAAAGCGACAACACGCGCAACAAAAGCCCCGGCCAAGAAAGCCCCTGCCAAGAAAGCACCAGCCCGACGAGGCCGCGATCCTTTCGAAGACAGCGAAGAGGACGAAGAGGAAGATGAGCCACAGAAGGGGTATGACGTGGTGATGGACTCCGAGGCGGAAGATGCACCGCCGCCGCCATATACAGCTGCACGGACTGCCGGACGGGGGCGGAACGCGAAACCTGCGGCGGCTGCCAAGAAGGCTGCGGCGACTGCCAGCAAGCCCGCGGCGACGAGGAAGACGCCGGCAAGGGGCGCTGCGGCCAAGTCGCGGCAGACGAAGCTCAATTTCTCACAAGGAGCGACGCAGGACAAGGCGCTGGAAATTAGTGATGACGAGGTCTCAGACGATGATGCGTTTGAGCCGGCGCCGGTGGCCAGTCGGACGAGAAAGAGGTGATGAGGCTCTAAAGAGCCTCCTGTTCTTGCCTCGAAGCATGGGTTGATGATGTCAATGAACGATGCATTCACTGGTATATGAATGGACATGACTTGAAATATCACCACCTCGTCTACCTTGGTCTATCTCTTGCAAAAAGTGATGCCCCAAAGGCAACTGACGTCTGCCACTTTTGATCCTACCTCTTTACATCACATAAATACCCCTAGATGAGGGCACTGACCAAAATGGGCAAAAAAAAGAATTCACAGTTTGGAACTGCTGGCGGTCTCTCCCGCCGGGAATTGAACCCGGGTCTCAAGCGTGACAAGCTTGCATACTGACCACTATACTACGGAAGATGTTTACCTGCGCTTTTAGCGCCGGTGTAGCGGATCAGATCCAGTTGCTTCCGATCGCAGAATTTTACTATATAAACCCTTAGCACAAGCCAAGTCTTCTTGCACTATCAATTTGACTTACATCAACTTCATGATGCTCGCTTTGAGCCGCGGGCGGCAGGGTTGAGAGTTTCATGGGACAAAATCAAACCCGAAGATGGACAAGTTGAAGGCTGCTACAGGTGTGCTTCTGGCCACTGATAGGAGACCTGATCTGCAGGATCATTGACAACCGTTCGATTCCCCCCCACCCCCCCCCCCCGCAAACGTCGCGCCCGAGTTATGTATGGCTAAACTCACCGATTGACTCATCTTCATGTTGTAAGTGGAGCAGAAACGCCCAGGAGCCTCTCAGTAATCACCGGGATATCGCATAAGGGCCGATCGACTTCCGTTGGTCATGTTTAAACCCTGATCAAGGTCCCAGGAAATCCATTACAGCACCTTTTCTTGTTCTCGACACTTTACAACTTATCATTGCGTCTATTCTGGTCAAAATGCACACCCCCTCGAAGCCAGAACAGGAAGCCATCGTGCTATTACGGACAGCGACGGCTCCCAGCTACTTTCAGACTGTCATTGGCAAGCGGTCACCAATCTCCGACGACGTTGAAGAGTTCCGCGGCCTTCCGTACGCGCATGTGCCGGGAAGATGGGAGCACTCGCGTCTCAGGGATTGTTTGCCTCGCGACATCTTCGATGCCACCGAGAACGGGTAAAGCTCGCATTGCCTATCAACAACGCTTTACATAAAAGGAGTGCCTCCCGTTGACTAATGCTTCTTGCTGGACTTGAAGGCCCCGATGTCCCGCACCAGGTTCACCTGATTCAAGCTTCTTTCAATCATACTTGCCATTCCCCAACGACCGCGAGGACGAGTTTGAATGTCTGAACCTCCTCATCGTGCGCCCGAGCAAGGCTGCTCTCGCAAGGCATGGTCTGGATGCTGAGGCTCTCAAGCTACCGGTGCTTGTTTATATTCACGGAGGAGGCTTTGCAGATGGTTCGGCCACGAGTCCGGTGCACGGTAAGTACTTGGCTTCACAAATCACGCTCACGTATCCTATCGAGTGATCGTCACAAGAGAAGGTTCTTATCTGAATGCTCATTCGTAGATCCCTCCCGGTTTGTCCTTCGTAGCCTTTTAAACAAGACGCCCTTCATCATGGTGGTCATCAACTATCGTCTCAATATATTTGGCTTCGGAGCCTCTTCCGACATGCTAGCTGCGCAAAGCAGTCAGGACGCTGTCAAGGGCGTCAACTTTGGTCTTCGAGATCAGAAACTCGCCCTGATCTGGATCCGACGCAACATTGCTGCTTTTGGAGGAGATCAAGACAAGGTCACCATCATGGGCCATTCCGCGGGCGCCATCTCGTGCCACATCCACCTCCTCGAGGCCGAACTCGACACTAAGAAATCCCTATTCAGCAAGGCTATCCTACTGTCTGGTGCGTGGGGAGGCCTCGACTTCCGCTCGCTAGCAAAAGCAGACGAGCGCTGGGCAGACCTGTGCCGACTATGGGCAGTCCAAGACAAAAGCCCGATCGACCGCCTCAACATGCTGAAGAGAGTCCCCACAAAAGATCTGCTTCGAAGCGTTTCGGATCTGCACTGGAGGTTCTTCGTCCTGGTCGTTGATGAGCTGACCATCAGGACAAGCAACCTGAAATGCGAGGTCTCCTTTCACTTGGGGCATGATGGAATGGACAACCAAGTCAAGGGGCCATCCGATGAGCAAATCCAAGTCGTGCTTGGCACGGCGTCCCACGAGTTCAGCGGCTTCGCTCGCATGGCGAACTGGGAGTACGAAAAGTTTCGCTCTCTTTTCGTATCCTGCTATCCATCAGAGGCGGCGGCCGAGAACGTCCTCCTGGCTTACAATATCCTGCCCACAACATCCTCTGATGACCTACTCGAGGGCTTCGGGCAGTTTATATCTGATGCTACAATGTGTCTCAGGGTACGCCGTGCAGGCAAGTTTCTCAAGGCCCACCGTGGACAGCAAGCCCTCCTCCGTGGCATGGACCGGGATTGCGTGGGCGTGCAGTATTGGCACTTCGAATTCGGCAATCCCTTTCTGGGTCCCTCTCACAACGTTGCACATCACGGCGTTGAGCTAATTTACCTCTTTGGCAACTTTCGCGAGGCATTGGAGAGAGCTGACCGGGGGATTCTGGAAGGCTACATCGGTCCCAGTCAGAAGACTGCTAGTGTTGCTGCTTCTCAAGCTTCACCTCCCGCTGAGGTTGTGGAGTATAGCAAGTCAAACATTGAATTGAGCAACGAATTGCAGGACAAAATCATCCGATTTGTCGTCGAGGGTAATGAAGAGACCTCCAATCGTGCAAATTCCGATGAGATCACAACATATCTTCCAGACCGATCAACGCGAGTTGAGAGTTGGACTGGCAGCGAGAAATGGGGGGCAAGAGAAAAGAGATATGAGGCTCTGGAGGCTGACATGGATTCTCTGCTTGCTGCCACCAGGAAGCTCGTAGGGAGCGTTCTAGATATGGCCTTAGACTGAATTTCGTCCAGATCTCTCGTAGACAATTGAAAGTTTCGGGTTATGATTCCGTGGCCCTGGTCAGAGTGGTTCGCGATCAGAGTGTTTCGGGGGTTAAACATTACCTTGCTGCCGCCATTCAACTGCAAGCGTCTTCTCATCAATTCCCTTGTGCAATTTCCGACCCGGCCGTATGTCAGCTAAGATGGGCTTTGATACCGCCCAACATTTGTTGGTATTGCCACTCTAGAGCCTTGCCGTCGCTGCATACAGATAATACACTGCTCAGCCTGATCGAAAGCCGTACCCAATCGTTACCCAATCATGAACGATGTGAGGGGAAATAAGCGCCTTGAGACGCCAATGGATGACCTGGTGGTCGACAAGGTGGTATCGCTTCTGCCTTGTTTCAGTCCAACACACATTATTGCCGTTCTGCGCTTGTTTGGATCTCAACTCTTACTGGCTCATCATTCGGTGAGCTGCAAAGCTGTGCATGAGAGCTCGCCATTGATGCCCAAACGAGAGGCGACACGTAGCTCAGCCTCAGCTGTGCTCGACGCCGCAAAATCTCCGCACAAAGTCCCCTCCTCATTCAGTTCGGACCTTATCGTCAGACTTTCGATTCAACGACTTTCCATCTTTATTCTCATGCGTTGATCTGCGTTGGGTGAAACCTGGTAGCTATATGCTTTACTATTGTCTATTCTCGCCATATGGTTCCTAAAGAGCATGATGGCATGGAATCTCTTGCAGTCAGCCCCGTCCCCGCGAAAGCCAACTTTGCCGGAAGCTGCTACCGCCTTTTTCGTGCTGCTGCCGTTCCTCTGCTCTCTTATATATCGCCTTTACGCTAAAATTCAAAGACGAGCCGGCCGCTCAGTGGGCCTTCAAATTCTCTCTAAATCGTCCTCTGATGAAACTGCCAAATATGAGTATGTCATATGTGCCAGATACTGTGGGTCTTCAGGTTGCTGAATAGTTCAGGATCGTTGCCGTACATGGCCTCGGAGCAAACCCAGAGCACACCTGGACATGCAAGCCTAGGACAAAGCCTAGAACGGGCGATGCTTCAGAGCCAGTCCACTTGCTCAAGGATTTGCTCATGCAGGACGACCGGTTTTCTGATGCTCGCATTCTTCATTTTGCGTACAATTCTGACTGGCTTGTTGATGCCTGCTTTGAAACGGCTCGTGATATTGGGCTTCGCCTCATGGAAGCACTCATCAAGCATAGAGATACCCATGCGGTATGTCTTAGGAATGACGTCTCATATAGGTAGTAACTGATAGGATCATAGCGCTTGCCCTTGATCTTTGTAGGACACAGCTTCGGCGGAATAGTTATCAAGGAAGTAGGTCCAAAGCTTCCATCACTTCATCTCCACTCCTCTTCGTCTTGTTTGAAACCTACTCTCTGCTTGAGACTCTTTCTCATTCATTATTCCAGGCTCTCTCAAGCAACCCCGACGACACTCAAAACATTCTGGAAGACACATGCGGAGTTATCTTTCTGGGCACGCCTCACCTAGGTAGCCCCATTGCCGGTTATGGAGCGACCATTGCCTACTTGACAGGCTTCCTAGGCTCAAACACTGGCCTGCTTCTTTCGCTCCGAAGTACCGGAGACTTGCTGGTGAATCTCAGTAAAGCTTTCCAACAATGCGTCAACAGAAAGAAACGAGACACAAATAAAGAGACCGAGATAGTCTCCATCTGCGAGAAGAAGCCGACATATCTGTTGAACTGGCTCTACGCAGGCAAGGTGAGTACAGCCCGAGGAATGTATGCCACATCGAAAGCGTCTTACATGTTCCAGATTGTCCTATGGGAATCCGCAGCTTTTGGTGCCAATTTTGCGAACGTTATAGAGGTTGACAAAGACCATTCTGGCCTGAACAAGTGTCTTAATTCCGAAGACCCTCTATACAAGGAGCTTACTGCACAGCTATGCCGAATGAAGCCGTAAGTGACGAGACCACCATTTCGACGATACACATAACTAAGAGCCTCAGGAATGTGCCTCCTAAAATCAACAAGCTTCAGCAAGCAGTCATTGACCGCCTGGCCCCCGTAATCGCCTCTGACGCAGAATACCACCCCGGTGGTGATGTGTATGGTGGTCACTCAGAATGCCTCCCTCACACGCGAGAGCAGCTTCTCAACGACATCTGCGACTGGCTCGATGAGTCTGATGCGCCCCAGAAACATCTCTACTGGCTGCAAGGAAAGGCCGGTACCGGGAAGTCTACAATTGCACGCACAGTTGTAAGCCGAATGAGCAGAAAGAAGCGCGTTGTCGCCAATTTTTTCTTCAAGCGAGGTGAAGGCGATAGGTCACGGCTTAAGCGATTCTTCACAACAATCTCAGCTCAGCTTGTCAGAAAACTACCCGGTCTTGCTCAGATGGTCCAAGATGCCTTGGAATCAGAGCCCTCACTGCCAGAACAGGATCCACGGGTTCAGTTCAGGAAGCTCATCAAAGAACCTTTACAAATGCAAACCTCCTGCCACGATAAAGCTATAGTGATCGTCGTCGACGCCCTTGATGAATGCGATTCAAAAGAGGATCTAGTTGCTCTGGTTCAGCAGCTCTCGAAATCAATTGTCCGTACCCAAGGCTATCAATCTTCGTCTGGACAACTTTTAGTCAAATATTTTGTCACCAGTCGCTTGGACCGTCACACAAGCTCTGCTCTCCACATAGTCTCCGAGGAGAAATGTGAGAAAATAGAGCTTGAGAGGGCCACATCAGGCACCACTAAGCAAGATATTGAGTGCTATTTCAAGATCCGCCTACAGAAAATCGACGGCTTTTTGAACCCATTGTCAGAGTCCGACCCGTGGTCAAATCCTGCAGACGTAGGAATTCTCAAGAAACTTGCAGATCGAGCGGATCCACTATTCGAATTTGCCGCTGCTGCTTGTCGTTATATTGCGCAGCCTACTGTGCCTGGAGGGCCGAGGCTTCTCATACAAGATATACTGGATTCTAACAGTTATGGAGACCTTGATGGCGTATATCTCCCAATCTTGAGACGGAGGTTCGTCAACCTCAAAGGGCCCCTTCGCGATCGAGCATGGGCAGCTTTTGAGGATGTCATTGGCACAGTTGTCTTCTTGGCGGATTCCGTGACAGTTCATTGTCTTGCAATGCTTTCCGGGCAAGATGAGCAAGCGGTTCGCCAAGAACTGTTGCTCTTTGAGTCAGTCTTGGTGGTTCCAAGGAAGCAGGACAGTTCACTGCCTATCACTTTATTCCACGAGTCTTTCAGGGATTTCCTCATTGGACCGGAGGCCAGCGAAGAGTTTAAACTTGATATGCAAAAGACGCACATGCGTCTGGCAACTCGATGTCTTGAAGTTCTACGCGGGACGTTGAAGGAGAATCTTTGCAACTTGAAGAGTCCTGGAACACACCGAAGCGAAGTCGATGATGAAACTATCCGGACATCAATATCAGAAGAGGCCAAATATGCCTGCAGATTTTGGGCCTATCATCTGAAAAGGTGCGGGTTGCAGCTGATTGATGGCGATAATTGGCATTTATTTCTCTCCTCTCGCTTTCTCCATTGGCTCGAAGCACTTTCTTTGCTTGGGAGATTTTCTGAGATCATGCCGCTGATCCGGGAGTTGGAAGCCATCATACACGTACGTTCGCCTCAAATTCTTTGTTATTTATCGTACATCTGCTGATCCCAGTAGCCGACTGATGGAGCACAAGTGAAAGCGTTTCTGGACGATGCTCACCGCTTCATCCAGTACTTCGGTCAAACCATTAATGCCGCGCCATTACAAATTTACAGCTCGGCACTCACATTTTGTCCTACTGAGAGTGTTATTCGAAAATCATTTGTCGCTTGTCTGCCTGAATGGATTACCCGGACCCCAATCGTCGAAGCCCAATGGAGCGCCTGCCTGCAGACTCTTGAAGATCATGAAGCGCGTGTTACCAGTATCGCCTTTTCACCTGAGGGTCTCCTCGCATGCGAAGATCGCCATAAAAATGTCAAGATATGGGACATTCGATCGGGCACCTGCCTGCACACTTTGCGTATCAGAGACGGGGGGTCCCGGTTCAGATCTAGTGACGCAACGATGGCCTTCTCCAAAACCGGCAAACTTGGCTATTTCAAACCCCCATACTTGATATTGTGGGACCCGAGTCAAGGCGATTCTTTCCAAGAATCCGAAGATCTTGGCGGTCCAGCTAGGCCGAGTCAGGTAAGGTTCACAGCGACTTTTACAGACGAACAGAAACTGGTCTACATGAATTGGTCGAGAGATGAAGTTGTCAAATGGGATCTGGGACCTGCTTGTGGAACAAACTTCACCGATGCCTCTGGCAGGGTAAAGCCTGCTGGCAGAGAGGTATTCGATTGCAAAGCAATATTAGGATCTGCATCAATATCTCTCATATCTCATTACGAATTTGTCCTATCTTCTGATGGTCAATGGCTTGCGCTGGTGGGCGAACAGCATGTCGAGCTTTTCCACATTAGCTCCGAGGACAGTCATTCGTTTAATATGCTGCCACCATACAGCGCTTCGATCCGGCATGCTTTTTTTTCGCGAGACAATCGCTATTTTGCAGTTTGCCGCCAAGGAGGCGACATCCAGATTTGTGATGTCGCATCAGCGACAGTATTGCAGATACGCAGGGACGGCTTAGGCATCCCAGAAACGGCGACAATTTCACCAGATGGACGGTTGCTTGCAACAGGCGATAACATCGGAACAATCGTCATTTGGGAGTGGAAAGAGGACATTTGTCTGAGACCCATTACGGAGCATGGCGGCAGAATTCACTCGCTGGCATTCTCACCAGACGGTGCACGGCTTGCCTCGGCATCGGCAGACCGAACGGTGAAAATTTGGGACGTTTCCATATTAATGCACAATGAGGGAAGTGAAAGTGTTGGGTCCGATATGGTTTCATTGGCCTTGAACGGTCAAAGATTCATTACTTCAACCTCCGGTGCGTCTTCAGGTCATCTGTGGGACAACTATGGCAGGGAATGCGCTGGGATATCGTTCGAAGGGATGGAAGCACGTGGCATACAGGTGTCTGCAAATGGGAACATGTGTGCGGCTTTTTCAGACGAAGACATTATCCTCTGGGACATGGAAACAGGCGGCAGCTTGCCAATGACGAATTACAGTGGGAGCATCTTTGACCCAAGCATTTGCTCAATAGCCCTCTCAGCGGATGGTGGAAGGCTTGTGGCAGGCACTGAATATGGGACCGTCGAGGTGTGGGAGTCTCGTACCAGCGAAAGAGTCATGCATTATCATGAAGGAATGGGACAGACGGCAGTAGCCATCGCTTTCAATGGCGAGCAAGTTGCCTTCCTGGTTGATGGATATGTTCGGCTCGAGGACTTAAGTGGGACGAACTCCTTCACATGGGAGGTTCCCACACATTCAAGTGGGCAATTAGCATTTTCTCCTAAGGGGGATCGGCTTGCAGCCCTCTGGGGTCGGAAAGAAGCTTGTATTTGGGACTTGACAACAGGCACCTGCATAAGGAGGGCCGTAACCGATTACACCAGGGATTGGGAGGGTCCTTCGATCTCTCTCGATCCAAGTTTTGTCGACTACGGGTTTACCCTCTCTGCCAACTTACCAGAGGAAACGTCCTTTGAACAAATTCTGGTCAAGTATCATATTAGTCAGGACTGTGCTTGGATCATGAGGCATTCTGAGAAGGTCATGTGGCTTCCGCCGGAATACCGACCCAAGGCAGCAGCTGCTGCGGGCTCACTTATCGTGATTGCTCGCCGAGGGGGGCGCCCATATGTCATTGGACTTTCAGACAGTGGCCCGGGCGAAATGGGTCGCTAACGGAAGAGAATGGAGAGTGGCCAGCCAGCCCAACGAAATTTTGCTATTGCATCTTGGTAGTTGCCGTATGGATGACGCTGGTTTTTGATTTCGAGGCTAATGGAGCGGCTGTGATGGCGCAGGGGACCAGCAAGGTAACATGGAATGCCTACTATCAAGTATACGGCAGGAAATCAAATAGGTATAGTCGAAATCCTGTTCTGATCCTACAATGGCCCGCGACTTCGGCAACACAGATGTACAGAATCTGGAGAATGCCTCCTATGTAGTGTTTCGTCAACGCTATATTGGATAGGATATGACATTGTTCACAAGCCACCTGAAGAAGATATACACGAGTAGATATCTCTTGTTGAACCTGGTGTGTCGTCTACTCTTTTTCGCTTTTCCGTCAAGTGACCCCGGCAGGTCGCAAATGTCCAACCAATGCCGCCAACGCCGCAGATGCCGCACGCGACTTTACCAGCCGAGTTCGGCCTCTAAGCCCTTGAAACCCCAATTAGCTATCAGCTTGTATTATCGCGAAACAGCTGGAAAGGAAGCATTAGTTGCTCAGCTCCGACGATTCCTCAACAATTTGCGACTCATAGCATGGCGACCCAGAAGAGCAATAAGTGAGGAGAAGCAAAGGCCTAGAAGCGGCAAAGGTGACTAAGTTGGCATGATGATGGTGAGCTGAGCTGACATGGCGTAAAGCTTGACTGATGATTTGCCTGGGTCGAGTGCGTGCCAAGTGCGGGCAGCTTGCATGATGATCCCAGCAGCTCCTAGACTACTATATAGTAGCCTCAATGCCATCTTCCATATGCCATCTCCCTTCATCCCCTCTTTAACCCCCCATCTTCCTCCTCTCTCTCGTAACAAGTATTTGAACAACTCATCCTTCTCCTCCGCCATGACCATCCGCGTAGGAACAGCCTCGCCCAACACCCAGCCCACCACCCCCCTCACCCTCTCCCTCCTACACTCGCTCGCCTCCCGCGCCGCCGCCCAGCGCATCGACATCCTCCTCCTCCCCGAAGCCTTCATCGGCGGCTACCCGCGCGGCTCCGCCTTTGGCTGCGTCGTCGGCAGCCGCACCGCCGAGGGCCGCGAGGCCTACGCCCGGTATTTCGACCAGGCCATCGACCTCGGCGACACCGTTGGCGATGGCAGCGCCGGCGCGGGGCTCAAGTGGGTGCGGCGGGAGCTGCCGGGTTACGAGCAAGGGGGCAGCGGCCGCGGGGACGGATCGAGGGAGGAGCTGGAGCGGATTGCGCGGGATACGGGCGTGTTTTATGTGACGGGGTGTATTGAAAAGGCTGGGGGGAGCTTGTACTGCGCGGCCGTGTATGTCTGTCCGAAGGAGGGCATCATCGGCAAGCGGCGCAAAGTGATGCCAGTACGTGTCCATCATCTATCTCTACTATTCCACTCCGTCTAACACAGGGCATCCACAGACAGGCTCGGAACGCCTCATCTGGGCCCAGGGCCACCCGTCGACCCTCCGCGCCGTGTCCACCTTCATCCGCGGCCAGCGCATCAACCTCGCCGCCGCCATCTGCTGGGAAAACTACATGCCTCTCCTGCGACAGTCGCTCTACGCGCAAAACATCAACCTCTATCTCGCGCCCACGGCCGATAGCCGCGAGGGGTGGCTCAGCCTCATGCGCACCGTTGGCATCGAGGGCCGCTGCTTCGTCGTCAGCAGCAACATGTGCGTGCGGGCGGACGAGGCGAATGGCGTGGACGCGGGGGACCGGGATGTCGTGCCGGTGGCTGGGGGTGCGAGACGCGGAACCGGGGCCGGAGTCGGAGTCGGAGCCGGAGGGGTTGGCGGAGGAGGGGCGAGGAGGAGGACGAGTTCGGCGGTCATCACGGATGATGGGTTCGAGTTTGCGGTGCCGTCGCCGCACAAGGTGAGGCATGGGCGCCGGAAGAGCGTCTTTGACGAGGACGGAAACGAGATTGTGCTGTCGTGTCCGGCGGACAGCCGCGACGTCCAAGCAGAAGACGAGCTCGACGCCCAATCGCAAGCTGATGCACAGGCCCAGGAGCAACAGCAAAAGCAACAACAGCAGCAGCAGCAGCCCGCCGTATCTGCACCGAAAGCGCCCGTCTTCCTTTCCCGCGGCGGTTCGTCTATTGTGTCTCCCTTTGGCGACGTCCTCGCCGGTCCGCAGTGGGAAGACGAGGATAATCTGATTTACGCGGATATTGATTTACGGGATTGCATTCGTGGAAGATTAGATCTGGACACGGCGGGAAGTTATTCGAGGAACGATGCGTTCAAGCTGACTGTTGATGGGCTAGATTTGGATCCTCTGCCTTATTGAATGGGCGACAACTAACAAATGGGTAGTTCGAGCAGAATGCCAATTTGTAAAAGATTAAGTCAATATGAGGATTAATTTGTACTTGGCAACTGACAAACGACATGCTATAATGCGACAAGAAGAGTGGAATTCTTCTTTTTCTCTCCGAAATTACCATGCAACTCCAATGCACAAACACAATCATATGCTCCCGTCAAACACGCTGCAAATCCAAGCCAGCTGCCAACTCCCTAACCGTGTGAAAACGCCAAACTGATGCAATGCCCAATGCCATTGAATGCTTTCCTCCTCCTTCTCCTCTCCAACCTCACATATTACCATCATTGTTCGGCTGCGGCCTCTGACACGGCCTCCACCCCCGTTCCACCGCTTCCACCGCGCTCGCCTCCTCCTCCGCCTCCTTCCGCTGCCTCTCCAGCGCAGCCTGCGCCAAGATCTCCCGGCGACTGAGACCCGCGCTGCTCGCCTTTCTGCTGCCGCCCAGCACAAACTCGCCGCCCGTCCAGCCGCCGTCATCCTCGTGCACGTCGTCCTCCTCTTCGTCCTGGCCCGAAATGTGATACCGCGACGTCTCGCCGAGCGTGTGCCCGCTAGACTTCCAGTCCGCAGCGTCCACCTCGCGCTCAATCTGGTGGCACAGATCCCAGAACTGCCTGTCGTGCGGTCCGTGGACGTTGTGCGTAAGCTCGTGGCACAGCGTCTTGCGGATCGTCTTGTAGTCGCGATAGCCGTCGTGTGCATCGGTCCGCAGTCGCAGCTCAATCACCTCGCCCTGGTTACGGTTGAGGCCCAGGGTGCGCGTCGTCCCTTCATGCGTCGACTGCGTGTGCGCCAGCGGCTCCATTTCCGTGAGAAGCGCAACGGTAAACTTGTGCTTGCGCATGGCCGCCCTGATGCCTGGATCCTCCTTGAGTCGCATCAGCAGCTTGAGGCTGCGCTCGGGATGAGGCAGCCCGCTGAGCGGCCGCACTTGTAGAAACGTGTATTTGGAATCTTCGACGGACTGCACCCCGCGACGCCGTGCTGGCGCCTTGCTCTTCGCCTTGGATCGCTGCGCCTCGCGCGCCGCCTTGATGTTGTTGAGCTTCTGGCACATGGACTGAACGGCTTGAACGTCGGCGTTGGTCGAGCCCATGACGGTGACGGTCTTGTCGGCGAGGTTCCTGACCGAGTAATCGGGGTCCTTGAAGGGGTGCTTGAGGAACGGGCCCTTGGGCACCATGACCTTGATGTTTTCAAACGGAATCTCGAGCACGTTTTCGATTTCGCGAAACAGGTCGGTGACGGTGAGGTCGGCGTCGAGTTCGAAGGGAAACTTGTGGCCTCGATGCGACACGGTGATGGCGACTGTTTCTGGCCGAGTCTCGGCTTCGCTGTCGCATTCGCTGTCGTGTTCGCTGTGAGAGTCTGTCTCGTGCGATGCTGACGGTGCTGACGCGGCTGCTGTGGCTGCGGAATCGACCTCCATATCGCCGGTTGTGTCGTTGTTGTTGTCGCTGTGGTCGTTTGTTATGAAAGATGTCGTCTGCGGCTGTCTTGATGCGGCATCATCTTTGGTGTGGTCCATGGAGTAATCGTTTAGATGCGATGCGACGTCCATCATGCGCTGCGGTTTTGGTTTTGCGCGCCTGACTCAGGTATAGGTAGTGTAGGTAGGTTAGAAAAAAAAGAGGGAGAAGAGCTGTAGTTTGTGGCGTCAAGTAGTTGATATTGGATCGATTAATGAGTAAGGTAGAGTATATAAAATAACCAAGAGGTGCCTATATATCCTTCTGCGACTGAATCAGGTGTGGAAAGGGAGAAGTGTATGATGATTACAAATCTAACAGGTGATGTTTCTCGGAGATGCGACCGACATATATAGGCCGTGCTCAGCTGGGGCAAGAGCGAAGCATACGTACACCTGCAATACGAACGCTAACATAAGATTCTATTTACGCGTATCAGCAGAACAAACCTTTTCAGCATTACTGTACATATATCATGACAAGCCAATGAAACTTGTTCAGTTTGAAAAGAATGCACCCGGCATGGCTTACTCATACATCGCCTCTCCCGCTTTTGCAACAAAGATACGATTCAATAATACGATGCGATCTGCAAGTGCAAATCGCCTGCCTGCCTGCCCGCTTCTGTCGGTGATTCGGGCACCTTCGGCAGGGTGCTTGGTAATACGTCATGGCGGCCTCTTTTCTCCTTCTTCCCACCCTCCCTTTTGCGCTCATTTTGGTTAAGCGCAATCTGTCAGCCCCCTCTCCTTCCTCGCGACAGCGAGAGAGGGATGGGTGCTGCGCCACGATTCTAGCAGCCAGCCTCAGCCGCAGCTTTCTTTTACTGCCCGAGATTCTGCCATACCTACGTACAGCTGGTGGCGGATGGCTGAGGATGGAGATGCCGGAGAATCAAAGACCGGAGTCTTGCAATTTCCCCGGAGATGTAGATGTGGCGACATCAGATAGTTGACCATATGTATTTTCCTTTATCACATTCCAGGTCGATGATACTGGCTATTGATGCTCCTTGATGCTCGTTACAGAAGCTTCCACAGTTACATAATCAACATCTGTTGCCCTACAACAGGCCATCTCCTCGGCGGTCAAAGCTGCTTACCAAGTCAAACAACTGCCGCTTTCTCCTTGTGGCAATCACTGGTCCGTGTCCCGCTTGCCGTGCCGGATCACCGGGTTTCCCGCTCCGCAAGCCGCACGTTTCCGCTAATGCAGGGTCTTATATGTACAGCATCTGTCCTTCTATTTATATACAAGTCCCTACCCAACAATCTAACTATCCTGCTTCAAGAATATAAACGTCCCCAATCTTCTCTAACAAAGCTCTCTACGTAAACAACCCATCTATCTCTAGCTAGCAAGGCCCAAGCCTGGTATATCACTCTCTACTAAGGTTCCTATGCAAAGCCTCAATACCCTTTCTCTCCAAAGCCTTACAGCCCATCCGGCTCGCACCACTCATTCAGACCCTTGCAGTAATAAGTCTCGGTGCTCCACGTCCTCTCGCAGCACGGGTACTCATCGCACACGCCGCCGCTAAATGCATAGTGGATGTAGTTCTCAAAGGCAAGGTTGACCGTGCACACAGGGATGGAGGCGAAGCCGGCCGACTTGACGCCCTCCTGGTGCGCAAAGAAGTTGCCGCTGTCGGCGTCACCAAAGCTGTCCGGCTCGGCCATCGGGTACGGGTTCTTCTTGCCGGCGGCGATGAAGCCGGAAAAGGAGCTCTCGACAATGTCGCGCCACGTCACGCCCCACTGGTTGTCCTCGTCGTCGATGTCGTCGTGGCCCTTGAGCGGGTAGAGCTCGATGTCGGCCAGCTCGGGGAACTCGGAGAAGCTGAAGAGGAAGAGGGAGTACTCCTTGCCGTTGGAGGCCTTGTAGTTGCCGGGGTACCGCACCTTGGCGGCGTCTTCGTCGCTGATGATGGCTACGCCCTCGAGCTTGTCGGGCGTCCTGGCGTCGGGCTTGTCGTAGATGACGACGGGCCGTTGGTTGGAGCCCAGCCTCCAGGCCAACTGGATCAGCTGTGCGTAGATGCACGTCTCGAACAGGTCGCTGAAGTCGAGCTCCGAGTACTTGGCGCTGGGGTCGTCGAGGAAGACGCCGCCGCTGAGCAGGTTCTGCAGGGCCGCCGTGCCAAAGTAGCCGGCGCTATAGATGAACTTCATGAAGCCGTCAATGGCCTCCTGGGCGGCGTCGGCAAAGACTTGGGCGGCGTCTTCAATCTTCTTGGCGTCGTCCATGTCCTTTTCCTTGCTGTAAGCAATAGGTTAGCGCGCGCGCGATTCAAAAGAGCACGGAATCGTATGGAGGTAGCTTACGATGTCTTCGCGTCGCCAGCGGCTGCCTTGTAGATGGAAATCGCTCCATTGATGCTTTCTTGGAGTTGTGAGCCTTTGTCAACACCCGACGTGAGGGCTTTGAAGACGCCTGCGCTGAGGAACTATTCATATAGCATAACACGGTCAGCTGCCCATTCACTACTACTAACACATTGCCACTGCTCATCCTTACCTTTTCCCATATGCCAGCTCCGGCAATAGAGAAGATGCCACCAAAGACGTCCAAAGCTGTCTGGAGAATCTCTAGCAGAGTGGCATCGTTTGCTTTGGAAAATGTATCGTGAATCTGTACAACATTTCGTCAGCTTTAGCAGCGGAAACCCATGGCAATCTGGTCCTCAGTTCAGGATTCAATAAACATACCGTGTCGGCCGCATGCGTGACATCTTGGGCGACCTTGTCGAGCGAGTGGTACATCTTGTTATGTACGTTGAAGACGTTGTAGAACGAATTGAGCACCAGGTCAACCGCTGCGTACATGGTCGTGCCGCAACGAACAGGGATACTAAGGGGCGTTCAAACGTTGATATCAGCAAAAGAGCTCTCCCCACAAAGGTCAAACAAGCAGCCAAAATAGCAAATACATACCATCCAGAGTCTCCAATAACGTCACAGAGGAACCCCGGCGGCGATTTGAACGCGCAGTGGCCGTCAAGGCCTCCGAAATTCTTTCCCACCACGTCCGGCAGGCTCTTCTGGGAGGCGTCGACTCGGCCGGCGTCCGTCTCCTGCCAGTACCAGTTGGTCATGTCCTCCATGCACTGCTGCGCAAAGACGGAGTTCCAGCGCTCGGCCGGCCCCAGGCTGAGGTCGTTGCCTGCTTTGCCGCAGTTGTTGCAGGCACACTTCCAGGGGAGTGCCGCATCGGCCGGGTTCGAGCAATCCTGCTTCGGGGCGATCGGGTCGTAGCTCATGTCCTCCTTCCACGAGTCCACGTTGCAGCCCTCGAGGATGGCATAGCCGTAAAACGAGCAGTCCGTCGGGATGACCTTGGGGTCCGTGTTGTCCTCCGGGTAAGGGTTGTATGTAAAGACGCCGCCCGGCGAGCCCTTGCAGACCCCCGAGGGACACTTTCCACGGGCACACGACCACGCGCAGAGCAGCGAGTACTCTCTGCCCTTGTCCGAGGCCGGAACGCCAGGAGGCCTGATCATGGGCGGCACCGGCTCCGGCGTGCCGCGCTCGTCGCAGACGCAGGGAGACGGGCAGAAGCCGTACTGGCAGGCAAACTCGCAGAGGTCGTTGAAGTCGTCGGGGCCGTGGCCCTTGATGCACTGGTTTCCGCCATCTCCGCCGCCACCGGGTCCGCCGGCGCTTGTTCCGGGCTGCACCGGCAGATGGGGGTCGTCGCAGCATGTTCCTCCGTCGCCCTTGTTGTTCTTGACGGAGCAGGCCGGGCTGAGCCACGTCGCGGCCTTGTTGCTGTACACATCCCGGATGACGTGGATGTCTGCGACGCCGTTGCCGTCAAAGTCCTCAAAGTAGACGCAGGTTCCGGCACGGTCGCTGTTGTACACGGGCTTTGATACGTGATCCCAGTGGATGTACGATCCGGCGTTTGCCCCTCGGTCTCCAGGGCCTCGGTTGTAATACACATAGCCGTCGCCAAACCACTTGTCGACCCAGATCATGTCGTCCTTGCCGTCTCCGTTGACATCGGCGAACCGCAGGTTGGCTCGGTCCTTGCCCTCGGAAAACTTGACCTGGCCGACGCTCGACCAGCTGTTGTCGTCGTTATGGAGCCAGGCAGAGATGTAGCCATCCCGCCTGAGGCACAGGTAATCGTCTCGCCCGTTGCCAGTCAGATCCGCAAACTGAACGGCGTGGTCATGGAGATTGAAACCGCGCTTCTCTGTGCAGGAAACAGCCGAGGCGGAAGACTGTGCGTTTGGGAAGTAATCCCACGTCTTGGCGTCTGACCAGGACCCTGTCGTGTGATAGAGATTGAGCCAGACCGACGGCCGGTTGTCGTTGTCGGGATCCGTCCAGACAATGTCGCAATCGCCATCGCCGTCCCAGTCCATCAGGTGAAGATCCCGCCGGTCGAGATTCTTGCCAATGAGCGCCATCGGGTCGAAGATGGTCACCACGGGGCCCCAGTAGGACTCGCCATCCTCGACCGTGCCCTTGCCGGCGTTGGGGTACATGATCATCTTGCCGTTTGACCACGTCCAGACGTAGTCCACCTCGCCGTTGGGGTGGTTCAGCATGTTGCAGTACTTGACTCCGTCTGCCCTGACCTTGGAGCCGCCGTGGCCTGCGCTCTTCCAGGCCCTCATCCGGAACGTGTGTGTGGTCCCGTCAAGGCTGTGCTCGAGATAGACGTAGTCCTTTCGGCCAAAGTTTCCAAAGTCCTGAGGGACGCCCCAGACACGGCCGAAGAGGATACGGCGACGGATATCTCCGTCGCTGGCCGTTGCAACACCGGGATGCGTGTTGCCAGACGACGCGCCCGCGGCAAACCCCTGACGCCAGTCAACCTTGAGACCATCGCCGTTGTGGCCGCTCTGGCAGGTTCTCGAGTTGGTCCACGTTTCCACGCCACCAGTCTTGTCGACAAAGAGCCAGTCCGCCCTGCCGTCGCCGTTAATGTCCAGCATCCGCACCCCGTCGATGGTGTCCTTGCCCTTGGCCAGGAATCGCGTGCCGAGGGACTCCCAGTACTTGGGGATATCGTCAACCCAGCCGTTGCGCCAAGCCTGGATGTTTCCGTGGTCGTCAAGGGCGAGATAGTCGCCGCGGCCGTCTCCGTCAATGTCGGCAAAGCGGATGCGGTCTTGTTTAAATCCCACAGTGTCCTTGATCTTGGCCGTGGCGCTGACGCGCTTGAAGGTTGGCGGCTTCGTGGCGGTGCCGTCTCCCTGGTTGATGGAGAGGTACGCGTTGCCATCGGGATCAACGCAGACAATATCATCGAGTCCGTCGGCTACCGATTCGTTAGCCTCTGAAAAGATGGCGGACTGAAAAGGGGCAAAATCGACAGTGGGATAACTTACCATTCATATCGACAAACTGGATTCCGCGTGGTAGGCAGTGCAGATCAGGGTCCAGATCGGCAATCCTCGTAAAGACGCCTCCAGAGTTCTTCCACACGGCAAACTTGTTCTGGTAGGGGAGATCGGACCCATTATACCAGCCCAGGAAGTCGTCGTACTTGCGGCCGTACAAGGCAGCAAAGAAGAACTGCCCCTGGTCGTACTGGGAGGTGTGATTCAACAGGATTCCTTCCGAAGTCTGCGAGTGATAGTAGATACCGTCCTCAGCCCCAGAGCCAAGCTGCGTCAGCCCGGCGTATGAGCCCGAGTTGTACACCTTGTCGCAGCCCTGCCCAGGATCCGGTTGGCTGTCGTCGATGGGGAGGGGATCCTTGATGTTTCCATCATTGTATGCTCGTAGGATGGCCTGCCAGAAGACGTACGCCATCTTGCTGTGGCCTACCTTGTTGGGGTGAATGCCGTCCGGATTGATGTCTGGAGCGAGCCAGCCATGGGCAGGACCGTCAGCAGGGTCCATGTCGGCTAGGTAGATGCAGTGTTGGCCTTGGAGTTCAGTGACCAGCTCCCTGTAGCCCTTGTTGAGGATGGGGTTGTTCTGCTGGCCAGCGGCAAGACCACTCGGAATCAGAGTCGACAACATGATACAAGCATCGGCCATGCCATCGGATGCCCAGATGTGCATGAGCAAGTTTCTCATCCGCGTCTTGCCATTGCCCACGTCGATGTTACGGTTGGCATCGTTTGTGCCAAGGTTGATGACAATTACATTGGGCTTGAGGCTCCTTGAGTTGTCGAAATGGTTTTCCGTCTCGTCGATGATGGCTCCCGGCGTGCCCTCATTATCCTTGAGATGTTCTGTTAGCGGACTTGCTTCTCACCCAGGAGGTACCTATAGCACAAGATGGAATAAGATCGTGTACTTACGTTGTCCTCGATGGTTCCCGTCTGCATGGAGCCCACCATGTCCACTTGGAAGCCATTGAACCTGAGTGCCTGTCGCAGATACCCTCGGAACCTTGAGACAGAGATTAGTCCTGGGATTCACATTAATCGAATTGTAAGATGTTGAGAAGACATACCCGTTCAGTTCCGGTTCGGATCCAACGCCATGAACAATGGAAGCACCCAATGGCATAATGCGCAGGTCCATAAGGGTATCTGCACGCCGAGCAAGCGGAGCGCCATCGGGATGGTGGATGTCATGGAAGGGATACGAAATGTTTTCAGCGATGATGGGAATATGAAGGGCTCCGACGGGAGTCTGGAGCAGAGCCCCGATCACCAACAGTAGCGATCGTGGAGACCGCATGGCTGGTAGACCGCAGCAACGGTAGAGGGCCTTTTTGAATCAAGGAAAGGAGTGAAAGCCAAAGACCATGAGCTGTGTGGTTTTCTCGAATGTTTACAGTCGGGGAGGATCATTTTATATGTCGAGTCACAGCTCCCATGAAGGATCTCGCTCGCATTGCCAAGTTGAACCCTGCGCCCGCGCTTAGGAATCCTTCAATGGGGAAGAGAGGCCACGAGATGCTCACTTGAACCCTACCAAAGTCGAATCCTACCAAGTCATGGCATCTGATAGGTCTGGCTCCGAGTCCGGCGGCCAGGGAGCTTTGCAACCACGTACCTGGACCCTGAGCTAGATCACTTCATCAGTTCAGGATATCCTGACCTGGATGTTTTGGCCCTTCGATCACCCTGAGAGACATACTAGCGTCTCCGCCGCCATGGCACGTTGTGCGACGTCAGGCATGGCAGAGGCTATTTGGAACCCGGCAGGACGCTTGGCGGCAGCGTCAAAGGAAGACTACGGCCGCTGGGGAATCCTAGACGCTCTCAAAAGTGGGTGAGAGTAGACATCGGGAAATGGCCGAGTGTGCACAAAGACAGCCCTCGATATATGACAGAAGCAGCCTTGTGGGCTCTGACCCCAGCCAGGCCTGGCGAAGTATGGGCTGAGTCCCTCGCATGGGTTCCCCATTCCTGATGCACCCCGAGTGACATACAATGCCATTGTGGTGAAGCTCAGGGCCAGGAACCTGACTCGACTGGCCAGCCTGACTCAGGTGGTCCCTGTCACGGCATGCCGCTATGGATTTCGCAGACTACAGTACCCGACAGGACTAGAAGTTGGAGTTTGTGGGGAGCACGGAGTATTTGACAAGCGTATTCTATACGCTTATTTCACTGCCCCTGTCCCGATAACGCTATTTTCTTACTTATGCAAGCGATCCTTTGGAGGGCGAATTACATAGTAGTTAGCAAAATGGATCTTTATAGGTTTCTCAAATGAATAAAGGCTGCGCGGGCTGGTTCCATTCCACAAACACTGCTCGTAGGCATCAGTAGATGTGACAAGCCGGGAAATGTACCTGCCTAGGTGGGTAAGTAAGGAACAACATAGATCAATCCTTCTATGGGGCAAACCGCTTAAGTGGAGGAATCTTCTGTCAGAACTACTTTATCCATCTAGGCAGCTACCTGAGTGAATTAAGCGATGAAAGAAGGGCCCTGAGTCTTGTCTGCCGAAGCCTAAACGGCTTAAGCGATGTCAAAAGGAGTTGGTTAACCGTATGAAGAGACCAGTTGACGGGCATCAGAGTAGAGGCAAAGGGGCTCAGCGAGGCGGTGGAAAGCCCTCGTTTGTCGACAACTCTAATGGCCGTGCTTCGTACAATACAAGAGTGATAGTTGCTGCTGACGAGGGCAGTTCCTGAAGATATTGGGCGCCAGATCGGTGTAGCATCGAGCAGACTATTTGGAATGTTTCAACTCGGGGTGCAAGGACAGCATTGAGATGGGCAAATGGGGGGAGGCTTAGTGATGTGGTGGTGGTGTTGTGATGGAGACGGATGCGCGATTGCGGCAGGCAGGGACCTGGCGCTAATCGAGATTGATTTGCTTCGTGCATGTATGAGGAAGCGTAACAGGACAGGGATCGTGAACTAGTGCTCATATGAATACGCTGCCCGACTGACAATGACAACAGTAAGATCAAAAACAGCTTAAGGTTAGGCTTTAAGGTATGGGCCGAGATTAGGGGTATTACGCACCGAGGCACGTTTGCCCTGGGCTCTCGCAGATCCTGCTCACACTATAATGAAGATGCCCCCCCAACAACAAGCCCTCAGGTCCATTGCGTTCGTTCTGTGAGACAATATCCTACTCTCTATCAAGGCTTCAACATACACATAGTTGTTTACACACAAAGCTCGCGTCAAGCCTTGCTCCCATTATTACTCTACCTCACCATCTTACACTACGCCAACAACTGCTTCTTGACAGCTGCAACAACGTGCCCACCTTTACTCGGCCACCTTGACAATGATCTTGCCGACGTGGCGGCCCGCATACATGTAGTCAAACGCCTCTTTGGCCTCGTCAAACGCAAACACCTTGTCCACCAGCGTCTTGAGCGCAATCTTTCGCTGGGCCAGATGGGCATTCAGATTCTCAAAGTCGAGCCTCGTGCCGACGCCAATTCCACTACACACGTATCAGTAAAAACTCTCTCAACTGCACATGCGTTCAATCCATAAACAAAGAAAAAAAGGATCAAAACTCACCGCAGAGAAGCAGGCTTAAAGAGGAGCTTCAGCAGCTCGCTCGGACTCCAGTCCGCATCCCACCCTCCAAGGAATCCCACAATCGCAATGTCTCCATGGGTGCCGACAGACTCAATGTTGGACGGAATGTTGCCGATGCCGCTGTTGTTGATGACGACGTCGACGCCCCTGCCGCCGGTGATGCGCTTGACCTCGGTGCTGACGTCGCTGTGAGTCTTGTAGTTGACGCCCGTGACGAGGGGGCTGAGCTTCTCGAGCTGGGCGATTTTGGCGTCGGACGAGGATGTGATGATTGTGTTGATGCCGGCGTCGACGAGGAGGATGAGAGCAAACATGCTGACGCCGCCGGTGCCTACCGCATTCCGTCAGTCAAACATGAATCTTGTGAATGGCGTAGCAAGAGCTTCACCTTCCAAGAGAACGTAGCTTTTGCCCGGAGTCAGCTTCTTCAACCCATCAAGCGAGGTCCAAGCCGTAACGCCTGCGCAAGGAATTGTAGCCGCCTATATGTATATTGATTCAGTCAGTCAATTTTCTCCTCAGCACATCAAGCAATGAATGATGCTCAGCCAGTGAGCTCACCTCATCCCAAGAGAGATACTCGGGCAACTTGACAAGAACATCCTCCTTGAAAACCGCATACTCCCTCAAAACACCCTCCACATCTCCTCCCAGCGCCTGTCGGCCTCCCGTCTCCTCGCCCGTGAGGTAGTTCAAGAAGAAATTCGGCGCCACATGGTCTCCCACAGCAAACTTCTTGACGTCCGATCCGACGGCCACGACCTCGGTTGCTGCGTCAGAGGCGGGGATGCCCTTGTCCATGATGGAGATTGGGTACTGCCCGTGCAGCATGGCGACGTCGCGGTAGTTGAGGGAGACGGAGTGGACTTTGACGAGGACGTCTTTGGGGCCGAGGCTCTTGGGGGTTGGTTCGGTGGTTTGGGTGATGGTGAGGGGGGTTTCGCCGGCGGTGCGGCGGTAGGCTTTGTGAGTGTCTGGGACGGCCATGGTGAAGAGTGGCGTGATGCGACTTTTTTGGTACTGTTGTCGATGTTGGAGAAGAAAGGGCAGTCAAGGTTGGCAATGTAGTGGTCAATATGATGCTTGCAAAGACTAAGGTAGGTATTCGTCGTCTTTTATATGTATGAAGCGTCCTCAAGGCTCGAACAAGGTTGTTGTGTGACGAGAAGAGCAAACTTATGGGACGGCATCCGGCATCTTATATACCACATGCACCCGTCAACATCAAATCGCGATATCATGGCAACCCATGACATGCTCGTCGCCTCGGTGTCGTGTAGAACCCGATTTGCGCAGCAGAAAGAAAATACTCATGACATCGATATAGTTCCACCCCCCGCCGCTTAGAAATTCGACATTGATGGGGTCGATGCAACCCATCCTCGGGCACTCAGGGCACCATGAGGATTCGGGCAGGCTCGGAAACGGGGTGCGTGGCTCTTCGGAGATTATTGTTTCATCATGCAGGATGATTCAGCTTGCAAAGATTGGTTTACGGCGGAAAATGGGAGCTTGATACTTCACCGAGACTTTTACGTCTTTTGTTAAAGGGATTTCCCCATTTTTGCAGCGTCAGAGAGATGGCCATGGCTTGGGCGACTATCGCCAAGTGTAAGTTGCTGCACCGCTAAGCTGACAAATACGGGAATAAAGCAGTTGGTTGCGTCACCTTGAGGACTCAACCTGCAAACAACAAAAGGTTACTCTGTAGGTAGGTATGGAGTCGCTAAACTTGATGTGGAAAGAATCTGGAGCTATTGTGAAAGGTTCTTGTATCGAGTGGTACGATATGATCTGTCGTAGTGTTCAAGGTATTAAGAAAGCGACTTGTTGGCATCTCAACTCTAGTCACAAGAGTGTAAACCAGACCGTCTTTATGCACGATTTACTCATTGAATCTTCGACTCTTTGACTCAAGCAGTGGAATGATGAGCAAAGCACAGCTGCAAATATTGAAACAGATTAACCACTTCCAATACGGCCCTGTAAAGTGACAACCGCCAATAATATTTTCCTTATTGAAATCGTCGGTCGTCTTACCCTGGAAGTCAGATCATGGTGTCCATTCCCAATCTCGATCCTGTAATACCGGCTCCAGGATCAAGTACCTAGGTACGTACCCAAGTACCAGCAGCAGCGGATCGAGAAGAAATTGCCAAAAGCGGAAATCAGAAAGAGTCAAGTTTAATAAGCGGGGCGTGGCTGGCGGAGCGGATTACAGAAGCAACAACAAAAGACGTGAAGCTGAGCATCTAGATCTGATAGACTTTGAATTCAATTGTCATCCATCACGGCTTTATTATGAAGGACTGTCCGGTGTCCGAAAGGCAAGTCGCGTCACAAACCCGATACGCAATACAGAAGCCGAGGTTCTTTCTCTGTTGAACTGGCGCATGTACACGGACATGCTGATACGATCCTTTTCCCTACCTTAGGATCAAATACTGATTCCCCCCATATACAACTATCATCATTCGCCATCTCCTACATTTCCACCTCAATGCTTCATCTGATACTCTCGCCAAGTCGTCCTTTTTCTTTCATCTTCCCTCATACCGTCAAGCCAGCACCACCAACTCCACAATCACTAATTCGGCCCTCCAACAACCACCTCCCTCTCCTCCCAGTTTCCCGTCTTCACAACCTCCTCCTTCACAAAAGCATACCCAACGTTACTAAACCTCCCATCACTCCCCTCTTCCAATATCATCAACGCCTGATCCCTGAGATTCATCAACAGGCCAAACGCCCCGTTGTTATACTGTTCCCACCTCCCAATCAGCACAACCATATGTGATCCCTCCTCCTTCTCCACAACCTCCCAATTCCCACAAGTCTCCGACCGAAACACCCTCGCAGACTCCCCTTGCTCCTCCGTCTGCCTCACAGACGTCGACAACGCGCTGAACCGGAAATATCCATCATCGTCCATGACTCCCCCCGGCGTACCCTCAAGCCTCCACCCCGTATCCATCACATCCGCAATGTCCTTCATCCCATCCTTGGTCCCCAAAATCGGCCTCCACGCAGCATCAACCTCTGGAAACACAGGCAACGTCGACAACCTCGGATTCGGCAACGCCTTGGTCGCAATCCCCAACCACTCCGCCTGCCCTCCCCTCTCCAGAATCGCCCTCATCAAGGCAATCGTCGCCCCCAATCGATCTTGATTCCCAAACTTGCTCGTGTCAAGCGTCACCCCCATGATACCCATGATGCTAAACACCGCATCAACAGGGTACTTTGCCGCCCTCATAAACGAAGAGCGCCATATCGCCGTAAACATGCCCGTCTTGCCCTTCATGTCCATCGCATCAATCAACTCCCTAATCCGCGGCCGATCCCTCCCCGCATCCCCAAATAGCAAGATCCTGTACTCCTCAGACGACGACGGCAAATCCATCCTTCTTCCCTGCAGATCAAAAAGACTCACGCCCCTCCCCTTCATCGCCATCTCCAACGCAGTCTTCAACGGCGCAATCGCTGCTTTCGTACTCTCAAGCTGGCTCACCAGCAGAGGGAAATTCGACTGAAACTGACAGTCGCCGCGGTCCCACGCAAATAAGCAGTGCACCGAGGGCGGCGCAATGGCTTCCTGGAGGGTCCACGCGCGGCTCGCCCAGGTGGTTTCCTCTGTGAGCGAGACGAGTCTCTGGAGGCCGCCTGGAGCGACGATGCACTCTGTGCTGGAGCGGTAAATGTCGTACATGCGCTGGATCTGCCATGCTTTGTCGTCGTCGTCGTCTTGGAGGATACATAAAGCGTCTAGCCAGATCAATTTGCATCCTTGTCTTTCCGCCGCGAGCGAGACAATCTTCAACACTTCGACGGATATGGGATCAGCCCCTTCTGCTCCTTTGACATTAATCTTGGGCAGCGTCGACTTCTCGTCGGGAAGAGGAGGGAGGCCTCGCCAGACGTATGAGATGACGGCATATGGCGCCAAAGGAAGGTGTTCGAATTCCAGGACATGGATAGTTGATTTATGGGCGAGGGCGTCGCCGTCGATGAAGCGGAATCTATGTTTTGTAGCCCCGGTGAGGGACAGCGGCTGGTCGACAATGTCGGCGAAGTTGATGTGCAGAATCGTTTTGCCTGTGTCTGCCATTTTCATAATACGACATTGAACAAAGGTGTCGACAGAGATGCAAGACTCGGAAAATGAAGAGAGATAGAGGAGAGGTGATGGTCATGATGCGGGGGGCGCTGCATAAAGACATCTACGAATCAATACTGCCATCGCGGGATCAATTGGCGGGGCAGCAAGCATCAAGCCAATCAGTTCATGAGGCTATATAAATGCATGCAGCATCTCGTCAATAGTGCGGCAAGTCTTGGCTTGATTGATGTTGGAGGTCATTCCAAGTTTTGGAATGGTTAGAGCTTGTCGTAGTCCTCAGCTGAATCAAAGGCTTGATCACATACAACCAATGGGAATCCGGATGCCAGTAAACGACAAGAATAGCGATCTCGGCCAAGCTCATGTAGAATATCGTATGATATTATTATAAAGATATACATAGGTATATGAATGGAGCCCTACATGTATCCTCACACGCCGTCCACGTCGCTCTACTCGCTCATGCTCATCATGCCATACTACAAGCTTCAGTGTCTCTCGCCAGCGTACAAAGAAAACCCAACTCCCTGCAGCCAATTCCGTTTCGAGTGTATATAAAATAGCATATCAACAAGTGTCTTTGATGTCCGTAATCCCTCATGAAAAGTGCCCATTGTGTCTCTTTTTTTTCTTCTTTTACCCTTGTCTCCCCCATGTCTCATGACCGGCTCACGCCCAACGTCTCCAGGCGCTGGCACGAGGGCATCTTATACGCATCGGCAGCGGCCATCTTGACCGGGTCCTGGTAAAACCATCCGGTGGCTGCCTCCCTCAACTGCCGCTTGTGCATGATTTCGTTCTCGCACTCGTACCGCAGCTGCCGCACCAGGTTGAGCTCGGCTGTCCGGTCCAGCTGAAGCAGCTTGGACTTGCTATATGAGGCGATTTCGGAGGGTACGACAAAGTATTTGACGTTGAGGTTCGGCGTTGTGCGGCCCTCGGTGAAGGGAGCCTGGGGGCTGTCAAAGACCATGCGCGGCGTGGCGGGGGTGGAGGAGCCGCCAGAGAAGATGGAGGTGATGAGGGGCACGAAGAAGAAGAGGAGGATGGGGAGCAGGCCGAGCAGCGTCTGCAGGCCGTGCTGCTCCTGCTGGGGGGCTCCTTGGGCCTCTCGCGGTCTCGCTCGGGGCATGCCGCCGCCGAATTGGTGCACTCGAATGCCGGGGCCGCCGCCAAAGTTGAAGACGAACTGGGGACCTGTGTCGAGCGTTCAGTAGTCAGTATCACATCAACTTCCGACCTCGCCGGCTTCACTCACCTCCAAAGCCTCCTCCGCCAAAGGGACCGCCTCCAGCGCCAAAGAAGCGCGCAAACATTTCCTCGGGCGTCATCTCATCGTCCCAGGGACCGCCACCGCCTCCCGCCGCCGCCGCTTGTCGCGAGCCGAAGCCTGAGAATGGGTTCTGTGCGCGGGCGCTCTCGAAGCGGCTGTCCGGGTCGGTGCCATACTTGTCGTACTTTTCCCGCTTCTCCTTGTCGCCCAGGATGCCAAAGGCGCGGCTGACCATCTTGAAGGCCTCATCGGCGTGCTCGTGGCCGTTCTTGTCGGGGTGCGTCAGCAGCGACTGTTTCCTGTACGCCTTCTTGATGTCGGCGTCGGTGCACGAGCTGCGGACGGCCTCGAGGCCCAGGATGTCGTAAAAGGCGGTGGGCTTGCATTTCCGGATGCGCAGGACGGCTGCCTTTTGCTCGACCGTGTACGTGCGGCCCTGGTTGCCCTGGTTGTGCTCGCGAGACCGGGCAGCACCGCCCGTGTCGGCACCCGAGGCTGTGGCGTCTGGCATTTATCGGATGGCTAAGGAGCGAAGAGAGGCAAGAAGATTTGAGATTCGAAATGTCGAGGATCGAGGAGCGGAAGCGAAGAGCTGGAGTCGATGACGATGACGGGAGAGGATGCGGCAAGGTTCGAGGGAGCCGGAGATGGATATCGTATCGAGGAGAAAAAAGGGACAGATTCTTGTTTGGCTGCGTTTTCTCGCCAGTGACAAGCCGGAAGCGTGGCTTCTTCCAAGAAAAAACGACCGACAGAAAGCGGCCCGACGACAAGAGGAAAAGACAACAGACAAGACGGCCAGAATCAACAAAGGCTTGGCGAATAGGATACGCAATGCCGTCGAGATGCAGATGTGCGAGTCAAATCAATGCACCGCAAAGCGACCCGCAGGATTCGAGCGTCTGTGAGCTGGTCGGATTTCGTTGACGCAGCGCGATGCAACTTTTGCGACATGTCGATTCGCTGGGACTTTGGCTCCATGGGGGGGCCGCTGCTGATAAGCGTCGCCGACACGTGATGCGCGCCTACCCTGGACCCAGATGCCAGAACCAGGCGTCTTGATCTTGACGACAGTCAAACACACTTGCCAGGAGATCAATCAGCATTTTTTTTTCTTCTCTCTGCTGGAACTCTCTGCATTCTTCTTTGTGATTTCTGACTGATGCTCTTGCATGCGGATGAGATGATCTTCCTTTGAATGATATTGTCACATAACACCACCTTGTTCAGCACAAGGGAATGTCATGTTTTTCACAGGCTATACCTGCATCGAATTAGGTAGAGACATACTCACTACATCTGTTACCTCACTCCCGAGTCCTTTGGACGAGGATTACAATCTTTAGTAACTCACAAAGGTGCTCACATGCGGGCAGTTGACAACTGCAGGACCTGATGCCAGATGAGCTGGGTCGGTCAGGCCTTATCTTTCTCGATGTTTTGTAAATACAAGAAGTTCTGGGGCTTTCCCACCTTAATAAGAGGATAAGCAAGAACGACACTGGCACTGCAATGGTGAGGCATGCGCGCACGCCAAAGCCAAGCCTCCGTTCCTTCCCCAGCTACACATTGATTCACAGTCGAGTTCTGCCTCGCTTCACCGAGCTTCACCCAAGGCTGTCCTTACCTCCTTTGTAAGATCATAGAAGCTTTGCACCTAGAGTTTGATCTTCACCAGTTTTCAATCTCCTCCAATCAAGGCCACCTCCAACTCACAGCTCAATATCGCCCATATCTGACAACCGGCATCTTTGTCGACTTACACACCGCACCCGACAGACTCTACTCAGTGGCTGCGAGATGGCGTCGCAGAGACCTAAGCCTCACATGGAGAGGTTCGTCGACTTGGTTCATCTCTCTTTCCCCCAAGCCTATTGCAATGCTGACGCTTCAGTAACAGCATTCTGCTCTCAATGCCTTTCAAGTTCCTCGTCGGACCCAAGAAGAAAGAATTTGCGCTACATAGAACTGCGGTGTCAAGGCTTTCGAAGAGTCTCGACCAGCTGGTGAATGGGCCCATGAGAGAGGCCAAGGAGCAGTGCGTTTCTTGGGAAGACACCGACGAGGATACGTTCATCCGCTTCGGCGAATGGGCGTATACTGGAGACTACACTCCTGGAAGCCCAGAAATTCTCCTCGACGCTTCTCAAATCGCAACCTCCGAACAGGAAGGCACCGTTGCGCAGACAAATGCACCTGTGGACGAATCACTCTTGACGTTGCTCAACCTTAGCAGAGCCAAGTTCGATAGTCCTGAGCGGCACTGCAACTCTGAGTGGACTCCCACCAAATGGAAATACTGCTGTACTCTGTGTAGTTCGAAGTTCACCTCGCCATACTGCTCTGAATGTCGTATCCCTCGGTATGCGAACTGCACGGGATGCCGAAACGATATTGCGAGGAAATCGACAAGACATCGCATCATGGAGGCATTTGTCGGCGACCTCGTACAACTACAGGAGAGCGAATCTCGATTCCCCCGCAAGATCCCGGAAAGCTGCGAAGACTACACTGAAGTCTTCCTCTCCCACGCCCGTCTTTATGTTCTTGCGGACAAGTACGATATTCCCGAGCTGCGAGAGTACTGCCTGGACAATCTCTACGACGATCTCCTGAATCGTAATGTCCATGCAGACCGCATCGAAGACCTTGTCGACTTGGCGAAATACTCATTCGCCAACACAATCGAAAGGGATAATCTGCGCAAGCTCGTGGTAGAGTACTGTGCCTGCTTTATAAAGCAGCTGACCAAGAGCGATGGCTTCAAGGACCTGGTCGACGGATGCCCAGACTTTGGAAGCCAGCTACTGGCGGAGGTTGGAAGGTATATGGAATAGATATCGCGAGATGTGACAGTATAGTCTCACAGGCAGGTTTACTTAGGCACCTCATGGCTCTAGGCCATGCTTATGAGCCAAAGTGGTTAATAAACAATTCCATGTTGAATGCCGCCATAGGTAGTGCAGAGGTCCGCGCCAGAACCAGGCATGTGGAACGAGCACATGTCACTACTCTCGATCACGTGACCCAATCGCTCCGAAAGATTTCTAGAACATCACCACCAAAAGACTCCAAGCCGGACATCAAGATCATACTAACGCCATAATGTTGCCCACACGAGCGCTCCTCAAGCGCTCCGTCTGGAAAGGTAATTTCACAGTTTCCCGCGAAATACCCCAATCTACCCAAGGAAACCTCAAAGCTAACGATAAACCCTCACAGGCCCCAACCTCGTCCCGTAAGCCAGAGTTCCTCCAACATCACCCACACGAACCACACACTCACACGAACTTCTAGTCTCAACATCGTCTTTCCTAAGGGCCCCAACGACAAGGTGCCCCCCGTCCGAACGCAGGCCCGCTCGGCGACCATCCTGCCCAACTTTGTCGGGCTCAACTTTGAGATTCACAATGGCAAGGACTATCACCAGGTGACGATTACGGAGGACATGGTGGGACACAAGCTGGGCGAGTTTGCGCCGTAAGTCGCCAGTTCGAATTGTTTCTGCAGTGTGAGGGACGACGTGTAGCTGACTGTGGATGATAGGACACGGAAACCGAATATCTGGGATAGGAAATAAATGGGTTGGAGAGAAGAGAGAGGATGAAGACTTGTACAAATACTGTATCAACGCCGTAATGCCAACAAATTTTGCATGATATCACATCAATGGCGCATGAGAATACGATCTGAGAGAAAGGAAAAGCAATCTTGTATCGTATCGGAGCAATTCAACAAAAAGACCCGTAGGTCTACCCTTGATAGCCATATCCAACGCCAAATCCCCAACGCCGTAGCAAACCTCGTCTTGCCAGCCGAAATTATACCCTCTCATCCTCTCCTTTAGATCAAAGGAACAAAACTACTCATCGGTAAAACTCGCTCCTCTTCACATTAACACCATACTCCCCGACCGCCATCCCCAAATCCTCCATCGTCAACACCGTCCGGTTCTGACTCCCGCCCTGTCCACCACCTCCAAAACCAGGTCTCTGAATCCCCAACGGAGCACCTTTGCCCTGCTCTTTGCTGCCCGGCTGCCCAGACTGCTGTCCCGGGATGGGGAATCCCGCAGCCGCGCCGAGCGTGCCCATCGGGTTGTTGGTGTTGCTCGCCCCGCGGATCCGGCTGTACTGATACGCGTCGGCCGCGATGTCGGCAATGAACTTTTGCGTCGCGAGGGCCAGCAGACGAGCGAGCTTGGGGTCTGTCTGCGGAGGCGGAGGCAGACCGGCTTTGGTCATGTAGTAGTGCGTCACTGCATCGGGAATCTTTTTGTCACCACAAAGCAAGAACCCACCATGGTCAGCAAAGCGAATCCACATCATCTCCAGAGTCATGACTTGTTGGGGGAACAACGTACAATGGGCGCATAGTCGTCAATCTTGCTGAGAAACTCTCGCAGCGAGACGTCCTTGCGGGTGGGGAGCTTGTTCAGATCCTGGGCTTGCGCGAGGGCGTCGGGGACAGCGTCGGGCGGGCCGTTTTCCGGCGCGACTTGCTTCTCGACGTTTTCGGGCGGCGCGTCGCTTTCCATGATGGCCTTGATTTCCTGATTTAAAGAGAGATAGGAAATGAGTGGGATGATGTTGGATACGAAGAATGAGAATCACGCTGGAAGGCTTGATGAATGATGATGATGGATGGTTATCACGTGACTGGCCTGCTTGCATGTATCTTACACAAAGGGCACCTCTTCGATGCGACAATCAAGAAAAAAATGAATAGGGCAAGAAAAGGGAGACAATAAGATAGGTTTCTTCAGGAGAAATTGAGGGCAAACCCGCCCAATTCGGTTTATCCTCCAGTCGTTCTCACATTGTTCTCACTGCTGTCCGGTTTGTATAGCGCCATCACGTAGAGGATAGCTTCACCAAGCTCAGCTCAAGCTACCTGGATCAAAACACATTCAATTGACTGCCCTCTAATTTTTTTTTTTCGTCCGCAACGTACATGGCCCAAACTCATGGAATCCTCACATGTAGAGATGACGCCCATTCCCTTACTGCCGCCAAACCGAGCATTACCATCAAACGCCGCCAATGCAATCATTGCCCCCCTCCGGAAAAAACACACTGGATCGATTCTGTAAATTGTCGTAGCCGCACAACTCCCACTTTTCCGATGACAAGCAGAATCCTGACCCCCGTCTACTTTGTAGCTGCCACCACGTCATCCCCTAAGCATACTGTCCGTGATGGCTTGTTCCGTGCTGTGTCACGACAGACCATCACTCGTCTCTCCCCCGCTGAGCACCCAGTAGGATGCTATTCCTTTAAACGGGCAGCTTGAATTTCTTGCCCTTGAGAACCTTGGTGTAGTAAATGTAGAAAAAGTCGCTGTAGAGGACCGTCTGAATGATACCGGCGATGATGGCGATCCAGTCAACCTTATACTTGGGATCGGCAAGGTAGCGGTAGATCCAGTTCGGAATGTAGAGGGCGCGGTAGCTGCCGAGTGCGAAGAGGTAATGGGTCGTGATGGTCTCGGCCTCGCCGGTGCGCTGCAACATAAACAGCTGCGGGAGGATGGCCACAGACTCGAGCCAGATGGAAAAGGCCCACAGGATCTCGGACGGCGTGTACTTGACGGGGAAGAGGATCGCGAGCACGGCAGCGCCGGCGAGGAGGTACTGGACGCGGAAGGTGTCGAGGTTGGCGGCGTTGGTGGGCTTGTAGGCGTTGGTCATGAGGTAGATGATGTAACCCTGCGAGCCGATGAAGAGGATCTTGAAGACGAGGTTGTAGAGGTTGTCGGTCGAGAAGAGATCTGCCCGTGTTGTTAGCCTGCGTCGGTCTCGCCATTGGACATGCTCCGTGGCGATTGAGCTGCGTACCGAGATATCTGGTGAGGTAGACGAGGAGGTACAGCCCTTGCGACTTGAAGGAGATGCCGGAACAGCTCTGCAGGGCAATCGATGGGTTAGCTGACGGCAAGCTGACAGTTGAAGAAGCTGCGAAAGCGACAGCATTCGGAAAAGGGACGCACCTTGAGCTGCACCATCTTGTGCAGCAGTATCAGGATACTCGCCAGATGCGAGAAATCCCCTGTTCCTGCGTTAGCGCATCTTCCGTCTATCCATCACGGCATGTCGCTGAGGAAGAGCTTCCATTCCGGTTCAGCCTGGCGACAAGGTGCCACTCACCCGCAACACGGAAGACGTTTAGCGCCATGGTGGCCCTGAGCTCGAGAGGCAGAAGGAGGCAAAGGAGAGAAGAGAAGTAGAAGCGATAGACGGAGATCTATCTAATCAGCGACGGCTGCACGATCCGAAAGTCGAGATCCGTTGGGAGTTGGAAACGAGCGAAGGAGGCGATAAGATTGGATGATGCAGCAAAAAGGACACGAACGCGACTGGCATGTCATTGGGTGGAAGCTCCAAGGGAGGCGCACGGTGTCGATGGCTGGTTGACACGGTGGCGACGATTGGCGTTGGTTCTGCACGCAGAAGAACAAATCTGCGGCGGCTTAAAAATGGCACGTTGTCGATCTGCTGTGCGTGTGCGTCCTTGGCATCTGTACAGTATTAAGGTATTGCGCTGGACGCTTGATCTGTGCGACACTCAATCGACTCCATGTATGAATGAATCGTACTCTGGAGGCCGAAGCATGAAGCCGTACTACTACAGCTGGAGCCGTCTCCAACCTGTGCCCCGTCCCTAGGTAAGGTACATGTTGATGACAATGACATCATTGCATCTTGACCAAATTCATCGCAGCTTGTGTCTGTGAAAGCACTCGCTTCTTCGCAGCATCACGACTTGAATCAGGCATAAAGAAGAATATTTCAACATCTATCGCTGTGGTTTTCGTGTCATCACAAGTTGAGACAGATGTCCTTTACTTTTCGTTGATGCTGCTGGAGCTGCGGCCACAGTGCGTAAGCTCACTCTAGCACCTCAGCAGGTAGGTAGTATAGAGCACATGCCCGGAATGGCCATCAACTGAGCTGTAGGTCTGACTTTCAGCAAAAGATTGAGCACACAATTGAGCTAGAATTCATCTATATTTCAACATCCATACCATGTATTTTCCTGCCATATATGCAATGCTGTACTACTTAGCAAGAAGGCTACAATGCGACCTCATCTGTTCTTTGTAAGCTTACCTACCCAGATGCACCCAAGTCAACATTCGCTTAACCAACTCAAAGCGGATGACCAAGGACAGGAATACCACCTTGACACACAAAGCGGGGGGCTGTATCATGCATGTCGTGGTCTTTTTCAGAATCCTTCCTTTCTCTACCAAGCATACATACTGTCTGCTGAAGCTTGGTGGTACCTATGGTCATCTCATGACAGTGGTGTCCGAGTCAAGTCTACAGCATCCCGCCTTTCTTTAAGAGCACGATAGTGTAAGCGTTCTTACATAGGTACCTAAAGCCCCCAGGTAAGAGACTCAACCCTTTACACAGGTCTGCTCTCAACTAAATGATTCCATAGTTGTCGCCTCATAGACTCAACATGAGCGTCACCCAACTCATCGAAAAGCACTTCCAGACCCTCAGGGCCGACCCCCAAGCATGGCGTGCTCTATGGGCCCCCGACGCCGTTCTGGAAATGCCCTACGCAGCGCCTCCTCACCCGACCCGAATGGAGGGAATCGATGCCGTCGCCGCCACTGCGTCCTTCTTTGCTAACAGCATGGGAGACGACTTTAACGTGCAGATCAAAAAGGTGTACCCCGTTGAGGGTGACGATGCCGCGTTTGTCGAGTACGTCATGGCCGGGACGGTGACGACGACGGGGAAGCTCTATAAGCAGGACTACATCTCGTATGTCCGCGCGGAGAATGGCAAATTTGTCTTGTTTCGGGAGTATTTTGACACGGCGCGAGTAGCCGCTGCTTTTACACCTAGTTGAACTGCTCGATGAATGGTACGATTCCAATGCTGGCGGGTTTCTCCGTGCTTCGACGATGTATTGCATTAGGAATCTATTGAGATGTGAATATTTACGACAAGAATGAAACACAAGTTTAGTCTGGGTAGCATGTATGCGCTGAATGGAGTTTATGGCTTCAGTCCCTGCGCCTTCAAGAAAGTAAAGATCTTCTGGAATGCTTGCGGAGCAATCTTGTGGAAGTTGAGGTTATGTCTACGATTCAGTCAGCACACTACCATTCGAGAAAAGGAGTCTTTGGGATACTCACCCAGCAGGAAGATTGTCCACATATTCAAGAACCTTTGCGCCCGTAAACAGCTCCTTGGTGCCATTGACAACACCAACACAGTTCCCACCACAGGCAGAAACGTCAAACTGTCCCTGCAGCACAAGAACAGGCGCCTTGATATCCTTGTAGTTGACCGTCGTGGCAAGCACCGAAGGAAGCTCTCCCACAGCAAAAGGCTCACTGGCAACATTAAACGTATACTCTGCAACCGTGTGCTCAAAGTGCGGCTCCGCATAGTACACATACGTCTCGGCATACAGGTCCGACGTAGTCAGATATCCGGAATCCAAGTGTCCCCAGCGAAAAGGGTTCTGCGTTTTCGCAACTCGAAGACCTGCGCCGGCGACAAAGGGCGCAAAGTAGTCAAAGGTGCCGCTGAAGCCGGTCAGGACGAGGCCGTCGACGGGAACGTGCGAGGCGGCGCCGGAGGAGATGTAGGAGCCGTAGCTGTGGCCTATGAGGGCGACCTGGGTTGCGTGGGCTTTGGTCTTGGCGTAGTTGACGAGGCCTTCGAGGACGGCGACTTCGACTTGGAATTGGGCGTCTGTCAAGGAGTTGACTCTGTTGCAAAGATGAGTATATAGCCATTTATGTGATGCAGTGAGGCGAGGCTTACTTGGGTGATGATCCAACGCCGATGCGGTCGTAGCTGAGCACCGAATAGCCCTGGGCAAGCGCAGCATCCACAAAATTGTACTTTTCACTACCAAGAAACTTTGGGTTCCAATACCTGTAACAAGACCGTCAACATTCAAATCGCTCCCTTCAACGAGATCGAGCAAGAAAAAGAAAGTCTCACAGCTTCGACTCAATGATTCCATGTGTAAGCACCAGCGTAGGCCCTCCATTGCCGCACAAAGTCGCTCCCACGGTATACGTGCTTTTCACAGGCTCGGACATGTTTGCTTCGATGGGAAGGGGATCGGCAGATGTGGTCACATCCCGACGGGTCAAGTTGAGCGTCAGAGCAGCGGCATCCCAATCATCGTGGATATCAGCAGTCACGATGAAGCGAGGCGTTGAAACGGTGATTGGGATCTGAACCTCGCGGCATCGGACTGAAGTCGACTGCGGCAGTGCCTGGGCCGCCGCAGCAAAGATGGGAAGCAGTTGATGGAAGTGCATCTTGGCAAGTATGATTAGAGAGCTGTCGAGTTGTTGAGGATGATGGTTGAAGATGGAGTTGCCATTGTCGTTCTTGATTGCTATACTTATATCTTTCAACTGCCTGACCTCTTCGACAAGTCGTTTAGCAACTCACCATACAATTTGCTAGATTCGTAATACCAACAGATAGCCTCAATCCTTAGTCAAAACTGACTACACTGCGTGCTTACAACTTACGAGGTCGGCTAATTGGCGATACAGCATTCATCAGATGCCTACGTAGCTCGACTATCGCCAGATTCAATAGCGATCCCATCCCACATGCAACTACTAGTCTCGTCCTCCCACATGCTTACATCTCCATTATGCCGTAAGCAGGAGACCCGACAGCTACTACATGCGAAGCTTGACTCTATCGAGCCTGTGGTCCCCCTTGTCCGACATAGTTCCTTATCCACATCTTTTGGAATCACAGACGGAAGGATTCGAATCAGCGATTGAGCTGGCCAATTGTATAATTTACCGTAGAACCACAGCTCTTGACAGGGCTGCATCGGTTATCAGGCCATGCGACGGAGACCTCCTATCTCTCGGCAGTTGTTTTCGTCATTCATATGCAGCCACCTGCATGCTAGGGCTGAGGAATATTGCCGAGATACGTGTAATTCTCATTGGGGCCCATGCAAAAAGAGCGTCAAATACCAAGTGTATATGCTGGCCATCCATTTAATGATAACTACCATCTATGCTTGCTTGTTGTTGTACGGAGTATATCCCTTGGAACATGAACATGTGGTAATCCCACAATACCCAATAATCTAAAACCCTGAAGAAAGAACAGTGAGAAGCCGCCAAATCCACCTACATAACATGATGGACTAAATGCATTATCCGATTCGTAAGAGTCGACCCCGACTTCCACGTCCGTTCTGTTTGCGTCGTCTCAGTCGAACGCCGCCGCTTCCTGGACTGCATCTCATCGACAAACTTTGGCCAGGTATTCGTCAAGACAAGATACTTGATGTGGCTCTCTATGCTGTCAAACACCGTGACATCAAATACATCTGGAATCTCGCCATGGTATCTCCCCCGATACGTTGCTCTGCTATTTGTCTCCAAAGCACTGTCTGTCTCATAGGACCGGACAGGCGCGACTTCAATGTCGAAGGGCGTCGCTGGGTTGATGTATGACTCTCCGCAGACGGTGCGGGCGGCCTTCTCAAAGATGGCCTGCAAGCGCTTGACTTCGCTGGACGACAAGTTGAGGGGAAACTCGGCGTCTCTGGGACTGATGTAGTCAATGTATATCGCCAAAGCGCTGTTGTACATCTGTCGCCTCTGTTCGCTGCTCAATTTCTCGATCCAGGACGATTTCCACTTGGCGACACTGGTCAAAAAGGCAACATTCTCTCCCGAAAAATCCCTCAGAGCAGAGAACTCCTGCAGCGGGCCCGGATCCTCGCTGAGGACCTGCTCAAGGACGTTCATTGTCAAGAAGCGTTCACCGAGATCTTCATCGAACAAATCGACGGCTCTCATCTTCGGGGTCGAGGCCTTGGCGGAGAATATCCAGTCTTCGGAAGACGATGCGCAGAGCGTGTGAGCAGTCGAGAAGGTGTCCCATTGTGCATTCAGGCGGGCTGCTCTCTTTTGTTGGGCCCGGAATCTGAATACCTGAAAGACGGGGACGAAGACTGTGAATATTTCAAACATGAGGATGGAGAGGTGAATCCTTGACGACGAGTGGTGAATCAGTACGTCTGTCCTTTGATCAAACATGGCGTTTGGGGTGATTTGCACTCACCATTGACTGGGCGTGAAATACTGATTCACCTTGTCAAAGGCGGGAACATAGGAGGCGATCATAAACATCGGTGTCGCATGAAGACTGAATCAATGTTCGGTCAGTCATAGGAAACACGTATCAGCACGGAAATAGGCCAGCTCAGCTTACTTGGAGATGCAGCAGCCGATGGTTTGTGTCCGCCATCCCATTGTATCACGAATCCCCCATGCTCGCCATATCAGAAAAGGCGCAACCTAGCAAGCCCATTAGCCAAGGCGACGACCCTCATTATAAGCCCGACATACGATCCACGTCCAGACGACCTGCCAAAGGACCGAAGGCCACCACTCCCAGCCTCGGCCGAGCTCGACAACCTGCTCCGGGATTGTCTCGCCGCGGAGCTCGGTGCCAGGAATGCCAAACGTGGGATGGTATTTTCGACATGCTACCCACATGCCAATGGTGAGCAGGAACTAAGAGCAACAGTTAGCATATCAACAAAGAAGACCGGACGGATGCCGCTTTGTCTTAAGCGCGGCGGCAGATAGTACAAGACGCACCTGAACGACCATCCCGAAGCCAATCAAGACCAGCGACCGCTTCGAATGATCATAACTCCTCAATCGACAAAGCCACGAGGCCTTGCCGCCCTTATTGCAGCCCGTCTCGACCCGCCGAGCAGCCGGATCCGTAAACTGCCTCTGCAGCTGTGCCACGCGGAGGAAGCGGAGGTTCGACGCGTGGAACAAAGCCACGCCCAGCGGGAACCAGAGGCTCATGAAGAAGTACTGGATGTCGTACGCGAGGACGACCGGCAGGGTCCGCCCCACGGGGTACGTGATCTGTGCGAGGATCCAGTAGATGTGCAGGAAGGCGATGGCGCAAAAGGACAGCGGGAGGCCGCGGATCTTGAGGACGGGGACATCGCGGTTGAGCCAGCAGAAGAGCATGCCGGCGAGGACGAGCGTCGTCCATGATGCGCACCATGAGATGTAGAAGATGCCGACGCCGTCAAAGTTGGGGGGACTGGGCGGGAGTGTGTAGACAGATGCCATGGTGGGAGCTATTCTGTGGGAAAAAAAGAATCGATGTGTGGAAGAGGGAAGGTGACTAGAAGTGAGAGAGCTCGTAGACTCTCTCAAGCCAAGGCCACGCTGATGCGGAAGCGCTGGCGTTGGGAAAGGAGTTGGACGGAGGGCAGGCCTCGCCTGTTATGTCTGCTTCGAGGCGTCATGAAAGCATTGCTACAGCCCTTACGTTATATGAAATGTTCTATCTTTGATCGCCTACTCTCGTTCTTCTGGTAGGTTACTCTGTAAATCTGCTCTGCCCTTGTTGATCACTGGGCTAATAGACGCCGTGTCACCGCCGGCTTCTAGATACGTAGAGTAATGAGAGACATCCTGGGATATCACCCCGGCTTTATTGATCGTGCTGAAGGCTGACTTTATGGCGGTCTAGTAAGAGATTGCTCGACTAGAGAACCTGCGAGTAATTGCCTGCGTAAGTCATTACGCGGTATATTACCTCCTGTGTTAGTTGATGCGAGGGAGAGGTAGGCTGTCGCCGGGACCAGGGAACGAATACCCGGGTCCTGTCATGTTGGCTGCTGCATTTTGCCCAAGACATGTCTCACTCTCTGCCATCCAGGGCTAATATATGGAAAAGAAGAAAGAAGAAAAAAAAAGAGCACGGCTTAGCTAGGCAAGGGATGAGAAAGAAAAATCGTGGCCTTGGCACTGCAGCTGTGGCGTATCAAGGTTGGGACATGATTCGACGCGTCTGCCAGGGAAGCATCAAGCATCAGTGGCATAATGGGCTGAGGGGGGGCAAGCTTGACGAGGCAACTCGCATCCAACATATCTCAGCTCAACGACCAAATCGTAACGCCGCCAAACCCTTGGGACGGCAGGGATTTTTCCATCGGAGTAAGGCCGATCCCCGCATCGACAAAGCCGGTCTCCCTTGACGCTTTGACGCTCTTGTGGACGAGGCGCACCTTGCTCTTTGCAAGAGTGGCAGAAGCATGGGGTGATGAGCTTGGCCTGGTGACTCTTTTCCTTCTTCTGCTTTGTTCCGTATACGAGACTTGGCTGAGTAGGCGATCACAATGCGTAGTTGTCTTATAGTCATCTCATTGCAAACTTCGTCTCAGCCAATCGGCTCGCGGCTTCTCTCAACTCTTTGACCGGTGGGCGTGTGTGATTTTATGCCTCTTCCATCATGGCTCACGGCCAAGGATTTCCATGGCCAACCCACATACACGATGCCCGCATATTGCCTTGTGACACGGCTTCACGGGCGAGGCACGTTGCTCTGTGCGTACAGCAGCAAAGTTCAGTGTGACGCTTTCGGATCGATCTGATGCTAGCTCCTCACCAAGAGCTGCATGGACGCACAATTTGTCATTCCCAGGGACCGTGCCGTCCCTTTCATGCAAGGGGGTTGGCTATGTATGTGCCGTGGGGTTTGTCTGTTGGGTGCGATGCCCTCTCGGACAATCTGGGACCTGAGCCAATCGAAGAGCCGAGATGGATCCTGTGGTGTCCTTGGATGGGACTGTAACGCAGGATGCCATGTGTGAGAGAAAGGTGGCCATGGAGATGCAACTACGTGCATAAGTAATTTACATGTTGCTCGCATCGAGTCCATGCATGGGAATAACATGAAGATCATGCAATTGAATGCAAGCTCAGGACTCGAGCAAGAACCAGCTCTAAAGAAGCAACCTCGAAGTGTACGAAATCATAAGTCTGAGCAAAACGAGAAAGACGGAACAATGACTGAGCAAACATCAAACAGCCACTTGATTTATAGAAGAATGAGAGAAATATGCCTTCTCTTTGTATGTAATTGACATACCGAGAGTCATTACGGCCGCTGATGCGCGCAAAGTGCACCCCCAGCTTTCCAATGCTTTGTCCCCAAATCAGGATACTCATAACCAGTGATGGCAATCAGACTCTCCAACTTGTCAATGGTGGTATTCCCTCCATGGGCTCCCACCACGACGGCCTCCCTCGGTAGCCCGTCGTCCACGGCTGCATCGAGCCACTGTCTCGCATATCCAATGTCGAATCGCACAGCATCTCCCATGCCACCATCATCCGGATCAGGGCTCCATACATCTGCCACGAAGGCGACGACGGCCTCGTCTTCTGCTGGACATGCCGAAGTTGCGATGCCATACGACCAGTCTCGCGCATGGGGGTTTTCATCTCTCCACAAGGAGCGAAATTGAATGTTTTCATCCTTCAACACGAATGGATTACTTTCGTTATATGTGGCGAACTTGACATGTCCATTGTTGATAGAAGAGTAAAATCTCTTGGCCACATCAGGTACGACAAGTGTTGCCCCAGCCTTGACATAATCCGGCACTCCTCCCGCATGGTCGCGATGGTGATGGCTCGGAACAATATGCGTAACAGTCTTGTTGAACATTTCTTTGACCCATTGGATCAGGATGCGAGACCGATGAGGCGCCGCATCGGTAATCAGGACGCCGTCGGTGAAATTGAGAACAAGCTGGACGTAGTCTGCGTAACCGACATAGACGGCCATGATCTGGGGAACATCAGGGATCGGATGGGTAACAACAACGGCTGATGTGTTGAAGAAGGACTCAAACGGCCCGCCCCAGAGACCGGCTTCGAAGTACTCGTGGACTTCGGACCGAGGGTAGAGGGGATTTTGCTTTGGTGCCTGAGGAGAGGATGTGTCTTCAGCTGGTAAGACTGGATCAAAGAATCCGGTTTGGAAAGGTGGATTGATGGAGATGCTGTCCAGCTTGACATCTTCGAGAACATCTGTCGAATTGAAGATTGTCTGCAGACGGTAAGGCAGTTGAAGACTGAAAGTAGACTCATCGTCAAAGCCGACGGTTGAATAGTTTGATAGAAGTAGATCGTTTGTGACATTGCCATACGTTGCGTGGGTTTCCAAAGAACGTATCTTGTACGGCCGATGGCTCGTGGCATTCACAATGAGACTTAGCCCGAAATTGTCCAGTTCCAAGATGGTGAAGTGATTCTTTGTAAGTGGTTCGGCCATGTCGTAGGTCCGAAGGCAAGACGACGATTGATCCATTTTCTGCAGCAACCAAGGAAGTGCAAACTGCTTCGCCTGATGAAGCAAATAATCGGCGAGGAACGAGTCCACATATCCCAGTGTCTGTGTTGGATCGTTGACGAAGAATGAGTTCTGCCCTTTTGTAAAGCAAGCATATCCGTCCTTGCCGTCTTTGAGAACGATGGTGTAGTTCATGGAGGGCTCAAGGCCAGGCTGAGCCCAGATCCAGTAGTCATTGTATCGGTAGTATCGGTCGATACGAGCTCGGAAGCCGGAAGAGAAGTCGAAGGAGAGTATTTCGGATCCTGCTTCGGCGACGGATTGGTCTGAGTGGTAGAGGTTGTAGTTTTGGGTCAGAGTTTGCGAGCGATAGATGCTTACGCATGTGTTAGATTTTGCCTCGTCTGGCTTGTCGATGGGGAGGGAAGCTCACCCTTCAGCTTTAAAGACCAGTCTTTGAACCGCTTGAAGAGCCTCAAAGCCTCCAAGTGAGTCAATGACACTTCTCAATAGCGTCGATGCGTCCGTGGTGTTGTTACAAGGTGCCTCATTGGCAGAGACTAGCTGGCTTGCACCAGAAATGGCCAACAGAAATAGGGCCTTGAGCTTCATATTGACTGGATAAAAGGTTTTGCTAGACTTGTGAGTTTGCTTGTTGCCTCAAGAAATCGTCAATTGCAGAAGCGATGGTTGCCGAGAGTTTATATACTTGAGGAGAAGTTTTGTACGCCTACTCCTGGAAGATGATCATTGACGAAGGGGAATATACAGCCACGCAACACGCGGCTCTACCACGCGTCAGGAAACCTTGTCTCAAGTCACTGACGAGCACTAATCGTCAGAATTTAGATCTGAGAGCGGTACTCGGAATTTGATCCTGACAGGAACCTTTGTGCTGCCCCTGGTCAGTTTGGTGCGGAGGGCATTCATCATCTGCTCGCGCTTGGTCGGACCGCGGCACTTGTTAAAGACCGCGCTTCTAGGTCTGCCAAATGGCTGGGGGTAGGCGGAACTTTTCATGCCTGACGCAGAGATAGAAAGCTATTGAGTCAGTCTCGTATCGCCAAATCTGGCACTTGATGGAAGACTTGGGGGCGATTTAGGTCCAGTTCTGATGGATCGAAGGAGAAAGACTGCTCTCACATCAGGTTTGTCTGTATTTTGAGTAGCAGCAGGGGACTTGGACGAAATGACTCTAGAATTTGTATCACAAGCTTTCACAACTGAGGCGATTGTTTTCTGTATGCATAAAGCTATAGATAATCTACATGATGGGTTCTCAAAGGATCCAAGAAGCTGGCATTTGGATCCGCAACAGATCCTTGCGATTCAGCACCACCATAACCGACATCCAACCCGCTACTGCTTTCTGCATCAACGCCAACGTACATCATCGGTTCGAGGACCTCATCTTGATCCGGCTCCTGAAAGCTCTCAAGTTGATCAACATACCACCTCATCATCCGTGCCAAAGCCCCTCGAAAGACAACCGGCACAACAACGTTCTCGCTCCCCGCCACTTCGATTAGTTTGTCAAGAAGCTGTAACAAAAGCACCTTTGGGCTTAGGTGGATGTCATCCAACATACACGCAACGCTCTGCAGCATTCGGGCGGAGACATCAAACTTGATCAGCGTGACTGCTGCGTATGTGATGCGGGTGTATACGATGACGGGCATGACTCTGAGGGTTTCCGTTGGGATGCCCAGAAACGTGTTGATGACCGTTTGTGCGGAGCTGACGCACTGAGCAAGCGAGTTGGCGATGGCAATTGAGCCAGGATCATCGGAGCTTTTGGCCAGAGGCAGAGGACGCAGTCGATATGGCGGTCGGAAATCCTGCATATCATGTGCATCGTAAAAGGCCGGCTCATTAAGGCTTATCAACACCATATGGTAGTGCATCACCATCGGTTCTACATAGCATCAGTCTCCATATCTCGATCAGTCGTTTCTGACTGGGCGGTCTTACTATGTATGATCTCAGGGGAAACCTGGTGCTTCCACGATATCGCCCTTTCAATGCCATGCTTCAATACGCGACCAACTCTGTCGTCCGCTAAACAGACGTTGGACTCATTGTCGAGCCCAGCCGCCGACATGCATTCTTCCGCAATGATCTGCAGCTTTGTCCACTCTATCAGTCGGCGGTCGTTTAGGCATGCAGTTGGTGCGGCTTCAAGTACTCGTATACAATCATCAACCCAAGGTCCATAGCGGAGGATACTCGGCCGTCGATAAGAAAATGCCATACTTCAATAAACTGTCAGCTCGAGCAGAGTGCTCTTATCATGAAATTGATACTGACCTAGAGCAAAGAAAGTAACTTGCCAAGAACGTTCTGCATGTTTCTACCAACTGCTCTGAGCTGGCAAACGAGTCCTTGACTGGTGGAATCCAATACTGCTCGTCGTTTGAGGACCTCAAGTCCAAGGCCATGCTCCCAGCCAAGTTTGCGTAATGGCTAAACTTCAGCTTTCGAAAGTCCTCCATGGGACAGTACCACGCGGATAGCACGAGAAGTGCTTGAATCAGGTCAAGCGACTTGTTGCCCTTTATGGAAACCTCTTCCGTCACATACATGCCCGTGTTGCGGAACATGATCATGAAGAATGCCGGATCACGGTCACTCGAAGCAGCTGTGAGAATGGCCCTGAAGAGGGCAGGTTTGGCGTATCTGGTCTGCTGCCATGTCCAGTCCGATGGAACTTGCACGAGGGGATAAATAGGCGCCAGAGTCTGGAAAAATGTCGTGAATAGATCGTCTGCAAGCTCGGGGCTTACCAAACCAGTTGATATCGAGTCTTCTGGGGTAGAGTAAGAGAGTGCAGTTGGAAGAAATGTTTCTGGCGGCAGTGAATAGGCGAATGAAGTGGACGGCTGCTGAAAGTCCGGATGGAACGACTCAAAGACACTGTCAGGATGGGATCCTTCTGAATGCGCGTTGCCAGCAACGGCTTCAGCTGGAGAATGGGCAATGGCATCTTGGAGTTGCTGCAGCTTTTGCTCCAGTTCCTTGATCCTAGTCTCGTTCTTATTGCGCCTCCTCCGAATAGCCGGGGGCAGAAAGATACAATCCAGGTTGAACTTGGAACATCGGGCGCATTTCGGGGGACTGATTGATTGAGAGCTTTCAATGATGCATCTGATCTTCCTCTGACGACAGCCCTAAGATTATGATTGTGAGGCTGTGGCAAAAGAGAGAGAGAGAGAGAAGACAAGACAAGGTAAAGGCTTACTTCACAGGTACGATTGAGAGAAGTCGGTCTTGTTGTCTCAGCTGCTTGCTTAGGATGTGACTTCTCGGTAGATACGGCGCTCATTATGCCGGATCGTAACTGATTTGTTGAGTGGATGGGTTTGACGCGGCTGTTGCGCAAGTCCCGCGTCGGCAGTTGGAGATGCAGAAGCGCGGTGCCTCGTTTATGCCGCTCGCCGATACTACTGAAGTAGGGATGATGTTAGAATGCGGGGACTCGTCAGCTCAACTCATTAGATATGCTTCAATATTACGGCTAACTAGGAGAAATAAGAGAAATGGGGGGAAAGTAAGCTTAATCAATCTCCGATCGGAAACGGACAGTATATTATTATTTGGTCTCTTCCCCCAACCCCTGCCTCAACCTAAGGTACGTAAGCCCTTGCGTTTTTTTGGAGTCGTCTCACATGTTTCTCGTCGTTGTGAGTTATAGTCTCGTGTATTTGTTTCCCCTTCTCTACCTATAATACAACTCTCTCTTAGTTCCGTCGAAGATCAAAGTTGTCTGTCGGCGCCTCATCCTTGACAAGCTCCCACACATCGTCAATCTTCTTCACAACCTCCTCCGGCAGCGGCCCCTTGTCCAACCCGGCAACCGTCTGCTGCAGCTGCGAGATCTTGCTCGCGCCGAGCACAATCGCATCGCCCAGATGCTCCTTGAGCCCCGAATGATACGCCGCCCACCGATACGCCAGCTCGGCCTTGGGGATGCCCGCCGCAGCCGCCGTTTCGCTCCAGACATCCAGGGCTTCCAGCACCTTTGGCCGGCTGTACAGCTTGTGGTACATCTCGCCCACCAGCGTCGACTTGCTCCATCTGCCCTCGCCGCCGGATTCCTGCAGCAGCTGCTCCTTGGACTTTGACAGGAATCCGCCCGCAATCGCGCTGTAGGCGTAGAACGCGATGCCGTTCTCGCGGAGCAGGGGGAAGAGATTCGTCTCCAGCTTGCGGGCGACTGCGTTGTAGTTGCCTTGGTAGACGGTGGGAGGGACGAAGCCCTTTTCCTTTGTGATTCTGAGAACCTCCCTGACTTCGTCTGCGTTGAAGTTGGAGAGGCCAAACTTTTCGAACTTGCCCTGGCGGTAGAGGTCGTCGATGCCGGCTAGAGTCTCTTCCAGAGGTGTGGTGTTATCAGGTGCGTGGATGTAGAAGATGTTGACCTATGCATCAGGCTTAGTATCACGAAAAACAGCGAGAGGGAGTCCAATGTCAAGGCAGAAGAGTCGAGCAACTTACCTTGTCCACGCCGAGCCTTCGCAGACTCTCCAAGCCCCTCGCAACGACCTTTTCCCGCGTTGACTCGCCGGGTTTCCATCCTCCAATGTGCTTCGTGTCAATGGTGAACCGCTCCGCCGCCTTAATTTTCCCCAGAATCTCCTCGCTGATGCCGTACAGCTGGGCCGTGTCGAGCTGCTTGATGCCCGCTTGCTCAACGGCGTCGAGCAGCTCGGTGGCAAGCTCCGCGGTTGGGAACGCGCCGCCGGTGTCGATGCCGGCGGTGCCGAAGACGAGACGAGGTTTACTGACAGATCCCATTGTGATTATCGTTATCAATCCAGACTAGACACTATCAAGAGAATGCACGACAAGATTGGATAAAGACTAGTTTTCGAGAGGCCACAGTCTCTGTTATATACACGAGGATAGTCTCAGGGCACCACTGGCTTGGCTCAAGCAGCCTCTTCATATGGCCCAGCCGCGGCTCCTCATCATTACCGCTAATTCCGATGATGCCATTGCGTGGATACGCAGATCGAGCTATGGCCTCATTCTTCTCACGAGTATGAGCGAGAACTCCATCACGTTCCATGGCTTGGCGAAGCGAGTTTATCTTCGTTTTGTGGAGTTAAGGGGACGAATCGCGACCCGACGCGAGGCGGATATAGAGGCTAATGGAACATTTCCACCACACTTAATACTCCGTACTCCGTCTTGAACCCTGACAAGAGCTCTCCCCAGCAACTGGAAAGTAGCCGAGAGTCATCGAAAGCAACGAATCGCAACTTCTGGAGACAACAAGATGTCTGTATGTATTTGTAAGCGTGGAGACGATGATGCATAGACAGCCCCCGCCCCCTTGGCCCGTGTCAGTGGGCCGGAATTGGGGACTATACGATTTCAAAGCAGCCTCCCTTGTCCCTGAACCGTTCATTATTGGTGCAGTGTTAGACCTGGCAACTGTCTATAAACCTGTCAATTGTTTGCTTTTGAAACACGTATGTACAGCCACTTATTAGATGGCCACTTGTTGTTGTGGCTATGCTGTCCTTTGCGTGTAACTCGGCATCCTTCCACATCAACGGAACGCGTCACTAGCAGCTGGCTAGGTATCTCCGGCCCAATCGCCGAAACACCATACGATTATGACGAGTTAGATGGCTCTTCTAGATAAAAGCCTAGAAATCGAGAGGACGTTATCAATTCTGGCTTCAACTATGTGACCTACCAGTTACGAGTCCTCATAAGGGAATAAGCTTGGAAATAAGCACCCACATACTCAAACGCTACTATAATTCCGATCAATGATAGATCACTATACGAGGGATCGGAAGGATTCCTCGCTTTTCTCTAAACGGCAGGATATCTTATCACTTACAGCGACTGATAACTTTGAAGTGCTCTCTAACCATATCCACGGCGAGTCTTGCTGAGTCTCTTAATTGACTATTATACCAAGGAATTGTCGAAGAAGAAGAAACCATCCCTTGCCCCAAAACCATAACTAGCCAACAGTAGGATGTGTCGACTATCGCTCGTAGACCGATTAAATGCTACTACTTGTGCAAATACAAAAAAGGCTCCTTTGTCGTCTTTTGACGATCAAGAGCTATTGCGTCCAAAGAACGTATAAAACATGTCTACCCTATCATTGATTTGCAAAGTAACGGCAGGGTCATCTCGTTGGATAAATGAGACTTTGAAGAAGGCAGCAGCTCTGTGTGTTCCCATCAGATTGCCGTTGTATTCGGTCATTCCACAGCCTAGATTGTAGTATCTTTCACCATGGCCCAAGTGACCAAGTGGTTATCAACGATCATTATACGTAAATGAATTCGCATAGAAAAGCGAAAGGCTATAGTTGGTCTTCCTCATCGACAATGGAGAAGGGAAAGATGAAGCTAGAGAGAGAGAGTGAGTCGGAAGGGGAGCATTGGAGAATAAGCCTCGAATAGCTCCGAGAGGTCCCATCTACCCCAGGTTTCCAAATATCTCCAGCAGATGCTTGTCGGTCCTGGGTTAATGACAGAATGCGACATGGATTCTATCAAATGCTGCATGTTGGCACCTTGCTATATAATAGCTGTACCCCACAGATCTTTCATGGGACTAACGATCCGACAGCAATTCTGGTCCATCTCCAAATTTGCCACAAGGCTTTGACGCCGCGATGTCTGTAGGACGAAAACTCCGGCCAATTGGACCCACGATTCAATTGACTTCAATCTCCCCGTCATCAATGGGACTTCTTGCAAGTTCCCTCAAGTACCTGCCTGCTGTTTGCCGGAGTTTAGATTTTGTCGAAAGCTCACAGCCACGAGATAGTCTGAAAGAATTCGTCATAATGGGAAGCATAATCAGAGAACAAAGCGCCTGATAATGTCGTCTTATCTGTCTTGTCCTCTCAGTTCCCCTTGTCACCACGCCGGCAGGACACATTGTACTATCGTGCATCCTCAAGCTGTCGATAGACGTTGGCAGAAGAACCACCGATCCGTCGTCGGCGTCATCGACCTCGTCTGACCCCCTAAATCCCTGACAAGTGAGGATTACTCAAACAGTATCGGGAGCCAAAGGAACAGTGCAGCTGCAGAGGGGCCTATGTATGCTTGGCTGATATCCGTGAAGCGGAATCGAGACATGAAAGAGTAACAAGATGATGCAACCCGGTACCGCTACCCATGGAGATTGATATTTCGATCTTCGCGGCCTCTAGCATTGCTTGAGAGAAAGTCGCGGTATTTTAGCCGCAATTTGGCGACTACCTCGCGTCCAGCCTGCAAGAGTTACGGAAAAGCTCGCGCAGGCTCAGAGCCGCGCCAGAGAACCTCACAGGCTTTTCGGGGGGGGAGCAATCGAGGGGCCACCCATGCTCCATTCAATCCAAGTCCTGGCTTGAAAGCTCGTGATGGCTTGTTGAGTATTGACGAAGTCGAAAGGCTGGACTTTGATTCAATGAAGCATCGAATCAAGGATGGTCGTCGAACAAAAGGCTGATCGAGTTAGCTGTTTGTGGCTGCAGGCTGCGATATTGCCTCTCTCTCAGGGCACAGGTCGATGAGACGGTAAATCAGATGCCAGCCCTACGGGAGAGCTACATGTAGCCATCGTCTCCGTTGTGACAAATCACAGACAGCTCAAAGGCTGGCTTGACAGTCCAGAAATCATGGACGAACCCTTGGGTCGCTAAGGGTCCACCGCTAAGAAGCGCGTATGGCGAGTCACCCGGTCACTGTCGTACATTGAACATTCAGAGACGCTTTCCCCCATCACCATTGCCCCTTCGTCGTTGAAGACAATGAATACTTCGTGTCTGTTTTGCCTTTCTTGAAACTCTCGGTGCGGTTCGAGGGGCGGAATTTGTACAGTCCTGTGACTCTGCAAAGATGATCAGTGTTGTTCAGAGCGTACAAGCTGAACCTGGTGCTCACCACTCGTTTGGGAGACAATTGACATACCGGACGACCACTGCTGGTCCTGGCCGCAGGGAGACGTCAAGTCAATATCACCCAATGTGGGTTGCGATGACAGATGCCCAGTTCAATTCGAGGTGTGTGAGGCACCAGGAGCATGGCGTAGCATCGGCGGCCGTAACTTGGCGTGCATTTCCAAGCATTCTAACCATGTTGCTACTTTCGTGTTAAGAATACGCACTTCGGAGAAGACTGTCCTCATGGCCCAAGTCAGCTTCCCTTTCTTCTTTGCGCCTGTTGGCACTGCTTGCCACAGCTTGGATCATAATACGAGCTGAGAAGTCCCCGGGCCCGCGGATGACTAGAGAATCTGTAAATGCTTCGTTCTATCATTCTGGGACTTGCGACTCCCCTCTCTGGGTGTGGGCTCTTCCACTACGTGCTCTGGTCCTATACCGGTTAGATTGGCGCAGCTCAGCCCTGAGGCGTGGGGGGCTAGTTGTAGCCTGTAATTTGGTCGTAAAAGACGACGACTAGCAATCAAACAGCTTCTCCATGGCGACCTTCCTCTTCTAGTTCGTTGAGCTTCTCATTTGATTCGAGCCACTTCTCGGGCTTTAGGTGAAGATGAACCCGCCTTAGCCTGAAGCTGAGCCTCTGCCTCTTCCTCAGGTTTCGGCTCAGCTTCAGGCTCAGAATGCGGCAGGGGCTCGGGTTCAGGATCTCTCTCTCTCTCTCTACCCATTCAAAGTCATCGACATCATCAATGAATTGCTCAAGCCAGCCGACGACTGTGTAATTGCGTCATCTTCTTTGCAAAGTACGGCAGCACTCTGCGGCTCAAGGGCCGTATATGTAACCTGGTGCATGTGTATGGAAAGGCCGGTTTTGCAAAGCAAATATCTCGGGGTATCTTTGGTATCTCCGCGAGCAGCTCGTACGTTGACTGTTTCAGTACATCAGGGTTTTCCGGTGTGACGGAGCGAAGGGTCTGCTGAGCGCCACGCCAAAACCCCATTACATGATGGCTGCCGACAAAGCTGTCATCGTTGAGAAGGCGGATAGTTGAAGGGATCCCGTGATTCTGGACTGGGAGAGCACGGCCATACCTGTATCCGTTGCGAAAAACGAAACCCCACAACCACGTACGAGACCAGGCTCAGCTACGAAGACTTGTTCGTGGGTGAGCCCATCTTGGCACATCGTAGAGTCAGTTGAAATGCAAGTTATCTTGCGTGATCGACGGATGGTGTCCGAGTGACTGTGAACTTTTCGGAGTGACGTAGGCGGATCGAAGAGTATTCGTTCATCTCCTCCTGATGCCTGTACCAAGGCTTATTGCGCATCGGTTCCTAAGGAAGTGTATGATTATGTTGCGGAACTTCGAGATGACATGGGAGAATCACATTTCGATACCAGCCGCCTAAGAGAGCTTGCAAGGCCTTCGAACCTGAAGAATGGTAGATTTTTCGCGGCAGCCAGGTCTTGTCTCCTGAGAGGAAAGATCTCGTCATATCGGTCGGCGAGATCTGTGTAGCAAAATCGTAGACAGCGCGGTGTCGAGAGTGAACACTTAAACTCGGGTCGTAGCTCATACCCCCGACTGATATGATGCATCCATGGCTTCGTGATCTTTCGATGGTAATCTTTTCATATTACATATCAAGGCATACGTGTCGTGAGACTCGTTCGAGGCGTACGCAACGTTCGCGTAGCGTCCGTCGCAGGAAGGGATCCGCATTCAGCCTGAAGGCTTTGTATAGACGATGACTCGGAGATGTGCAGCCTGTTCGTCGCGTTTGGTCACGGTCAGCTACAAACACAATTCTTATGCGCACAAGGAAAGATAACAGCGAGCTGGTCTTACCTCTCACGAAGGAAAGCTCTGAGCATGTCACCATCTTGTCCCTTCTAAAGGCAAAAACAACATCCAGCAGAGAACAGAATAGAGGCGAAGAGAAGGTGGATTCTTCACAACAGTTGGGCGGAAACACGTTCAAGAGAAGTGAATGCAATTGCTGGGGAGGAGACAGGCGGAGATTAACGTTGTTTGATGAGTCAGCCCCTTGCCTTTGCGCCTGCCAGAGTTTGGCGAGCGGCATCTTGCTTCAAGACGAGATCGAGAATCGCGGAACAGAATCAGCGATTTTTTTTTTGTAGCCCTTGAAAATGTATCGAATAACCCGGTGATGAGCCAGATCATCGAGGCAATGGATCCCGAGTTCAGCAAAAGAACACAGGGGGGGGCAGAATCGAGGTATGAAATGCTGAGCTTTTCATCAATGTCTGTAGGGAAAGCCTGAACATGCGCGCGGGGAGGCTGCAGCAGAGGGAGTCCAAGCTCGAGGTAGAATTTGTTATTTATATATATAATTATCTTCTCCTTGTTTTTTCTCTCTGATTTTTGCCAAAATCTCTTTTTCAGTCTTTCCCTTTTCTTGTCTTTTTTTTTTTTTTTTTTTTTTTTTTTTTTTTTTTTTTTTTTTTTTTGCACATCTCTTTGTCGCTTTTCTGTCTTGTTTTCGGGTCGAAAGTGGTTTGCGCAAGGCGCAGAAGCGGAAAACTCCAGGCACTGCCAGCACTGCTAGCATCTCCAGCTTCAATATCATCACCATCAGCGAGAAGGCAAAAAAACAAGTCACCTGGCTCCAACCGATTTGAGAGGTTCTCACGAGGCGGAAAAGAAGAGACATAAAAAACAAAAACCATAAAAAGAAGGCAGAGTCAAAAAGAAAGAAAAAACGAAGCAAAGCAGGTTGTCATCCCTCGTATCTTATGCATCGTCGCAACAAGAAAACACCAAAAAATAGCATCAAAATGGCAAAAAGAGTTCGGTACCAGATGTTGAATCTGGTACCTACATCTCTCTCTGTTTGTTAGTAGCCCATCCCCCCGAAGAACAGTTTGACCCGACCGCTGCACCACGGCGCCCCTGCTCCCCTTGGTCCGGTCGTCGTCGTCGCTCGCATCGTTTCGGTCGGGGTTCGAACTCGGGATGTCGTCGATTCGGTTGTTGGCCTTCGATCCACATGGGGGGGAGCTTGACCTGACCGCTGCACCATGCCGCGGCGCCGCTCCCCCCCGATAGCAGGTAGTGAAAACCCTGACTATAAAGGGCTGTGCGCACGTCTGCTGCCAGCTGCGAGGCCTCCTCCCGCGGCGGCGGCGGAAGGAGGCGCGGAAAGACCTGCAGAGGCTCTGGGGGACTTGAGCAGACCAGTACCGCGTCCCTCTATCAACCCAAAGCCCATTTGATATCATATGTGGTTGGCAAGTTGTGTGCAGAGGTTTTCGCCGGTGGTGGTGGTGCGCCATCCCCACCTCTGAGGAGTATCGTGATGCGATGTGTCCACAACACACAAAAATGCCTCATCTGCCAACTTTGGTGCTCTGCCAGCTCCAGCAAAAGTATCGGCAGCCTCCATCGCACAAGAGGAACTGTTGACTCAATTTGAGCGACCAGCCAGCGAGAATCACTTGATTCTCGCTTTTGCGGGACGCCAAGAGAGGGCGGTCGAGCGCAAGATTGCCGCGGGTTCGTCGTCGGCTGCCGACTTATACACGGCGCTGTCCAGCGCGGGATATTCGTATCGCCGCTCAGCCTCGCACCAGGAGTGCAAACCGCATGTCGTTTGATGTCTGCATAGGCCGCTGCCGGCTCCCCAAGGGCCTTGCTACCGTAGATCGATCGGTGAAACCTGGCGGCAGCATTGGGCTTCGCAGACTCATCCTACAAAGGACAAGCTGTGATCGCAACAAGACAGCGCCGGCGTGTGAGCCAGAAGCGAAGGAATCCGCAATTGGGCGAAATATAATGATGGAGCTGACGAGTTTCAGCAGAAGCCATCGGCATGGTTTGGCGCATCGCGGAGACGAGAGGGCGCAGTGGTCGGTCGAGTGTCTGGCGTAGATGAAAAGCTTGCAAAAAGCGAGGATGAAAGAGATGAGGTTGTGAGTGGGACGGAATGCAGAGAAATGGACAGAGGGATTTAGTCATCAAGCCCTCTTGCTAGCTCGGGGCTTGTTACATAATTGTTGCAAGGGGGGAAAAGAGGGCAAGAGGGGAGAGGGGAGAGGGAAGGAGGGAGTTGCCGAAACGGGACAAGACGCTTACACGGGGCTTGGCCCGGAAGTGGACCAACGACCCCGGAGGTACAAAGGAAAAAGTACTGTACAGGCATTAGAGAAGAGGCCCGTGAGATGGTCAGAGCCCTTTGGTCATTGAAAGCCGAATATCTGCAAGAAGAATTCTTTGCTAATACCGAAAGTCTATGAATGAAAGAGGTATCAGGTGCCGAGAAAGATGAGGTGCTGCGCAGAAGCGGAGATGGATCACGGCCAGCGTCGGTGGCTTCAACAGCGATCTATCTCTACCTACTATTATCTCCAGCCTCAATCGCATGCAGTTCATTGTCATCTATAGTTTTGACCATAGCCTCATGGCCATCTCGCTCACCAGTACTTCTTGCCTTCAGTCAGGCCGTCTTGAGCATCCACATCAGCCCCTCTTGATGAGAGGTACATCACGAGCTCAGCGTTCCCCGGGAATGCGGCAGCATGAAGCGCAGTCTTCCGCCGCGAAATGGGGGCTTGTTGAGACGTTCAAGATCATTCAAAGTCCACAAGGCGCAGTCAATTGATGCCTGATAGATGTCATTACGGCAACTCCAAGCAAACAAGCCTCGTACAAGGAATGAGACCAACGACAAGCATTCGTCTTGCAAATCTGGATGGCACATGCCGTCGGACCAAACCGTCTCCCACCCCACATGAGCGGCCCTACGAAGTCTCTCAGCGCGCCCGTCATCGGACAAGTGATGCACTCGCTGCTCGATGGGCTGAAAGTGCGACATACATTGCTTCAGGATGTCGCCTAGCTGGAGCTTGCTGGCGGCCAGCTCAACCACGGCGTTCATATAGCAACCGGGCGTGGTGTCGCCGCATAGCCTTACAATGGCTGCGTTCATGATGCTGTCCTAAGTACTTCCGAGTCAGAGAAGGTCTTTGCTGTTCAAAACATAGCTAAATGCCTTGGTTACATAGACTCGCGAAGCTCTCTACATCTGGATACACGCTGAGTCCTTGGAGGCAGCCTGGCTACACACACAACTTGGGGAGCATGGTTCTCTGATCACTAATCCGGGACGGTGTGTAGGGTTACATCGCAGTTGTCAACAAGGGGTCCCAAGGATGGCCTGTAACTCTAAGCAGAATATAATACAAGGGATATTTGGGAAAAGTGCGTCCAATAACTCATCCTCATCACGCGAGAGGTTGATTCAGAATTAATGTAAATATCGCCTGCCTCATGCATTCAGACACAGGCCGCCAAGTCTTGGATGCCAGGGGTAGAGGACAAGGAAGCGGGGCGAGGCAGAGCACAAGTCTGCCTGATTGTTCCCTCGTCTAACCATAAAGTAAAGGGATGCTTCTCAAGAGTTGGGCTGTCCCGTTGAGGACATTCATCCCAAGGAACAAAATGGTCTGTTCAGGTCACCAACATGGCGCTCGTGCGCTCACAGCTTCCGCAACCCGGTCGAAACAGGTCGACCTGGTGTGCCCCATCTGCTTCGACTTTGGCTTCACACAAACTGCGCTTCGTGGCACTATCAGAGTTGATGCTCCAGCAAGTCACAACCCTGATGCCTCCAGCCGAAAAGGCGAACAGAGCAATGCTGCATCACTAAGTTCTCCTCGAACTTCAACTGCCGATGCTTCTCGGGGCAAACCGGCAAAGTCTCCAATACGCTCGTCTCGGAACTTGCTCACCAACTCGGAGACGATGAAACACAGGCACGACAACAGAATAGAAGACATCTACACGATGCCTATTGACTACGAAATGGTCGAACCAAGAGTCTACGACCTCCTCGAAGGCCAGCAGCCAGACTTCGACAACGGCGAGCTTGAAGAAGCGCATGCTCTGGCCAAAACGGAGCTCATCAGGAACAACTCGATCCCATTCAAGTACTGGCTCGAGCAGCCATGTCCTTCATGTCGCAATACCGAGGGCCAGACTGCGCCTTGCGTGACGATCCGGCGCGGCCTCCACGAGTTCATGATGGAGACGAGTCCGGATTATGCAGCCCGGAAAGAACTGATGCTCGACCTGGGATTTGTGGCTACGGGAGGGAGTTCGGCGTCTCAATGTCTTAGGATCGGACACTTGAGCGCTGGCAAAGTGCCGGCGCGCGCTTGGGCTGTGGAGAGCTTTGTCAAGACAGGTAGGTACAAGGATGATGCTCTGGATTGCTTGGTGAAAGGATCTGACAAACAGACCATCTAGAGCTCCCATCGCCGTGGAGGCAGCCTTGGTTCCCAGATCGTGGACTTACAGTATTTGAACGACCAGTCCCGTCCGGCAACACGGAATCTGATGAAGCCTTCCAAAAGGCCACAAACTGGTTCCGTGAGTGTCAAGCTACACATGCTCATTGCTCCGTCGGAGAGGCACCAGAGATGCCTGACCGGGTTCTGGACATTGCTGCTGAAGACAACGCATCTGGTGTGAGGTTGGTCCACACACATGGTAGAAAGGCGAGATATGCTTGTCTGAGCCATCGTTGGGGCACGGATACCTCCAAGGCCCTGAAGCAAAACATCAACTCCTTGTGCGACGAAGTATCATGGGACTACCTCTCCCCTACATACCAAGACTCCATTACCTTTTTGAGAAAGTTTTCGAACTGGCATCAACAGGAGTACGGTGAAGAGATACGGTATATATGGATAGACAGTCTGTGTATCATCCAAGATTCCAAGAGCGACTGGAAGAAGCATTCGCTCAAGATGAGCGACATCTACTCCAACTCATCCCTTACCTTGGTGGAGAGCCACGGGCTACACACAGAGAAGAGGCTGTTCCAGGACTCTACTTCAAGGAATCCTTCGAAGCATGTCACGGTCCGAGACGCACAAGGCAAGGACCACGAGCTGCATTACCGACACACAATCTGCCATCCCACCTTCATGGTTGCAGACGACAACGTCCCCGTCTGGAAACGAGCATGGGTCTTCCAAGAGCGCCTCTTGTCCCATCGCCTCCTCGTCTTCGGAGCCGACGAGCTCTCATGGCAATGCACCGGCCACCACAAGTGCGAATGCGGCCTCGACGAGCTTCACACGCAGACACATGGGCTCTTGAGAAAATGGGGACACGGCATCCACATTCCGCTGCATTCGACAAATAGCAGACGGGACATGTATGAGGCACTGGGCGATGATCCGTCCCACAAGCAGCTGCGGCAGGCGTGGCGGCTCGTGGTAGAGGCATATTCTCGGCTTGACTACACATATCGCAGCGATACCCTGTTTGCGATTGCCGGTCTTGCGAAGAACTTTAACGCAAGGATGGGCGGCAAGAGTTATTTTGCAGGGATCTGGTACGACGAGCTGAAAGAGAACGAAGCTGAAGCAAATGGGGAGCCCCAGGCCGAAACGGCCCTGGATCTGTTATGGCGGCTCGCGTACTTCAAAGACGCCCAAAGAGGGAATCTTCCTGCGCCTGCTGTTCCGATCTCATGGATCTGGGCATCGCCCGAGTGCCCCATCATCTACCCCTTTGCCAACGACCAAGTGCTCAACCAGTACACCCTGGTAGCATCCATAGGCGGCGCAGCCAACGTCCCCAAACTGCCCGACGACCACGAGAAGCCGAGAGAATGGGTCAAGGACGACATGTACACGGAAGTGCCCCCCTCGGCGATTGCTCTCGCGGGACCTCTCTGGAAGACGGAGCTTGCAGCGGCGCCGTTTTCGTTTACGATTGACAATACCGAGTATGCCGAGTACACGTACTTTCTGGGCGCAATGTCGGTCGAGGTGTTCAAGGAAAGTGCTGTCGGGAGCACGATCCAGCAGAGGAGGCTCCTCGTGACACCTCCCAAGGAGGGGGATGAGAGCGCCGAATCTGCGATGAAGAAGATGCCGCCGCTGGTGTTTTACCCGGACAGCATGAATACGATGATTACCGAGTCGCTGTATTGTCTTCCCATGGCGAGCTTTAAGCGCCTCCCGATCAAGTCGACGGTAAAGGAGAAGGCGGTGCTTGCTGCGCTGGTGCTGGAACCGGTGGGACACAAGGCGAATGCTGAGGGATATGACCCCGATCTGTCGCATAGAGATGCTTCGGAGCTGGTCTTTCAGAGGGTGGGACTGGCGTATACGGCGGATGGGGGGTGGATGGATGAGCATGACAGGATGTTGGAGAAGCTGCCTACGAACATTGTGTACTTGGTTCAATGATGGCTGTATAGATTACTTATGCAGCTAGATGAAGCCGCCCATCTGTTTAAGCGCCATGTGTTACTGGGATTCCATTTCTTCACCACGGCACGTAAAGGGTTCGTCTTCTAGTTGAATTATCAAGAGGTTGAACATGAACCGGACCAACATCATGTAGCACTGAAACATCTTCATGAATCGCGTCGGGACTAGTTTGGCGATGCAGAAACAGAAAACGGAGCATTTTAAGCGCTTGATTCCACCAGCCAGTTGATACGCGCCGAACTTGCATATGAGCCCCAATAGCAATCGGCTCTTCTCCAGGGGGGCTATGTACTATAGATCTGAGGCTCTGTCGCCATGTTGGGTATATAACTGGATTACCGCCCAATGGCTTGAAGGAGAATGCAGTCTCAGTTTTCAATGTTACGCGGCTTATACACTCTCATCTGCCGGACTTTACATACATTATGACATCTCCAGAGACATATACGGTCGGATGGATATGCCCCCATCACGATGACTACGAAGCCGCCTGCGCAATGCTAGACGAAGAGCTCGAAGGCCCAGAAGCCGCAGAAAAGGGTGACGCCAACACATACTTCTTTGGTCGCATCAGCAAGCACAACATCATCATCGCGTGTCTCCCACTAGGCCGCTATGGAACGACCGCCGCTACTCGTGTGGCAAAGGACATGATGCGCTCCTTTCCGCAGCTGAGGTTCCTGCTGCTGGTGGGCACAGCTGGCGGTGTGCCTACCGAGGACCGCGACATTCGGCTAGGCGATGTCGTTGTCAGTGTGCCAACCCATGCGTCTGGCGGCGTTGTTCAGTATGACTACGGGAAGCAGCTTGCTGAGGTCTTTCAGCCAACAAGTCAACTGAATGCTCCTCCGACGGTGCTGTTGGGGGCTTTGCCGGAAGTGACGCGGAGGCACAACAACCCCAAGAGATTTGGGGGCATTGATGAGCATCTGCAAGCCTTCAGCAACAATCCTCGCTTCCGAAAACCGCAAGAGGACCGTTTGTTCCTCCCAGCCGTGAAGCATCAGGGCGGCAAAGACTGTGCCAAGTGCGACATGAATGGCCTCGTTCAACGCCCACCGCGGACTACAGGGAGAGCCGTCAATGTCTTTTACGGCACTGTTGCATCCGCAAACTCCATCATAGCTGACGCAGTCAAGAGGGATGCCTATTCCAGAGTCTCAAGGGTCAGCGCATTGTGCTTTGAGATGGAGGCGGCTGGTCTCATGAACGACTTTCCCTGCATGGTGATTCGGGGCATAAGCAACTACGCAGACGCGCACAAGAACGACGAGTGGCGCTGTTATGCGGCCGCAACCGCCGCAGCATATGCCAAAGAGCTGCTTCGTGTGGTAAAACCCGTCAAGGCGGCAGCCCCTCCGGTGAACACAATGAGTAAGGATTTCTCTCTTGGTACTGTCATGGGCCATTTCGGTTATGCTGAGCAAGGAGATAGTTGCTGAAATTGTTGCCAATGTTCGTCGTACGGAATTGTATGTGGCTCGATCTACCCAACTGCCCGGGTTGCCTGCTCCGGAAGAGCACATGGGGAGTCGATTTGAGGTTGGGGTTGAAGAGGAGGGAGGACGGGAAATGAGAATGGCCTTTATAAATGCCTGAGGTGTGCCTTTGAACATCTATATCACTTGTGTTGAATTCATGGGAAGAAGTTTATAGATTAGGGCCATGTCTGAACAAAAGGCCGAAGCGAATGTCACAGTAATCGGTTGGAATGGTGGCTCTGGAAGCGTTATGCTGGATACTTTGTCTACCATAGTGAAGTTAGTGGACAATCATGTGCCCAAATGAACAACAACCTTAAGAAGTCGCTTGGGGCAACAAGCGCCCTTGGATTCTCACTTGTATTTGACGGGCCAAGTTAAGATCATCAAGGCTTTCAGGATGATGCTTGATTGGTTGAGCAAGCATCAAGCCGGCATGTCACCAGCCCCGGCCTACCGTCACCAGCTGAAGTCGCGGACAGTCCATGGAGCCCAACAGCTTTGCAGCCACCATGCCTTCACCCTGAAACTCCACGGTTCAACTTGGTTAAAGCCTCTTCAGCTGAAGATCTCCCGTCAACCTAGACAAAACTCAACTCCCCTCCATTGAAGCTCATCAACCCTCACTCCCCTAGCGCAAAGAGACCCTAGCCAGGGCTCCCGGTTCCGTCATCCAGGGCTTTTCCCACCAGAGGAGCCTCTAGTGCCGCCAATTGGGAAACTCGTACGTTCTGACCCGTATTATTCGGACGTATCCTGAGTCACGGAATGGACTCTCAACTGCAACACGCATCCTTTTGACATTTTGCTTCTATTCCCGGTTCAGCCAAGATCTGACGGTTGCTGATGCGGGGTTTGTTTGGATCGACTCCAATGACTTGTCAACTTTGTGTTCGGGGTTAATGTATGAGGGTCGGAGGTTGTTCAGTCCTTTCCCTGTGACTACCTATTTATTACCTATTTCTTTCACTCTTCATTACAAAGATTACAGCTTCAACTTCTAGAACATCGATCAACTCTACCAACGAAATGCCTATCCCAACGGAAGTAGTCGGCTCTCTGCCTCGCCCAACATGTAAGACAAACCAAAACTTCATTCTAATCCCAATTGATTCCAATTCAAACACTAATGTAGAATAAACAAAAAAAGACCTGCAACAAGCCTACGCCGACTACGACGCCGGCAAAATCACCCACGATGAGCTCGTCGCCGCCCAGAACAAGGCCGCCCAGGACTCCGTCCAGCGGATGGAAGCCGCGGGAGAAACGTTTGTGACGGATGGCGAGCAGCGTGCCAGTTCGTGAGTCATTCTATCCGCTCAGATTCTCACAGTAAGGCTTTGTACTGATGTGAGGGAAATGAGATTTTAGCTTCGCAACGTATCCGATCGTGGAGTGAGTATTATCTCGACGACCAGACTTGCTGGAGGGCATTGTTTCCTTACGGGCTGTTACAGGACTCTAAAGGGCGCGGGTTTGCCGAGCAACTTTGCTGCCGATGGACAATTCTTTGTAAGTCGGGCACGGAGAAGATCCATGTTGAACATGTAGCTCATCGATGGACTCTTTAGGCGATATTCGAAGATGGCCACCACCGCCAGCTCCCACGGCTTGTCAAGGGTCCTTTCAAGTGCGTCCCTCGAATTCCTTCATACAATGAACATTGCACTGACAAAAGGGGGCGCCTTGTTGCATGAAACCAGATACGCAACGTATGCATGGCAGAACCTCCAAAAGTCCAAGCCGTACGCCTCCCACCCAATGAAGCAGGCCGTCATCGCGCCCAGCATGATGTACCTCTTGTATCCTCTCCAAGGCGAGCTCGAAGGATATCCGCGGGACGAGTTTATCAAGGACTTGATCAACGAAGTAGGCCATCCAACGAGAATTTCGGGCTATTAACATCATCGATGACAGTTGCTGATTCGATATGTAGTGCGAGAAGGATATTCGCGGATGCTTTGAAGCAGGCGCAAAGCGAGTCTCCATCGACTTCACCGAGGGTATAGCCATTTGACCCTTTATCCTCTCTCAAGCCTAGATCCCCATATCTAACAAAGTATCTTCCATCAATCAGGCCGCCTCGCTCTCAAGCACGACCCCAAGAACCCCTGGACAAACGCCGACCTCCTCGAACGCTTCGTCCTCCTCATTAACCAGTCAGAACCCCCCCCCCCCCCGGAATCTCAGCCCCAACAACTGCCTCTTTGAGGACATTCACACTAACATACACACACACACACAATCGCAGAGTCCTCGAACGCTTCACCCCCGACCAGCGAGCCAACATTGGCCTGCACACCTGCCCCGGCGGCGACTGCGACTCGGTGCACTCCCTAGACGTGGACTACCACAAGCTACTCCCGTCCTTATTCAAGATCAACGCGGGATACTTTCTGATCCAGCTCTCCTCGGAAAAGAACCGCGAGGCAGTGTATGAGTCGATTGGACAGCATATCCGGAAAGACGCCAATGGCGTCAAGCAGGTATTTTTCCGCTCCTCTTCCCCCCTTTTATGCGGAAATTCCACAAATGGATTTTGCGCTGAATGGACAAATTTTCAGGTGGCCTTTATCGGAGTCATCAACACGCTCAATCCCGCCGTCGAGACCCCCGAACAAGTCGCCGACCAGCTCGTTCTCGCAAGCAAATACATTCCCGTAGACCAGCTCGGCGCAACCGACGACTGCGGTATGCCTCCATCCATCCTGCCACCCTTGCACCAGAATTCCCTTGTTCGGCCAATGTCAGCTAACATGAGTTGATGTGTATTAGGCTTCTCTCCCTTCTCCATCGACGACAAGCCGAGCCACGGCAGCCCGGACTTTGCCAGGGACATTGCCTTTCAGAAGATTGCGAGCCGTGTCCAAGGCGCAAAGTTGGCCAGTGAGAAGTTGGGCGTATAGCCATTCTCGCAGAGTTGAGGCGAGCGTAAATTTTTCTTCCGAGTATTTGCGTCGCGTTAAAAGAATATATATAACGGCGTTGAGCCGAAAATGTCTTACGGGGTGAGAGAGAGAGGTCTTTCAACAAAGCCCTCTCGGTGAGTCGACCTCTATGAGCCCTGCTCGAGCGAAGAATTAGGTTTGCATAGACAGTTCAACATATCTACTTAGTTATCTTCAATCATGTCTATAGAAGGGGGCAAAAAGCCTCGCTATACATACAAAACCACCTTTCACACACTCCAGCCCATTCAAAGTATCACAAATCCTCTAAAAGTGTAATCAATCAGAAATAGCATGTTATACAATCCCCCCTCGTACAAAGGCGTTAGATGTCCCTTCTGGGGGGAAAACTCTCTTCATGATGGCCGTGGACCTCTCGTTTCAGTAGCCCTGGGCAAGGCAGCTGTCAGCTCGACGGTAGATCCTGGTACAGAACCACTGCTATCGTCCAGCTCTCCCTGCAATCCACCATGTTTCACCTTGTCAGGATGTCTTATCACAGCAAACGCTTTGGAAAGCCGAATCGCAAAACTTCGTTCAACGCCGACTGATGAGGAGCGTCAGCGTGAAAGCTCGTCAGCATGCGAGACGAGGCAAACCGCGAGCCTGGGGTGCAAAGCAGAGAGACTTACATATGAGCAAATAGACGTATTTTGAAACAGCAGGTGCCCAAACGAGCACCGAAACAATCTGGCCAACAGACCAGGACACGGGGGCCAAGAGAAAGCCAGAGATGTACTCCAGCAGATAGGACAAGCTGATGAGATTCAACACCATGTACCCGATGAAGATGACTTCCGAAATAAAGATGAGGACAGATGTCAGAAGTCGTCCCAGCTGAATGGCCTGTAACAGCAACAGGGTTCGCTTCTTCGACACCTCTTGTCCACAGTTGCTCAGCCACAGGGTTCCTGCAAACTCTGCCCACAGCTTCTTGAACCAGATGAGGCCCAGAGTAGTCGCAGCAATGGCCATGAGGAACTCGGGCTGGTCAATCCTCGCACCGTCGTAGTAGCGGAAGCGACAAAAGGCCGTTATGTCCGACTTGCCGCCGCATGGTTTCGAGCGGTACGACCATGTCCAGTAGCAGATGGCGTCAATGTCCAGTCCCGCCAGAACAGAAGCCCGGGTGCTCATGAACGACATGACCAATGCAAGAGTGCACAGTAACAGCGAGTAGTACGAGCCCAGTTGCAGTTTGTAGAGCGTAACTTGGTTCAAGAGGAGTGGCAGTACAGCAATGATTGTGAGGTCTCTCATGAGCAGGCGATTGGTCAGGAAGCTTTGCCATTGATCGGTCGGTGCAATGGCCGGCTGGGAAGCAGCATACAGCAGGCCAATCTGGACGGCTGATATGAAGAAGCACTGGGCTTCCTGCAGCTCGACGATGAAGGTACTGGTAGCGTAGTCGATGCGCTTGGCCAAGCGAGAGCCCTGGAACGTAATCAACGAGTACACTCTGCCTTTGTACCGGGTCAATGTCGCAAACCAGTCAATGCTGCTCGCAATATGAAGGATGCGGATGCACAGCCACGCGTAGAAGACGATGGCATGGGCCAGTATATATGCCAACACCACCTGGAAAGAATGGTCATTGGAGAGCCCATCACGAATGAGGACTCGGTATGTCTTACCCCTGGCCCAGCAAGATCGGGGTCTACCTTGAAGTTCTCAATGTAGCCCACGTCACAGAGCTGAGACAACTCTAGGCCCCATGCATGAATGTCTGGAGGATGGCGCATGGATGCATGGGCAGCCCCTGAAGCGTCGGGCGGTCTGGCAAGATTCCCATAATCTCCGTCCAAAGCAGAGCTCCCGTTTGCGCAGGCGTGGAAACTTTTGAAGACATCGACAGCGTCAAACTTGGTGAGATCGGGGACCGCTAGATACTCCAAGATCTCAGCCGTATCGCCAGCGGTATCCGAGTTGCTATAGTCGTGAGGGTACGGCTCATACGTCGCCATGGTCGCCAGAGTCAAGCAATTCCACTGCGTCTGCCAGTCCTGAAACAGAAGATCGTGATCCGCACAGGCCATGGTGCAATTGATGCCTCCCGCCCCGTCTCTGCAGCCATTTGCGTATATGTTGAGGACGGAGGGATGTGACAAGATGCGATGGCCGTCGTTGGAGTCTATCAAGGTGCCTCGGATGATGCGATCGGCTGTTGGCAGTCTGTCAAGTTCGCTGAGCCCTAGGTGGGATGCGTTGAGCAGGAGTTTGGAGTCTGGAAGGAATGTGACGAGTCCATTGTACGCCTCCATTTCGAAGATGGGGTGAAGTGCAAATGCTCGATGGCAAGCATTGGTTTCGTCTGTCAGTTGTCAAGTTTGTAACACGGCTCCCTGACCCAGACAGGGACTTTGATACAAGAGCCCAGTGGACCAGTACTCTTATACCATTGAAAAAGCGACTGCAAGGAAGCAAGCAAGAGCTGGGCATCTTCAGAGCTGGGCAATACGAGGGAGCCTCATCTTTTAGCATTTGGTACAATTGATATGGCCTGTGCGGTGTCGATCTGCGCACGTTTCTTTGCCTGTGTCAAGTCGTTCACCATAGGGCCCTTTAGGCAGCACTCAGAAGTTGGTATGTATCACCCTCGTGTCAAGCAAGGCTCGGTGTTCGTGCCTGCAGTCGGCAGGATTCATCGTCGTCTGATGGGGAGCACAATGACGAGAAATAAATGAGTTGAACTCGTTTCTGGGTCTTGTGTGACCTTGGAACGTCGAGAATGTTCGAATACATTATGCAGTGTCACCATGGATGTCGATGCCTGACAGCCAGAGGCATGTAGAGAAGATTCTGTAGAGAAGGTCGGTCCAGGTGGTTGTGAATGAATGTCCTGTTGATGTTGTCCAGGCATGTGAAGCTGAAAGGCAGCCCAATGTCTTACTTACCTAAGCATACCTAGGTACCTAACCAGTAATGATGCAGAGAGAAAGTGTGGCTGTGCAGAAGGTATATAGGTACATACATGGGTACTCCTCACAGACCATCAACATCGTGCCTGGTGTGCAGCTGTGGCGCCATCTTAGCTGGCATCAATGTTCTGTTGTATGAATCCCTCGATGCACAATGACTCAAGCTGTTTACCGGTTTATCAAGCGCCTTATTACTGTGCTGTACTGAATGCGCAGCTCTGGTCCTTGCCACTTGCTCAGGCGTGGCTGATGCTCTTGTCGTGCGTCATCCCTCCCCGCTAAGCCCGATCCAGCACGCCTACGTACGCCTCGGATCCTCCGCAACGAGCCGCACCGCCACAGGCTTCCCCAAACTTCCCCAGCTTCGCATGTCACTGCCTGCAGGCACTCCGTCAGTCGAGCGATTCGCCTTGACTCAACCTCTTCCTACGACAGCTCTCCGGCGGCCTCTCTTTTGCTCGCCAACTCGAGACACCTTCAATTCGTCTGTGTCATCGTCAAATATCTGCGGTGTCTCTTTTCTCCTCGGCCACCATGCCCTGTTGCTCTTGATCCGACTGTGACGACATCCAACCCGGCTCTCCCCACCTCGAGGCTGATCCCACGAGCTCTCGTTTCTCGCCATCGTTGCTTGCTTGATTGCTTTGTTCAGCCGCATCGCTGCATCGTCACTGCTGTAGAGCCTCGTGGCACAGCTTCTTCTTTATCCTCTCTTTGCTTCACCTGCCCGCATGTATGTACAGCAGCCGCCCAGCGACGCCGAAGCGGCTCCGCACAGATCGCAACCGTCCGCGCCGATGAACGACTGGCCAGACGAGCCGACGGCGGGAGCCTGGGAGGACGTGGCTCCTCAACGCCCAGCCAGTGCGACGGCCGCAGGCTCCATCCACCGCAAAGAAGTGCCTGCGTCGCTGCGGCCTGGCGGCGCCGCCCCGGTGGCAGCAGGCGTGGGCTTCGGCTCGCCGGAAGATGAAGACAGCGTGTGGAACGAGGCGCGGAGGCAGCCGTCGGGCCTGCATGAGCCTTACCAGGTGCCAGATGCCCTGCGGCCGGGCGTACAGAGGGCAGAGACGAATCCGTTCCTGAGGAAGCCAGCCCCGGCCGACGCAAGCCTCCAGCCTCCTGCAATCATTCTTCAGCCGCCAACCGCCACGCTGTCCAGCCTGAGCCTGGAAGAAAACAACGTTCAGAATCCATGGCAGCCAGCCGCTGGTGTACAGACGCCCCAACATAGAGACGAGAACCTGCCGATTGTGGCGGCCCCTGGCGACCCGGATGATCCTTGGGCCCGTAGCCCTCCTGCGCCGCCTGCCAAGGAGCCCGAGTCTCGATCCGAGGACCTAATCTCTCTGCACTCTGAAGGCTCAGGCTGGGATGAGGGTTCGGACAGCGAGCATGACAATCGGACCTCTCCGCCACAGCATGCCGTAATGCCAGACGACATTGCTCGTGAGCAGCACGTCTGGGACGATGTGGCACCGCTGGAGGATGCCAAAGGCAAGGGCAAGGGACCTGACCTCACCCCAGCGCAGGCAGCCCAGCTGGACGACTGGAGCCTCATAGACGCAGAGCCCTCGTCGAGCTCGCCGGCGCGGCAGCCACTGGAGGACTCATCGACGGATGGCCTGGACGAGAAGCCGCCTTTGCCGCCGCGGCAGTCGGGAAGCCGCGTGCGATGGACTCCGTCGCGTCCGCCGGTCGATGGCAAAGCTGAGACGTACCAGATCAAGAACATCCGATGGCACGATGCCAGCTCGTCCAAGAACCCCCGCGTGTCTCCCATACTGATTCAGAACGAAAACGGACCCTGCCCGCTGGTTGCATTGGTCAACGCACTCACATTGACGACACCTGAGGACATTGGCGATACGGCGCTGGTGCAGGTCTTGCGGCTGCGGGAGCAGGTCAGCTTGAGCCTGTTGCTGGATGCCGTCTTCGACGAGCTCATGTCTCCGCGGAGGACGTCGTCCGAGGACTCGCTGCCCGACGTCTCTGAACTCTACTCCTTCCTACAGAGCCTCCACACCGGCATGAACGTCAATCCGCGATTCATTCCTACGCCAGAGGTGGTTGCTGCCTACGAGCGCACGCCGCTCACGGAACTGGATGCGAGCGAGCGGCGCAAGTACATCCCGGGGACCTTTGAGAACACGGCCGAGATGGGTCTCTATGCCACCTTTTCCATCCCCTTGATCCACGGGTGGCTGCCGCCACATGACGATCCCGTCCGCTACGCCATGGAAAGGCACGCTGCGTCTTACGAAGACGTGCAGAACCTGCTATTCCGCGAGGAAGAATTGGAGGACAAGCTGGCCTCATCCGAGGAGGGGCTGACTGAAGCGGAGCAGGATCTTTACCAGGACATTATCACCATCAAGATATTCCTCAACGAGTCGGCGACCCAGCTGACGCCCTGGGGGATTGAGGTGATTCAAAAGGCGATCCGGCCAGGCACGTTTGCCATTCTTTTCCGCAACGACCACTTCTCCACGCTGTATTGCCACCCCCACACTCGGCAGCTTCTCACGCTCGTGACGGACGCGGGCTACAGAAGCCACGACGAGGTTGTCTGGGAAAGCCTGCGGGACGTCAATGGCGAACTCAACCAGTTCCTGTCGGGCGACTTTCGACCTGTAAGTGGCGATGCGGCAGCCGGCTCGAGCGGCGCGGCGGGCGAGCATAGCAACAACCACGGCGGCGGCACCTGGAAGACTGTCACCAACAAGCGGGGCAAGACGAAGGAGGTTGCGGCCCCCGAGGAAGGGGGCCAAGCAAGCTCGACGGAGCAAGAGGACAGGGACTTGGCCCTGGCGCTGCAGCTGCAGGAGGAAGAGGACCAGCGACACCGGGAGGAGCAAGCTCGGCGGCAGCGCGAGCGGGCGCTGTCGGAGCAGTACATTGAGCAGGCCCATCTGCCGATACCAGTCGCCCGCCCTGGAGGAGGAGGAGGAGGCAACGCCGCAGCCGGCAACGGTCCCCGGCGCGACTCTGCTGCGACGGCCGGTGGCAGTCAACCGCCCGCTTTGCCACGACGGAGCTCCCACAGCATCGGCACCAATGCGGCCTCTGCGTCTGCGTCTCAGCGGTCCCTGGGCAATGCTGCGCCCGTCTCGCAGCAGGTCCGGCCCCTTGTGCCGCCGCGAAGGCCGGGCGTGAACAGGCCGGCCGACAACTCGGACGAACCGCCGCCGCCCTCGTATGAACAGGCCGCCCAGGTTCCTGCATACCTCCCGCCGCCGGGACATCCCAACCACCCCGAAAGCAGCCCGGTGGCATCCCGACAGGCCTCTCGGTCCAGTGCAAGCACCGGCCCGCCTGCTGCAGCTGTCCGTGCTCGCCGGCCGGGGGCCCCTGTCCCGGCAGCTCGAAGGGCTGCGGTTCCTGCGGGAGCGGTGTCCAACAAGTCTGATCGAGACTGCGTCGTGATGTGATGATGGATTGAAGATTGACGAGACTGATGAGAGCGAGCTATTCAAATACAATTTGGGGCAACGATGACTGGCGTTTTATGGATAGGCAGGCGTGCATTTTCTTTTGCTTACTCTGGATGACTGAATGGACGCTCTTTTCCCCTACCTAGGTAGTCTATGAAGCATTTCTAGTATTCATACGTTATGGCTAGTAGAACGTGCAGTAACAAGATCTCTCCTCGCTGGCGTATATAAGTAACAAGGGCACTTCTGTATCTCTCTCTCTCTCTCTCCACAGCAGCAATACGTGTTTGTGATGGCTGGCGTAAAACATGGATCAAGCAAGACACGACGACTATGAGATGACGGACAAAAAAAAAAGCAGATATAAGAAGTAAAAAAAAAAAGGAATCATGGCTTCGACGTACCAGGGACTCGAACCCTGAGCCTTAGTCTGGATCTCCCTGTTGCGGGTAGCAATAGGAGGACTACGCGCTACCATTGCGCCAGCACGCCATGCAGTTATCGGGGCTACTTTAATTATAGCCTATATCTGTATTGTTACAGCATGCGGCAGGTGGTGATGTGTGGCAGAATGTCTGTGCTCAATTGCGACGCTGTGGCTTTTGTTTAGAAACTCCGTCGTCATTGCTGATTTGTTGACATCATCGAGTTCACAGCCACTTCCAAGGTCCTTAACAACCAATCTGTGGCTTTTCACGTCAAGTTGGTTGTCTCAAGGGAGAGAGTGGTGTTGTTTCTCTTCTCTTCATATTACTGCTGCAATTGAGCCCTCTTCTGCATTTACCTGTGTTTTCTTTTTGACTCGGGACGTGGATTCCAAGAGGTTTCGCTTGTTACATCATGTCGTCGCTCCTGGAAGGCATCTTTCCGCCCTCGCGCCAAAACTACGAACTCCTCCTTCGAGGCTGGCAAATCGGATATCCCATCGTACGTCTCTAAAATTCCCACTTCATCATTCCTTACACCCCTCACTCTCTCTCGCATTCAATCAAATCATTCATACAGATATTCATTTTTACAAATATACATACATGCATACATACAAAGAAACCACAGCGAATCTATAGGAATCAATGGCTGACAAAAAATGTCGACGACTATGAGAGAACAGCTTGGCTCCCTGCAATGGGTCATCAAATGGTACGGCATGGGCAAAACCTCCGTCGCCAGCCGCTTCAACATCCCCGGCCGCATCGCCTGGATGACCATGGAAAGCCCGGGCTTCCTGACGCTGCTTTACGTGATGAAGACGCTCCCTCAACGGGCCGGCGTTGAAGACTTGCCCTGGCAGAACAGAGTCCTCGGCGGCCTCTTTGTACGTTCATCTCCTCCCCCTCCTCTCTCTCTCCTTTTTTCCTTTCATGAAAAGCTCTCTCATCAAACCCCCTCCCCCCAACCTCATCAGTCGCCACAAGACCAAAAACTGACGAGTATGAACAAAAAAAAAGGTCATCCACTACTCCTACAGAGCAATCCTCTTCCCCCTCCTCCAGCCCAGCATGTCCCCCATCCACATTGGCGTCTGGGCCCTCGCCCTCAGCTTCCAGCTCTGCAACGCCCTCTGTCTTTCATCCTGGCTCTCCGCCTACGGGCCTACCACGCCCGAAGCTTGGGCTCTCTCATCGTCCCTCCCGCAGTTCATCTTGGGCATTGGCATCTTCTACCTCGGTCTGTCATCCAACTTCTTCCACGACGAGGAACTGCGCGAGATTCGAAGGCGGGAACAGAAACGCCAGGACCGCATCCGCGCACAACAATCCTCCTCATCCACTAACAATAAGAGCGGTGCTGCTGGTGGTAGCGGCGGCAGCGGCGTGGAAAAGCACTACCAGATCCCGCAGGCAGGACTCTTCAGATACATTCTCTATCCGCATTACTTGTCCGAATGGATCGAGTGGTTCGGCTTCTGGATGGCTGCGGGCTGGGGCTGCGCCCCCGCGCGCGCGTTTCTCGTCAACGAAGTCTTTTCGATGCTGCCTAGGGCCGTCAACGGGAAGAAGTGGTATGTTGATAAATTTGGCGAGGACAAGATTCGGGGCAGGTGGGCTGTCATTCCGGGGGTTGTGTGATTGGCTTGCTGGATGGGACTGGGTCAAAGTAGGTATGATTTGTGATGGGTTGTTGATGGGTACAGCTTCAACCCCAACAGGGATAATTGATCGTGTATATAGTACAGATATAACCTTGTGTTATCACACCAAACCTCTGCAAATGCACCGCGTCTCTATTGAAGGAAGCTTGGCTACGAGGCATTCCATACATGACAATGGCACATGCACTTATTAGCACTCAGATTGGCGTGTAGTGTTCAGCCAGAGATAAAGAAGAAAAACAAGCAGTCTAATCCATCACTCAAACATACACACTACAATAAAAACTTTCAGTACTACAGTCAATACTTCCTCTGCATTTCAGTGACATTCTATCCCGTATAATGCATCATTCCATTCATCCCAGTCCACACCCCTTGAGCTCCCAAGACGTAGAGCTCCATGGCTCCCGTAGCTCCCTAAGAACAACTACCTAATAAAAAAGTAAGAAATACATGAGCCAGAAATAACATAGAAAGACCCAGTCTAGTTCCCCAGCCTCTATAAGACTAAACAGAAGCTGGTATAGAGATTATAGAAAGACAGCAAAGAAGAGAAGAGAGAAAAAAGTAAAAAGCCGTTTCCAGGTTCCCGGGATATTTCGAGAGGGCATGCTTCACCGGCAAGCCACAATGCAATGCTAGACATAGATGATGGAAACAAACATGATCAAAACGCCAGCCCACCCAGCCATTGTTGTTCCCAGTAATCAAGCAAAGGTGATTAAAAGATGTAATTTCCAACCTTTCCGAAGCTCCAGTCCGCCCCCATAACAATGATGTTGGTTTGATAATGCAGCCATTTCTTCGTGGTGTCGTGGTTCATCCATACAGTTACCGCTTCAAGGAATCCACACTAATGATAGTTGTCGTAGGAAAGAAGGAAAGCCCGTAGAGGGAAAAAGAAAAGGCCGAAAGGGCTCGGGTGGCCGCAGAGTAAAGGTCTGTCACCTCATTCAGGAGGAGGAGCGCTCTTCTAAGAGATATTCACTCTCCTGGCCGTCTCATCGCTCGCTGTGCTAATGTTGCTCAGGTTGGTATCCCGCCGTCTGGCCTCAAAGGGCCTGTGTCTCGTCGTAACTGGCGGTCGCTTCTTAGACTTGGCCATGAGCAAGAGCCCCTCGTCGCTGTCGTCGTCGTTGTCGTCGTCCTCCTGCTTGCGGTGGTGCTGCTGCTGCTGACGGGCGCCACGCGGATCCGACGTTGGGCCAGAGCTGTCCACCCTGACCCGAACCGGGACACCTTCCATGGATGAGGAATTGTCAAAGACTTGGTCGAGGGGAAAGCCACTGGTAGGCTCCTTGCCAAGCGCTGGAGGGGTGAGCGAGTCCTTGGTCTGCAGGAGCGCCTGGGGATCCACGGTGCCCGGCCTCTGCAGCAGCTCGCCCTCCAAGTCTGCCGAGACTGAGCTGGCGCCGCTGAGGAGTGCCGGCAGCGATGGGTCGGACTGGAAAGCCAGCATCCGCTGAGACGCGCTGTTGGCCGGTGGGCAGGCAGCCACGGGGCTGGCTGTCTCGCTGGGGCTCGTTAGGGGCGTCCCCAGATGGTCCATCGAATCGGTGCTGGCGGTCTTGGCCATGTCCATGGTGTCTCTCCGCGACGGGGCCTCGGACTGCCAGTCCTGATGGGCGATGCGAGACCATTGGCTCCCCATGTCGGCTGAGCCGTCCTCGCTAACGTAAGACCCAGTGTAGGCAGGCTCGGGGCTCATTGTGGCAGGCGTGCGAGTCACAGGAGACTTGCCATCGCCTCCGTTGTCTATACGGTGGGCGGTGATGGGGCGCTCCTGGTACCGCTGATGAAAGTTGGGGTCAGACTGGAGGTGTCTGTGCTGATGATATGAGTGAGTGGGGATGGACTGGGGCGACGATGACAAGGGAGACGACGACAGAGCGTGGCCGTATCTGTTTCTGCCCAGGTCGACAGAGCGCATGGAGCGCGTGCTTCGCAGACCGGGAATGTTGCCGGGGGCCACGGCCGTGTTGAGGGCGACTTGCGGAGTGGCGCGCTTATCGTGGCTCGCAAAGAGGCCGCGGTGGGGGGAGGGAGAGCGCATGGAGTCGACTCTCAGAGCGCTGAGCTCTGACCTGGCGCTCGGCAGTTCCTGACGGTAAGGAGGATTCCTATCATAAGAGGGCGTAGGGGGGACGGTGTGAGGCGTCAAGGGCAGAAATTGCCCAAAGTTCCTGGCGCGCAGGGTTCCGCTGCGGCCGGGGCCGAGGTTGGGGTCGCACCGAAAGTCGGACGTGGCTGCCTCGTCCAGCTCGCTGTGAGAGCGGCCCCGGGTCACGCCGGACGGCGTGGTCAGGGGGGGCAGCACGGTAGCCATGGGGTCGTAGGCAACAGCTTCCACGCCGCCGCTGTGGGCGCTCACAAAGTCGGACGAGTGCCGCTCCATCTTCGGAGGGCTGCTCCTCTCGGGCACAGGGGGGAAGTAGTCATCCGGACGAAGGCTGCGGCGCCTGTCCATGTAAGGGGTAGGAGGATTCGTGGCCGGGGCCGGGGGGAGGGTGGGCTTGGGCATGCTGTCACCTCCGGAGCTGGCGACACTGCTGGCAGCCCGTCGACGGGATCGGCTCTCGCTGCGGTCGACCAGCGGATGCATGACTCTCCCAACGGCCTTTCTGACAACAGAGCGCGCTCGTTCGAGAAAGGTGAGGGGCACAACGGCAGAAGACAGGTCTCTTTCGTCAACCTGAATCTTGCGGCCGCTAGACGGCCTGGCAGGGTCAGTCTCTTCCAGCCACGCTCGCGGGTTTGGCAGCCCCTGGAGGACCCAGGGGTGCTTCTTGATATCCTTGAGACGGATTCGCTTCTCCGGATTCTTGGTGAGCATCTGTCGCAGCAGGTCGTACAAGAGGTTGTCCACGTCTTCGTATTCGACGTCATTGTCGTCACGGTAGGGGCGCGTGTTCTGGCGCTTGTAGAGGGACGTCACGGCAGGCGAGGTTGAGGGGTCCACGGGCATCAGTCTCCGGCGCGGAATGTACACCTCCTCAGTAGCAATCTTTCTAAACATCTGGAACTCGTCCTCTGCAAGGAAGGGGATGCGCGCAAAGATGAGGCAGTAAAGAGTCACACCGAGGGACCACACATCAATCTGCTCGGATATCTTGGGCTGAGCCTGGTCAGGGTCTGTGTAGCAAAGCTCCGGGGCAAAAAAGGCAGGGGTGCCAACGGTCTTTGAGAGCTCCAGATCATCGTCAAAGTCCTTTGCCTCGGATTCGGAGACCAGATCATCCGGCTCGCCATCACGAATGGGGCGGCCAAAGTAGGAGACGCCAAAGTCGGAGATCTTGACGCGGTGGTCCTTGCTCCAGAGCAGATTAGCAGGCTTGATATCACGGTGGACGACGCCCTGGTAGTGCAGGTATTCAAGACCGAGGACGGTGTCGCGAAAGGCGGACCGCGCCTGGTCAAAGGTGAAGCAGGGGACATAGGAGAAGTCGTCAGCAAAGGGGTCGTGGGCACGGGGGTTGTAGTCGATGGAGGACATGTGGGAGATGATGGAGTCGGCCATGCTGGGGGAGCGGTCGCGGAAGCTCATGGTCTCCTCATTGTTGGCGCGGTGCCCAAAGTTGGCACGCTCCAGGGCGCTGGTGGACAAGGGGGGAGGCTGTGGGTGGGAGGGGCCGGGGGTAACGAGGTCATCGTCCTGCCAATCGTCTTCTCCGATTGCGCCGGGCGACGAAGCCATCGAGTAGGAGTGCGAGGGGGCCATGGAGGACCGGCGGGAGATGGGGAGAGACATGGTGCCGTCGGGAGCCGCAAAGTCCTCCCTGGAGGAGATGCGGGACCAGGAGGGGCCGGAGCTCACGTCGTCGGCGGCGCCGTGTTCGACGCTCCAATAGTCGCCGGGGCCGCTGTTGTTGCGAGCCATCTTGGCCCTCTTGAGCTCCTTGACGGCGTGACGGCGCTCGAGGATCTTGTCGTACATCTGCTCCTCGGGGGTGGGCGCCTCTCCGCGCATCTCGCGCTCGGCCCTCCTCCGTTCGTAGAGGCAGACATGGGGCAGTCCCTTTTTGCGCCAGACAATCTCGCCCAGCTCGACGTGCTCGAGCACCATGTAGATCTTCTTCAGCTCGGGGTCGTCAATGACTTCGAGCAGGGCGACGACGTTGGGGTGTCTGATCTTTTTGAGGATGGCGATTTCCTTCTTGGTCTTGTCCTGGGGGGACATGGCTGTCACCTTGCCGAGTCGTCGTTTCTTGGAAAAGCGCGGGATGATTTTGATGGCGACATTTTCGCCGGTCTCGAGATTGCGGGCCAGCTTGACCTTGCCGTGCATGCCACGGCCAATCTCTTCGATGACTTCATACTGATTGATCGATTTGCGGCCGGTGTTGACGTCGGAGTCGATGAGAGCTTTATGGGTCCTATAGGAGAGAAGAAAAAAAATCAGTCAATTGGTCTGGAAGAACCTTGTGAAGCGGTAGAGGTATGACGGCAGGGCAGCACAGTCAAGAGCAAATAGAAAAGATCAGAGGTCGGCATCCCGACGTGCCATGGACAATGATGAAGAGACTGCAAGCGAAGGAGAAAAGCTGGTCAAGACATACTCTCGGACTCGGTGGGTCTGCAGCGGGTGCAGGTAGGGGCTCTCAAACATAGGGGCGGGCGAGTTGTTCTCCGAGACGGACGAGTTGGGCATGTGGCCGTGCCTGGCAACGGGGCTGAAGAGGCCGGGAGACGTCGTGGGCGTGCTGTTGGCGGTCCGCAGGGGAAGCGACGACAATTGCGACAGATGCGTGTAGGGCGCCGGCTTCGGCTGCGGCTGCGGCTGGCCGTCCATGATGGCGGGCGCTGGGCGGAGCGGAAGCGCTTGCGACGGGATCGGAGGACGGCGATGGAACGGTTCGGATGGGTGAGGGCAGAGAGGATCGAGACGAGAGAGAGAGAAGAGAGCCTCGAAATTGCCGGGTCACAGCGGTTGTCGAGGCGTGGGCTGCTAGGACAGCATCGTCTCGCGTGCAAATCTGGCTCGAGGGGCAGCGGCTCGTCGGGCGAGCAGAGCACCAGGGACCGGAGGATAACGATAAAAAAAAGTCGAAGTCGGGAGGGCGAGCGAGATCCGGAAGGCGGTCGAGGCGTGCGAGGGCGGCAGAATACAAAAGGAAATGCGTTGACGAGGAAGCGAATCGCGGCGTGTCTCGCTGGTCGGTACAGCGGTTTTGAGGCCTTTGGAGTTTGCGAAAGGTTGCGAGGATCGAGTCTTGCTGGAGAAATCAAGTGGGCAGCTGGATTGGCTACCAACCGCGATGGGGCCGCCCAGAAGCGGCACACAGTAGGAGTTAAAGCGGGGGGGCTGCTGGCCACCGCCTGCGCAGTACTTGGCTGCCACGTACCGCCTAGTACTATCCCGGCCAAGGGATTGCTTTCAAGGGCGGACAGGTGCCAGCCTGTTGCAGCCTGTTGCAGCGTTGCTGCAGCGTGGAGGGGCAACGCAAGGTACGGCCGGGGGCGGGCGAGGTACCTGGGGGCGACGTACCGGCGATAAGCTGAGGGCTGGACTTGGAGTGAGGGAGCGAAGAAGGTGGTGTCGACTGGTGTGTGCCAAGCAAGCGACAGCGCCTGTAATCGGCATACGAGTACGTGAGGGTGACGGTGCTGATCGACGACGGCCTGGAGATAAAGGGGGTGAATGGGATGAACAGGTATTTATATGAGGGCATCTGGAGTCGATGCCAGCTGTATGCTGTACCTTTATGTCTGGCCGCCCTGAACTGTAACTGCACGCTGGCCTGGTTCCAGGTTGTTTGAGGATTGAATGGATTCAGCTGATAACGAACAGTGACAGCACTGACAGCACTGAACCCAATCCTTTGTCCACCTATGTAGCACCGCAGGTACAATACCTTAGGTACCTCTACTAGCAGCAACACGCCTTGAAACTTTTTTGGTGGACCTGCAGCAGAGAGACGAGCAGAAACGTCACCAGAAACATGGCCATTAATCTCGCAGCCAGCACAGAAACCGCCAGGCCAATCACGGCGCGCCTTTTGCACTTATCTCTGCCTCTCGGGGCCATGGCGAGCGTCGGGGCGGGACAGGCGATGCAATTAGGTAAGGCAGAGATAAGAACAGCTGCGCCCGCGGCCAATCGAAAGAATGCACTGTGACGCCCTTATGACGAGTCACATCTGCTAGCAGCAACAGCAGCAGCAGCAGCAGCAGTTATTGTGCAGTAGGTACCTACTCAGTACTGTAGAGCAGCATTAGAGCAGCAGTAGTACCCCGTAGCCATGCGCCGACAACGACGACGACGACAAAGACCGCCTGCAGGGCTCCAGCAGAATGCGACGCTGTTGCGCCTTGTTATGACCTCGATGCTCGGCTTCAGCAGGCAATGACACCATTCTGCTCCAGCAAATGCGACCGTACAGACAATAGCAGCGACGACTGCACGGCAGACACCCACAGTATCGAAACACAGTATAGAGTCCCGACAGCGTAACTGTGCTGCAGGCGACAAATGCCAGTCTGCTGAATAATGCCGGCCGCCAATCACATGCCGCGCCTCACCAGCATCCCCGCTTCTTTTCTTTCTTCACCCTCGATCCCGCCGCGATCCGGAGCATATCCCGGCTACCCCGACCTTCGTCATACCTCCATACCGTATTGCCTGGACCCAGCAGAAAAAGAACATGTGAGAAGGGAAAAGGCACATCACATGCTAGCTGCCATGGTTCTCTCTCCACGTCCATAGCCTTAATCGATCTTGCCAGCGATCTCGACATCGATCTTGATCTCGCCATCACCACCGTCGTCCACGGCATCGTCCACGGCATCGTCGCCAGCATGGCGAAACGGGGCCGGCCCTCGCTCAACCTGACGCCCGAGGAGCGCATCCAACGCCGCCGTATGCAGCTCGTCGCCTCCCAGCGCAAGCGCAGGGCCCATAAACGCCTCGCCCTCCAGCTGTCCAAGGCCCAGCCTAAGCCCGACACGGAGCCCAACTCGCTACCCCCAAGGCCAGACGAGGCTGAGCTGTGTCGCTACTACGATGCCGTTTTCTTGGGCCAGGACGACGCCGCAACGCTCAGCAGCAGCGGCAGTGACGCCATCGCGGCCGAAACAGAGTCCACGGCCAAGACGACGACGGCTCGACCCACGACGAGAAACACCACAAAGACATCGACACGGATCGTTGCCAACGTGACTCGGAACACGTCCTCTCCGGACCTCCAGGCGCCGCTCACAGCCTGCCATCCGTGCGGCTCTGCACCTCCAGACGCGATCTCGGAGACGAGCTTGGCCAGTGCTCCGCTAGCTGCAGTCGTAGGCCCTCACTCTCGGGCAAGTCTCTTGCAGACTATCAAGCCAAGAATAGATACTCATGCTCCATCGTCCAGACTCGAGGGCCCATCAGTGTGGGCTGACTTCACGGTTGCCGAGTCTGGCAAATCGGGCATCAGTCCGGCCGTCTTCGCCTCGGAGCATATGGCATATACTACTACTAGTAGTACCATGCCACTACTAAGTTCTGTGCTCGACTCATCAGTCCAGCACGCATTCGACTTAGACAGTAGCCATTTGTTGGGCCAGCCAGCCACACGCTCGAACCGGCTACTGATTGCCAAAGGCTCCGATAACGTCTTCTCGCCCGGCCGGTTCAGCACAATAGAGTCGGAGTGGATCCCGACAGACGCACACGAGACGCCGTACAGCCATAGACACATCAAGCCCTACCATCGTCGACCACCCTCCCCGTCCTTACCAGATAGCGGCCCGGCGTTACTGTCAGTTGAGGCTGCCGATTTCGCGGCACCATGGGCGGGAGCTAAGCAAGTAAGTCTACTGGCACGGCTTGATGCCGAAACCTTGATATACATGCTGGATTACGGCTCGACGACAAGGGCCCTCGTTTGGGAATGATCAGCTAATTCGTATTCTGCGTCTCATCAGGCTATACCGATGGGTTTCTGATCAAAGCCCAGAGTGACGAATCACGAGTCAGCCGATGACCACACTCAAGCATGTATCCCATCGCCCCTTCCATAGAGCACATCATTGAGAGCGCAGCGTTTGTTTACTGTCGGCGTTTTTGGGGGGTTCTCCTATCGAGGTGACTTGAGATACAGCACCACTCATTCCTCAAATCTGAGCATTTGGAGGAAAACAGAAGCCTTGTTCATTGCACAGTCGTCACCTTGACTGCCTTGTGCTTGATCCAAGGCAGCAGCTATTTTTAGGCGCGTGACGGGCTTTATATGCGACGTACCAGTAATACGGAACGGGCGTTGTCGGGGCACAGTACCGCATGCACGGTCACACACACATAGCCTTGGGACACTCTGATGTTGACAGCTACAGATTTATGACTTGTTACGGGAGATTGTTATTGGCTCCAAGGACTACAGAGCTAGGGGCGAGATATCGGGCAAATACATGAGATGATGGATGGGCAGTGGACGCAACGCTCGCCGTCGTCAAACGCACTACTGCTGCCTTTCTTTATACTATCTTTCTTTGTTCGCTCTTACGTGGCGGGCGTCTGTTGTGAAGTTGCGAGTGAGTTTTGTGTGTCATGCCCCATGCATGGACACGTGTTGCATGGTTCTGGCCGTGTATGACCGGCCGCGTGGAAGAACCGTGCTGGCTGCTGCGAATACGGGAGCCATGTATGGGTCGTGTTGTTGAGGGGACGAGCCATGTTGTACGACGTGGACTTGCTGACGGGGTTGGTGAGCTGGTGGTTCTATCCTCTTTTATCGTGTAGACGGAGTGTAACTTGAGCTGTAGAATGAGTGTGAGACTGTGATTTACGATATGTGATGAATAGCAAGCAAGTGTTGAGGGAGTCGAAGGATGGGGATGGAGGTGGTTTGTGGTGTGGGTTGTTATGCCGATGCTTTCCATTGTTGAAGAGCAGGACGATTTGTTCATGTAGGCGTCTACCTTGATTCCAACTCCTTTCGACTATGCTTTCATATACATGACGATAAATGCTCACGTGGAGCTGCGCATCGTCCTGTGGATATATCGAATCTTGCTGCACCGCACCCGAGACGATTGTGCAGTATAATTCCCAACATCTACAGCACTAGATAGCCTTTTCATCACATTGAACCCCCCTTAAAAGTCATTTTGCCCGTATGCCATGGTCTTGCCAGTTCATTACAGGTAGAACCAGCATCAGCCGAGGTCACTACCAGCAGTGCGCAGGCATTTGAATCATCTCAAGGGGCGATTGCAGTTGAGCAAGTATTCCACGAGCCACAGTGACGCGGGCGTCCATCTACCCAAGTACTACTGTACAACATCAGGGTGACTCTTCTCCTCACTGTCTGTAACGTAGAAACACTGCATACAATCGCACCATAACTGTAGTCAGGCAAATTCGGCTGTGCAAGGTGCCATTCTTTGAACCAGGCGCTTGTCTTTCCGAAGCAGATATATGAGGCATCTCTAAATGGAGGCAGCTGTACCTACCTGTATTTACATGCATATGCGGGCATGCTGTGTACCTTGCATCGTTCTAAGGGCTGTACCTGCATTTCCTTGCAGCAATTCATACCCTTTTGTTTTGCAAACTGAGCTGCGATCCAGCTTGACGTGCAGATGGAACGGATTTATTTTACGTGACATTGACACAAACCCCCCGGACATGGATTCTCTCGGCTCGGCTCCTGATTCCCCGGGCAATTAGGCATCAAGATCGAATCCACAGAATAGGTGCCCAATACAAACCACAGCTCGACCCAATACTGAACACAACGATTATTCCCGTAGGATATTATTACTACTGCATCAATCCCAGAAAGCCGATGAATCGTACCTAGACAACGTCTCTTGTTCAGCATACCTAGACACAATACAAGCATCACAACAACCCTTCAGGAAAAATGCCCGCCCAAGAGACCGACGCCGAGACCGAGACGGCCGTCTTGCGTGGCCAGAGACGGTACCTCGAAGGATGGCACGAGCTCACGGTCAAGGACCAGAAGCGACTCGTGGCCGACGGGCTCACGCTCATCATCTACCATCGCGACTCGACCTCGGCACGGTGGTACGGCGAACGCACGGGGGAAGAGGGCGAGCTTGTCCTTCCGGGGGAGAGGGTCAAGGTGTTTAACGCCATTGTCGAGTTGAGAAAGTGATTCGTCCCGGGGTTTGGTGCTGTTGTATGTAGTATGTATGTAGTATGAGGGGAGTCTCTACGAAGAGATCCCGGATGTTTTGGGCATCAAGAATTCATCCACCGGCTTATTGGTGCCCAACAAACCGCACAAGCCATATATACTCAACACAATCAGTCCGTATACGATAATTAGACTGCAACCACTCATGTGTTGCAACATACACAAAGCCTGTTTCATCACAGATCAAGAGAGGAAGAAGAAGAAGAAGGAAAACATAGAAAAAAGGAAACACACAACCCCAGAAAAATGTCGGCAAAAGCAGAAATGACAACGCAAGAGCTGACGGCCGTGTTGAACGGCCAGAGAAGGTACATTGACGGCTGGCAAATCTTCAAAATCAAGGACCAGACGCGAATCATTGCCGAGGGAGACATCTCAATCTACCCTCACGACGACAACAACCTTCGCTGGGCGGGCGAAAGCACAGGCCCAAGCGGCAAGCCTCTGCAGCCGGGCGATAGGATCCTCGTCTTCAACTCCATTGTCGAGTTCAAGAAGACGTGATTCGTTCAGCTTCAGGGTTTTATGATGCTGAAAGAGGTTCCCCGGAATTGTACCTATTATGGGCAGCAAGCACCATGGTACAAAGAGCAACATCTATCGGCAGCTATATCATACATGACCTCTATAGTCAACCTACATATGTATCTTACAGTTTTGTATATTCCGTCCCAAACATGTGATTCAGCCATTGGCCTGCCTCGTCGCTGAGGCTGCTCCCGAGACCAGCTCGAGCAAGCGACGCCGCCCAGTCGTCCATCTCCCATATCCGCGCCCCGTGAAACACAGAGGCATCCAAGCCATCCACCGCAGCGCCATCACGATGCTTGATCTCCATGTCCTCAATGACGCCGTGATTCGCAACAAGACGCATTTTTAGCTGTGGAAAAAGCAATACATCAGCAAAACGTGATACAAGCTCAGATATAAGAGCGGGATAGAAACTCACATCAAACGGCACCTCCGCCCGCGGCCGCGGATCCTCCTGCGTAGGATGCGTCGAAAAGGTAAACCGCGGCGTCTGGCCCCAAGTCCAGCTCTTCGAACCGAGCTCCTCATACCCCTTCCGAACCTCCTCCACCTGCAGCGCTGCATCGTCATCAAACTCATCACGCAGATGCACCTCTCCGTACATGCTCTCAAACTCCCTCACAACCGCATCCTTGAACTCGTCATTGTCCACATCGACGTTCCGCACAGGACTCCGCACGCTGTCCACACCACGAGCATCCAAGTATCCCTGAGCAGGAGACCGCAGCAACTCGGAAATGCTCGACAGGTTGGGACTTCGAAGAAGACAGGTGCCGTGATGCAGCGACCGCAGACGCGTGAGCTTGTACGCCGAGCCCGAGACTTTGTATGTTGCCGCCTTTTCTGTGCTCGACGACGATGACGATGACGACAACGACGAAGCCACGTCCATGACAATGTCGTGTCTCTCGTTGACGCGCGTGTTCGGCCTCGACAGCGCCTTTAACGCGCGCACCACCATCTCCGCGTGCTTGTTGCGATCAAACTGCTCGGGAGGGCAAATCACGCTGAAATTGACATTGCCACCATCATGAAAGACGGCGCCTCCTCCCGACCTTCGACGCACCAACTGGATCGCTGCGGCGTCATTCCAGCCGGTAGCAGCATCAGCAGCAGCAGCAGCAGCAGCGGACGTGTTGTTCTTCTTCTTCTGCTGCTGCGCAATCTGCGCGAGGCGGTTGAGGTTGACCTGCAGCCACGGGTTCTGGTTGCGGCCAAAGACGATGCTGGGGGAGTTGACGTAGAGCGTGAGGACGGTCGAGTCCGGGGGCGTGATTTGCAGGAGGCGGTGCTCGACGGAGAGGTTGAGCAGGGCGTCTGTTGAGCGGGAGAGGTGGATTTGCACGCGGTTGGACGGGTGGGAGGCTGCGTCTGTTGAGAAGCGGGAGGTGGATGAGGCTGAAGGCGAGGGAGATGGATGCTGTGAGAGGGGTGAGAGGGTGCGTAGACGGGTGATGGTTCTACGGGTCAGTAGGTGTGAGGGTCTCATTGTGACAGGATGGGAGGAGAGGATGAATGAGATTCTATCAGAGGTGTATTGAGGGTATCATGGTGGTTAAATGTGTGGTTGGTGTGGTGTGTTAAGTGAGTCGAGGAGAAAAAGTGAAGCTATTCTATGTTCTATACACTTGGTAGATATTTCACACATACTACCTAGTAGTACTTACCCTAGAGCCGCCGGCGACTCTAGGGTACCTAGCCACGGCCCAACTTGAGCCCTCACAACGAGGCCGACATCTAGCCGCAGCTCGACCATCACTAGATCCATTGCTACCCAAAAATCAGGAGATATATGCACAATTTAACATAAATGATAGTCAAATACGAGGTAAATGTCATTGCTGTGATATATATGCGTGTACATTATCGTATGCTGTAGACATTAAGCTATGTATGTATCTGTACCCAAGGGTAGCAGGTCCGAATATCCCCCGGAAAAGAAAACCACCATTTATTTACATCGCCAACACATCAGAAAAAGCGCCAAACAAACATTCATCATCTCCTTAGGAGAATGAAGTTAACCACATATACAACAAGAAAAGAATGGGAAAAGAGCGGTAGAAAAGCAGCCAAAATGCGCTTCAATGGCCGCCCTGCCCCGACTCGCCATGCTCGTCAAACAGCCCCAGCACATCACTGGGAAGATACTCGAGCCACCCGCTCATCAGGTCCGGCTGCTGCAGCCCCAGCGCCTCAATGTCAATGTCCTGGCTGTCGAACGTGATGGCGTCCATGTTGCCCGTCATCGGCCCCCAGGCTTGATATGATGCCATGTTTTGCGCGAAATACATGCTGTTGCTGTTGCTGCTGCTGGTGGTGGTGGTGCTGTTGTTGTTGTTATTGTTGTGGGTATTCGCATTCGACGTCGTGTTTCCACTGGGGGCACTCGTCACGGCTGTAGAATTGCCCATGCCCGAATTGCCGCTGGTCGGGGATGCATTATATCCATCGTAGGGCTGGCCAGAGGTTGAGTAATTGGACATCAGACCCTTTGCATCCGGCGACTCTTCCGGAATGTCTTCGAAGCCCATGATATTCTGATTCCGCGAGTTCGCCCCCGCGGCATTCATAGAATTGGCAGCATATGGCCGCCGAGGAGAGTTTCGAATGGCAGACATGTTTGGCTGCGGAACCGCCGACGTAAACATTCCCACTTCCGGCATCGTGTGTCGAATGGGGTCCAGCGCGATGCTCCCCGGCGAACCATTGGCAGCCCTCGCCACGGACTGCACAGGCGGAGGGAATCCAGTGTGGCCGCCTGCGCTGGCGTTGAGAGCCTGATACATGAGTGTCAGGCTGGAGTTGGGCGAATTGGCCGTGCCGGACAGACTCCAAGCAATCGGTGAGCCGGCAATCTTGGGCGACGACTGCTTCTCGAACCGCGACAGCTGCTCACCAATCGACGGCCGAGGAGGGGGCAGCTTGGTGCTCTCATACTCCTCCACGGTATACGTCTCGCAGTCCCACTTGCCCTTTGACTTCTGGTCCAGCGCGGTGAGGATATAGCCTACTCCGCCCCAGTACGCCTGGATCTGCTGCAGGGAGTTGTAGCATCGCTGGTAATTCTGGTTGGCGGCCGACGCGAGAAGCGAATGCCGAGACTGCTTGTTAAAGTGCTTCGTCTGTTGCCTGGAGCGACTCGCTTGAGTGGGAGGCGAGCCCTCCCTGGACGAGCCCTCAGATGCATTGTTGGCGCTCGATTCCATGAGAAATGCGCATGCCGCGATATAAATGGGCTGATTCGTGAATGGGTTGCCAATAAAACTCGTCGGATCTATCAAGTCGGCAAAGGACAAAATGTCGCAGATGGTCTTTGCGCTGCTCATGCTCAGCTCACGGCTGTCCGAGAGCAGCTGGAGCTCGCTCCGCAGTTCGCAAAAGGGGGTAAGAAGAGTCGGTTGATGCAATATGATGAAGAGCGCGTGGAACCAAAAGTGGAGGAGGATAAAGTTGGTGCCCTGGCCCATGCCGAGGTACGTCTTAAAGTTGTTGACGTTGAACTGAAGCCGCGGGTCCCAGTGCTTGTACATTCTCGTGAGTCGATGCTCCATCTCGGATAGCTGATCCCACTTGTCCTGGGTAAGGTCTTGGGCGTCGTGGAGATTGTTCAGCACATCGCACACTTGACCGTAGAGGTGGATGATCTGGAGGAGAACAGGAAATGGGTTCGGCCATCCGGTAGCGAGGTCGACGCTGGATTCGGGAAAGGCGAGCTCGTAGTCGCCGTCGCGGATCGTGACCGGCCGTCCAGTGCCAGAGGAGATGAGCCGGTCCAGGATGAAGACGGACCAGAAGGTATATATGCGCTCCTGCTCTACCTCCTTCTGTTCCTCCGGGCTAGGGGCGTCGACGGCATCCGCCTTGTGCGCCTCTGGGCTGTCCTGATCATCGTCGTTGGCCCGACTTCGATGCCGGGTGTACCAAGGGTCCTTTTCGCCTTGATATTGAACGCCCACGCACTTTTGGAGACCGAGATCAACCGCCATGCGAATGGCCAAGCCCAGATACATCCACAGCGCGCTATCCTGGGCCGCCCCGAAGCCCTCGTATGCCATCAGCAGGCAAGCCTGGACCGCACCCACAGAAGGGCAAGGGAAAGTGTCGACGGTGGCCTGCCTGGCCCGTTGCGCAAAGACCTGGCCTCTCTCTGTCCGGGGCATCTTGTCGTTGCCGCCCGTCAGGATGTGATGGTCCGAGAAGCGCGCCGCGATGGCGCAGACGGCATCGACAAGTATCGGCTCGACCCGTTTCTCCTTTACATGTTGCAGAAACTTGTCTTGTTTGAGAAAGGGGTAATTGCACCCGACGTGAACAAAAAACGTATTGACTAGCTGAATGATTAAGGGATGAACGGGGGCGGAGTTGTTGGGGTCGTAGGAGGGAATGTCTTCGCGGACAATGTCGCTGTCAATGGCCGAGCCACTGGCCATCGCCCCGCTGGGCGTCGAATGAAGAGAGGCGCCGGAATGTGAGCCTGCCGTCGAACGGCGACGGTCGCGAACAGAGACCACCATTTGCTTGAAGCCGGGGACGATGGCCGTGGAGCCAAAGTAGCGGAAATAGGGGATGCGACGGCTGGGGGCCGATCGGCGGAGGGTGGGCGAACTGGGCAAGTCATCGGACGTGACTGAGAGATGAGCTTGATGATGAGGATGGTGATTCTGGTGGTGGCTCTGGTGGTGGTGATGTAGTACGGGAGACTGTTGCGGCTCTGCGTCGCCCGGGTTGGCATCGGCGCCGACTTCGATAGTCTGCTTGATATTGCGCCGCGGCGGCCGTGAAGCAGAGGCAGCAGAGGCAGCAGCATGCGTAGCTTGCAGATTGCTGCCCCCAGAGGACGTCGGACGGTTCGCAAGCCCCGAAGCAGCGGGTTTTCTAGAGGCGACGTCGTCCTCGCCTTGGTTGACATCCTCCCTTGGCGTCGTTTCCTCGTCGCCCGTCCTTGCCGCTGCCTCGCCATCTCTCCTGTCCTCGGGATAACCGAGGCATTGGTGCCCGTTCTTAGTGCATGTGGTGCAAAGCGGTCGTTCGCCGGCGCATCTCGTCTTTCGTCTTCGACAGGTCAAGCATCTGCGCGCAAGACGAGGTTAGCTCTACATACTTATAGCTTCACTGGTAACCGCATGGTGTTGATGCTCGCGCCATCTTGCACTTATCTGTCTAGGACAGCCATTTGCCACCAAGGGTGACGCGGCAAGACAGACGAAGCAAGGCGAGAGAAGCCCCAGAAGAACATACGCTGCATTGATCCTGCGTCGCTTGGACGGCGGCTGGCCCTGGTTATGTACGAAGCGAATCTGGCGCGGCGGGGGACCCGAATCCGGCGGGTTGTTGAGCAGCGTTGTCATGGCTAGACCATGACCATGATCATGACCGAGGCGATGCGGAGCAGAGACGGAGACACATGCGGGCGTGGAGAGGAGAGGTGGTCTGCAGCTGGGGGAGGCGGGCTGGGCGCAATCTTGGTCGGTCGGCACTCGAGGGCTGATAAGGATCGTTACGCCATGCGAGACGGCGCTGAAGATGTCGGCTCTCGTGGGTGCGTAATCAAGAACGAGGTCGCACAGCAGGCGGCGAATCGATATGGCGTCTGTCGATGTCGGTATTACGGTAGGCAGTCTCGAAGCAAATAGGTACGGTAATGGCCTGCAGCTGTATAAGGCGTAAAGAAGCGACGAATAGTAGGGCTGCGGCGGACAGGTGAAGGGTGCACTCTTGGTGGGATCCCGATCGAGGCCGAACGGGGTTGGAGGTTGAGGCTGGACAAGGACAAGGACAAGACTCTCGCCTTTGCAGGATTGATTCGCTTCCACTGCAGTTTGTGGGTAAATTGCAGAGTACCGGGTACCTCCTCGCCTACCCCATGCCGCAGGGAAAGAAGGGGTGGCAGTGTGCCTGAGACTCCACCCTGAGCGTGCGCAACGCAGCAGCTCGAGGTACCGGCTACCCTCCCTGCAAGCAGCAGTCCCGCTTCCAGCGATGCATCGACTTGTACATGCGACTATGGGGTGCTTCCCACTTTGATATCTCCCAAAACCGGTTTCTAGAACATTACCAAGGTAAGGTAGGCACATCTATCGATACCTGAGGTAGTACCTAGAGGTTGCTTCGTCCTTTTAGGTACTTACATGTCTCGGATCCTATATTTACACGTGCCAGGTGTCAATATGCGTATCAACAATATGTGCAGATTCACTCCCGTAGGACATGCAATTTAGGACAGGGATGATTTCTTCAAGTCATACGGACCTCGACTCCCCTTGTTAGGCGCCTAGTCCACCCAAGCAACCCCTCGATCCCAGCAGCCAATGCCGCTAAATTTAGGATTCAAAAGCTTGGCTCGGATATCGTCCATCAGCCTCTAGGCCCTCTCTCTTCTTGAGTCGATTCAATGGTCCGTCTAAGATGTGGATCAGGTAGAAAGAGAAAGAGAACAACTCGACTCCAGCCTGTCAACTCACCCGATCAACAGGTACCTTCGAAAAGGTCACAATAGGTACCTAGTAGTCAACAAACAACTGGGCCAATTTAGGAGCATGTTAGTGCATGGCCAATACACTGGAACCCCCGCGTCGTCTCCAGTTCTCGCCGGTACGTGGCCCCTCCCTACCTGACTTCCTCTTCTTCTCCCTTCTCATGCTACCTTAAGGTACACACCTACAGCTGATAGTACCTAGGTACCTCCTATAAACTACCTCCCTTACATGTACCTCATAACCTCGGCTGGGCCTGATCTGCTCCAGCTAACATACAAGACCAGAAAACTGCCTCATCTCAGCATCCATCTCGAACCAGAACGACATTTACCTACGGACTGTTGTTAAGCATACGAAGGAAAACAAGTCCTTTTCTCTCCTGAAACCCCACGATCCAACCCCCTGAGTACACCACTCCGGCTCATATAATCAAGCATCGTCTTCAGGCTATTCTCCCAAACCGTCCACCAACCACTACTAACACAGACGACTAATCGCGAGGTATTCCTCGGCCTTCTTTACCCCTTTTGTGAATACGTCTGCCTAAAAACAGTAGCAACATCACTCCGTCCATTTTCGCTCGTTTCTCCCGACGGCTGGCGATCCACTTGTTCTTTGGAGCGAATATCCGAAGTATACAACAAACCATCACCATCTTCTGCCATCCCTATCGCGCTCGAAACCTGCCATTGTAGCCGCTCACTGCGGTATTTGATCGTGTGGCCATCGATTCTCAATACTGTGGGTAGCGGCGTGTTTAGCACGGAGAGGGCCTTCCAAATCCCAGTCAACGACGAGGTATCATCTTATAAGCACCCCTCATCAAGTAGCAATGGATATCTAGCAAGTAAAAGGGCATTGAGCAACGGGGAATATGTTGATTCAGTCTTTTCTTCTTTTCTTTCTCTCACACGTACATCATTCCATCCGTGTCCTTCCACTTGCAGATGGATATCTTGGCCGTCCTCCCATCTGATAGTCTCCCAACGCCTCACTCCAAGAAAATAAAGGTCGCCATCTGACTCCTGTACGCCCGTCCACCGTCTCATAACTGGGGAAGATGACCCGTCATTAATCTTCCCACTGCCTGCAATAAAACGCCAGACCATTATCCTACCCAAAGACAACGGTAACACCCATATCTTGGCTGACTCTCCGCCACAAATCGTTCCTCTGCTCGCCTAAATGCATCATCAAATCATTCTCATCTTCGCCACAGTCTGCTCGTCTCCAGACCTCTTCGATGATGCACCTTGCTCGCTCAATGTTCGTCATTCCCTGTCGTTCACATACCGCAGCGAACGCCTGCCTGGAAAGTTCCCGATCGGCTTCGTCATTCGCTTCGCATGACGCTACAAATAGCGGCCACAGCAAAGCCCCCATGGGGCCTTTATTCTTGACCGTCCCAACACAGTGAGTGAGGCTGATGTGTGCATGGTGCTGCACCACAGCATGGCGCCGATCGTAGCCGTAAATGTTGCGGTAAAGGTAGACAAAGCCAGAGTGGCGATAGGCCATGGCGCTGTTGAGAATGCTCTGCATTTGCCTCTGCGCTGAAACCCCAGCCAAGATGGGATTCTCCGTATCCTTGGGCAAGGATTCGTCTGCGGGAAGCGTCCACTCTTCCAAGGCAAGCTCTACTGAGGAAGCTGTCATCTCAAAGTCCGCTCGCAGCATCGCCGTCTCTGCCTCATCACCCTGCAGTTCAGCCAAAGCAAGTTTCCTTTTCAGGCCGCCCAGGGTTGACAGTCGGTAGATGATGGGCCACAAGGATGTGGCCATTCCAAGTAGCGTATCGACATTCCCATCAGGGACGGTAGCGCCGCGGCAGTTGACGGGAGGGAACATGGCCAAATTCCCGCTTTCGGGCGCAGGTAGGAGCGGCGTAGAGTCGAACGACAATGCTGCAATAACGTCGTAGAATCGGAATGCCTATTTACAGAGGTTTGCCGCTTAGCCATGATGATGTGAGAACTCATTATGCTCTAGACTCACCCTCTCTAAGAAGACTGCCGTTGGGTCAGTCAGCGCCTGGCTGCTACACATGACTGCCATGGCCCCCTTCAAGTGGCCGTCGACGATATTCGAACGTCCACTCTGAACTAGCTATTAAACACTGTTAGATTTGGCGAGATACTCGTGGATTTGGAGTTGAAACCCACCACTTCGTAGTAGATCAAGAGGATGATGGCGGCCAGTACTTCGTTCCTATTCGCACCGCATCCCTTTGCTAGCAGAGCAGCCAACCCATGGATCGCTTGGTTGTGAAAGTAGACACTCTTCTCGCTGTTGTGGACACCTCGATGTTCTAGATGGGCACAGGCCAAGGCGAATATGGCATTCGAGACCGCTGGGCTTTGCTGGGACATTGGCAAAACGAGCCGCTGAAAGGGGTTGCCCTCGTCCTCGCGCAGCACAATGAGATGCGACAGCACGTTGGTGAAGTGGGCAATCAGGGCTCGTCTGTTGGTTTGTTGGGTGAATTCGGAGAAGGCAGGTATTCTGACCTCGATAGTGGGAGACGCAATAGTTGCAGGAGCAATCATCGCGAGAGATGGAGGCTGCGATGCAGAGCTGGGGACGATCACATGGTCGAGGGGAACGAGCTGATCGTCGTTACTATCGTCGTTACCATCTTGTCCCTCCAACCTCATGGGGCTAACTGGCACGTCGAAGTCGAAGCCAATGGTATCCAAACCAGCATCCTGCTCGATAGTGTTGGCGGCCCAGGTGGTAAAGATTTCATTCAGCAGGCCTTGATTGTATTCGGCCGGCGACGCGGGCTGGTGCATGCTTCCATCCACTAGAAGGCTATTGTCAAGGCCCGTGTCGGAGCACCACAGCGGCGTTTCCCAGTGCTCCAAAGATAACCGCTTTTGAGAGGCTCGAGATAGCGCATGATTCCCCAAGAGGGCCGTCGAGATGTCGTCCAGTGCTGAGTCGTCGAATGACTCTTGCCTGCGCCGCTGGCGGGGTTTGATGGGCTCATATACGCAGCTCTGCCCATGGTCCTGGCAGCGGCTGCATATGGGTCTTACTTCATCGCACTTCTTCTTCTGTGACGCAGATGTTAGAGATCTACAGAGAATTTGCAGTCGAGAAAGGTCGTGCTACCTTTTCTTTGCTATGAATAGGGGTCATGCGTTAGCGACTTGTATTATCCTCTCCAAAAAAACAGTCGACAAAAGGATAAGACAAGTCAGCTTACCAGTAATTGCATCCTGAAGTCCAGCGGCAAAAGACATCAGTATGACTCCCGATCTCCCAATCTCAACGACGCGCCAAAGTGAGCAGCGCAGTACAGGTCAACTTACCGGCTCTGGAGCGGCGCTTTGGAACCTTTGGAGGAGCAAGCCGGGTATACAGCAGCATCTTCCCTTTGGTCAAAGAGATTCCTCCCTCTGGTCCCTTTGGTGGTTTCAAGACTTGGCGCAGGGAACTATGGCGTGGTAAGAGGCCTCAAGAGCCCATCATATACTGACACAAGCCCGCAGTGTCGTCACGGCTTTTGTGCGGCTGGCGCTTTTGATTCGTACGCGCTGTCTCGGCAGCGACAAGAGCAGAAGAGACCCGGATCCCAGTGATGGTTTCGCCGACGAGTCAATCAATGTGTAACCGCGTGAGGTGTTGGCGACAACGAGCTGCCTCTAAAGCGGATAATGTCGCTAGCAAAGACGGGCGGGAAGAGCGTCGAACGCAGAGGGCGGGCCGCAGGATTGTCGAAGGAGCAGGCGAGCGGACGAAGAGAACAAGAGCAGATGAAGGGGGAAAAGGTCAGCAGATTCGAGGCCGGCGTCGACAAGGACGATTAGCCGTTCTCCGGTCCCTTCCCACGACGTCCCACTTTGTTCGCCTCATAAACAGTTACCAAACCAACTCACGTCACGCATTTCTTCACCACGACACGATGGATGCGTATTGGAACCGACCGGCTCAAGCCACGCTCAAGGCACCGGGGGTCCCTCGACGTTGCTAGACCCGTTGGAGGCGAAAAGGTGGAGGCTCCTATGCGGGGTTGGAACGAGCAGCTGCTGTTGAAGATCGTGCTTCTAAGCATGGGACGGGCCAGCTGCAAGGACCGAATACTCCTACGGTTATTTCAGCCTGTCCTGCATAAGGGGGGCGGAGGAGAGGCCTTGTGATGATCAATGCTTGACGAATGCCATGGCCCTCGATATCAGTCCTTTGCGGTTCCGTCGGCCGGGCCAGCCGTGTTGTCTGCTTTCTACGGAGGTATGTACTCTGCTGCTGAATGGCCCAGTGCGTTGCACAAGAAGCACAAACCTGGGGTACAGCCAGGTCTTCTCATACTGGTGTCTACTCCGCAGCACAGACGGAGAAATGACCGCTTCCGGTATGATTGGTCGCAGGCCGCCAGACGTCTCCTCTCTTCTCCTCAAGCCCCCCTTGACATTGGTCCAGGAGAACGCAAGCTTTTTGAGTCAGCCATGGGCTACTGGAGCGGGGAAGCGGGTTTGGCTCGTGGAGAGGATTTTCTCCACGTTTTTCTTCTCGCAGCGAGTCTGACGAGGGCCTGGAAGACGACTCCAGCGATTGTCGATGCGACGGACGGCGGGATGGCGGACTGCTGAGGAGTTATTGTTAGCTTGTGCCTTTGCTCAGACGAGAAGGTGGCAATAGCAGCAGCAGCAGCAGCAGTAATGATGCGTTAGTACTCAGTACCGGGAGGCGAGTGACATGCTGTCTGTCAAATCAAGTCACATCGGCTGCCCTCGAGAGGCCAGAGCCTGAGCCGCTACATGTATGTACGGGTCAAGTCAAGTCATCATGCATGGATGCTGTACTTGCTTGTATCGACAGCGACGGGTCGGCCCTCTTCGCCGAGATCTATCCTAGGCTTGCCACAGCGTTTGTCGAGCGTCTGCCGTCGCGTGAGGGGGCCGATCTCTTCGACATGCCCGGCACTTGTCGCTTCTCCTTTGCTTGGCCTTGTCCGCTCGTCGTCGGCCGATTGTTATCGTGGTATGTCATCCGCTGCAGCTTCTCCATAATGCGGCCGCCGCAGTTGTCACGGTCTGTTGGTTGAACAGCCGCCGGTCGGCTGATGATTCTTTCGTGATGTGTCTGGGCAAAGATCTCAGCATCGACAGACGGCTCTTTGCTGCGGCTCTGAGTGCAGGTGGTCAAAGTGGCACCTTCCGTGGGCTCCTCCTTCCCGCTCGGCTGCTGCGCATCATCATTGCCCCGATTAGATAATACGGCCACATCAAAGGGAAGATGCAAGCGGTCAGGTTGCCGTCTCTTGACGAAGCATCTCAGGAGCAGAATTTGGACTTTGCACCCAAAGCGCACCTCATGCACTCTTAGGCAGTGAGAGCAACGTATCATCCATCGACGAGGTGGCTTCATCTTTGCTCTCCTCAGCTGCCCCTCTGACAGCATCGTCAACAGAGGCTTTCGCATTGCGTTGCCCTGCCTCCAGCCCCATCATCCCCTACCTTGTTCTGCTGCCAGTTGACGTGGCTGCAGTAAGGCCAGCCTTCTGACACACAAAAGTCTTCGTACCATGAGCTATATTTGGCATACTTGACTGCAGTGGGATGCTCTCCCGCAGCGTTGCATTATTGGCGGCCTTGTGCGATGAACTGCCAGAGGGTGGGGGAGAAGGACGCTCGACATCACCAGACGGCGCCCACGATTGGCACATCAGCCGGGAGCCATGCGAACGGCACTGGGGCAGCCAATGGCAGGGACGAGGAGTGGCAAGGGTCGAATGAGTGCAGATGGGTGCAGATGGGTACTGCTGCCACACTGCAGACCTCAGCCTCGGTGCTGAGTCCTGCAATGGAACCACGCTCGACTGCTGTGGTGAGGAATATACTGGCGGATGTTCTCGAAGCCGGGAGCCCGCCTGCTTGCTGGCTGGGTTCCTGCCAGCATCTCCACCGGCCATTCGGCGGTAATGCGCTCGATCTGCGATCTCAGGGCGCTTATTTCGTCTGATACTATACAGCCTCGATGTTCAGCCTCGTGTCTGTACCTTGGTAGCTATCGCGACATGGCCAGACCTTATAGTCGCCGGCCCCCTCGTTGCGTCTGGTGAACCATCGACATGGTGGCTTCATAAGACCGACAGAGACTTCCATCTGAGACGCGATAAGCGCTCTGCGAGATCAAGAGCTCAACTATCTCCCTTGCTGTGTTCTTGGACCCCGTCAACGGGACGCTCTTCATCAACAGCCTTGTCTATAATACCTCTTCTCCCCATCCAAGCCTAGCACTCCATCCCGGATGATCAACGCTACGTCGCCTTTCCTATATCTACCGGCCGACCTTAGGTGATTTTCTGCGGCCAACATTCGCCATCCACCATTATGCTTGTGCCTGCGTCTGCACTCTCCCGCTTGGTTCTTCTTGCGGTAATCCATGGCTTCATCGTGGACGCCTTGGTTATCAGACGGCATGGTGGCAGTCAATCGAGGGCCGAGCCACCACAGACCACAGAGCCTGCCACCTTACTGCAGCGGGGAAACAAAGTCTGTGGCGTCAACATGAAGCTGTGTCCGGCGAGCTTGGGTGGAAACTGCTGCCCGAACAACTATGACTGCACGTCACGCGGCTGTTTCCCAACAAGAAGCAGCGCCGAGACTGCATCCGCATCATCATCATCATCTATCTACTCCTGTCCGAACGGCCAACGCCTGTGTCCGTCGTCTGTTGGCTTTGGATGTTGTCCTGATGGGCTGGTTTGTGGTGTCAGCCGATGCTATTCCACCCATCCAGTCACCGAGACGATGGTGACGCCCATTACCACAACGGCAAGCGGCACGGTAACTACAATTACCAAAACTTCAATTACTGTCCATGGCGCGAGTGTCCCATCCGATCTCGGCTCATTGGATGGCCGAACCAATGACAACAGTGACAGCCAAGCAGCCGAGTCAACACCCACTTCTGTTCCGAAGTATGTACCCTCTTCGGGAGACGATGGCAATGACGAGACTCTCTCGACAACTCAGCTAGGAGGCATCATTGGAGGGGCCATCGCCCTGCTGGCCTTGGTGATTGCTGCGGCTTGTGTCATGATCCGGCACATCGACAGGCTGGCTGCGCAGATGTCTCGAAACTCCAAATCATCTCGATCAAGAACGGCAACGAAGCAGACAAGCTTGTCAAGCTTGAGCAGCCGAAGCTCCCGGACAGCCTCGACTGAAGCGTCGACGCGGCGTTCACATACACGTCGAAAGGACAGATCCACAACCCGTCGTCATCGTCAGCGGCGGAACGGTTGTATCGCGACAAGGTCTGGCGACTTTCTGATACAAGGAGCGCTTGGGAGGCAAGGGGGTGCTCAGGGCATTCCGCTCCAAGTCTTGACACGGAACGCCAACACTGACGGTGCTTTCCCACCGGATTCAAGGCAGATAGACGTCGTATCGCCCACGGCCAACAACGATGCATCCCCGAGGCAGCTGAGTTCTCCGTCGCCGCTCAGCGTTGCGTCTTCAGAGCTTGAGGCGAGCTCGCTGGCGCAAGAACTGGCAGGGACGTCAAACGCGGCCACTTTGGCAGCAGACTCTCTTATACACAATGCTCAAGACATTCCGCCCACCGACCTCCCGAAGGTGGCCACCCGACCGCCGCTCGCGTACCAGTGGATGAGGAGCATAGGATTGCTCCGGGCGTCAGAAATCACAGATCCGGATGACTATCGGATTGAGGAGGAATCACACGGATTCTATGGGTCTAGTGACCATGTGGCCGGTCGAACTGGGCTTGGGATTGGCTATACCGAGATGAGAGGAGGTAGACCTGGCCACTACTTTTGTCCTGCGGCGAAGAGGACTTAAGGAAGTGTATGATTGTGCTATAGAAGGTTTTATCTTAGAGTTTCCTACCCTAATTCTCTTTTGTCCCGCTTGGAGGAGGCTGTTGTTTGATAGCATCGCATAGCATGGCGTTTCTTACTAGTACGTTGTAATATAAAACGCATGACCGCATACCGAATTGGACATAACCCTATTTGATGAAATAGGTAGATGAGGCGACTTGGGTTACTGTATTCTCAAGCTGATCATCATCAGTGCATGCAGGCAACTCAGCTGGTCCGGAACAAATTGCAGCTGCCGCTAGCTTTAGAGTGGGCAATATGCCAGCCCCCTTGCATCAAATAGGCCGTGTGGCTCAATGGCAGAGCGTCTGACTACGACTAAGTACATCAGGAGGTTGCAGGTTCGACCCCTGTCTCGGTCAATTTTTTGGTGTTTCTCGCAACAATTGCTGGGATGTTGCGAAACTTTTCGTCCACTTTTTTTTTTCTTTCCAAATTCCCAAGAGCGATGTGTGTCTCTTGAATGTGTATTGTGAGACATTCGGATTCAACCGTGCAGTGACTGTGATTAAAGTCGTGTGGTATTTTCTGTACCTATCTTACCTATGCCACTGTCATGTAATCCAACCATTCAAACGGTGCATGCTATAATATCTTGCTGAAGAAATCAAGTTGCAGTTGACAAATATCACTCTCGCAAAGGAATGTTGCACACATGCATGCAATCTCCATACGATGTTACTTACACCAGCTTTCTGCCACTGCTCGAAAGAGGTACTTTTACCACTTAATGGGTGCTTATAAGCTTATTCTTGGATCAGGCTGTTTACTCAGCGGATTGTTCCGTGTGGAAGGACGACAGTTGCACCCCGTATAGAGATGTGACAGAAAGGTAATACTACATTGTTTTGCAGTTGCCGCCCAATTCTTGGTCTGTTGTCGCTTCGATGCAGGTCTGATTAGCTCTGCTCAATTCTTCAGCGACCGACTTGGCGTTGCCCTTTCTACACAAGCGAAGATGCTCTCCCCGCCTGTTTTTCATTTATTTAAGCAAAATAAGATTCAAACCAACAAAGTAGAGGCGCATCATCATAACTCAACTCGAGTCTGCTCGATTGCAGGGTATGCAAATGGGAGCCGGTTCGGCAGGTTGGCCCGTCTCTCTGCCTTCTCACTTCTTGTGGCGGTTTGGGGCAGTCGGAACACATCGAATTCAAATGGCCGTGTGGCTCAATGGCAGAGCGTCTGACTACGATTAAGTACATCAGGAGGTTGCAGGTTCGACCCCTGTCTCGGTCAAGCATTCATTTTTTGTCTTTTTTGTCCTTTCCACTAGTAGCTCCACCGTTTTCTGTCCGGCCTCTCAGTTCATACATATACTTACTTTCCAGTGTATTGGTCAAAGTCATCGTCAGTCTATCCTTGCTTGAGAGTCTCAGACGCTCGGACGCCGATGGTTTCGCCTGTCTTGTGAGACATGAACCACTGGCAGGTGCTGGATCCCGCGATCGATAGGCGTGCGCGTTGCCCGATTCGGCTCGGATGCTGCCGGGACACACTTGTGGGTCTGAACAATCTCTTCCGCTGACAAGGTACATAGAATCAACTGTTGCACTGGAAAAGCGCTGAGTGGCAGAATTGTCTCTTGTTGGTTTGGAATGGCATGGGAGAAGAGAGTGGTAGTAATAGCAGGTACATGAAATTGCGGATGATGACTGCATCGTGGCCACTCAGCTCCTCTCTGATACATGCATCACCTACATACCTCCCTAATGCAGGAGAGCCAGTCTACCTACCTAGTACCTACTATTGGTTATTCTACGTCTTGTATGAGGTTTTCCCTACCTGTACTGTAATGCTCGCACTCGTCTTATTTCGTAGGCCACAAAGCTCCATCCATCATTGTCTTGGTATCCGTGCTTCTCTGCGGACGGAACGACTTTTCACATCGAGAAGCGGTGGGAAGCGTGGCCGCCACGTGCGGCAGAGGGTTCACATTTGCTCTGCTGGCGATTCAGACAGGGCATGGACTGTCAAGGGTCATCACGCGGGAAAGGCATGGATGTGCCCCTGGTTGATTATTCTAGGCGGCGCCTTGGCATGGGAACTTTTGACATGATGTATGTGCTCTTTCGTGCTGTGTTTTTTTTTTTTTTTTTCTTGGGGGCAAGTCTTTATCCGGCAGCATGGAGGTGAATTCTAGTCTGTTCGCTCTTCTTGGCTTGTGATGTTGCTCCAATTCTTCGTGCTGATGGACGTTGTCAGAGCTTGAGCGATGTCGAATTGACGCTGAGGCTGGTTGAAGGTCATTTCCGCCTCAACTCCAGCATCAAACTTCATCCGATCCAGGTCCCGTCACTTCCAGCTGTCAGAATAGCCACAGCGGGCTGTAGCGCTGTTGGCTAGGTGCCCTTTTAGCGGTTTCTAGCACCCGGGAGACCCCACTGCAGGATATTGGACCTCAAGCTCGCATCATCCAGCCGTGGACGGCCAATTTCCACCTGCATCGAACACAGCTTCACCAGGCTATTAAGACCACGTCTCCGCCTATTGATGATGGCATGGGTTTCATCTTGACATCCCATCTGCTTCGTCGTCGCATACGAGATGGACGCCTTGTACACTGACGTATAGACAGACACGCACAGAAAGGCAGACGAGACGAGTCGCCGAGTCCTGGGCCCTTTTGGCGTCAAAGCATGAGCACAGGTCATGATGACTGACCGACTAGCCGTGCTGCAAGAGGCTGGTGGTGAATGTTCGAGCCCAAACTAGATCAACATATCCATGGCGTCAATGTCTGGCTCTTAATCGGTGTCCTCCTTTGCCGGCAACCGAACATCTCAAGCTGAGGCTCGAAGATGTGGATGGCAAAGCCGGAACAAACTGACATTGATCGAGCCTCCACGAAAAAGTCAACGATGACTACATACATGACACCACAAACCAAGCAAGAACAGAGAAGAATACGGCCTGACATGGCCTCGCCCTCCCGCTCTCCTTGGCAACGGATCCTACGGACACACTTCCATATTACTACATCCCAGCCAGGAAAGCGTTCGATGATGGGATCGTGTTCAGCAGCTGACATTAGCCGGGGTCTCTCTGTCTTGATTGCTCAATGGACCTTGACGGACAGGGGCCCTGGTCCGTCTCACAGGCACGGCTTCAATAGTCTGGCTGACTCTTGGCTGCGAGCGAGAGGCAGCGTCGTCTCCATCTTCCCCAACGTGGCCACCGAACGAGGCATCCACGCCTGTCTAATTCAGTCTCTCTCCGTTCTGGACGCGTTCCTATAAGTCATGGAGGTCATTCACTACGCAAATACGCACAACAAGGATGGCAGATGCTGAGGCCGGTGATAAAGACTGCTCGACGCGAAGTCAGACTGCTTGCCGGACTGCTCGCCATCTCCGCCTCATGCCACTGTCCTCAGCCCTGATACTAGGTGGACATGGACCTTTGAGAGTCTGACTCCCAAGAACTGCTGCTAGCCTGGCAGGGAGGCCATGCGCTTCCGCTTCGGCTGGTCGCACCGTGAGCGTCTGCAGGGATTCGTGGAATGGACATTCATCCCGGCCTTGATCCGGGGTCCAGCTCGGTCCTGTCCAGCTGTCGCTCGCTCTCGCCTCCTCCACTCCAGTGTCGGCGCTTTTTGCTTGCTTATATAGACCTGTCGTCTCGCTCAGCCCGTTGTCGTTGCTTTTCTCTGTATTCCCGTGCCGGCCAACCTCAAGCTCATCACAGCACCCGTCTTCCCTCGAGACAAGCCCAGACACCGCAAACATGAAGGCCGCTGTTGTCCTGTCCTTTGTCGCCGCCGCCATGGCTGGTCTCATTAATGAGCGAACCAATGGATGCAACGCCGACAACTGCGCCCGTGCCGTGACCGGCACTCGCGAGGGTCTCCTGCCCATCACCTCTCGCCAGTCCGACTGCTCTAGCTTTATGCAGGCCACTGTCACTCCCAAGGCTACGTATGTCCACGGCTCCGATCCCATCTTATGGCATCATGCCAAATCTTCAGCACAATCGCATCGAACCCCTGAGTATCAAGTAAGCAACTCCATCGCTAACATTCCTGTTCAGCACCACCACCATCACCATCACTGTCGACCCCGAGGTGACCCCCAAGGCCAAGCGCGCCGTTGCCAATGCCGCTCCCATCACCGTCACTCCTACGGCCATCCCCAACTATGCCGACCCCTGCGACGTTGCTCACTACTCCTCTGCTTGCTCTTGCTGGGGCATTCACGCCACTACCGTTACGGCTTCTACTCCGACCCAGACCGAAATTGTCACCGTCACTCAGTCTTACTGCGAGCTGTGAATGGATGATGCCGTGGTGTAGATGGGAATGGGAAAGCCGAGCCCCGTACGACCTTTCAAAGGTCAGAGACTTGTGGCGTAAATAGCACGTTGGAATCGGGATGAAGGTGGTGGCTTGGTCGCTTCGAGGGGATGCTTGATGCTATGAGCCAGCCTGAAGCGACGCTTGAAAGAGCTGATTGCCATTTCGCAACGACATGGAGAACTCTTATACAAACGGACTGAACTGTTGCTTACAAAATCTGTATAGTGTAGCAGGAGAAGAATTTCAGGTGACTCACGTCCTAGCAGGAGTCTGAACGCGTCGATATATGCCCTCAGCGGCCATGTTCCCCAGTTGTTGAGGAAACCGTGCAGAGTTGCAAAACTATGGCTATATACACATGTGTCACATGCATGCACGTCTTCCGTGCTACCTTTGGGGGCAGTATGACTGCATGATTGGTCTTGCGATGGCCTCCTTGGCATTCATCTTGGTGTAAATCCCTTGGCGCAGCTTACTGAAGACATTTATACTTGTACTTGTGGTTGGACATACCTAGGTACCTTGTAGGAGGTATCTACCTTGACGTTCACGTGTAGCATGATGTTCATGTTCTCATAGTTATCCCAGCAGAATAATGGACTTCATTCGCTGTGATTCTGTATGGTTTGTTCCCTTTCACTCGGGTAGATGGGCAAGGTCGAGACTCGCAAGGTCCAAGATGGCCTCTGGCTGGGCCTTGCCATATATAGCAGCAAACTCCCTGGCTCTTGTTATTACTCGGGTCGCCTGAAGAGGAGACGCACCAGGGCCAAGCCAAGACCACTTCGCGGCATCCGGTGAAGCTGAGGCCGATTGTGAAACCGCTCGACTGGGCATGGAACACTGCCAAGATCTGTACTCTCCCGCATCTAGAAAGGAAAGATAGGTCGCCTTGTGCTAGAGAGATGTCAATGTCAAGCACAGCAGGCATCTGTACAATGTCGAGCATATTTTGAAAGAGCTGAATGCATGTTCATGACGACGAAGGTTTTACTTGACTTTTTTGAATGTCGTCTGCACTTGTAAAGGTTGTGAGCCAAACATGTAATGCTTTAGAGATACTGATGCTTTCATCAATAGTATCAATTGTACTTTATCAAGGGGATGCAAAAACTGGACTGAACAGAGTGTGATGAATGGCTTTTTACTGGGTGTGGTTCGCATATAAGATCCATGTAGGCGGCTTATATGTGATGGCCTCCGCCTCCATCGTAAATCCCCAACCTGCAGTCCCAGCAGAGCTAGAATTGAGGCCATTCAATCGGTTGAACCCCCCGCATATCCTGCCAAGAAAGGACCCTGCGCATTTGATCCCCAGCCAAAACGTGCCGAGTCAGACAGACATCAAACGACGGCATGTCAATCCCATGCATCTCCAATCGCAAGCATGTGGGCAGGGCTTTGACCGACGCGCGAACAGACCCTCCCTACCTAAGCATCAAATGTGGCAGCACTAACGCGGACTCAGCCGCTGCAGAATCGACGGAATTCTAGTGGATGAAAGAGAAATGGATGGGACTGGAATCTGGAAAATCTTCAGCGCTCTCCATGGGGCTTAGATCAGGCGCCGCGGTGGCACAACTATTGCCGCTGCAAAAGCCGGAAAAGGGGGCCTGGGGAAGCCATCAATTTGAGCTGAACGTGCCATTCATCCAGAGACGCCACTTTTTCGTAATATTACATTCCATCATCAATCTCCGGAGAATCATCTTCCAACTCTAAAGACTTGGGATATCACATACTCCATCGCCTCACAGAGGTTCGGCACATGGAACCAGGATCAGAGCACGATACTGTACTGTACCTAGATAAGACTGTCACTGGTAGCGCCCGATCTGATACATCGCTTGATGCGTCCCATCTATGCGCAAGACAAGCTTAAATATAAAAGTGTTTGACGACTGTCTCATGCAACAGCTCCCGACTCCACACAGACTCTAGGGAGTGCGTTTCCAGCTCGACAGAGTCTAGATTGTTTCATCTTGCGGATGCTTCATCTTCAAGATGACTACTACTACTAATAATTTTGACGTGGACCCGGGCTTCCGGGGCCTTGGGCGGAGGCGGCCTCTTGGCTGGTCAGCCTTGAAAGAAAACAATGAGCACCAGAAGAAATTGAAGAAGCGAAAACGAGCCACTGCCGGACTCAAATATGATGATGATGTACTGAGGACTTGACAAGAGGATGAGAGGATGGGCTGTGGCTGACTTGAACTTGTCGCGCCGGCGCTTGTGGTGATGAGCCGTGGCATGGCAATGTCATGCAATGTGGCGGTGCCAATCCGGCAATGGCTACAAGCTTATAAGCCGCCGGCTATCTTACCCCGTACTTACAGCATAGTCGAAAATCCAGGAGTTGTCCGTGTCGTGTCGTGCCTTGACGCCGTCGGCAAGCTGCCTCCCTCCCCCCCCGGAGCCATTCGCCAAGGTGACGAGTTGTTTCCGCTATGGGCTTCAAGCTTCGAGATTGGCTGGCAATGGCCGAGTGTCCCGGGAGATTGACAACTCCGTCCACGGCGCAGCGGGCAGCTTTTGACTGACTGACACGACGGGGTTTTGTGGGTGGCCAGGGGGGGGGGGCAGGTCGAGGAGGCTAGAAGCCTAGAACCCGTATGATGATGCATGGGGGAGGGATCATAAGCCAGATGTAAGCTCCGTCTCCTATCTGCCGGGACTACAATTAGAGCCAGCAGTCCGCCTTCAACTGCGTCTCTCTCTTGTCTTTGTTCTTGGTTTATTAATTGGGGTTTCTAAGGGACTACATACAATCATCAATCTTTGTTTTCTTCTTCTTCTTGTCTTTTCCCTTGCTTCTCGCTTTCGATTGTATATATATATATATAATTGTATATGCTTGGTATTCCCTTCAACTACGCTCCTCACTTACACCATTTTCCAACCATCACCACCACCTACTAGGTAGACAAACGCCAACCATGCCTCGCCTCACCTCCCTCGCCCTCGCCGCCCTCTCCCTCGTCGCCCCGGCGCTGGCAGCCTGCGACTACGGAACGCACCTCAACCCGCGCTCCGAGGGCGCCGTCCCCATCAGCACCTTTGGCTACACGGCGCTCGACGGGCCCCTGAACTGGCACGGCCTCAACGCCACGGCCAACGCGCTGTGCGCCACGGGCAAGCACCAGTCGCCCATCAACATCGACTCGAGCATCCAGAGGATCGAGGGCCGCTCCGTCGAGTTCGTCGTCGACGCGTATCCGTACGGCGCCGAGTTCGAGAACCTCGGGACCACGGTCGAGGTGCCCGTCAACGGCACGCTTTGGGCCGATGGCAAGATGTACAAGCTGGCGCAGTTTCACTTTCATTCGACCAGCGAGCATCGCGTGGAGCAGGAGTATTTCCCCATGGAGACGCACTTTGTGTTTTCCGCCCCTGGTGAGTCTAGTACTACGACTAGTACCCGGTTTAGTTTGAGACATTTGGTTCATATGCAGCCCTATGGAATCTATATTTATTACTACGTCTTATACATGTTCGGTTACTGACTTTGTCATCACAGACAAGTCGACGGCTGTCGTCTCCTTCTTGATCGAGCTCGGCCTCCCGGATCCCCTGCTGACGGCCGTCTTTGCCTCCGTCGGCATGATTTCCACGCCCGGCTCGGCCACCACCACGGGCCCTCTCGTCTTTGCCCCTCTCGAGGCTCATCTCAAGGCTCATCCCATCTTCACGTAAGCCCCTTCTTTTCTTCCCGCCTAATAGTGAGTTATCGGCTAACGCTCATACAGGTACTCTGGCTCTCTGACAACACCGCCCTGCTCAGAGGGCGTCACCTGGTACATCAGCAGCAAGCCTCTTCAGATCGACGAGACCACGTACCACCGCGTCAAGGACGTGATCAAGTTCAACTCTCGCTACACCCAGAACACTCTTGGCGAGGCGAATCTGCTCCAGCACGCCGCCTCTCTGCTCAAGTAAACCCGGGTTGATGTCGATGAGCTGTACTCTATTTGGCCTGTACATGTATGTGTATACTATCTGTTGGGACACACGTTGGGGGGAGGGATTTGTATGGTTGAATAATGGTGTATATCATTTGTATGCATATGGGGGACAGTCGCTGGGAGACTGTCGCTTGATAGAGGCTGTTGTTCTGTTTATTACTTCTTTGCATAAAGTTGAAGCGCAATATATCTAGTCTTGGTTCAAAAGTTTTTAAGCTGGCCATGATTTTTGGAGAGCAACAATCATCACACAGCAGATTGGAAACATTCGTACGACTCGGACATGACTCGACGACGGCCAAGTTGCACAGGACTCGACGACCTCGAACGGTTCGATGGCTGTGCTGTTGCAGGAGGCACAAAACTTCGGTAAAGATGCCGTCTTTTTGGAGTTTCACAGCTTGTTCAAATTCTGTCAAGCTGTAATTGACACAACGCCAGCTCCATTCACATAAAGGAAACATGAAGCCGTCAGTCTGCATAGAGTTTTTGAGTTTACAAGTCTCATGGCGAGTGTGTCCATCGTCACCTGTCAGATTACCGAATCCGGGATAGCGATGCGGGAGAGGCTGCCAAGGGTCAGGTCATAAGCTGATGACGGTTGATTAAACGGGAGGACCCCTTGATGAATGAAAACAATCGGCATTTAAAAAAAATAGAAGAAAAAAGAGCTTGATATTGCATTCCCGGTGGTCATGGACTTGGCAAGATACGCGGCCAATTAGTTGCTGGATCTGGCGGTGAAGAGTGTTGACGTGCTCGCCTTGCTGGGTTGAGGCTAGTCTGTCACGCTTCTGATGAAGAATCCGCGCTTCAACCCAAGGTACAGATACACGAGAGTTGTCTATAATATTATACACAATTCCATACCTAGCAAATCGATCAATGTCATCTAATTCTGCCGATTGGGACACGACAAATGATATCAAGTGATAGGTAGCCAATTCAACGACTTCCCCAGGTTCACCGTCTACAATACAGCCGTTGCCGGCAAAGGCACTGTCTGTAAACAAACAGCGACTTTTCCCACGATCCGCGTCTCGTCAATCGTTTCATGCCCCTGCCAGCCAAAAAAAACCGGATTTTGTGGATCGCGCACAGCAGGGGGAGGCAATGAGGCGACTTTGTTGACTTGCAACCTGTAAGGGCATCGACCGATTGGATTTCAGGCAGGAAGGAAGAGGAGAGAAATGTAAAAAGAAAAAAAATAAAAAGAAGCACAAACCATTGGGTTCTTTTGCTGCTGAATGTCTGTCTCTGTCTCTGCGTCTGTGTCTGTGCCTGTGTCAGTGGAGTGTACAAAGCAAATAAAGTAGGCACCTCTAGTACATGCAAGATTGCGGTAAGCTTTGACAGCAAACTCAATTGAACTTCTACAACTAGGTACCTTGACACCTTACATGAACTCATGCTGATGCACGCAATGACATGCTGAAGAATCTCTCCCGTCTCTGCAGCAATCCATCATCATCAAGCAGTTACTGTAAGGCTCACCTCAATTGATTCGCCATCAACCCTCTGTCTCCTGTCGAGCACCTTCGTAGCGCCGCTCTCACCCCCAACCCCCATCGGCCCGGCAACCAGCATCACCAAGCCCACAATCTCGAGGTGGCTGGGCCTATCGTGTTAGGCCACATCTGCACGCACTGCAGCTCATGCCCTTATTTAGCAGCAGCCGTCACATCTCACACGCGAGGTCGGGCTCTGATCCTCTCTTTCTCCCCCTTGTGCCTTGTCTGTATCTAGCCCTCTTGTCGTCTTTTACGGTAATTATTCATTCATATCTTGTTCATTGCTCTCTGTTTTGTTCCTCGCTCGACTCAAGTAGGAGGGGACTTGTATTTACCTACCTCCTACACACACCAGTCCACTTGATTGATATCAGTCGTCGTTATACCGGCCGTTTGTTGGGCTGAGAGCGGATACGACAGTCAACAAGCAACGCGACAGCCCTTGCTTTTTCCTCTTCTTTACTCGTACATGATAGAAAAGAGCCACCTGTCGGCTTGATTCTCGTCCCGCTTCTCTCCTCTTCCTCCTCTTCTTCCTCTTCCTCCTCTTCTTCTTCTTCCCCCAATCCATCCATCCTCTTGTCTCTCCGCCTCCAAACCCGGGCGCACGAGGCAGCAGGACCCGGACACTGCCATTCACTCGAGCATGGAAGACTACCGCTACGACCACGACCACGAGTACGACGACGACGACACCACCATGTCCCACGCAGACGCCGCCGACACCAGCTCGCACCACGGGCACGACGACGACGTCTTCAGCGACAACAACAGCCCGCGCAGCTCCATGGGCTCCGTGTCCGAGGGCGACCCGCGCAAGGCCGCCCACGACGGCCTGCGCTCGCCGCGCATCTCCGACATCCAGCAGCAGTACGACGAGCCGCGGTCGTCGCTGAGGTCCGCCTCCTCCTCCGCCGGCAAGGCTGCCCAGCACGCGGCAGCCTCGTCCTCGTCGCCCGCGCCCTCCGTCGTCGGCGCCGGCCAGCCCCAGCCTCGCTCCGGCCGCCGCAGCGCCCTGCCCACCGTGTCCCGCCTGGGCTCGCCCAACCTGTCGACGCAGTACTCGCCCAAGAAGACGCCGCCGCGCTTCAAGAAGAACGACCCGCCGCTGGTGCTGCTCCACGTGACGCTGCTGCCGCTGCGCTGGTGCTGGGGCGACGTGCTCGACGACGCAAAGACGAGCGAGCTCAGCGAGGGCGTCAAGACGCTGCGCGAGGCCTGGCGCCAGCTGCAGGACACCATTGGCGACACCATCCAGGACCGCGGCGTGCTGCTGCCGCACCCGCAGGACGACTTTGAGGCCATGGAGGAGCGCCTGCTCGAGGCCCTGGAGCTGCCCTTCAAGCGCCGCGCCCGCATCCTCGAGTGCGGCCACTACCTGGGCCCCTCCAACGAGATGCCCTTTGCCGACGAGGAGGAGGAGGACGACGACGTCGATGCCGACCCCTATGATGAGGACGCGCCGGCCCGCCCTCGGGTGCCCGAGAAGCAGACGCACTGGTGCTCGACCTGCCACTGCGAGATCCGCTTCGACGCCCTCGGCGCCGGCAAGATCTACCGCGTCAAGGTCTACGCCAGCAACGGCCTGCTGCGGGCCGGCGCCTGGGAGGCCTGCTGGAAGGAGATGGAGCGCGTCGACATTGAGATTGAGCCCATGATGGACGCCAAGCTCCAGGACGAGCTCGTGCGGCTTGCGGCGCGCCAGGATAGGGTCATCCACTCTAAGAGCAGGGCTGGCAGGCGCCCGCTGTCGTCGCGCGTGCAGGACGTCGAGGACGAGCGGGAGTCGGAGGAGGACCTCGACGACCCGGCCGGTGGCGACGAGACCATGGGCCACGACTCGTTTATGCCACAGGACGGAAGCACGCCGCGCACCTCGTTCGAGGGCTACGGCGACACGTACAGGGCCAAGTCCCGGCAGGCGTCGGGCAGGGCCTCCAGGGGCGGCCGGCCACCGACGGGCTTTGCCCAGACGGATGCTTTCGGCCAGCAGCACAAGAAGCAGCGCCGCTTCGCCGCCGGCAGCTTCCCGGACATGATTGTCAACGCCTTCAAGGCGCTGCTAGACGACAAGCGGAACCTGGCGATTTTGCTTCTGAGCGTCCTGACCGTGGCGGTTGCGGTCCGCGGCGGCGTCAACAGCCCGTTCTACGACGACATTGCCGCCTTCCAGCCCGTCCTGACCGAGTCCAGCGAGACGCCGACGACGGTTGTCAGCGAGGCCATTGGCGAAGACGGACCGGTGCAGGTGGAGGTGGGCGTCGAGGGCGACGACGACGTCTCCTTCTCGCCGACGTCTGCCGTGGTGGAGATATTGTTGACGCCGCAGGCCAAGGCCGACGGCGAGAACCCGTGCGCCGCCATGGAGCCGCAGACGGTGGAGAAGTGGCTGACGGCCACGGTGACGGAGAGGACGACTGTCGCGCAAACCGACATGCCGGAAGCCGACGATGACTTGTTTGGCACCAAGACCGGCGATGAAGAGGTTGACGACGAGAGCTTTGAGGGAGCCAAGGATGCAGATGGGGTGCACTATCTGGATGGGCTTCCGGGCGAGGAGGATGCCGGCGAGCAGCAGCAGACTCACGGGCAGTCTGATTGGGAATGGGGCTCTCGCTTCAAGTTTCCTTGGTAGAGGCTGATTTCCTTTTCCCTGCTTTTTCTCTCTCTCTTTCTTTTTTTGCTTGTTTAATATCTTTTTTTCTCTTTTCTTCTTTGGAAGTATTTTTTTATGGAGTGTTGCCCCTGCGTACAATCACCATGACCCCTAGCGATGATGGATGAAGGATACCATGAATTTGTATGTAATGAGCTGGATACAGATGCCTGATAAAAAACACGCCCGCGATGACCTTTGAGCTTTGGTTTCTTGTCGTTCCTTTTGCTTGGACATGGAGGGAATTTCTTTGAATAAAATGCATGGTGGAGGGGAGGACAAAAGCAGTTGAGATTGGTGGATTTGCTTGGTGGGAATTCATATGTGGCTGGTTGTATGTCTGTCCATGTTTATATCACTTGAAACTCAATAGCGTAGCAAAGACTAGAATACTTACCATCCTTGTTCATCTTCATCCTCGAAGCCTTGCGTGATTCGGGAAATGCATGCCATTGCCTGCGCGTTGTGCATTTGCTTAAGAATTGCTGCGAACTGCTGATACGGCTTACTGACGGCATCTCCCTCCGCTGCTTCTTCTCCCTATCTGAGGTAGGTATGGAAGAGGAGCCTTAACTGGCATACATGAAAAGGTACCGTGTCTCCTACTTTATATCTAGGTAGCGCATTGCGATCAATTGGAGGCAGTCTTGAACTAGGCATGTATTATCATTATGGGCATGAGCCAGCATCAATACTAGGGATATTAAGTTGGGTATGCATGCATAATACAAACGCTATATATATCCACACATCGCTCTTCAAACAAAGCAAAAGCAAGCCCAGCAATTTTGGCCCCCAAGTGATTAAACAGAAATCCCATACACGTGAATCCATCCATAACATGCTTCTCTTTTTTTTTTCTTTTTCTTCCCTTTCATGTGAGCCCCATCAATCTCCCGTCCGCGCCCGCCCCATTACAATCGAATGTAAATGTCCATGCAGTCAATCCTCCACTCCCGCTTGCCCAGCAAGTTTCTAAGCCACTCGACACCCAAGCCCGTCCACTCGTTCCTCAGCACGGCGATTTCCTCAGCGGCGGCCCGCGCGGCGGCTTTGGCGGTGGTGTTGAGCATGTCGACGACTGTGGCGTTGAAGGCATGGTCGTGGTCGGGCGGTAGTTGCAGACTCGGGGAGGAAGAGGAGGAGGCTGCTGTTGTTATTGTTGTTGATGTTAAGGTGGTGGTGGTAGTAGTAGGGGGGCGAGGGAGGAACCAGTTGCTGCTGAGGTCGAAGCAGCAGCGGTCGGACCAGTTGCAAGACGTGAGGAAGAGGATGACGAGGAGGACGGAGCAGTAGACGCAGGGGCGGTTGAGGAAGTAGGTGCAGATGAAGAAGAGGAAGATGAAGGCGGGCGAGGCGTTTGTCGGGATGAAGAGGAGCGGGAGCCAGCTGCAAAAAAAAAAAAAAAAAAAGAGACGTCGTCAGGTTAGTGATTGCGACATTTGGGACAAAAGCCGGAGTTTGCTTTTGGGGTTTCGTCAAGAGGAAGGGAGACAAACCTGCGGAGGCAGAACATTGTGTTTGCTGGCTGTGGTTGTGTGATTGCGATGGTGGTTGATTGCTTCTTTAATGGTTGTGGTTTATTTTTGGGAGCTTTCTCGGACTTTTCGGTGGTGGTTTGTGGGTTGTGATGAGAGCGAGGTGGCGAGACTGTTGCGACTTCAGGCGCTGAAGATTGTCGGATTTGTAGCATAAGGATGCAGCAGCATCAAGGACCTCGGTGGAAATGGAACTGTTGAAGCGGCCGAAGGAGCGAGAAAGCGAAGTCGGGGCAATTGCTCGAGGTTCGTTTTGTGAGGCGCAAAGAAAGGAAGAGAGAGAGAGTTGAGCCAGGCAATGGTTGACGATCAGCAGTAGAAGGAGAAGGTGGGTAAGGTGAGATCGGTGCCAGGGAGAGTTGAGTCTGGCTTGTGACGGGCAAAAGGTCCGGTCTGTGTTACGAGCAGCTGGTTCTTCACCAAGAGGTCGTCTGTCAGAAGGAGAAGCACAGGTAATGGGTTGCCCGAGATAGGAGTGAATGATGCCGAAAGAGCGTGAGGTTGGTATGGTAGGTAAGGTTGAGATCGATGACTCCCATCAATACTAAGGTAAGGTAGCATGATGTCTTTCTAATCCAACGGAAAAACTCCGTGGCACAGGGCGAGGCTAGACTCGCGAGGTTGCGCCACACGAGGCGAGGCGAGGCTGCGGTGGGCGTGCACATGTAGGTAGTTGTACCTTGAAGGGCCATCCATTGCTGTGGGAAATGCACGGCTGCCTGCTCTTTGGCTGTCTTTCTTTATTACAGGACGGGTGCTTTCCTTATCAAGGCGATACTCCCAGTTCGTATATTATAAAGGGCCTTGATTGCCTCGTTGGTCGTCACATGCTGCCTACATGCACTGTAGATGTTTGTCTCCTTATCAGCCTGTCGCTCTCGGGCGCTGTGGTTGGGCATCTGTGACGTGCTTTTGGGTGTGTGAGCTGGCAGCGGTGGGTACATACATGTACGTGCTAGTGGGAGACGCACGCAGCTCTTATGTTTGTTTGGCTTCCAGGTTTTGGGGGGTGATGGCCTGTTGCCTGACGCGATGCCTCGTGCGTATGTACACGCATATTTTCTCTTCTTCCTTTGCTCTGCCAATGACTACCTCTACTGCCCCAGTCCCTTGCTAGCAATTTACAAGATTTCCCCCCTCTCTTGGTGGTGAGATATCCAACGTGAACCCCTGTCAAGGCCGTACTGCATCTCCCTACTCATCTATCGGCAACCGCCTGTGCGCACTGTCGAGCCGCAAACCGGTGGGATCCCAGGCGGCAGCTTCAGCGGAGGCTCCAGTGCGAACAAGCGCCGTGCGCCCAATCCCAGGCACTAACTGCGCCCCCCTCCCCAGCACTCAACTCACTGAGGCTCGAGGCTATGTGCCCACCGCTAGCAGCCCGGAAGCGCCAGTGACTAGGTGAATTGTTAGGTAGCTGGAGGTACCCAACCTCTCTCAACTGGGCCAAGGCCAACTTTTTTCTCTGCCTCCAAAATCTGTCCCGTGTTTTGCCCTCAACCACACCTCGACTATAACACCGACACTTCTCTCTCTCTCTCTCTCTCCCTCCCCTTTCTCGCATCTATCCCCCCCTTATCTCTCTTCCAAACTCGCCTTCACCTCCTCACCCCTCCATCTGCATCCATCCCCTCCTCCCACCCCCCCAATCAATCACCACATCAACCGACGGCTGGGCCTCTCTCCACTTCGTCCACCCTCGCTCGCCCTCTCGCGCAGCGCGGAAGCGGCAGTCATCTGCATTGCATCGCATCGCCGCGTCTCCCAATTCGCAGCTTCCATTCTCCATCATGGATCTGCCTCCTGCGCCCACTCCGCCCGTCTCTGGCGGCATTGGGCCCAACTCGGATCGTACCGCCAACCTGCTGAACCTGCTCAAGTTTGGTGGTCCTGGCACGTCCAAGGAGCCGCTGCAGAGCCAGGGTCAGGGTCAAGGTCAGGCTCAAAACCAGCATCAGGCCCCGCTGCCGTCGTCCTCGTCGTCTGCCCAGCAGCAACACGCCGAGTCGTCCTCGCAGCCTCACTCCCAACCTCAAGCTTCGTCGTCCCAGCAACAGCAGCAGCAGCAGCAGCAGCAGCAGCCATCGCGGCAAACGGATGAGGAAGACGACGACGAAGACGACGAAGACGAGCAGCGCTACCGGCGCCTTCAGCTCCTCCAGATGCAGTCCAACCAGTTCTCGACTCGCATCCACCAGCCTGCCCCCACGGCGGACAATCCCTCGGGGCTGCTCGCCGCCCTCATGAGAGGCGCTCACGAGCTGGAAGAGCCCAAGCCTGCTCCCACGCCGCCTCAGGCTCACGCACAGCCCGCGAACCCCTTTGCTGCCGGAACGCCGCCTGCCAACACCACGACCTATCTCCTCGACCTCCTCAGACCTAAGCCGAGCCAGACAGATCAGCCGCAGCTGCACGAAACGTCGCGCTCTGCCGAGCACACGCCGCAGTCACAGGAGCTTCTGTCAGAGACGAGCAGCCGCTACTACGGACATCATCACCCGCAGCAGCATCAGCAAGCTCCTCAGCAACAGCAGCAGCAGCAGCAGCAGCAGCAGCAAGCTGCGAGCTCGTACCAAGCGCAGCCGCACTACCAGCAGCCGGCAGACGCGTTTGCTGGGCACGGACATGGACATGGCCATTCCGGCATCAACCCCATCTTCTCGCCTACGCAAAAGGACCAGCCCGATGTCTCGGTTCTCTACCAGGCGCTGGCCGGCACTCTTAACCAGATGTCGCCGCACAGCACCGGCAGCGTCCACGGCTCTGCCCCGCCCCCTTTCCACATCCTGAAGAAGGATCAGGGCTCGCCAGCCGGCTCCAATCCCTTTGGTGGCAGCGAGCGCAGTCCTCTGCAGAGTCCTCCCCAGCAGTTCAGACACGGCCTCGACCGCACTTCGTCTCTGCATTCTCACCATTCCCACCACTCGCACCACTCTCACCATTCGACGCAGCAGCCTCTCAAGCCGACCCCGCCGACGTCGGATTTTGGCAGCTTCGTCAACATTGACAAGAACAGGGAGACTGTTTCCGAGGCGGTCCATGACCTTGCCAGCCGCGCCGACCGCGACGCCCAGGAGGCTCTGGACAGAGCTGAGCGCGAGACCGTGTCCAACTATGCCGAGAGCGCCACCGTCAAGCCTCACGACGAGAGCGACTGGGTGCAGCCGTCCAACTATTCGGACGCTACGCGTTCCACTGAGAAGCACAACTTGGAGGACATCAAGTCTGGCTATGAGCACCGTGGCTTCGGCTCCTCCGAGGAACGCCTCTCCAAGGATGCTCCCGAGGCGAGGGAGGCTGACAACCACAACAACATCGCAGACAGCTGGGAGAGCGCCGACCAGGACGAGATTGTCGTCATCGAGGAGAAGGAACCGGCTTCCGTCAAGGTCTACAACTTCCCCATGAAGCCCTGGATCTCCATCACGCTCCAGGAAGACGCGACCGAGCCCCGCCCGCAGTTCCGAGAGGAGTCGATCATGGACGTTGCGCACCTCAAGAAGGACTTTGACCAGATTGACCGGAACCTGTACACCGCCTCCCAGACGTACATGACGCACGGCATGTCCAAGCAGGGCGGCCTGCGCGTTATTCGGCAGGACGACGGAAAAGATGCAAAGGTGTTTAGAGATACCAGAGACCGCATCTTCAACGTCGCCATGTCCGTCACCCCCAACGACTACGATGGCCCTGCCCGGGAAGCTATCATCGGTACCGGCATCAGCGGCACCGTCTACTGGGTTCTGATCAAGGACGGCGAGAAGGACCACCTCGAGGATCCCCACCTGGAGCAGTACGGCTTTGCCCTGCCCCCGATCAACTCCCAGGAGGGCGACGCCCCCGGCGGTGCCCTTAAGACGCGCGCCCGCGCCTCGACCAACCACCCCGAGTTCTTCGCCGTCGGCCGCGGCAAGTCGATCCACTTCATCTGGCCCTCCTTCATCCTGCAGAACAAGCTGTTCAAGCCCGGCCACGAGCACGACCGCGTCGCCGATACCGAGGCGCTGCTGAGCCAATGCTCCCTCAAGATCAACACTGGCAAGGCTGGTAAGGACTTTACCTTTAGCCAGGACGACACCGTCGTTGTCTCGCTCGACAAGTCGGGCCGCGTCAAGTTCTGGGACGTCCGCGACCTGACCGCCGTCAAGGAGGGCTCGGACCCTCGCAACCCCATGCCTGCCCACTCGAATCTCGAAGTCAAGGAGCCCCTGATGACCCTGGCCAGCACGCCCGAGGGCGAAAAGGCCTGGCCCACGTCCGTCCTGCTCCTCGACAAGCAGCGCCCGTACCAGAAGCGGTGCGCGCTGCGGTACATGATTGTCGGCATGAAGCAGAACCACACCCTGCAGCTGTGGGATCTGGCCCTGGGCAAGCCCGTCCAGGAGTTTAACCTCCCGCACAGCAAGGAGTCTGACGCCGTCTGCAGCGTCATGTATCACCCGGCCAGCGGCATGATCATTATCGGCCACCCGACCCGCAACTCGGTCTACTTTGCTCATCTCTCGGCCCCCAAGTACAACCTCAAGAGCGTGTCGCAGGCCGAGTACATCCAGAAGCTGTGTTCGCAGGACCCTTCGATCCCTCAGCCCGATAGCACCGCTGTCATCAGCGGCGTCCGCGAGTACTCCTTTGACAACCGCGGCATCCTCCGCAGCCTGGACATCCTGGCCAATCCCGCCATGGTCCAGGATACGGACGAGCCGACTCTCTTTGAGCTGTATGCCATGCATTCCAAGGGCGTTGCTTGCCTGATGATCAAGCAGGCCGAGCTGGGATGGTCCAAGGACAACAAGGTGCTCGATCCCGTTGACGCTGTCCTCGAGGGCGTCGTCTCCGTGTCCAAGCTCAAGACTCCCGTGCAGACGGACGTTGTCAATGGCGCATCTGAGCAGCAGCAGCAGCAATCTGCCTCTGCTCCGGTGCGCATTGCCACACGCACGGTGATTAAGGATGCTGCTCAGCCGCAGTCTGGCCAAGCCGCCGCCGCCGTTTCTTCGTCGGAAGCCGTCACTCCTCGGGGCGTCATCGACTTGCAGGCTGCCACCGCGGCCACACCCTCGAAGCCCAAGAACGACGCCAAGGAGGCGGAGACGCCTGGACAGTCGTCAAAGGAAAATCATACCGAGAAGCCCGAGCGCAAGCAACGTAAGAAGAAGGGCAAGGATGCCGAGGGCAACGCCAATGGTACGGCGCCGTCGCACAAGAGCGAGCCTGGTGCCAACAGGGGCGTTGTTCCCGGCAGCCTTTCCGGCGCCGGTGGCCTCTCGGCCGAGGCCTTTGAGTCGACCATGAGCAGTCTGGAGACGAGGCTCGGGGCGACGCTGGCCGAGACATTCAAGTCGTCGCTGAACAACCTCCACAACAAGATCAACGACAATGCTCGCGCCAGGGACGACAACTTTAACCAGCACCAGCGGAGACTCATCGACATGGTTTCGGATATACTGAGCGAGAACACTCAGAAGGTGCTCGAGGCTTTGATCCACCAGCAGTTTACCGACGTGGTGATTCCCTCCATCAGCGACAAGACCAGCCAGGCCGTCGCCGACGTGGTCCTGAACAAGCTGCAGGCCAACATGATGCTGTCCGTGCAGAAGGAGATCCAGGGTGCCCTGCCGCACGCCGTCAGCCGCTCGCTCCGATCCAACGACTTCATCAACGCCATTGCCGATAGAGTCAGCAACGTGGTGTCCGCCAGCGTGCAGCAGGAGGTGCTGTCGACGCTGACGCAGCGCCTGGCGCCGACGCTCAACACCATTGCGACCCAGGCTGCCCAGCGCGTGGCCACGGACATTCACCAGCAGTACCACGACCAGTTTGAGCAGATGAAGGCGCAGCATGCGGCGGACAACAACAAGATTGACCAGCTGCTGTCGTACGTGACGCGGCTGACGGACATGGTGTCGACTATGGCGGCCTCGCAGTCGTCGCTGCAGGCCGAGTTTATCAAGTTCAAGCAGCAGCCCGTCGAGCTCCCCGTGGGCGCCGTCCCCGGTGGCGTCAACAACATGCCGCACCCCGGCAGCGTCGCCCACAGCATCGGATCCCATGGCTACGCTAACACCGTGGCCAGCCACCGGCCGAGCTTCCCGCCCAGCCAGCCGCCCAGCCAGGCCCCGAGCCACGGCCACCCTCCGCAGTACGGCAGCCCTCAGTACATGCGCGGCTCGCAGCACATGGCCAGCCCGCATGGCTCCGCCGCCCCTTCGGACCACGTCGGGCCCGTCAACAACGTGACTGCGCTCGCCGGCGCCTACGCGAGCCAGATGAACCGGACCGAAGCCGAGGCCGACAACGACCTCGTGCAGCGCATCCGCGTGATTGAGCAGGCCATTGCCGAGAACCGCCTGCAGGATGCCATGATCCAGTGGATCCAGAGCGGCCGCGAGGCCGACATCTTCCGCCGCTGCCTGAGCCGCTACCCCCCGAGCAAGTTTGACAACCTCCAGCCGCTGATGCTGCTTGTGGTGATTGCCACCATTTCTAAGGAGCTGAAGCCGAACCCGCGCCTCAAGGAGGAGATTGAGTGGATCGAGATGGCCGTGAGGGCTTTTGGCGCCAGCTTGCCCAACTACGTGAGTTGCTCCTCCTCGTCCTGTTGATTTCCAATATGCTAACCTCTCATTGCAGAACTGGGACGATGACACCTCGCGTGAAATCGTAAAGAGCACATCTCAGACGATGCAGTTGCTCATTAACCGCGTGCAGCCTCTGATTGCTGGTATCCAGGATGGCTATCCCACCGACCCCTTCCTCGCCAACCTCGAGCGAGGCAAGCTGGACTGGATTGTGCAGTCGTCGAGGCACATTCTCAACACCTTTGCCTAAGCGATTGCGGCGATGACCTTTTGTTACTATGTCTTTTCTACGGCATCTTTCAGCATGATTCCCAAGCTATTGCTTTTACGGCGGAAGTTTGATTTTCATTTCGAGGGGTTATCGTTTTGACATTTGCGGGCATTCTGCGGCTTGTGGCTTGTGGCTCGTGAGATGTGTTCACCGTCTGCTGTGTTGCTTGTCTTTGGACATGATGCAAAGACGAGGGTACCTATGGACTTGACGATTCGATGTACATCCGGGGGAGGGAGCCTGGCATATGCTTTTGCTGCGCATATGGAAACTACTGGTTTTGAGCATGGCATGATGACGTTCCTTATTTATGCTGCACAGTCACAGCCAACCATGGCGGTTCATTCATTGTTGTTGTTTTGCTGCCTTTGATCCCTTGTTGCTGGATACCGCCTTCTGTGAGGAGGGTTGTATCGAGCAGTTTCGGGAAGCTTTTTCGCACTACTTGATTAACGAGTCTGTGAGGAGGGAAGCAATGATACCAAAAAGTTCGTTTGCAGTCTGCACGCGCCCATGTTTGGATGCGATGAGGGCAGAGGAAGGTTGATGAGATGCGAGGTTTCTTTTTCCTTTCTTTATTCTTGTGGGATATGTGTTTATGTAGAGTAATTAGTCACAATGTAATACCTTGCCCTTACTTTTCCATCAGAAGCCAAGAGTGAAAGAGTGATTTATTAGGTACCTAGTGTATATAAAGGTAAATGAAGGGCTATAATACGTCTGCCTGTCTTTTGCTAAGCAAGTTAGAGTAGCCCTATTTGATGAGATGGTTGTCCGCTCTTGGTTCTAGTCGTCTTATCTATCCGCGTTTATGGCTGAGGCTTCTCGAAGTGGTGTGCCGCAGACGTAATTCCTCACGTAACGCCTCTTGAACACCTCGTGCGTTTGCGTCTCACACAATTATTGTTTTTTTCTTTCTTTCTTGGTATTAAAACCTCTTATTTTACCATCTTGTTTCAATCCTCATTTGAAAGAAATTCGGACATAAGGTACTACGCTGTCTTTGACATTTGTAGTTGTTTGTAGGCGTGTTGGTATCTGGGTTAGTGGGTGATGACGACGCTTGTTGACGAAGTGTATATCTTTCTCACCTGAGAGGATTGGATCAGATTCAACCATCTTTCAACTTAGGCTTTCCTTGGTACCTTAGCTGTTCAATAGTCTAGAGCACATTCCAGTGCAGCTTTTAGTGAAAGAGCCAATCTGCCCAAAAAAAGTCGTGTGGCTGGGCGTTGAAAGGTGGGCTTTATTATTATCCAGCTTCCGTACCTAATCTCTATACTAAGAAGTTGGCCCCCAAAAAGAAGCTTTCCGCGTCTCCCGAAGGGAAAAGAAAAAAAAAAGGGCCAAGGGGTAACTTTATACGCAAAACTTCTTCAACGCCCTGCTACTACTACTAACACCTCGCCCGTATTCTTTTCTTCGTATAGAGTAAGGTAAGGTAAGGTAAGGTAAGGTATAGTTTGAATTTAGAGCAAAAGCGTGATGGTGTCGTCATATATCTTACTTTTGCTGCAATACGTCCTGGATGTTCTTCTTACTCTTGTGATTGGGAAGGTAGCGGTATATATACTCTGCGCACACTGTGATTCTGATGCTGATGACGTTTGATTTCCCTCCTTTCTCCCCTCCTTTTTTTTTGCTTTGCGATCTGGAAGTTGCAAATCTTGGATCTTGATTCTTCTAGAGGAAAACCGGTGTTTTTGAGGTTTTTATATACTGTGAAAGTAAATGTTGGGACATCATTTGGAGTATCGACAATGGGTCTCTTTAAGAATGTCATTGAACCAGCAGGTAAGTAAACCTCCTCTTAACCTCCTTAGCCACCAACTCCCTCACCCCAGCATCACATACACAACAATATCATAAAAGGAGAAATACTAACAGAGTAAATTGGAAAAAAGCAATCGTCCTCGTCTTCACAGCCGGAACGATACTCAACCGCCGGCGCACCAAACTCCCCTCTTCCTCTTCCTCCTCCTCCCACCACACCGTCCGCGATGTCGAGACTTTACCAGAGTACACGTCTTCTGTCGAGAAGAAGAAGACGGATAGTATTCCTTTGTCCGCCTCTTCTTCCTCGGCATCTTCTTCGTCGTTGACGGAATCGGCGGCTCAGCGGAGAAAGAAGAGGCAACGAGGGTCGAAATTGCTCGCGTTTAGGGTCTTGTCGTGGATATGTGCGACGTTTCCGTTTTTGAAGGAGATTTGGTATTGGCTTTTGACGTACTGGTTCGTTTTCCCCCTTATCATCCTCTTTGCCCCCCCTTTTCACCACTCAACACTGAATCACAACAACAACAACATCATCATCAACACCAAGACCACCATCACCAGCACAGTAGATTCGGAGTTCTAACATCATGAACCCCCCCCCCCAGGATCTACCAACTCAGCCGCGCCTTTTCCGCACGCATCATCGCCCCCCATCCCCAAATCTACCTCCTCGCCAAACACCACGCCCTCCAACTCCTCGCCATCGAACAAACCCTCCACATCGACATCGAGCAGCCCCTCCAGTCCTACATCCTCACCCACTTCCCCAAGCTCATGCCCATCCTCCGCCACATCTACCAGTCGCACATCATCGTCGGCGTCGTCTTCATCGTATACACCTACACCGTCCTCCCCGCGCCGCTCTTCCGCCGCATTCGAAGGACCATTGCCATGGACAACCTCATTGCCTTTGTCGTCATCTCCCTGTGGAGGTGCTACCCGCCTAGGATGCTGCCCCCGGAGTTTGGATTCGTGGATATATTGCATGCGTCGAAGCAGACCGTCTGGACGGACAATCGGTTCCGGCTGACGATTGCCGCGATGCCGAGCTTGCATTTCGGGACGTCGCTCTTCTTCGCGGTGTGTCTTGCGAGGTTCAGTCCCCATGTGCTTGTTCGCGTGCTGGCGCCGCTGTGGCCGCTGGCCATGTTTGTCACGGTTGTGGCGACGGCGAATCACTTCGTGCTGGATCTCGTTGCGGGAGCCGTCGTGCCGCTGCTGGGGTGGCGGTGGAACAGGGCGTTGTTGGTGCTGGAGAGGGTGCAGGAGTGGGTGTTTGCGCCGCTGGTCGAGAGGATGGATCCCAAGGTTGGCGTTTGGGAGTGATTGAGATGGGAGATGGTGGTGTTCACTGCGTAGCGATGTGTATACATAGACTTGAGGAAATATGAGGAACCATGTCAATTCATCTTCATTCTGCTTTTGGGGGCATCAAAGTGTGTCATTATTCTACATTCAGGGGCAACGGGGGCAACGCATATACACGACTCAATGATACTCGGGAATCGGCAATTTGCCCAGCTGCGCCGCATCGCTCTCCTCCCACGGATGCTCCCTCTCGAATCCCCGAATCAGCTCCGCATGCTTCTCGCTCCTCGGCGTGATTCTCGTCGGAAAGGCCTTTGGCTTCGCGATAATGCCCGCCTCAAATTCCAGCTTGGGCTCCAACACATTGCCCCTGTCGTCCATTGCCTTGTCAAAGTTAAAGACAGACACGAGACACGCCAGGTTGAGGAACAGCGAAGAGTCGGCGAGAAACCGTCCCGGACAGACGCGTCGGCCGAACCCAAAGATGGCCCAGCGCGGATCAGGCTCGTTTCGCGGAGCAAGGAAGCGCTCAGGGTTGAAATCGTCAGGGTTGGCGTAGACGGAAGCATCATGCGTGAAGGTCCAGACGGCTGGCATGATGTATGCCCCCTTGGGCAGGTCGTAGCCCCCGTAGGTCATGTCTTCCGACATGGCGTGGGGAACGCCCATGGGCAAGATGGGGCACCACCGGAGAGCTTCGGACACCATGGCCTCGACATAGGGCATCTGCTCCCTGTCGGCGAGGACGGGGATGCGAGTGCCGCCAGTGACTCTGTCCACTTCCTCTTGGGCCTTGCGTAGAACCTCGGGGAATAGGGTCATGGCTAGGACAAAGCTGATGAGAACCGAAACGGTCGTGTCCGCCCCGCCGGCGTAAAGAGCTGCGGCAGACCACTTGAGGGTGTACTCATCCTCCTCACTCAACTCGCCCTCATCATTCGCATACTCTTGTACAAGCCTTGCCACGTACGACTGCGTAAAGTTGTGCTCAGCCATCTGCTTCCGCGCGAACCTGTACGGCTCCTCGATGACGGCGCGGATCTCTTCGCGGTATTGCGCCGCCTCGGCTTTGAAGCCGGTGCCGGGGAAGCCATCGGGAAGCCACTTCAGGGCGGGGATGAAGTCGATGGGCCGCGCGAACGGGACGCACGCGCGGGACAAGTTGGCCATCATGCAGTCGATAAGGATGACCAGGGGGTCTGGCCCGCGAGGGTTGACGTTATAGCCATAGACCATCTTGAGGATGACTGCGCCGGCTTCGCTGAACAGAGTGTCAGTCCGCATTTCTTGGCCTATTTCGGCTTGCAAGTAGGGTAGATTGGCTCACGTTTCAAAGTGCTTAATAATTTTGTCAGGTTCGTCCAACGTCCTCACCAGAAGCCGTCCCGCCTCCAGTTCCTGCATGTCGGCATACTTGGCTGCCAGGGTCTTGGTGCCAACAGCCTTGTGAATGGCCTTGCGCTGCGCCGTGAGCCTCTTCTCTAGCTGATACATTGCTAGCAAGTCTCCATAGCCGCAGTAATCGCCAAACGGAAAGGCGGGACGGCCGGACGAAGCCGCAGACTTCTTCTCCAGGATCTCCTGCGCGGCGTCTCTGTCTGCGATGAAGATCATGGGCTGGCCCAGAAGGGTGACGGAGGCGATGGGGCCGTACTTGTCATTGAGGGACTTCCAGTGAACGTGAGTAGGGACGCCTTTGGGGGGAAGGTTGAGGATGTTGCCGAGGAGGGGGAGGCCTTTTGGTCCCGGGGGTAGGTTGCGCTTGGGTTTGCGGATGAACTGGTGGTAGACGAGGTAGCCCACCAGGACGATGAGGGCTTGGGTGATGAGCGTGCTCGCCATATCCAAGAGATGTGGCGAAGAAGCCAACGCGCGATTTGACTGACAGCGTAGGACCGATGGAAGATGGCAGCTTGCCTTTCATGTCCGAGGCACGGCAGCACTTATAACAACCCGGGCGTCCTCGATGCACATGCCCTCGTCTACTCCCCTCGCCCTCGTTGCCATATCCAATAGAGCAGGGGCTCCCTGTCGCTGCATGGAACCTTGTAGCCGCGGGCCGTATCCGAGCCAATACCAGCCGCAGACATGAATCGAAGCCAAGGTCTCGATGCAACTTGCTGATTATCGTAATGACTGTTGCTGTCACTGCTGCTGCTGCCGGAGGAGACACAGTCCAGAAGACCAGCAGACAAGACGAATCTCACATTGAGTATATGAAAGGGTGGCTAATACTATCTCTATAGTCAGTGGATGGAAAAAAGGCTTTCTTTGGTGTTTATCACGAACCGTCCAGAAGAGGCCTCTTTTGCCAAGAGGAGGAACAACGGGCCCTTGCCTGCCACTGAATCCATTGATAAGAGCGTCTCTTCTGAGGATTATGATGTGTCAATATCTCAATTTGTCGGTGGAGGCAGAGTTGCATCCATCCGTAACGTCACAGCCCAAGCTGCCAAGGTCCAGCACAAGAGAGATATCGAGCCCCAGACGGTTGCATTGGATGAGGAGGAGATGCAGTTACACCCACCAGACCACCATGTGGAAGTGGGACTTCCTACTCCGTGCAAGCAATCATTCAGCGCGAATTATCAACCTCATCCCCGTAGCAATGAGTGAGTACGTAAAAGAAGTTGCGGAGACTGAAAGACGACAATCCTTTCTGGGTTGTCCAGACAATCAATCCTTGACAGGGTTGCTTGGCGTAACCGGGCCGTCGAACCCCAGAAGTTGATGGAGAAAAATCTGACCGCCTGTGATGGATCAATCCGACTTGTTCGTTTATCTGAGCAGGGATCTCTGATGTCAACTTGTGTGAACCAACAGCAGCAGCAGCAGCAGCAGCACAAGAGGAAATCCCCGCCATGAACTCCACGTCCATGTCCATTCTGTCAGATCAGAATGAATGCAAATTGGTCGTTGATCGTCAAACACTTGACAAGAGAAACAGCACAGACGAACGGCAACGACAGTCGGGAGAGATGATGTAAAGCGTATGCCACACTCACGCAGAACTTTTCACTGTTCTGTTCCTTCGCCCCTGTTCGTTTCTTGACCGTTTTGGGTTTGAGGGACAGCGTTCAGGGCCATTTCCCGCTGTGGGATTGAGGATCGGTCCGCTGAGGTTATGAGGAGACCCCACAGACGGAATCAAGTGTGATGGAATCGTGAGTGATGGCTATTGTTGGGATTCGCCAAGCTGCAGACAATGATGACGATGGTGATGATGATGTTCAGATATGGTTCGGATTAAACGAGGCAGAAGATGAGACGGAGAGGAAGGCGGTCAACTCCCACACGTGACTGTGTCACCGTACCAAGTCACAAGTACATCCGACAACACCAGCCTCATCTCGACACTCACCATAGGTACCTTGGAGATCTATCTATCCATCACCCTCTTCACTATGCGCGATACCATGTAAACGTAATGCTGTTCGCGATGCTTACTCCTTCACCATCCTCACTCCTTATCGACCCTCACCACAACCTTGCCAAAGTGCTTTCCGCCCTTGACATACTCCAGCGCCTCCCTCCCCTCGCCCATCCCAAACACCTTGCACACCACCGGTCGTATCCCCTTATCCTCATAGAACCTCACCATCTCCTCAAACCGGTCCTTGCCCCCGTTGATCAGTCCCTTGAGCGTCACATTCCTCCTCAGCGCAAGCACATTCACATTCAACCTGTTCCACCCCGCAGCCTCCCCCTTGTCATCACCTCCATCTCCTCCTCCTCCTCCAGAACCACCACCGCCGCCATCCTCACCACCCGTATCGTCCTCCTTGCCAGAGACGTAGCCGATGCAGCTAATCGTCCCGCCAAACGCCACGCTCGCAAAGCTCTTGCGCAGCGTCTTGGCGCCGCCCACCTCGAGGACGTAGTCCGCTCCCTTGCCGCCCGTCGCCTCGAGCACCTGGTCCTGCCACTCCCAGTACGTGCGGTAGTTGACTGTGTGGTCCGCGCCCAGCTTCTTCGCCTGCTCGAGCTTCTCGTCCGACGACGACGTGATGATTGTCCGGAGGCCAGCCGCCTTGGCAATCTGCAGTCCCGCAATGCTCACGCCTCCCGTCCCCTGCAACAGCACAGTCTCCTTCTCCTTCTCCTTCTTCTTCTTGTCCTCGTCACCATCATCATCATCATCATCCCTCTTCCCACCCTGCCCATACAGATCCAGCTTCTGGAAAGCCTTGCCAATAGGCCTCATCCAATTCAGCGCCATCCACGCCGTCACCCCCGCAATCGGCAAACAGCTCGCCTCCTCGTCAGTCAGGTACTCCGGCACAGGCACCAGCGCCCTCGCATCAAAGCACCGAAACTCCGCCAGCACGCCCGGCAAGGGGAACCCCAGCCCGGACTCCAGATCGGACTGCCGCAGCGCGCCGGAGAGGTGCGTCTGCAGGTAGACGGACATGACGCGGGTGCCGGCGCGGAGGAGCGGGGATTTGGTCTCGAGGACGGTGCCGCACATGTCGGAGCAGATGACGACGCCCGAGGGCGAGTCGGAAGGGGTTTGGTGGTGGCTGTATTTGCCTTCGCAGACTTGTTTTGGAAATGTCAGAATTCCTTAACTTCATCTGAATGTCATTGAGCAAAAGAGTGAAAAGCTAACCCTCAATGTCACGGTAATTGATGCCCACGGCATGAATCTTGACCAGCACCTCTCCGTCCTTGGGAACGGGCATCTCGCCCTCCACCATCTCCAGCTTGGCCACGCCATCCAGCTTGCTCACCCACTGCTTGTTCGTCGGCGCCATTACGATTTGGCAGTCTTTTGTAATGTCTCCCCGTTGCGTGTCTTGCTTTTGAGAGGTATCTGGAGCTCCCGATGCGGGGACCGTAGTCATAGCCCCCCCTTTTTTCTTGTTGACCCCTTTTCAAGAGCCAAAAACAAGATGGCTCACTTGATCACTTTTCGAATCAAATGGAAAGTGATGCCTCAATCGTTGATATGAAGGAGGATGGAAGAGAGAAGATGAAAATGGTACGAGACGGAAGAGAGGGCGTTGCGTGTGCATATAAAGTCGAGCCGCCTGGCCAATGACACCTCGACAGCAAAACATACGTCACCTCTGCTTGACACGAGCAATCACCCACTCAAACCACCAGTCCTCTCCCCACCGAGTTTAGCGGCTCCATCTCGCCAGGAACCGACCGACTCAAGCCAACAATTTAGCATTAACTAAAACACCAGAGGTTGAAGCTCCCTGTATGTCATCTACAAGAGTCACACGACACTTGTTCACCAGTTTGCATTAGAAACGATCGGTATGGACGTCATGGAATAAAAACTCTCAGTAGGATACCTAATACAGTGACTAAACAGTTGAAATGAGAAAAGGAGGAAAATGAGAAAGATGTACAGAAAACTAAAACAAGAGATAATGAAACGAAAGTAAAGCCCACGGCAAAGAAAAGAAGACAAGATTATTTCGCCGCGTCCCTCTTCCTTTCATCCCTTTTCTTTCCCCTTCTCCCACATGAATCCCTGCTAGCCATAGCCATGGCCCTGTATCAGTTGTTTATGCGTTTGTTCCCCATCTCCTCCCTGCACCAAATCAGCACGTCAGGGTCTGTTCCCATCAATCAATCACCCCTCCCAAGTTGAGTCTTTGAGAATAAGGAATAAACCATAGATGCATATTTCCAAGAGTAGAAAAAATGCCCAAGATAAAAGCACAGCAAGCCCAAATGCTGCCAGAGTAACGCCGCAGAAAAAAAGAAAAGAAAAGAATCGTCCCCTTTGAACGGAATCGTCCTCCTCCCTCACCGCGTGAGGAAGCCGCCTCGACAGCCAGAGACAGGACATATTAATCAACGCAAAACACACTCTCTCCCGGGACCACGTATACCATGCACCAAACAGGGAATTGGGTTCCCTTTTCTCCTCCTTTTCACTTCCACTGCGTGGCTCTCTTCCCTCCCACTGCATCGGACCAATAAACACGTCGCTACTCTCGTTTTGGCTTCCCAAGCATGCGCAAGAAGCTGGGTCTGTCTCAATTCGTCGTCGTCACGGTCGTATCTGGACGTCAGACATGGGGGTATTAATCAAAGTTTTTTTTTTTGTTCCTTCGTTGGGGTATTGGTAACTGCTCGTCATCGTCGCCGAGGCCACTCCACTCAGTGCTTATGAGATGCGAAGCACGCCGAGGTGGATTCGCTGCAGCTGTCTAGACGTAAAAGTCGTGAAAATCAATGTCATAATCGTCAAGAATCGGTCGTAGATCGGGTTGAAGAAGTACGCTTGAGGGGTGGGGGATGTTCCAGGCTGGGCGCGAGGAACCGCGTCGTCGTGTTGTCGTAACGGTTGCCCATTTGTCGAACGAAACTTTTATTGTATCCTGATCCTCTTCTCCACATTCTCATCGGGGTGGCATCATCATCATCAAAAATTCCAGCTACGGAGCGGCGGAGGCCGGTCCTTGACGAACACCCGATATCTCCAGCGGCTGCAGGTGTCGTACCGGATGCATCATCAAAAGCCAGACACTTCGTCGTCCTGGTGAAAATCAATATTACAATTCATAAGAAGCAATGGTTGAGAGCAAGGCGTGGGATGCGACGCAGAAACCTGGTCTAGCCCCCTCCAAAAGGCAGTCCATCAGCTTTCCCATATGAGAGAGCAGGTGAACCGCGTTATGTGACGGTTCTAGTGATATCTCGAAGCGTTGGTGGAGCTGGTGCCGACGCGAGCTCCATTGTCCGAGGAATCTGGCAATCATGTTAGTTGATACAGAGAGCAAGTTGCATCAATACATCGACATACCACTACCGCGCTGCATGTGGCCGTTGGCCCGGGTGCGGCCAAATCCGTTGGACGCCTCCCACTCCGGGTTCCTCGGCTGCCTCTCGGGGGGATTCTTGATTCCGTTACCGTTGGCGCTGGGCCGCTGGCTGCCAATAGCCCCAGGGGTGTTACGCGCCTGGGACTGCAGCGAGCTCGCCTCAAACGGAGACAGGCTCAGGCCGCTGAGGCCGCTGACGAGGCCGTTGTCGTTCTTTCCCGGAGTGCTGGGGTTGCCGCTCTGCGACTGGCTGCTGTTGCTGAGGTAGTCGCCAAACCGGGCCGTGGAGGTCGGGGCAATGCTGCTCAAGCCGCTGCCGGGAGCAAGATAGCTCGACGAAGCCTGAGAAGGGCTAGGGGTGAAGGAGCGAAGGTCGGCGAAGCTCTTGGCAGCACGCAGATTGTTGGGTATTCCGCTTCCGTCCGGGCTGCCGGGGAGCTCGAGCGTGGGCCCGTGTCGACCAACGAGATGGCCATAGGTGCTGCTGGATGTGCGAGACTCCCGGTCGGCGGCAAAGTCAAAAGTGGCGGCTCGGCTCAGGCCCCGCTTGTGAACATCGAGGCTGCTGGCAGGGGGTGTCTGAAGGTTGGCCGTCGGCGAGGGCTGCTGTCGCTTGAGCACCGTCAGCTGTCGTGAGTCGGCCTCGCCGATAGACTGGTGCTCGAGGCCCATGTGGTGGGCGAGGATGTGGATGCATCGTCGATGCTCAGGGGCAATTCCGGGGGGGAAGACAAGAATCTCCCGGCTATCATCCCTTCGGAACATGGCAAGCTCGGTGTAGAACTCGAGCGTCTGGGGGTCATTCATATCAATGTCACCTAAAGCAGGGTATCGTTAGCATGTCACAGCAAGTCATCCTCAGGTTAAGGTCAAAACCTACCAAGAAGAGAAGACGTAGGAGGACCAGCGGCAGCACTGGCGGTGCGCGGCTGGGCCTGAGACATGCCGCTCAGAGACTGGATCGAGCTCTGGTTGTGCAGCAAAGGAGCGCGGTGCTGCTCCTCGAGCTGTCCTCGGCGCTCCCTCTTCTCCCTCTCGATGCGCTCACGCTCCGCCTCGGGCAGCATCTTCTTGTACTCAACCCGCAGTTTCCGGCCATGAACATCCATTCCGTTCATCGCATCGATAACAAGGCGAGTGTCGTCGGCGGACTGGAAGTTGGCAAAAGCGAGTCCTCGGAAGACGCCATTGTCAAAGTGATAGTTGAAAGCGTAGGGCTGGGGGAGGTGCATCTCCAGCATGATGGAAGCAAGCGTCTCCTTGCGAACAGCAAAGGGAATGTTCTTGATCACGATGGCCGTGGGGATGAGCTGGTCGGCATCGTTGCCGGCAGACTGGAGGCTGTTGGGAGACGGGTGAGATCCGGGGCCATCGACACGGAGGCCACCGTTGGCCATGGCTGCGGCGCCGAGGCCGTTCGAGTACGACTGAAGGTTAGGCATACCCATTGCGCCGTGATCGGTCCAGTTCTGCATCTTTCCAGTCAGCACAAACAACGTTGCCGCCGGCAGCGGTTCGAGATTATACATACAGTTGGCAAAGCAGCTCGTCGGTTGACGCTTCGCTGCCTACCCGGGCCATGCACAGCGCCGCCAACGGTGGCCACGCCGGAACCGTTGTAACTCCACGATTGGTTGTTATCCATCATGTAGGTAGGCATGCTGCTGGGCGCACCAACAGAGTCCATGGCTCGGCTGCCGTAGCTGCTGGCCAGTCTATCGGTAGAGTAGAGGGCATTCGAGGGGAGGGGCGCATCGAAGGGCCGCTGGGTCTGTCGGGGCATGGTGAGGCCGGAAGGGAAGTTGGCATAGTTCTGTCTGGAAGAACTGGGCGACCGGTTGGGCGCCGTGCCGTAGTCGAGGTAACTCATGTCGTGAGGCTGCTGAGCCATGTCGCAATATCCCACAGATGGCAGTGATTACCTTGCGACGCGAAAACGCTTCCGGGAATGACCAAGAAAAAGGAGGGTGAATGCGGATGAGGATGCGCAATAAAAGGGGTGGAGAAAGGAACACGTAATCGAGGGCGACGACGATGTTCTAGTCCAGCAGTGGAAGGTTGTACTCAGGAACGCGATAGAGACGGACGGGTTGATGGCAACATAGACGATGCACTTGGTCGGTTCGTTCAGTCGTGACGGTCGTAACGGGTGCCGGCGAGAACCTCAGGCCAACCCAGCAAGGGAGCAGTCGTGCCGACTGCAGAGCAAAAGCTAGCTGGCGAGCTGTGTGCCAGACGTGATAGGGAGCGAGATGTCGTATGGACGGATCCGGGAATCCACGACGGTTGGTGAAGCGTGATATCCTTTTCTTCCTCCTTTTCCTTGCGTTCTTCTCCTCTTTCCTCTGTACTTTGACGTCGCCGCGTCAGAGGTCGGTCAGAGCAGATCGAGGCAGGGTCGCCAAGTTGGAGGAACCCAAGCAAGTCTCTGCAAGAAGCTGCGTGTAGGCGCGGCTCGGAAAGTCGGTGCGTGTTGATCTGTGATCGGAACCCGACAGACGACGAAGCGGGCAGAATCGCGCGAGAGTCTAGGGCGGAGCTCTGCACAAACCGGGCTCCAAAGCGTGAAGTCGGCAGCACCCGCGTCCACAAAGATGGCAAAGCTGTCGCTGGTCCAGACGGCTCCCGCACGCGGCTCTTATCAGGCAGTTGGATCGCGAGGCAGGCGGAGCGGCTCAGGGCAGGGCACGAGAGGGCGAGCGGGAGGAGAGGCGATGAGGGCGAGGCAAGAAGGGCAAAAGGACAGTAACAGCCTCCGAGGTTGGCGAAGAGAGGGAGAGACGGGTTGAAGACAGGCTAAGGGAAGAAAAATTCCACGGCAGAGCAAAGGTAATAACCTACTAGGGGGGGAAGCCTCTCTGCTGCCCCACTGGCGTCGACCTGGCCAGGGTACAAGTTAGATGATAGGGGCTGCCGCCACGAGGGAGGTACTGCCGCTTTGGTGCATACGGGATGGAACACGGCCAATCACAATGCGCAGAGCCCCTATTCGTGCAATAGCGGTGCCCTGAGCCCTTTGGTGTTGATGTTGATGTTGATGCGATGGATGCCTCCTTGATGCGCCTGAGCCCTGTAGCCGGATGCCGTTCGTTATCATCACCTACTAGTACCTGCTAGTACATAGTAGCAGCACAGCATCAGGATCTGATTTTCTCTCTCTCTCTCTCTCTCTTTTTTTCTTCTTCCTTTCCAGCATATTCCGTCTTCTTACGGGCATGGCATATTCTCTTCCCATCCTCGTGAGTGTCTTTTTCTCAAAACGGCGTTCATTGCACACAGCCGCTGTCCCTTACTCAAGTCCGTCTTACGCTGACCATCTCCCGTGCCATCTCGTCTGTGCTGTCTCTGTCCAGCTCGGCTTGTCGCAACACTCGCCCCAACGGCTGCTGGGCATAATACAGTATGCACTTACACCAAGCATCGATTCAGTTGACGAAGCTCATCAGCTTAGCGAATCTACCTGCTCAGCCGGTGCACGACAGCGGGGCAGCAGAGGTACCGGCATCCTGTCTCTGCAGGCATTCTCGCTTATGCTCCGATTGCAGGCCCATCAATCTCAGTTGGGTCTCGTTATTTCCTCCGCCCCCTGAGCTGCCGTCGTTCTAGAAAATGGAAGCCTGCCCCTATTTGGCGCGGCTGTAATTATTACTTTATATTTGCTGCGAAATGACCAGGCACTCTATCAATATCCATGATATTGGCACGGAGTCTTGGGATGGAGCTGAGGAGAGAGGACATAAGGTACTATAAGGAGGTACCTACCCTTATGCATAAGCACTGTGTGTGTGCCACGACTACAACTGTGGCTTCAAGCGTGCACCGTGTGTGCGTACCTATCTACCGATCCCGTGATGGCATCTGCGACTCCATGCAAAAGGTTCGACCTTGTGTGTGCAGAGGGCTACGGGAGTTGTCAGCCGTTGAGATCTGTAAAAGATAGCCGTCGTTGTGGCTTTGTTTACTCGTTCAAGGATGCTTCAACATGACCCTTTGCAGCTCGCATCGCCATTGCGCCGACTCATCTACATTACATAGCTGGCTCGCCCCTACTTATTTTTTCCCTGGTTCAATCGTAGGTACGCTTGCTTTGATATCGCGGTAGGACACGTACTGTACGAAACATTTAATATGGGTGTAGGTCCTGCTGAAGACATGCAGACTTGTCACCTCCTTGCCTGGTCCATATGCAGGCGCAAGGGTGCCTCATTTGGGGGCTCAGATGCAACCACACACACGTCCAGTAAGAGTCAAATGCACGCGTTTTCAGGCATCACGCTGGCCATTTTCCCAGAATATTCCCTCCTCTCTCCGCTTGATCAGCGTCCGCTGCACGCCACATGCGCACGAACTGCAGAGAGGGGATACGACGCCTCAGTCGTGTATGGCCGTGGATCTCGTCTCTCCTCCGCTTGCATGAGCGCCCCTAGACTTGCCAGATCCTTGCATCAACAGCTGCCTCTGCAGTAGCACATCTCGTTTCAACCTACTAGTACCCAACTGCCATTTGATCCCTCTCACAGTCCAATCGTGAATTTGGCCTCCCCTTTTTTCACGACAACTCATGATACCTTCCTAGAGGCATACAGTGAGTGGTACAGTATCCCGCGCAGCGCCACGTTGCCGTCCAAATTTCGGGATCGTCGACATGTCCTCGCTCTAGCGGCATCTGGCATGGTCTGCCTCTGCGCCCTGAAACACGATGGATGGTTGTAATAATAAGACTTGGCTGCCCGGCGTGAAAGGGGGGGAAGCCCAAGGTAAGTTCAGGTAGGAAACGGCAGTTTGACAGCAACAAGCAGACAAGAGCCCCCTAGTACAGCACTCTGACATGCTGCTTTGTAGGGCGTGATGTTGTCTAGTAGTTAGTGAATTCATCCAATCGTCATCTCCCCTACTTACCTACATGTACCTTACCTATCAACAAGTTGCACCAGATGGCCAATATTGCCGCCTCCCTTTTTCCTTTTTGTGCGCCAGCAGCCATCATTAGTGTACCATCTCGAGGTGGCAACGATGGATAACAAGCCCTGACCCGGTCGTCCGTCCTAGCACATAGTTTATGTTTTGGAGCAACGGGACGGCGTTGGCGCTCACTAGATCCCGGCCTTTGGCTCCCTCTCGCACGATGGTCCGAGATTCACATCGAGCATGCGTAGCAGCTCCAGAATCCTGCAATGAACAGAGTTCTGCAAAGTCCCATGAACACGCTGGTCTTCCGCCAAGAGTCTAGAAAAGGCGCACCATCCAACTTGTTCTGCTGCCAGTCTCTCATTTCCAGAAGCCTTCACCCAACTTGAACCCCCTTAATCACTCGGCGACAAGTCCCCAGACCTAGGTACCTATTATTGCACCCATACTGTACACAGCTGCTGTGCCAATACTACATATTAACTGACAGCTTCAGCCCCCCTCCCAAATCACAAAATATGGATCTCCAAGTGCCCACCCAACCGATCAGGGTATGCCGCAGCGAATCGGAATCGTAGCTGGCCGAATCGGCAGGGATCCGGCACCTCGCCTCGTTTCTTTTCTGGCGCAGCTCGCCCAGTCAGACGACAGCCTCCATCGCCAGCCGCATGTTTGGAGGCAACGCAGCATGCACTCGCTTGTAGAGTCACGCGCTTCTACTTTGCGCCGTCTTGAGTCCACGAGAACCAGACCAGCTGAGGCCCCCCCTCCCCCACCCTCCTCAGTTGAGAGAGACTTTGATAGAGGAGATGCAACTATCGATGATGCTTATCGCACTGTATACGTCCCATGTCCTCTATCCACGAGCCCCTCACTCTATCAATTTTCGTTCCTTTTTTTTTCCCTTTCTTTTCTTTTTGTGATGTCCAGCTTGATACAAGCTCAGTTCAGCCCCCTTCCGCGCTTCGGTTGAACCCTCCTTGATCTCGTCGAGCCTGCAGTGCCAATGAGGTTTTCTAAACACTGAAGCCGCTCTCTGAGAGCCTTGACATTCACAGCTTCCTCAACGTTCCGCATCCAGGACTCCGGACCTTGCATCCCGTGAACCGAGGCAGATGTCAACAGTTGACGACTGAAATAGCTTGAAACATGGAGTGACAAGACTTAGGTTTGTTATTGTTATTGTTGTTTGTCTTCTACCTGCAATAAGTACCTACGCAAGGAAAAGGGCAACTACCTTACTAAGGCGACATGGCCCAACCCCGTGCAAAAGGGGCAATGTGTCTGAGACAGCACGAAGGCTCTGCAGCCCGTTGAAAGGCGTTGTCAGGCCAGAGACACGCAGTCAAAGGCAAGGTTTACTTGTTGGCAACGTGGGAATGCCTCAATTAGTTTGTGTCACTGCTTTTCCCCCCTACTTACCTTAGTACCTACCTTAGGTACCTTAGGAAGCAACAGGCAGCACAGTCACGATGAACCAGGAGGGGCTTTGGTAGCCCTCCGGTAACCAACTCAACAAGACATGGCCAAGCTCTGCCATCATGTTCGTGTTGTATCGGGACATGTATTGCTTCGCGCACACACATACTAGCCAGTTTCTCCATCCATGCAACAATGCCAAACACCATGGCCCGGACTCTCTGTAGGAAGCTCATACCCACAAGCCCGCGCTTCGGCTTGGCTCCCTATCTAGGGCACGCTCGATCATGCACGCAAGGACGTGCAGCAGCCTGCATATCTGCGGTACCAACTGGCTGGCTCGGCTCATGACAGAGAAATACGGAGCCCTAGCTTTTTGCATGTGCCGACACTGTTGCGGCTACAGATTGGCTTTTGGAGAGCAGACGGGGGTCTGATATGTACCCAGTTACGGCTCCATACCTAGGTAGGTAAGGTAAGGTAGCCAACCCCATCTTGTGTCCACGGCTCTTCCGCCGTGACTTGCTAGATTACACAGCTCTCATATGGTATCTGCGCAAAAGGAAAAAGTCCGTTGCAGTACAATGTCACTAGTAGACGTTTGCCTTCTTGGCCAAATTGTATCGTCCTGATATACAGCCATTGTGCTGCCTCAAAATGCAGGGTAGGTTCGTACAAGACAGACCTCGACACTCCATGTAAACCTCCTTAAGTCTATCATACATCGAGGTTGTCTATCAACGATATCCGGGGAAAATTGTCTTGCATCTCGCAACATAAAGTCAAGAGACCACTAGTCCAAACATATTACCAAAAGACCCGGGCTTCCTACTCCGCAGTCGATCCAAGTAAGCGCTGAACAAGGGCTAAATTAAGGGCAAGGGTTCGATTTGATAGGTTCCTCTTGATACCGTACCAAGTAGCTCGACCTTCATCACATACTTCACTCCTGACGCACAGTACCTATGCAATGCCGGACAATATAGGGGCATTGAGACTTTATTAGAACATCATCACGCGTCCCTTGTACCATGAGATATGGGGAACAGGGTCGTTTGATCGATCCTGTAAAGCAAGGACGCGGGACCTATGAGCCTGATGTCACTAGAGAGAGACATGAATATCTTGAGCAAGATTCAAAAGCGTCGACTATGTCAACAAGAGAGCTTGCTGTTCGAAAGCAGGAGGCCAGGCGAGCGCAAGAACAACCATCGCATGTGTACACTACACGTTGATCTCATCCCATATCGTGCAGCCGAGCAGTTGGACCTTGCATGAGAGTGAACGCTAACCGCAGATCTTCATCAAACATGTTATACATACATGTCCCGGTAGTTGCTGCTCGCCAACCCAATAACTGTTAATGCCAAATAGTATGTATACTGACTGATGTAATTCGACGCTGGTCGCACGAGGAACGCCATCAGGCTGCCAGTTGGACATCGTTCCATCTACCAGTGCGCATCGGATCCAAAGCCCGCAGCTTCGAGAGCCAGACCTGCAGGTCCCCGCTGTTGCTATTGCTCTGTTGTAGCCGCTGCAAGGCCACTGTGTAGTCTGAAAGAGCCTCGTAAATCCACTTGATGTCGTCGTAGTCCTCCAGCAAGTCTTTGATCTCCTCAATTTCATGCTTCAGATAGGCAACCCTTTCGTCGACGGTCAAGTTTGGTGTGATGCTGGGCCTCTTCCCGTCTCCCACGATGTTGGATACCAGGAACTGGTGATAGTACCATAGGCTTTGGTCTTCTGGGCCGACGTTTAGAGCATCTCGCACGAGATCCAGCTCTTGGGTGAGAAACTCTGCTCGGGCCCTGTCGTCCGCGCCTCGCTGTTCTAGCACTTTTGGAATGAGCTGGCTGCGGTTATGCCAGGCAGAAAAGTTGGATAAGCTCTGCCGAATCATCTTGGTCGTGTACGCAAACTCATCCTCGGCCATACTCTTGCCGTCGAGCTCGGGGCTCTCTAGCTTGGCCACTACAAGCCTCCTATATCCCCAGGCATGAAAGTTGCGCTGGTCCTTGTTCAGCATCTTGGACACCAGGCCCAGCTCCGTCTCCCAGATCTTGCGCGCGACTGGGACGGGCAGTCGCTGTATGGCCTGTGCAAGAAGCCATTGCCGGAAGTTCCATATCCAGTAGCACTTGGGGAACTCCATGAGCAGCGGCATGGTGAAGGCGATTTCAGTCTGGAGCACATCGCCGTCTGTCTGCTGAGTCTTGGCCTCTGGTGTCTCTGATGTCTCGCCCTGAGCGTCTGATGTTGTTTTATGCGCTGCTCCGGATAAGCGACATGCTAGCAAGCAACGGCGCCGAACGTTCCATATGGTGTAGTATTCGGGGTTTTGGCGGAGGAGCTTGGTAGTGAGGTCGAAGAGATGCAAGTCGTAGGTTCCAGCCGCTACCTGGGCGCGTATCTGGTTTTCGAGGCTGCGGTACTTTTCAATCTTCTCGAGGTCTTGCAGCCGCTGCTCTTCGGTGCGTATTCGGGTAGTGCGGGTGACGCCGTGCTGTGGTCGTGGCCATGTGAGTTAGCCGCCATCTCGGCAGGGCAGAGGGCATGCGACGGGAACAAGGCGTGGTCTGGTGCAGCCTTACGCTTGCCATATTGCTGGATTGGCTCTTTTTATCGATCAGCGTTGTCTTGATTCTCTAGTATTTGGAAGTTGATCAAGAGATGGGTGTACCGAGATAAGGTAGGTAGAGGAGACTGACTTCTACTAGGTAGGTAGGTAGCTTAGGTGGGATGAAGCTCCCCCATATCCGCGATGCGAGGATGTACAAAGTACAAAACCCAACGATTGGTCCGTGCGCTTCAACCTTGAAGTGACGTCTGGCTAAGGCGTCTAAGCCGAATACGGCACTCTACAGGTACCTATGCTTTTGCATGCATTAAGGCACATCGTTGGTACAGTACAGGAGAAAGCGACGGATGATCTGTTTGCTGCATTGCATTTAGATGAGACTGTGCCAATTCTTGTCTGAAGATTCTGTGCTTTGTATCTGCTGGATTTGTCGGCTTATTCCATGTGTAAGGCACCAATGACACGGAAACAGCACTGCCGCTGGCATTCAAAGCATCTGCTGACATAAGTCCAGCCTGGTGGCTTGGGCGCCCGCAATCGGCAAATAGCCGGGCCTTAGCCATGCATGCGCCACAGCCCGCAGCCACAGCGGGACAAGGCCAACTCTAGTCTCCGAGTTAGAAACGCTTTAATCATGCAGACAATGAACTCCAAGCTCATCAAGGCTGACGATGCCCTCTCACGCCGGCAACTCGCACAAGGCCAGCTGGGCCAGATGAGCGTCATATCTTGACTCTGCTCTCTTCACTTTTCACCTTTCCCACCGCCATGGGGTAGCTCACGGCATTGGCACTGCTGCTCTGCTCGCCGCCCAGCAGCTTGGTCAGTATATCCTCACGCTCTCAGTCGCCATCGGCGGTGGTCTCTCAGCTCTGGCGATGCCTCCACGATGCTTCACCGACCTTGTGTCCTCGAGACCAGCTCGGCAGTCATCTTCCGGCATCTTCTCTGAGCTGTTTGCTGCCTTGGTTCCTGACTGATGGCCAGCGCTGCGCTCTCTGCCTGCCACCATCTCCAGCTGCCTGCAATGCGCCAGTGGCGGCCAGCCTTCGGAAATACTGCGGCTCTTTAGCCTCGGGCATTCCAAGCTTCCCTTCTCACTAAGCAGCATCTGCCCGAGACACTCGACCCGATCGGACACTGGAGCTGGCTCGACTGGACGCGCAGGCAAACACTGCAGGCAGCACTCGCTCGCTGTTGGGCCAGCTAGAGCCCCCCCCTAGCAACTGGGATTTTCGGGGAGGCTGGGGGAGTGCTCGACGCATTACAGTGAGGCGAGGCCAACAGCAACAGTGCAGGCACCATAGCGGACGGGAAGGCTGGCTCAGGTGTTCCTTGCAGCGGGCCACGCCCAAGCCCAAGGCCAGGACCAAGGCGGAAAAAAAAAACATGACAACGACTGGACTGCCCGCTTGCGTCGATTTGCTGCCAGCTTAATAAATTTCTGCCACCACGCCAGCGCCCTCGACCAAACATCCCACCTCCCGACTGCATCATCACCACCTCCGCACGCGCATCAGCCTCCGCTCCCGCTCGTCGCCTCTCGCAATCCATCTCGACGCATCCGCATCGGCACCCGCATCTGCATCTTACATCACCGTCCCCTCGTCCCGCACCGCATCACCACCAACGACGCAATGGCTGGAGGCAAGGGCAAGTCTTCTGGAGGAAAGAGCTCCGGCGGTAAGACGAGCGCCGACGGAAACAAGAAGCAGCAGAGCCACTCGGCCAGAGCTGGCCTTCAGGTGAGTTTTCGGTGCTCGACAGCCTCAGCAGCTTGTTGCTCGTGCTTTTCGCCCTCCCGGCCCGGATCCCCTCGCCTTGCTTGATGCCCAAACGGTTTGCGCGCATGCACGCCCGCCTGCACGTCCTGCGAGTCCCGCTTTAGCTTCCAGCCTCCCCGCGATGGCCCTGCTGGACGAGTTTTCCGCCGGACGCGTCCGCCAGTCGCTCGCCGCCGCTTCTACGACCTGACCTGGGAATGCAGCGGCCTGTTGGTGATGGAGCTCGAAGGACTCAGGCCGCGCAATTGTGTCACCGTGCGGAACTCGACCGTTTGGGAGCTTGGTTGCCTAGTCGCGTTGCCGGGCGCAGGGAGGGGAGAGAACTTTTTTTCACGCAACTCTCGCGAGTCACAGTATCAGACCGGATCTCTCTCGACTTTGTACTCAAGCTGCTGGGGCCTCTCAGAAAATGAAGCGTCACGTCACTAACCATTCTTCTCTTCCGGCGCATATAGTTTCCCTGCGGTCGTGTCAAGCGTTTCCTCAAGCAAAACACCCAGAACAAGATGCGAGTCGGCGCCAAGGCTGCCGTGTACGTCACAGCCGTCCTCGAGTATCTGACTGCCGAGGTGCTGGAACTGGCAGGCGTAAGTTGTCCCCTTGGCATTGCATCCCGGCCAATGCTAACTGTCACGTAGAACGCCGCCAAGGACCTCAAGGTCAAGCGCATTACTCCTCGCCATCTCCAGCTGGCCATCCGCGGTGACGAAGAGCTCGATACGCTGATCCGTGCTACCATCGCCTTTGGTGGTGTGCTGCCTCACATCAACCGCGCCCTCCTCCTCAAGGTCGAGCAGAAGAAGAAGGCCAAGGCTCTGGAAGCGTAAACGCCTTCGATTTGCCTCTCTCTCTCCTCTCCCGCGCACGAATCGCTATCGCTCTTTTTAATGCCTTGAATACCTTTTGCTCGGATCCCGGGGCTTTTGTTGGGGATGGGCTGGGACATGCGGATATGCAAGTTTTCATCATTTGATCTTTTCTGCAGAGATTTCCAAACCTGTCACTGGGCAAGAGACCGGGCGCGGTTTGGACAGCTGTGCAGGCTCTGGACGCACGGCAGCGAAAGGACAAGAGACTGACAGACGGGCTGCACCGTCACTTCTCTTGTCTTCCGGTTGATCCTCTGGCCTGCCGTGCGAGCCATGTACAACAGTTGTTTTTGTTTGGTTTCTTTGTTTGACGGTGCTCGACGATGCTTGGAGATGTCGGTTATGCAGTTATAGGTGACGAAAAAAAAAACCAGCTTGCTAGGCGGCTAACGCATAGCAAAGATGATCTTGCGGTTATCTTAGAAAATCAAAAAGGAGAAAAAAAAAAGGACATAACGCGTTTTCTTTGTGTGCGCATATAATGCCGCTACTAGTCTATGAGGCCTCTTTGTGGGATATTGCGGCGCTGCCTAATCTCGTCCATATCATGGGTAAGACAGCGGAAGAGGAGGCCCGGCGAGGCGATACGGGGTTGGTTAACGAGACACCATTTAAAGAGAGGGCAGCATTTGGGACAGGGCAGCCCCCAAACCAGAACTGCAGTCGATGCTGGCGATGGTCCAGTGAAGCCTCTCTGGGACAAATTAAAGGGACTGCATATGCGTGATCCTTGCCTTGCCCAGCCGTTTTATAGGGTTATATTTATTCAATGTACTCTCCTCTCCTGTAAAGCAATTACTCTGAATGCGATCTTGTTTATGCATGCATGACACCTTATACAGGGACAAAGCCCTCGAACCTTGGTAGGCTCCGGGATTTTGTCATGCCTCCGTTATACACCAGACTTGGGCTTGATATGACCAAGTAACGACCTTACAAGATGGCATGATACTCTTCTACCCTGAAGCGAGTAAATGAACCAACCCAACAGACTAGAACATCAACCATTGCTCACAATGAAAAGGGAACCAATCATAAGGCGTACAATCGAGATACTGCTCATTGAACCCAAAAATCACCCTCGAAAAGCGTCAACTCCCACATCACATACCAAGGAGCCAAAGTCCAGCGACCGCCCTACCTACAGTAGCACCTTTTCCCTTTCGAAAAAAAAAAAACGTGGCTCTCTCTGTCATCTTGCGCCATTGCGTGTGATATTCCGTATCTTCCACGTTGATCTCGGCCTTTTCACCATATAGGTCAATTAGACGTCGAGATATCCGTGACCCCTTCGTCCACCTTTGACATTATGCAGTCCACAGAGTGTCCGAACATGAATAATGCCCTGCCATTGCTATTCATACAGCGTCTATAGTTGTATGACTGCCATTTGGGATTGTCTGCTAGTGACAAGTGCCAGTAAGGGAATCAACCTACCTCGGGTCCTCTGACGATGATAGCGACACACAAGGACAGTGGTCAATTGCTACCATTTGGTAGGTAGGCAAATGTTAAAGAGAAGTCGATGGTAACTCTAGAGCTTTAGAAAAAGGAAAACAATCGAAAGAATCCAGCCATTTAAGCACCTCTAGATCTGGGAGCGGCAATAAAATCTACGCATGTTGCTGCTGATGTTGATGCTGATGCTGCTGTTGATGTTGCTGCTGATGTTGATGCTGCTGCTGCTGTTGATGCTGCTGCTGCTGTTGATGGATGCTGCTGTTGATGGATGCTGCTGTTGATGCTGATGCTGCTGCTGATGCTGATGCTGCTGTTGATACTGCTGCTGATACTGCTGCTGGCGTTGTTGCTACCGCTGCTGCTGCTGCTGCTGCTGCTGGCGTTGGTGTTGGTGTTGGTGTTAGTGCTGTTATTGTGATTGGTGCTGTAGCTGTCATTGTCCTCATTCTTGTTAATGTGGTTTCGTTTGTGGTTGTGGTTGTGGTGGTTGTGGTTGTGGTGGTTGTGGTTGTGATGATGGGTGCACTTTGCTTCCTCCCAAGCCACCAGAAGAACACAACCAACATTCAATTACTCAGGCCAGTAATCCAGGCGATTTAAAAAAAAAAGTCAACAAGTCAGCTGTTGCCATGACGTTGATGCCTTGTTTGAGTTGCTGCATTGCCCACTGCCTTTGCTGGCCGCGACGCCGTTGCCTCTATCTTGACGCAAGGGTCGAATGACCGACAACGGCGAGCAAAAGGATAATGCTGGCGTTTCAATAAGTCTCACTGATGATTGATTGATTGATTTGCGAAAGCAGAGACAAGCAAACGAGATACTCTGTGGTCCAGAAAGCAGGAAGGAGAAGAAATGTTAAGACTCAAGGTGGGCTTGGTAAAGACACTCTCTCGAAGTGCTTTAAAGGACGTTTGCTGAGTGGGTCGGCTGTTGATGTAGAATGCTTCGCCAAAAAGAAATGCATAGAATCGTGCCTTGTTTGCTCTCTCTCAAGCGACACAGGCTCTCGACCGCAGACCGTCTGGTATCCCTTCCAGCGACAAGCCTAACCTGCTCTTGGTGGGTTTCTGACATGAGACACCCCCTGAGGCCAAGTCAGAGACCAAAGAGAGGGTAAATATGCCGAGCCCGCTCTGGTTCTCAGCAAATCTTCTGCCCGTCCATCATCAGATGGTGGATGAAGCCCAGTATCTTCAAGTCCCGTCCGTAAGCTGGATCACAAGAAGCGGCAGGAAGAGACTTTGGGGCCTGGGCTGAGGCTGAGGCTGTGGGAGACACTTGGACGTCGCTGCTGAGTGCACATACCAGACTATTAGATCACGTAACAGATATGAATTGTCTCGGAAACTGACCGGCTCGGCTGGGCATCTGCCAGTCGGATATTGCCAGAAGATTGGCAAGAGTATGTCAACGCCATGATACGATTTGCCGGTCCTTTTAGACATCGTCGGGTAGTGCGCGATGGTCTGCTGTCTTGTAGTGCAGTAACCATGATTTCCTTGCAATGACATCACCCGAAATTGCAATCCCAGCAATCAATGGCACTTGTGAGAGAGTTGTCCGAACCGACAGGCTTTGCTTCCCTCGTGTGTCCTCGATAAGGACTATAACGATGATTAGTCTAGGTCTCGAACGGAAAGATGATGTGGGCGTACCCTGCACTGGTCTGCCATCGTTATAGATCAGAATTGTCTCTCCAACAACTCGTTGAGTTCGCACAGAGGTGAGTTTTCAGACTTGAAAGCGATATACCAGTGTTGAGAGAGCCACTTGAGGTTCTCCCGCAACTGCTTGGAATCCAGGGGCAAGGCCCCGTCGGGACAGATCTCGTCCAGGCCTATTGCCGCGCGGTACAGGCAGCTGAGCCCGGAGAAGCACAGCGATACTCTTGTCTATCCTTGGATCCAACATCTCCTCCAGTGTTCACTAGAGCCCAGGATCAGGGCAATCGCCATCGTCATCATTGTCGTTGTCGTGTAAGACGCGGCGTAATATTGGGTGATACCCCCAATTCGCTGAAGAGGTTCGAAGAAATATCATCAGCCTTGGCCCAAATGGTCAAGTTGTGTATTTGAGTCAGAGAATGAATACATGACATCTCCAGACACGCGTCAATTGTAGGATCATAGCGAGTGTCCAAGGGTGAAACGAAGCTGATCTGCTGCCATGGCTCTGATGTAGTGTCTTCATCTTCTTGAGTAGAAGAGTAAGTATTTTTGATGAGACAAGGGCTCCTCAATCCTTTGAACTCCCCTCGCCCCCGCCGCCAACGAGGCTCAAGAGGCCACGTGCGACAACGACGACGACGAGATAAGGGTTTGGGACTTCGAGATGACTGCGGAAGAGGTGCAGGAGCGTGCCCTGGAGGCATGGAAGGAGGTGGACGTCTGGGCCTTCAAGGTGTGAGCGCGGTTGGTCCGCTGTCATTATTCGTCGTTATGAGCGCGTTCGAAAGGGGCTTGTCGTCTTCTGGCTTCTGGCTGTCCGGCACCGTTTGGCCGCATCCCTGCCGGAAAGGGTAAAAATGGCTTGTCCAGTCTGTTTTCGTCGTCCATTGTCAAAGCATGTCGAGACCAAAAAAAGGATATGGTAGGTGTGAAGGGAGAAAAAAGCGATCACTTCACAGAAAGCGTCGAGAGTGTCGACACACAATGCAAAGAGCAGGCACGAAATAAGAAACTTTCTTTGTCTGTGTAATAGCACAGCGTATCGCGAATACTTTTCCAATCTAGTAAACAACAAGATAAACAGGAAACATCAACTTGGCGTGTTAGAAGCAAAAGCCAATCTTGTTCCTTCTGTCCCAAAACATAATCCATCTCACTTGCCCTCCCCCCTTTTCAACTCGTCGCCCCGGCAATGTCCCCCCTTGGACCGCTTACATGTAAATGTCTTCAGGTCTCCATGCTGGGTTGAGGGGTGACGGGGTGTAGACGTGCTCTCTCATGCGCCGTATCGCCGATTTGGAAGACGACGACGCCCTTTCCTTCCCGGTTGCGTAGGAAAAGGAGGAGGGAGAGGAGGAGGAGGAGGAGGACGGAGAAACATTGTCCACCCGGGGTTCCGAGTCCAACGCCAGCAGGGACATCCGCGCCGCGATGCGCTTCTCGTGGCATTCTGTTGGAAACGCGCAGTCGTTCTCGCAGCGATAGGTGCCGTCCCGCATCTTGGCGCCGGCGTCGGGCAGAGGCTCCTCCTCGACGACGACTTGTCGGCGCCAGTCGAGGTGGGCCCGCCATCCCTCGGTGTCGAAGCGGACCTGGCAGTGCCGCCTGTGCTCTGGCTGGCCCTCGCGCAGGGAGCATCTCACGTGGCCGCAGTCGTCGGTGAGGCACTTGGTGATGTAAAGGGGCCAGCGGCGGCGGCACCTGTGGCAGCGCCAGCTCCAGCTCCCGGGGGTGGCCGGGGCACATGGGGGCCTTTGAGGGGCTGCGGCTGCGGCTCTGGCCGCGGGAATCGGGATGGGTGCGGTGGCCATTGCGAGTGTCTGTCTGGTCCTGTCTCGATGATGATGATGATGATATATCGAGATGGGACAGGCTAGACAAGGGGCTGCCTGGGTGGTGTCGACCGCGGTGGCGGTTCTCAAAGGAGGAGAGAAGTATGTTGTCGAGAGCCGTGGAGAAGGAGGCTCAGCAGGGGATGAGCTTTGTAAAAAGGAAAGCTCAGGGGGGCAAAGAAGTCTTTGGTCGTAGCCAGTTGTCGATTGATATGTGGACAATGGCAGGTAGACGTGAGCTGTACTTTTACAGAGTATCTTGAGAGTGTGCGATGTCTACAGCTGAGAGTGAGTAGCTAAAGAGAAGGGATGTGTTGCCCCTTTTATATCTCGGAGTTGAGAGTACTGAGCTGCTGCTACTGCTTTGTTGTGTTTGAGTTTGAGGCGCATCGTGAGATAGAGTTTGGTGCTGTAGAGGCCAAGCGGAATAGGGGTAGGCCGCAGCTGGTCTGTACTTTGAGGCGTAGACGAGTCTAACCGCTTGCTCTTGACTTATCTCTTGTGACGGAGGCTTGCACTTTGGGAGAACAGGCACCACATCTAGCATTTCCTTATCACGATGCGGTCGGAGAGTTTGGGCGTTGAGGGGCAGTCTTCGTGGCTGAGAGGTTGTTGAGTTGGTCTGCATATAATACAAAGCTGATATATACAGACTGTCTATGTTAAACTCTACTCATTCGTCGCAGCACGTAGCCACGGAACCCATTGTATCATTGCTGAAGAGGAACATTACTACCTCGATCAAGGTATCCCCAGAGCCCTAAACAATCACGCCTCCTTGCTCCCAGCGGAGACTTCTTCCACACTGGTCACCTCCGTGACGTTCTCCCCCATGATCTGTCCGCTGACGAGGTTGACGCGAGGGCCGGTGAAGTTCTTGCGGCCGTCAATGACCCATTGAAAGAGGGAGACGGCGATGATGATGGCAAATGCGACAATGCAGTAGTCTTGAAGACAAGTGGTTAGCAACGACCACTCCATCAACGAATGTTCAGTTTGATAAGACGTACTCATGTTGCTGCCGGTAACAGGCAAGACAGGCGGAAACACAAAGAGGACCGTGGTAAGGCCAATGTACGACAGCGCGATAATGTCCGCGGTCCAGCCAAACCAGCTGGGCAGGACCCATTTCCGCTCGGGCAGCTTGCGGCGGCCCTGGAGGCAGTTGACCGCGATGGGGAGGCCGTAGGAGAGGTCGAGGGTGACGACGGAGGCGGAGATGATGGCGTTGAAGGCGCTGTGGGAACTGTAAGTCGACGAAGGGGTGCGTGGGATGTTTGTGTGAGGAGGAACCTAGGTACCTTGAGGAGCCGAGGAAGATGAGCCCAAAGATGATGACGACGACGGTGGTGAGGATGAGGGCATTCAGGGGGAGACCGAGCTTGGGATGGACGCGGGCAAAGACTCTGGAGGCGGGGAGACCGCCGTCGCTGGCAAGGAGTTTAGCTGTCTCGTCCTTGATGCCCACGAGATTGAGTGGTATGAACATACCGGGCAAAGGCAAAGATCATGCGGCTACTCGTCGTCATGACGCTAAACGTGGCAAAGATGAGACACACAAGCGGGAGCCTTTGCATATCACTGTCAGTATCATTCCCAAGACGACGAAGTGTACTAGAACAAACATGAGGAGGCAGATGGCGCCAGCAGTGTTGCTCGTGGCATGGATCAGGATCTGCAGCAGGGGACCCGCGGCGGAGCTGATGACATCGTCAATGTTGCCGGCTACGAAGAGCAGGACGATGAGGAAGATGGCGCCGGTGAAGGTGCCGATGCCGACGCAGATGACCATGATTTTGGGCCCTTGGATGGCGGCGTTGGGGATTTCTGTGATGGTGAGCAGCTGCGTTTTTATTTCCATTTTCATAAAGGGGCTGCAAACCTTCGATCATGTGGGCGACAGAGTCCTGGGAATGGTCAGTATTGTGGATGGCAGTTTGGAAGAATGACTTACAAAGGCCGTTACTCCGAGGCCTCCTTGGAGGAGCTGGACATTGTCAGTCTCGCTACATGTAGACTCCTGGTTCTGGTGACTGGATACGCACACCAAGCAGCCAGGCAATACCATCGGGCCCTGATTGATATCAGTTAGACTGAATGAGGAGTATAAGGGGACAGAGACAGAGCCTTACATCCCGTCTGATTGATAAACTCTCGAAACACAAAAGAGGCCGTGTTGAAGTCCGGCGAAGCGCACGCCAGGACCGTAATCGACACAAGGACAAAGCCGCCAATGGACCACACAAAGGCACCGCGGTAAAGCAGAGGCAGGAAGGAGTTGAGAAAGGCGTTGATGACAAAAGACGCGAGGGTGAAGGCGATGTAGATGAGGAACTGGTGCCAGCGCTGGGGCTCGTAGTTCTATCAGACGTGTTAGGATGATGGGGTTTGTTACATGGGTGGAGGAAAGGAGAGTTGACCAGATGAGTGGCAGAGATGATGCCGAGGATGAGCTGGCTGGATAGTAGAGCGTTTGTGGCGACGAGGGCGACCTGTGAAGACTGTCAGAGATGATGGGTTGAAGTTAAGGACTGTTTGAGGATTACCCAGCCGGCGACGTTGACCCAGCCTGTTACCCATGAGAGGACGGGAACCCATCTAGGCCAGGAGACTACAGGCTGTTTGTTAGAAGAGCTGGATATTACCAATTGAATGGAGAGGAGGCCATACTTGCTGCAATGTACAAGTCAATATCTTTACTGGCATCGTATGAGGATAAGGCAACTTACCTGCAACCCAGTGGTACTGTCCACCAGCACTTCATTACCGTCATCAGCACAAGCTACTCAAGTGTTACTCATGTTCCACCATTGAAGAGACTCACGTTGGATAAGCCGACAGAAACTCGGCTAGAGACGCAGCAATGCAAAGGTTGCAGACACCGGCCGTAACTAGACCTGTACACCACGATACACGCACGCGTGCATACACACATTAGCCACGACCAACACAAGAGAGCTAGAAATGCAGTGTGAGCAACCATTTGGTGCGATTGCCCCTGCATGAGGGCTGGTGCTGGTGTTGGTGTTGGTGACTACTGACCCCAGACAACTCCGGTGCTACCTCCGGAGGTCAAGCTGAGGGAGAGACTCGCTGAGAGGGCAGTCCAGGACTGGGAGGGGGTTTAGTTTTGAGTTGTGGCTGTACTCGTTTGACTGTTTGACAGGGCGGTACGACTTACATTGAGCACAGCGAATGCCAGTCCTAGCATTGATCTACGCATGTGAGTTGGACCTGAGTTGATCTCGATGCAATCAAGGCATTGTGTGAATCGGGCTTACAAGGTGGAAAAGTTGCGATTCAGCTCCGGCTGGTGACCCATGGCCGCCAGCTGGGCGTCGTCACTATTCTCATGCTTGGTATACTCGTCGCTCATGATTGTTCTTCCTCTGCCGAGGTAGGCGGCGATGTCATTCGGGGATTCCTTGCAGAAGACAATGCGACGCAACGTCAGCAATGTAGGGACGGAGAGAAGAGAGAGAAAATGGATGTAGTATAATTGGGACCAGGGAGGAGATTCTTTATTACTTGGGAATAATAACACAGAGGACATCAAACTAGAGAGATGATAGCCCCGGCCATAGTTCACCGGCGCTCGGCCAACCTCGACCCTGCGCCGTCTTCCGAATCGAGGGGGGCGGTTCTCTGATCATGAAAATGGGGTCACATTTTGACCGATTGTGCGAGTCAAGGATTGTATGTGAACGGTTTCGCGTACGAGATACAGTAGCCGGATCAGCGTGGATTCCGACATGGAGTGGAATCTGGATGACCGACCTCGGCGTGTAAGTCGAGCTGCTAATGCCGGACGAGCCATCAAAAGGATCAGAGGGCGTATAGGAACACTGTGAATACCGGGGGCTAGTTGATAAACGGCAACTATCTAGCATGAGGAACCGTATCATTTGATAGTACCAGCATCATGGCTCGTTTATCATTCTAGAGCAGCGACAGGTTACTTATCAGCTATCTCAAGATCCCTGTAAGCCGTTAGTAGTAGACAAACAAACAGGCGTGGGGAAGAAGCCGCCGCGCTTGTTGGAGCTGTCCAGCCTCTCTCCCCGCTCATCATCATGCGGGGAAGTTCGATAAGGTGGGCTCAGAATGGCTTAGTAGTAGATATTGAGCACAAAAAGGAAACGGAGGGCGCCGATTGGAGATGGAGCCTTGGTTGGTTGGTTGCCGGTTCTTGATTAGTTGAGGTGGGTTGTTGTTGTTGTCTTCATGTTGTCCGGGGCTTTGGGATCGAGGTGACGAGCATCCGTATCTGTTGCCTCGGCTCCTGTAATGGATGGATGACCGTCAAGCCGTGTCTTGTCTGTGGATTCGTTTGGGCTCGCGGCGATCTGAACTCGGTTTTGGAGGTTGATAAGGTGGGCGAGATCAGGCGGGTTGTTTTTGTCTTTTTGACTATGTTGTCTTTATCTCCATAAGGTACCTAGGTTTATATCGGCTGTACTCCGATCATGTAGAAGTGCCTATACGATACTCTACATTAGCTCTGGGTTGAATCTCAAGGTGAGATGGGTGAAAGCAGGGCAGGTTTCGTGAAAGTCTGGCTCCAATCTCTTTGCCCACAGCGATGCTCACGGCTGCTTAATCGCTGATTGTACGGCATCGAGTCTGCATTCATTCTCCCTAATCGACCTTAAGAATGGGCTCCCATAGTAGATAGGAAGACCAGCCAGTCTATGGCAGGACCGCAGACATGGAGATACAGCTGGGTTATAGAACAACAAGTCCAACGATTACAATGAGTATTCCCATTCTCCTCTTGTTCTTATAACTCACGATCGATCATTCAAGTTTGTGCTTCCAATGGTCTTACTATATCTGACAGAGAAGAAGCATCAGCAGGCTACCCGCACTCGTCCCACACACGTCAGCTTTTCTGGCCATGAACCAAGGGGCGTGCACTCGCAACATCACAAGCTGGGTACCTGCAGCTATGGATTGAAATATCATGCAGAACCTCTGAAGTGGACCTAGACTTGCTTTAGAGCAATGCGATACCCTGGCAGATTCATACCATGCCGTTCTCTGCTGCTATTATCCTTCACTACGTTGAGAATCAGCCAAGCGAGACACAAGCATAATAAGACAGCCCAGCATACACACCCCGGCGGTGATGTACGGCAGCTCTCAAGATGGTATATTCCCATCAAGCCAAGCCACATGTAATTGAAATGCTGAAGGCTTGAGTAGCTCCTTGATAAAACCACAGCTGCCTTGGGGCTCTGGTGTGATCTTCCGCCAAGAGGCGAATAGGTCTATAAACCCAGCGAGAACGCACAAGCATGCCAATACTGGTGGGATGCATGTGTTAGCCTTGCAACCACCTTGTTCTGTCCGTGATCCTCATCATCTTCTACACCCACTTCCCTCACACGTCGTAGCACTAGAGTCTCTATAGTCTGGGGCGAAAAAAAAACCTGCTTATCCATGACATTGTCGTACAAAAAGGATGCTCCTCCTCAAGGTCAAATAAAGGGTTGAGCGGGGGAAACAGTGGCTATTCAATAACACCAGCATCTATATAGATGGGCTGAAACCGGCGCAATTTCGAGCAGTCCGAAGACGTGCAGACAAACAATCTTTTCTCGGCCAGAAAGAGGCGGTTGCGCGCATATGTAGGAACAATAAAATCTGTCGTTTGCTAATGGCGATGTCCGAGTATACAGTATGGCATCCGCAACCCCTGTAACAAAGGTAAGCATAAGGCCTGCATAATATATCGAAGCCGCCACCGAAACATCATAGACAAACATAAAAGATGAGCTTCCTACATCAAACCGACAAACATCATCTTATAATAGATCATGATCGCAGATGCAGCATTAATAGCCTCTCGCACCAGAGCACACCAATCATTCAGCCATCGTGAACAACAACCCCTGCCTCCTTACAAAGAATCCTCAGCTCTCAACGCCAAAAGTCCTCCTCCAACCGGCAACTCCGCCGCCAGCCAACTGCTTTTCTCTCCTCCCATAGACTCTCTTTTAGATCCATTTCTCCAGCAAAAGAACAAAAAGCCTCCGGCCGGCAGGGGCCGACATGCCCCTGGCTCTGCAAATCATGCCCCATCAGGAAGGTCGCAAATAGACGTGCAAAGATGAGGGAGCTAATATGCATGGTTTTGGGCATGAGCTGCGGGTCGCGGGATCTTTTGAATTGACTTGACGGACACGGGCAGCGATTAACAATGGAAAACTCGAGGGAAGGCAAGAATCTTCTCCTCTTGTGGACAACAAACGGGGTATGAACAGAGCCCCCCCCTCCCCTTTGTTTGGGGCTGTCGTATTATAGGTCTCGGCTGACAAGGCTTCGCCCTTTGATGCAAGCAGCCTGCCCAGAGAATCCTCTGCAATTTCCAAGGCTGCAACAAACAATTCTCTCCTCGCCAATCCCGGGCCACACCGCACGCTCAACTCACCGACAAGGCTATCGCTCCGCAGCCACGCCAAGTCCATAACAACAAACAGCGGCCGCTCCCCTCCAGAAAAAGAGGCAGGGATTAAGGCCGGCGAGATGCCATCACGGCATTGTGCTCCTCTCGGTAGGCTGAACCCTCCCTCCCCAGCCCCGGACACACTATCCGCTTATGCACAATGGAGGAGGCACACTTGGCGAGGCGCTGTCCAGGGATTCGCGCATGCCGTGGTACTTTTTGTGTTGGCGACGAGAGTAGCTAGTAGATGGGCGCGCTGTGCGATGTTACCTTGAAGATGCAATAGTTCTTCATGGGGGGAAAGGCTGGAATTGGGGGCTTGTGATGGCGACGGCTGGGGTATATAAGCCGGGCTTCGGCCTCGTGTCTAAGCATGAGAGAGAGGAAGAAGAAGAAGAAGAAGCCGTGATCAAGGCGCCGACACACAGAATCCTCAGTGTCAGTTGGATCGGTGGCCCTCGTCCCCAGTCCGTCACAATGTGGTCCCTCGCGGTAGCAGCAGAGCTCCTCCTGCTCGCCGGAACAGCCTCCGCCCTCCTCTTCCAGGACCTCCGGCCCCCCAAGCCCGACGTCGACCTCGACAACAACTTCCGGATCGCCGCCGCAGCCAGCACTCCCACCTACGGCACCTTCCAGCAGCTCATCGACCACGACCACCCGGAGCTGGGCACCTTTTCCCAGCGCTATGTCTGGAACGACGAGTTCTACGCCGGCCCCGGCTCGCCCATCATCCTCATGGGGCCCAACGAGAGCGCGCTGGACGGGTACGAGCGCTACACCACCAACCTCACCCTCCCCGGCGTCATGGCTCAGGAGCTCGGCGCGGGAGCCCTCATCATCGAGCACCGCTACTGGGGCCAGAGCTCGCCCTTTGACAGCCTCACGACGGAGAACATGAGGTATCTCACCCTCGAGCAGTCCGTCCAGGACCTCGTCTACTTTGCGCAGAACGTCGTCCTGCCCTTCGACCAGAACCGCACCAGCACGCCTGATAAGGCTCCTTGGGTTCTCGTCGGGTGCTCCTACAGCGGTGCCCTCGCTGCCTGGGTTCAGGATCTTGCCCCGGGCACCTTTTGGGCGTATCAGTGCTCCAGTCCCGTCGTCGAGGCGATTGGGCCCCTGTGGAAGTACTTTGAGCAGGTGAAGCTCGCGATGCCGCAGAACTGCACGGCGGATTACGCGCGCATCGTCCAGTATATCGATGGGGTTCTGCTGGGCCACAACCAAAAGGCCAAGGACGAGTTGAAGGCATCGTTCAACCTGGGGGATGTGGAGCATGACGATGATTTTGCCGCGGCGTTGGTCAGTGGGCTTTATACGTGGCAGAGCGTCTTGTTTTCGGATGGATATAGCGCGACGAACCGAATGTGCGATTATGTCGAGGTGAGTGCCCCTGAATACCTTCTTCTGCAAGGAGGACGATTTGGACTGATGAAAGAATAGAACCAATGGCCGGGTAGCACTGCTCCCGCTCCTGGAAAGAACGGCGTTGGACTGACAAAGGCTCTGGCTGGATATGCCAAGTGGTTCACCACCCTCAGTCTGCCTGGATGTGAGTATCTCTCTCTCTCTCACTGCTCTGAAGTGTTCTCGAGCAAACTTTGACAATCAACAGCCTGCGCTTCGTACGGATACTGGACCAACCCCAACGACACCTCCTGCTACGACACGTACAACGCATCAAGCCCCCTCTTCACCGACCTCAGCCCCGAAAACACGGGCAACCGCCAATGGTGGTGGTTCCTCTGCAACGAGCCGTAAGTCCAGCTCACTCCGTCGCAGAGCATCTCTCGTGCTGACATCCTATCGCAGCTTCAAGTGGTGGCAGGTCCGCGGCCTGGGCAACCTCGTCTCCCGCCTCGTCAACCAGCCCTACTTTGAGCGCCAGTGCGGCCTCATCTTCCCCCGCGAGGGCAAGTACACGTACGGCATCGCACAGGGCGCCACCACGGCCCGCGTCAACAGGGTCACCGGCGGCTGGTACAACGTCAACACGCACCGCCTCGCGTGGACGGCTGGCGAGTACGACCCCTGGCGGCCCGCGACCGTCATGGCCGTCGATCGACCGGGCGGACCGCTCCGCTCGACAAAGCAGCATCCTGTGTGGGTGGTTCCAGGGGCCGCGCATTGCGGAGATATGCTCGTGAGGAACAGGAATGCGAACGAGGGCGTGCGGAACGTGTTTGATAGCGAGGTCGCGAATATCAAGCAGTGGGTGCAGGAGTTTTATGAGGAAAAGGGAAAAAAGGGAAACTAAAAAGGGGGGTGCTAGATCTCCTTGTACAAGAACATGATGACTTGATCGATTGATGAAGGAAGTGAATTCGACGCGATCTCCATCGAAGCTTGAGGCATCAGGGACGATGACATCTAGGGAGCCACCGCCGAGGAAGAACCACCGAGAGAGTTTCAAGCACCCAGTCTACTTGGGGCACGATATGTACACATTAGAAATCCCCCCAGCCTCTCGCTTCTAATTCCTTGTGCTGCCTCCTCTCCTGTCTTCTCTTCTTCCTCTTTAGTTTTCCTTGTCACGATCAGAAGCCTCTCTCTCTCTCTCATTCTCTTTCTTGGAGTGAAGCAGATCTGAAGTATTCTCTCATGTTCGTCAGACATGAGCACCAGAGCTTTCTACAGTATCATCTTGTGAGAGTACCTCGGCCAGAGAGTTTTCATATTGAAGCTTGGCCCACCATTTTCGAGCAGTCATTGGCGCTTCCGTTCCCTTCCAATTGAGGCCTCTGATTGTCTTGATATAAAAGCACATTCGCAACTTTTGTTTTTGATAGGTGAGCATTCAGTGGAAGAAGCGGCTCCAGGAGCAAATGAAGAACGAGGCGGCGGAGGAGGCGGCCTCTCCTCGCATGGCGGTTAGTTGAAGGCGATAATAGCGTGAGGGAAGAGACCAACTTGGCTTGTTCTTTTCAAAGGACGTTGACTGTAACCTCCTAGATGTCTTTCATGAAGTGACCAGAATGCTGTCGCCACATGGGGTCGAAGGCATCGGGAGGAGCAAACTAAAAAGCGCCTGGGCCTTCAAGACTCTCTAAAGAGTTAGAGTCCTAAGAAAAGTCCGACGAGGTAGATGTTGGGGTGTCAACGCCGCTGGCGGGCAGCATGGTGAGCAAGATTGACATATTCCATATCTTAATAGTACCATCGTCTGAACCAGATGCTACACGAGTCGAGTCGTGCGACAAGGCCACCGAAGAAACCTTCGTACTGTGACCCTCAAGCACCCGTAGGCATTGCCCAGTTTTTGCGTCCCATATCCTGATGGTTTTATCGCTGGACCCGGAAACTAATATCCCTGAGTCGTGCGAAATGGCCACTGAGTTAACGCCGTCGCGATGGCCCTGGAGTGCTCGCTGGCACATACCCGTCCCAACATTCCAGATCTTGACGGTCTTGTCAGCCGATGCAGAAGCTATCATCGTGGAGTCATGCGAAAAGACCACTGAGTTAACGCGGCGTTCATGTCCATTGAACGTTTCTAAGCACTCGCCCGTCTCAACATCCCATATCCTGACGGTACCATCGGACGAGCCAGATGCTATGAATCTGGAGTCATGCGAGAAGACCACTGAATGGACACTGTACCTATGGTTCTGCAGCTCCCGAAGGCGCTTTTCCGCCGTACGAGTCCTCTCCCAGATCTTGACAGTTCCGTAACTTGAGCCCGACGCCACAAGCCTTGAGTGGGGAGAGATGGCAAGGCACAGCTCTTCCTTCCAAGCCCCAAATGTGTACAGGCGTTTTCCTGTCCTAAGATCCCAGATCTCGATCTTATACTGACTTGAGCACGTTACCACAAAATCTGGATTATGTGAAAAGGCCACCAATTCAAATCGAACCTGTCTTTTGCTCTTTATCGTCTGTATCGGTTCGCCCGTCGTGCTGTTCCAGACATTGACAGTACCGTCGTTCAATCCAGCTGCTATAAACTTTGAGTCAGAGGGGAAGGCCACCGACTTGACACCAGCGTAGAGGTCCTCAACAGCTCCTTGGCATTTGCATGTTGAGCTATCATAGGTCGTGGTAGCATTATCCGGTGACCCTGGCAAGCCTGACACGCAAGACTCTGAGTCATGGGTGACGGCCGCGACGGCCAAGGTCGAGACGACGTCATTTCGGCTCTGAATCGTCAGATGACAGCCAATCCCGGCATTTCCATTCATGAGAAGCCGTCTTTTGGCATGAATCCTCCTGGATACTCGGCGCAGCGGGGACCGGCCATCGTTGTATGTTAAGTTGACGTCCACTTGATCGGTATCGAGGAGTAGCTGCTCCACAGCCTCGTGACCGTTTGCGCTCGCGTAACCAAGCGCCGTTCGACCAAACTTGCTATCCTTGTGGTCAATCCCGATTTCGCTGGTGGCGAGTGGCTGCCGAACTAGGTTGGCGTCTCCCCCTCTGCACGCCGGAGTCAACGGTGTCCCATACTTGTTCATCATCAACGCCTCAGCAGTCTGGTCATCAAACAGCCTAAACACCTCTGTATCTCCATGCGTTTCAACTTCTTTGATGAGTGCCTCCCCCGCTTTGGCATCGTCGAAGAGCTGTAGTTTGGCCAACCCATCATTTACTTGGGACAGTTGCTTGAGAATGTCGCCTTGCCTCTCATTAACCGATTCGTGCTCGTGCTCCGCAACTTGAATTTCCCGGATACGATCATCTTCCTCCACGACCAGTTTTCTTCTCTTTTCCTCGAGCTGTCTCATCTGGTCTTCCACTGCCTCCCGTTCTTTTTGAACCAGTTGTAAGCGATCCTTGTGAAGTTTGATTCTGACGCGCAGCTCTTCCTCCTTTTCTTCTCCCTGTCTCCTATTCCTGAGGAGCTGCTTGAACTTTGTAACCAAATATAATTTCTCCAATTCCGAAGAAACGTCGATAGTGACATCCGGCCGCCTGTCCATCGAATGAGGGTTGATGGACATCAGTCCCTCTTCAATAAGTTCCAGTGATATTCGCAGGTGAAGTGTGCCGTTGCTGGCACTGATTCTTCCCGATGCCTTGGACAAGATGTGAACATAATTCTCAACCAGCTCCAGCAACGGCGTATCTCTACTGCAGGTCACCACATGAAACGGTGAATCGTTGTTTATTGCTGGAGCCGTCACTTCCAGTACGATCACAAAGTCCCGAGATCCCTCTTCGCCGTGTCGGAAACGTAGGAAGACTCGTTCCGCAGTGTCATCATCGGAGCGTACCGCAGAAATTAAATTCATCTGCTCATCCCAGCACGAAGGAGGCTCCACGTCGACCAAGGCCAGATTGACTTGGGCAAACAAGTCATCATCGTAAATCCAGTACTGGTGATGCTTCGCAGAGGATGAAACCCTTTGGCCGTCTCTCTTGATGTGAATAAGCTCAGGCGGAGAGGGAGCAGAGTTTATCGGTTGCAGCACCAACGGGCATCCAACTGGCCTGATATACTCGCTGGAAGCCCCTGGATTTGCCCTAACAAGAGGGATACCGACTACTTTCTTTTTGTCTGACCTAGGGCCGCAGCTAAGTAGCCCGTACGTTTCGCCGCCAGACGTTGTAAGAAGTGGCAAGTAGAGGCGCACACTCCCACCAACGATATCGAGCGAGTGCAATGGACTGGCACTTTGCTCTCGGGCCACAATCTGTGCAGAGGTCGCGAAGGAGGACGGACCGGCCGCTAATACCTCGCCCCCGATGACTTGGCCCTTGTCGTTCATCGCAGGCTTGGTGATTTCGTCGCTCAGGCTCCATGCCAGAATGGAGTCGTCCCTCGTCGTCTTCATGATTTGTTCCTGGAGCCGGAAGAAAGCTTGTTTGCCACCTTCTCCATATATCATTGGCATTGTCACACCGAAGATGCCTAGCAAGCAGTATGCAATGTCTTCGGCTCGCTTCGTCTGTCTCTGCGAAGCCCATGACATACGCTGCGCTACGCTTGCCCCATGTAAGCTGGCAATACCGAGCAGAAATTGCTGCGGCACGCGGGTGATATTCTTGAGGACAGAGCACAAAGTGCCTTTGGTGCCTATGGACCGCCATTTCGAATTGTAGAACCGTAGGTGCCTCGGGGAAAGAAGCTCTTGCAGAGTCCAGCCTCGCTGAAACCATCGACTCGATCGAAATTTGGACCCTTGCCTCGGGGGGTCATCGTCATCCGGAACGTCAGACAGGTAGGCATAGCAGACAGCAGCGCGACTGTACCAGCGATACATGGAGTTGATGGCCTCGCTGAGCTCCACGAGGTTGGTCTTATCAATACAGCAGGTGTCAATCCAAGCATAACCCAGTCCATCTTTCTGAGCTTGTTGACAGCATCCCCGAAGCTTGACTGATCCAAGCTTTTGTTCGTCGATGTCCCCATTTTCCACTTGGCGAAAAGTGAGCTCGTCGAAATCGTTCCCCCAAGTATGGGAGAGAATCGCGTACGGCGGAATGCTGTCTTCTGAAAACTCCTTCAGTTTCAGTGTGCTGGTGTCAATTAGACGCATAATGAACCGCTGAATACCGAGATGAATCCGCCGAATTCGGCTTTCAGTGTAGAAATATCAAGTCTGAGGCTTCACGAAACTGGGGGAATCAACTGGCGAGCAAGAACGCTCTGAGACTTGTGGCAGGTTGGGCTGCGTCTGTGTGAGGAGAAAATGCCACACATTGGGCTGCTTGTCGCTGCCAGACCGCTTAGCCGTAACCGTCTCGGCTTTCTCATGGTCAGGCAGCAGGCTGAAGTGAGCACCCTCGAAGACTGCTGCCATTGGTGCTTGCTCAAGAGTAGGCGGAATATGCACTCCTTGCATGATGGGTGGCCTGGAGGAGAGCCGTTGATTGGACAAGAGGCGTCGGTGTTTAAGGCGGGTGGGCATGCGGCTGTACGTAGAGTGACTGAAGCAAGGCGCAGCGCCGGATTGCTGTGCATGACATCGGGCTATGTGGAATTGAAAGAATGTGAAGTAGAATATGGCAGGAAATGAAGAGCAAGGAGTCTGGTGAACGGAGGAGAGAAGGCGGCTGAATGAAGGTACCTTGGACCCAATTCTGACGTGTTTCACCGCCTGCCTGCCGTCACCGAAAAGGCGCCCTCCAACATTTTCAAGATCAGCGTAATGACAAGTGTATCAAAGGGTGCAACTGTTGCGTGAGAGCGCCTCTCTATGCGTGACCTGGTCCTTATTGGTATCTATCAAATGCTTTCCACATGTCGAAAGCCAGAAACTGTCCTCAGAATGTGATACATGAACCAGAAACAAGAATGTGAGATAATGTGATAAAGAAAAGGACGGGAACGCTCATGAGAAATGCATACAGACTGCAAGTACAGCCAATAACACGGAGACAATGACCCCAATGGGGATGACTAGTGATGGACGAGCGTGCTTCTTGGAGAGGATCTCGTCTATCGACTTCTCCAAGCGCAAGGCCATGTTGTCGCGACCAAATAGAGATCGCACGCGTTCCTCGCCATCAGCACCCATCCGGCGAAGATCAGCATCGGGCATGCTCAGCACATCGCTCATGACGCTGGACCAGGCATTGACATCGTCAGGGTTCCGCAGCCAGCCGGTCTTGGAATCCCGTATCGTCTCAACGGGACCGCCCGTATTGGCGGCAAGGACGGGCACGCGAGCCAACATGGCTTCAAGAGGAACAATGCCAAAGTGCTCGTTTGACGGCGTGTAGACTAGCAGGCGCGCTGTACGGAGGAGTGAGGTCTTGACGGAGTTGGGTATGGAGAGGAGGAAGAGGACGGAGGCATCGCTCGGGATCGAAGACAGAGAGGAGGCGTCGAATGTTGTGACGGTGTGGTGTCTGAGAGAGAGGGAAGAGGCCAGCTGCTCGAGCTCGGCGTGATACTCGACATTTTCGGCAACCCGATGGTCATAGCCGCCTGTTACGTTTAGCGATAGTAAACTGGGGAGAGTAGATGTCACAAACCTGCTAGCACTAGACGGACTGCTTTTCGCTTCGCCTCGGGAATGGCCGCAAAAGCCTTGACAGCCAGCCCAATGTCCTTCTTCCTCTCGAACCTGTTGATGCTGAGTATAATCTTGTGGTCACCCTCACCCAAAGCAACATTCTCGCCAGGGAATTCGTCCTGTTTCGTCGTATCGACGCACGGATACACCACCTTGGTATCGACCTTTTCCTGCAGTCGCGGCCACGTCCTAGCAACGACGCCCTTTGTAAACTCCGAGTTCACAGCCACAGCCTGCGCAAATCCCATGGACCATTCCTCGATCCAATCGAACGGCACCCGGTAGAGTCTCTTGAGCAGTGACTGACGACCCTGCGCAAGCAAGAGGTCCGGAAAGTGGCAGTAGAAGAGGATGGGCGCATCGGGCGAGAGGAAGCGCAGCAGGGGCAGGCCTGCGGATAACTGATCGACGACGAATGCGCGGGGTTCTAAATGCTGCAGTTCGCCGGAGAGCGTGATCTGGAGGAGGAGGTGGAAGTGGCGCAAGATGGCGCAGAGGATGGTGAGGCGGTTGAAGATGGACATGGGGACGAGCGAGGCGCCGCGAACACGAACATCGAGGGTTCCTAAATGACGGTGATGAGTATGATTGTAGAGCATGCTTCATTTGGTCATCCTGAGGGCTCACCATCGCGGCACTCGTCGAAGCAATGGCTGGGGTCGCAGTGGTTGGTGAAGATGACAACGTGGTGCCCGCGCTCCTGCAGCCCAACCGCCGCATCGACGACCAGCCGCTCAGCGCCGCCGATGCCCAGATCCGGATGGAAGAAGACGATTGTGCCTCGAGGCGAGCCGGAAGGCGGAGGAGCGTCCACCTGCGACGACATTGCGAGGTGCTGGTGACGCTGGAGATGCAGCTGCAGGGAAGCTCGACAGGTTGGAGCTTGAAGAGCTTCACGACGTTTGTTTGGTGACGAATAGAGACACACCGTGGGGTAGATGGCTCTAGTCCAAGGCTGGCTTAGTGTACTTGTGGGGTGGCCATTCACCGGTACGTAGGTACTTACCTTGTCAACCTCGTCCAGCTTCAACTTGAAGTAGCAACACAATCTCAAGTGTAGGACATATCCAGGCATATAGCGAGTTGACCCGATAAGAGAAGCATTCCTTGAGGCAAATGGCTAGGTAAGCTGAGAAATTGGTTTTCTTAAGGAAGTATAAGGTGCCTTTTACCACCTCGTACATATGCATATAATGCTCTCTTCTTCAGACTCACCTTCTTGAAAACTTGCCCTTGGCATCCTCAATGCCCACCTCATGTTGAATTGCCATTCTTTAAACTTAGCAGATCGTCTATCTCGTCTTTACTTTCCAATCTCATGCTGTCATCATGGGCTCAAAAGGCTCCATTTGAGAGGGCAGTCCAAGTTGAGTAACTTGCTTTGGCAACTAAATCGAAGACTTTCAGCGGGGGAAGCCGCCTTTACAACACCAGCAACTAACGCCTACTCTTGAAGCGCCTCTGGAACTATGAAAAATCGTTAATAGGCCATATTTGAAAGGCATTCGACAATACTAGATTGACGGCCATTGACATCATGCGGATTCTGCAAAAGGGCGAATCCCAGATTATTCTACAGATTTCGGTGAAGCCGTATACGCTTTCAGGGGAGGACGGCCGCCGGATTGCTCTGCAGTGCAAGAAAATCCTGTAGAGTCACGGTGTTCAAGATGTGCATTGCGAGATTTGCGGATACCCGAATGGTGCAATTTGAGGGATGCGATCAGGGCGCTTAGAACGCCTCTCCGGTTGTTTCGATAGGCCATATTCTCCTCTTCTCTAACATTAGTCTAGTATTTTCAATATTACTTACTAGTATTGAAAGAGATCAATGACAGTAACCTTGTGCTGTAACTGATCTGCTTGATGTATCTATGAAGTAAGTCATCGGAGAGACTCATATAACTTGGCAATTTCCTGCTTCATTTGATGAGATTCTTGATATGGATCTCGGTTCATATCCCCAGTCTCACAATCGTCCTACCTATCCCTCCCCTCATATAGAACTGAACTACGGTATCCTACACAAGTGCCTATCCAAGAGCCTAATACCATAATACCTACCGCCCCCTTGATGCCCTCAAATCCAACATCACCAACCTCCCCTCAAACCTCATTCGCCAAATTCTCCAACCTCGCCCTCCTCAACCTCCCCGCATCAACTCTCACCTCCTCCACAGGAAACCACTCTCCCAACCTCCCCCCAGGCCGTCCCTCACCCTCAACCAACTCATCATCCTCCCTCCCCATCATCATAATCCCCACCGCAACACCACTCAACCACGCCCAAACCATACCCTCGCCACTGAAACCCGCAGCAATCCACTCCCCAAACCCATCCCCAACACCACCCACATTCTCCCTCATCCTCCTCCCATTCCCAACCCCAACCGGCAACCCCCCCACAAACGGCAACATATCCCCCGTAAACCCCATAATCCCACTCCACGCACCCTCCAGCTTCCCCTCCGCGCCCCATCTCGGCTCGAATATCGCAGCCATGCTCCCCCTGAGATGCATCAGCGGAAACGCATCCACCCTCCCATCATCCCACACCCCAACCTGATCCAGCCCGTCCTCCTTACTCCGGAACAAGCCCCCTCCGAGCATCAACTCCCCCGGCTGCCCATCCTCTCCATCAGGTCTCTGCGTCACATAGTCGAATCCCGTCCCGTACATCACCGACCACGACCTTCCCCCATGACACACGGGGGAAAAGTCCTTCCCTGGCTTCTGTGCCGTCATGTGTCCGAGTACGCCTGTGAGACAGCCTCGCAGGGCGGGAACGAGATGGCCTGTGTAGGCGTTTGTTGCGTGAAGGACGTGTCGGGTACGGATCTTACCGCGGGGAGAATGAATCGTATAGGGATGGGTCGGAGAGGCGTTGGGAGTGATGGATGAGACGGGCGTATGGGTACTGATGGTGAGGCTGGGGTATTTCGTCTTGAGATCGTGCCATAGGCTTGTGACGAGTCGATACGGCCACAGAGCGCCTGCTTGATACGATATCGCGCCGACAACATGCCGATTAACCCCAAACTACACAAATCACCCCCTCAGAATAAGCATCTCACTCATACAACAAACCTCATCAAGCCTCATCACATCATCAAAGAGAAAAAGAAACTCACCTTCTCCCTCATCTCCTCCTCCCCCTCCCAAACCCTGACATCCACCTCCGGCATCCACCCCCTCAACTCATCAACATTACCCCTCGCCCTCTCAAACCCATCCCCGTCTAGAAACAAATCCACCGTCTCAACCTCTCTCACCTCCCCCCACGGCATCCTCTCGCCAACCTCCTTCAGCGCAGAAAGATGCCTCATCTGCAAGCGCACGACCTTCCGCGCCCTTTCGTCATCGCCGAGCATCCGTCGCAGCCGGGCGAATTCCTCGTGGGGCGCGCACTTGATGTGTCCTCCGTTGCGCGCCGTCGCGCCACTGCAGAGCTGGCGTGCTTCCAGGACCATGATCTTTGGTATACCTCTTTGATCGTCATTACCTTGCCCTTCTGGCTTCGTCAAAGAAGACGAAGACAGTTCAAAGATCGTCTTGACAGCAGAAACACCCGTAATTCCACTCCCCACAACCACAACATCCACCTCCTCCTCCTCCTCCTCATCCTCTCCAACCCCTCCCCCCTCACGATCCTCAGCAGAAGCAGACGGCGCTCCATCCCAAACAACGTCCCCCATCTCTGGAAACGGCGGATCCCGCATCCAAAACGACTCCGTCGGCTTCTCAACAGGCAGAAACGGCCCGGCGTGGACCCTCTCCAAAAGCGCGCCGTACCGCGCGTTGAGGGCGGAGAGGGTCCGGATGAGGGCCGTGAAGGACGTGTAGATGCCGCGCAGGTGGGATATGACTGCGCCCATTTTTTTTTCGGAGTGCTACTTACTCAACGATGAAGCGGTTTCTTGATATGATGGCGATGATGGTGGCGTTGATGCCGTGGTTTCCAGTGGGATGAATATGTTGTCTGTTTGTCGTCAGTGAGAGATGCATGTCGGGTGAGTGTCTCGTTTATAGAGATGGGGTTCGATTGATGCTCCACGACATTAGTGGCGAGCTGCAGCTTATCATCCACACCACCAAGGATGCGGAGAAAGATTGCATGTATGCGTGCAGAAATACATCCATCGCAAGCTACATGTAGCATCCTGTATCTAAGGAACAGTTAGTTGCCAGGATGCTACATGTAGATAGCTGCTCTAATGAGTGCTCTCTTTGTCAGTGTCATCTTTAACAGCTTTCACCATCAATCAAGAGCGCACATATGAATTCTCAGTAACAGTCAAGTCAATTTTTATCTACCACTCTAGAGTATCAATCTCGTCCCGTTCCATAACACACACAAAACCATATCAAAACACAGATAACAGAAAGAAACAACAGTTACGAAACCAGGCCCAGTACAAACAGCAATTCCGCAGAACAAGGACTGGAAAAGAGAAACCTGCGCCCCTAGGATCCGCCCAGTTGCCGTGCCATGCCATAACCGTGCCGTGCCGTGCCGTGCCGTGCCATCCATCCGCCTGTCCGCCAAGAAGACTTTGAAGCATTTAGAAAGAAGAAGAAAAATAAGCACATAGTAAGACAGTCTGATTTCCACGCTTGGCGTGCCCGTCTAAAGGCTAGAGGCATGGTGATGCAGAGCCGGAGACTGCGCCGCCCTGGACGCGTGAAGGAACAAGTGAGTTTGGTGTTTTGGTCAGATCCTCCCTCTGGCCATGACGACAAGGGAGAACAAATTAAGAGTAGAATAGAGTGAAAAGGACGTAAGATGGAACAAGGGGTAACTGGGTGGTGCTCAGGATTACAAGAGGGCTTCGTGAGTCGTCATTCGCTCAAGTGTAAGCAATGATAATAACATCATCATGCGTCCACCCGGCATGGTATATATGTCGTAGCAGACAAAGAAAATCATAAACGGTACGTCGTCCGAAAGTAGAAGAGTAAATGGGGGAGAAAGAAGATGAAAGGAAAGGAAAGATACGGTCAAACGCGGGAAAAAAAAAATACGCAAACGAAGAGAGAGAGAAGAAAAAAGGAGAAAACCAGCCGGGACCACGCCCAGGCTAGCTCTTATGGAGGACAGATTATACACTGATCATTCCTTCATCTTCCTCATCCTCCAGGGACATGATATCACCGCCCTGGGACGAAGTCCAGCCGCGCGGATCAAGCCCGAGCTCGGCTCTGGTGTCGCGCTGGATCTGCAGGAAATACTTCCTCAGACTGCGCAAACCCTTGAGGAAGCCGGGATCTGGCTGGTTGGGATGCTGTGGAGGGCACGGCTTGTCCTGCACCTTGTCCAGCGGCGTGAGGCTATTGGCAAAGTCGGCCACCTTGAAGTCAATCTCGCGCTTGTTCCGCTTCTTTCTGACCGTCTCTTCGGTATCTGTCGCGGCATCCGTCATGGAGTCGTAGGCCGTCTCGTAGCCTCCGCCCTCATCTGACGCATCGCCATCATAGAACATGAGCAAACTCGCGGCATAGAAGCGGTAGCCGCGCAGCTCGCTCACAATCTGCTCCAGCTGCGAAAGCTTTCGCAAAATGACGGGAATGTGATGGAGAATGGAGTGTAGGTCAACGCCGTTGTAGAGAAACTTCGTGAGAGCTGCCTGGAACTCTTTGCCGGCCTGGACCTTTCGACCAAAGTACTTGTCTTGGAAGTCGTACGTCTGCGTCTTGGCATTCCAAACTTGCAATCCACAGATGCGCACCCCGAGCTCATATGACGTCGTTGTCCGGCACTTTTCTTGTTGAGACCTCTGCTTACTAGGAGACGCTTCAACGCCATATTGGCGGGTCCCCATCTTGAGGTCCATCATGCAAGGCCGCTTCATGCCGGCAGTGAGGTCTTCCAGCAGCAGGAAGTACTCCACCCGGTCGCGCTGCGTTTTGGCTTCCTTGGGGTTGTTCGGTCGCAGGACTGGCATCTGCGCGAACTCGACCGAGGGATGTTGAAGGGCCTGTTGAACTGCTGTCGCATTATCCGCACAGTGAGACTCCTGCGGAGCGCCGGCTGCGTCGGTAGTAGTGGGAGTGTTCGCGTTGGTGGAAGTAGAAGCCGAAACCACCTTTCCAAGAGAGTCGTTGGCCGAGGTAGCAGCAGTCTTGAGCGCAACTCCTTCGCCACGCTCACCACCAATTTCCGCCTCATCCTTGTAGCCCACGTCGTCCGCTTCCTCAAAATACTTGAGATCTCCCCTAGAGTCTCGCACATCCTGCGGCTTGCGTCGAAGGCCACTTCCAGAGTACCTGCGCTTCTTCTTGGCCAGCACGGGGTTAGTTGTCAATGTCTCTGGCTCGGGAGCACTAGTACCCGTCACGTCCTTGACCTCGACAGTGTCGTCTCGTTGCTCGGCTGGTTGCTGATCGGCTTGGGCTCCAGAATCGCTCCTCTGCTGTACAAGTGGCGTCAATGGCTTTAGAGGGCTGGCCGCGTGATGCCCGCTCTCCGCATTGGCAGCATGCTTGTCCGCTCCCTGACCAAGGCTGGGGTCCGAGTTGCTGGTGCGGAGCAGCCGCTGCAGAGTCGGCGAAGGGACAGGTCGCTGATACGGCCGACGATGTTTTTGGACCTCGATGGGCTGCTTCAGGAACGCGTCGTTGAAGACCTCGTTGCGCAGTCGCTTGTTCACCGTCGTTGCTCCCCAGCTGTTGGGACGCTCCTCCATGGTAGGCCGCACTGGCGGTCCGGTCGAGGCGGGCGCCGCGGACGGAGTCTTGTTAAGCGACACGCTACGGCGATGCGACGAGTCGACAGCGGGGGACGGCTGCAGAAGGTTGCGAGGGAGGATATGCCAGTTGTCGTCGAAGGTCACGGTGGGAATCGGGACGTTGGAGCTGGAGAGCGATTGGCTGATGACCCGCGAAGGGGCCGCCGTCGCCTGGCCAGCCTCGTTGCCGCCATTGGACTCTGGCTGGCGCTTGTCAGCCGTTTCGTCCTTTTTGACGGTGCTCTTTCTACGAGGCTTCCTCTGGAAGGTGACGTTCAACACGCCAATGTACCTAGAAAGGGGCATGTTAGCGTTGACAACCATCGGGGATGAACGAGGGCGAGTTGCAGCGTTTCGATCAAGAACAGAGAGGGCAGTGCGAGGGTAGAAGCAAAACAAGTTTAGGATCGTCGCAACATTGCGGGCTTCAGCCCCATGTTGGTGAATGGTCAAGACATACCGAGGGAGGAAAGGCAGCAAATCACGATGATATCTTTCAATTGTCTCGTAAAACTCATTCTCTCGGTTGCTGAGCTGCTTACAAACGGCCCGGCGAGAGAACCGCCACAGAGTGTTGTGGCCGCCGACCTGATGCTTATACGGGATGAGCTCAATGGCTTGTAGCGGTCGGCGTGCCTGGTGCTGGTGCTCATGGACATGGTCTTCATGATGGGTCACAGCTCGAGGCTTGGGAGTAGGGGTGGCTTGGTTCACTTCATTCTCGACGTCCACGGCAGGCTCGGGCGGGACATGGGCCTCTGCCGGGGCCTCTGTACGTCGCGATGCTAGGCTCTCACGGGAGGCAACGCGTGACACCTGATACGGACTCTCATCCTTACTCTGGATCTCGGGCTCAGGCTCGTCGGCCTTGACCAGCCACGGGTGACTCTTCGTCTGCGAGCGCGACCGCGGCCGCCGCAGCGATTCGTTGTCACTGCCCTCACTCACGCTCGCGCGGCCGTCGTCCAGCTCCTGATGCGGATGGAACACGGCGGACGAGATCTTTTCTTCTCCAGACTCGTCCGCATCGCCGTCGCCATCGCCTTCGGTGTCTGCGTCGGAGTCAGCATGGGCCTTGTCGGTGACATGGGAACTAGGACAGGCTTTGGCGTCGGTGGCTTGGGCCTCGGCACGGGCGCCGGCAGCGTTGGTATCGCTCTGGGTCACTGCCGGTGCATGCGCAGTAGTAGTAGCAGCAGCAGCAGCATCAGCCTCGGCACCCGCACCCGCAGCCGCAGCCGTGCCCGGTTGTGCATCCCTGTCGCCGGCATGGCGCTGCGGACCGCCGACCTCGGAGTCATGTGACGGCCGCTGCTTCTCCACCTCGGCGTCCAGGTCCGTCGCCGGCCCCACCTCAGCATGAAGCGGTGGCTCCAGCTTGGCCTCGCTATGATGGGCGGATGATGACTGCTGCGCCGAGCCTCTGTCGCCACTCTGTTCCGCGTGCTGTTTCTGCTGCAGGGCGAAGCTCTGTTCCTCGAGCGGTGAGGCAACAATAGGCCGCTCGTCAGCCACCCCTATGGGGAACGACTGCGTCCTGGTTAGGATCGCCGGCGGCTTCGTGTCTGCTGCCTGTGTGGCCTTGCCGCTGGCTTTGTGTGACTGCTCCAGTGGCTGTTTCTCCGTTAAAGTCGAGGGCTCCTCATCGATGGTCGGCACATGTTTTTTGGTGTCCTTGCGCCGCGGCTTGTCGTCGGGCGGCAGTCCCTCCTTGAAGAAGCGCAAGCTGTAGCTGGACTTGCGACTGCGTGCATTGTGTTCAACCCCGGCGATGGCCTCGGCAACCGACTGCTCCACCAGGCCATTCTCTTCGCTCCCGTCGCCAGAGCCAATGGACCATATCTTCTCCGTCTTCTCGGGCGTGGCAGTCATTGTGTGATGCTCGCGGCGCGAGTCTTGTGAATCGGTTTCGTCCCCTGCATCGGTAGAGTGGCCGGCGGACAGCACAGCACTAGAGTAGCTGCCATTGGTCGGCGTCATCGAGTCCTCGGGGCTAGACGAGTGGGAGAAGTGGAGGTCGTGATGTGGCGTTGCTGAAGGCTTGGGGTCATGGTCGAGTGATGTGGATGCCTTGCCTCGGGTTCGGTCCAGGAATTCGCGATGTTCTAAGAGCATGTCGTTGGCATGGGACAAGATCTCGGCTTTGAACGATGATGTGGCAGCGGCACGGTCTCGCACCGGAAGAGGGGAGGTGAGGGGAATCGTCGGAGCTGTGATGGTAGTCGTCGCCGTGGCCATTGTGGAAGATTGCGAATCGCCTCGCGTCAGGGCACTGTCGAGGTCGATGTAATCCGATGCATCTCGCGCCTCTGTAGAAGGGGTGGCGGGTGAAGACCGAACAGGCCTCGTATCGACGGCTGACGGGGAAGCAGATGCCGGGCTGGCAGTGGGCGCAGGCCTCGTCGACTTGTCAGGAGAGGAGTTTGTACGGAGGATGCCTCGAGCAGATGCCAAGGCCTGTGAAAGCAGCGAAGGGCCGTGCTGGCGCTGGCGGGCTGCGGCGCTAGGGGTCGTCTTTATATGAGTGGTCGTGGCGGTGGTAGTAGGGGGAGGAGGAGGAAGAGCAGAAGCAGCTGGGTGACGAGACGAGGGAGAGTCTGCTCCGCTACCGTCTGGCTGGTTCTGGCCGCGGCCCCCGTCTGGGTCCAGGTTTGAGTTCAGGCCCTCCCTGGCAGCAGCGACGGCGGCCTCAGTGTCCGGGGTCGGGGGTGTGGCCTCAGTCCTGCTGCTGGCAGAGGTGTTGGCCCCCATGGTGCATGTGGTAGTAGTAGTAGTAGTAGTATCGCCAGTTGCGGCCTCGGGGGCGTCACCAGCTGCAGCTGCAGCGTGGGCGTGGACGTGGGCGTCTTGCAGCGGCAGCGGCTGTCCGTCGGGCTGGCGCTGGACATGGGGATGGGCGTGGGCGTGGGCGTGGGCGATCAGCAGCGCAGCAGGTGCGGCATTTTCGGCGTGAGAAGGCGAGCTGGACATGGGGAGGACATCTGGCGCGGCAGAGCGTCTGCGTGGGAGGCTTGATTCGCGGGCAGACGGTTGGCAGCAGGCCGTGAGCTGGAGGTTGCGGAGGGATTGAAAATGGAGGGAGGCGGTTTGCCAGGTTTTCAGGATGGATGAATGGGGGAACTCAGTTGCGCGCCGCCAGGTGGGGCCCTGGGCTGTTAGCGCATGTATGGCCACCTGCATGCACGTCCTGGCTAAGGTAAGGTGAGGTCGGGTGCCCTTTGACGCGCGATGCTAGCCCTCCATGTAGGTGCCGTCCAGCGAGCTTTACAGGGAGGCACAGGGAGGCACAGGGAGCCCGCACAGGGCGGCGACGGCGCTACGGGCTCTCTACCGACGGGCTGCTACAGGGCACCAGACCTCATGCTACAGAGCCTGAGGGTGCTGTACGAGTATTCCATACATGTACATGTACTGAGGTCCCGTCCACGGGTGCCCAACTGGGACAGGGGCCGGGCTCTCAAACGCTGCCCGCAGGCGGGCTGCTACAGGCACTCCTCTACTCCCTCCTGTGTCTCGCACCGAATCACCCCGGCCGCCCAGCAGCACGTTCGAGGTTGCATGACAGCGACTAGCCGCAACATGGAGCTTCGATTCTGGAGCAGACTCACTGCGCTTCTGCTCAGGGGCGGGGCGCTGCCGTCAGTGGGCAGGTATGTACATGTAGGTTCATGTCATGTTCGGGATGGATGAGAGCAGTGAGAGGCGGCTGCTGAGGCACAAGGCGCGGCTGCGGGGTCTTAGTGGCCCGACTGCGCTACAGGTGCAGGGCATGCTGGGGCGTCAATTGCCCGGGCGGCCAGTGAGGGACCGCTGGGAGTGATTCTGCCACTGGATCGGATTGACGACTCGCACGCACATGGACATGGACACGCAGTCATTGGAGTGAATCTGGTTGTCTGTATCACTGCAATCGTTTCAAAGATGCACAGGGCTTGGAACAGCTGCGAATGTCAAGTAATACCATTGGCGTCTGCTTGCTGATGTCCTGGGTTGTCATACTTCAGGAAAGCCAGCGCAAAGCCTCGATCCACTCCATCCACGGCTTATCGGATGTTGCTGGAAGTTTGCTAAGGGACCTTACCTTAGGTACCTTACTCCCTGACATGGAACCTGTCCAGAGGAATGAAAGGGCCCCCATTGTCAAACTCCATCGCCTTCAGAGGACCAGAAACAGCCCTGATAAGGCCAATGGCAGTGAATCGATGCAGCAGAGACATCAATGCATCCAATCGAGTCCAATTGTCGCCTTATCTCCGTCACTGATGCATGCACATGAAGTGTACAAGCACTTAGTAGACACCAGCTGCCATTACTGCCTAAGGCACTCACTCCGCTATCAACCGTCACCAACCCATCACCGCCCTGATACCTTAGATGGCGGGGCCTCCTCTTCCTCTTGCTGTGCAACACAACCCGGACACCAAAGCTGCAGCCCACACACAAGAGATAAAGCACCGGTGAGCGCCAGGCGAGACACATGCTGCCGGCCCTCTTCTTCGTGCAACGCAGCCAGTCACACGCGTCGGCTTCTGGCTCATGCAGCCCGTCTGCGGAACAGCGGTCGACGTCCACTGACCTCCACCAGCGAACCAGCCCCCAACAAACACGACGCAAACCACAAAGAAAAGACACGAGCAAGCCATGACGCTCTCCCGTGTTCCCCGGCTCCAGGACACTCGCCAGCAGGTGCTCCAGGCCAGATGAGGCCCCCCAGCAGTCGCGGAACCCTTGGGCCACTTCCGGAGCCGCTTGGCGGGACCGCAAATCCCTTGTCTTACCTGCGCTCGCTGTGATACGAAGCCGCTCGCCGGCCTGCTGACGGAGCTCAACAGCTCGCAGATAACGCACAACTTGCTTTGAGCTTATCAGGCACACGATGGCCAGGTACGGAGGATCAAAGTTGTTAGTGCTACACCTCCAGCTTCTCCCTTGACTGCCGCTAACACCTACGGTATGGCTAGCAACCCGGCTTAGCTTGGGCTTGGGAAGAGTTGACTGCAGCACTAGGACAAGACGTGGCTTGATGGCGCAGGTGCCCAAGGGCATCAACCGATCTCGATGATTCGTTGTTGACGGCTTTGCCTCTTTCTTTCCTCGCTGTTTCAGACCCGCAGTGTCATTGACATTCCACCTGTCCAGTGCATTGCCTTGCTTCACAAGGAACAGAACAAGATGGAAACCAGCTGCTTCATCAAGGCTACCTCAGCTGGCCCCCCCTTCCCAATGGTTGTTCGGCGTGCTACAGCGCATTCATCAATGCTGGCACGGGGGTGCGAAGCTTATTGCCAACTCCACCGCCTATCGTCGTGTTCCAGAAGCTTGGACGTCATTCCAGCCCACGTGGAACAGGAAAAGACGCCCATCAGTCCGACCTACAACCTGTTCTGTCACCGACGACAAAGGGGTTGCTTGGCAAGGCAGGCCTTCCCCAGAGTCTCGTACATAGCTTGGAGCAACAGACAACATCACAGGTCCAACGACCGGGGCACGCCGTCAAGAGTCCAAGGATACCAGGTATCGATTGCAAACTGACAGCCGATATGCAGCCCTACCCATCATGTTGTACGGCAGTTGCGGCATACTGTTGCGAAGCCTACCAGTACTTTTGCGTCGCCAGGCGAGCTCACCGGTGACGCCACATTCCCAATCGCAATGCAGAGTGCATCTGCAAGCATGCCTCACCACTGCCGGGCAACCGAACCAGCTACTCATCCACGGAGAAGCCTGTGAACGACCACGCTGCAGATACTGCCCGACCATTCGCAGACAATTGCGTCAGCAACGTTCCTGGAGAAGCAGCCAAATCCGAGACGGCTCTATGAAACTCGGAACAGGGTGCCTGGTTTTTTCCATAAGCTGCCGAGCTCACCGACGTCTTCTTCCTTCTCCCACGTGTGCCTCAACAATGCTTGACTGGTGCATGCCGTCCAGTGCATCATTACGTATCCTGGATCATCCACGTCACACATCTGTAACCCAAAGAGACAGGCAATGCACAAGCGCTCTTCGTGCCGTGTGCTTCACACCAGGTACATTTCATAGGACTTGCGGTGTCCCCGATCTCCTGGATCTCAACAGGGATTCAAAGTCATCTAAGGCTTATTACGATTGGTATTCCTCGGAACCGGATTAGGCAGTCAGAAACGACCATCATTCAGGCGTCGAGCTGCCCCCAGACTACCAAGAGGCAGGGCATCTAGACCTTGGGTTCTAGGTGAGATTAGCGATTCACGGGCACGTGGGTGGAATACGCAGCCACGTCGCTTGGTTGACTTTCTCACGAGAGGTGTTGGTGGGCAGAGTTGCGCTGTCTCCTGCACGTGTGAAGACGCATACCATCGTGCGCAAATAGCGTTTGCACACGAAGCCCAATGAGACGGAGTTGGGTTCACCAGCCATCCAAGGGGAGTGTCTTTTGGTATGATTCTCACATAACAAACGACACCACATGGGGGACACTCTGGTGACGCTGGACGTCAGTTAGGGTTAGGATGGCCGGGACCTATGCATGCCCCCTCAGGTCTGGAGAAAGGAGACAGGTCGAAATGGACCGGCTGGGGGATCTGCGTTAACCAAATCAACATTTGGCCTCCTGCTTCATTTGTCGTAACAGGTTGCGCCCTCCTGAGGTCAGATGCCGTTCCCTTGTCGGATTCGTGCCTCTTGCAACGTCACCAAGCGCTTGCTCGCTTTAGAGTTTCACTCGGATAAGTATTTGCCTGCAGCTTATCCGGCGAATGTGTGCGAAGCACGAGGTTGCCATCAAGAGCCGGCTTTCCCATGTGTGTCGGTCCACAAGAGGTGGGAGCTTTGAGAACCGGGAGCATGGCCCCATACGGACGATTTACATACATGTGCTCATCTCGACAGATCCTCCCGTCCATTAGGTGACATTCTCCCACCACATTCTGTCTCCAAGGGACATTATCCGACGAGGGAACCCCTGAATCCCCTGGAGAAGGGGGGGAGAGGGGACACATCCGGTACCTAGGTAGTAGGGGTAAGTACTGTATAGCCTAATTAAATGCCAAATGCCAGCAAGCGGGCAGTGAGGCATGAGAGCGAGTATGTATGTACATAAGAAAGGCGGCAGATGGAAAAGGGCCCCCTTCGGGATGAAGCAGCGTTTCCTCGCGCCAGCAAAGCAAGCAAGCCACGTTCTTTGTCCACCCACACCCATTGGACCCAAAAAAAAGCCGTCTATGCCGGAGCAAGGGAGGGCGGGTTGGGGGGAAGCCCACTGCAGCAACACAAACTCCATCTTTTATCTTTGTTGCGACAAGAGTGATATGTGTGTATGGACGCCATTTCTGTTGGCTTGTCGTCATATGCAGGGCAGCAACAGGCTCCTCTTTTCTAGGCACTTTTCCGCCTTTCGATTTGGGGCTACCGTGGGTTGATGTTGTTAATGTAAGTGCCCATTCTGCGCATTATACCTATGTACCTTAAGTAAAAACTTGTAAGAAGTGACGGGAGTTCTCTTTTTAGCTTTGCTTGGTTCATGTGCTTAGATTTGGCTTACCCTGTAAAATGTGACGGGGCGGTCGAAACCTAATAGGTTATGGCCCTTTTATTAAAAAAAAAAAAAAGGAGGGGGGAGAGCCGGCAAGAGAGAAAAAGAAGGAAAGAGACTGCGAATAAAAGAAGCTGTAGAATGTGGTGCTGGTTGTCGTCCGATGTGCTGATATTCAGCAGTGTCGAGGCCATGACGAGTTTGAGTGCGTCTCCCAACATTGACCCTTATCTACCTACGGTATAGCAAAACAGATACAACCACACAACCACACAAAATCATGGGAATCAACCACATTGTGACAAACAAAACATGCATCAGACAAGCGGAAAGCCTGAATCCGTCCAATCCGTTGCCCAAGCTTACAAAAGGCTCATTACACAGATGCTTCACAACCGGCATTCATCCCAGTATAACGTGGATTTTGCCGAGATGCCGCTTTCAGTGATGCAAAAGCACAGCGAAACCGGGCTACATTTACTTCGATATTATTGCCTACCTGTATATAGTACCACTCTTGAAGCTACCCCCTAGCTACCTATCTATCTACGCACGCACATATGCACATGCTCTTCGTATAGCAGGCATGAAACAGGCCCCCAGCCGTTTCCCACCTCCAAAAACCACACAATGCATTACCAGGGCCCCTTGTCTCTGCTCAGAGTTTCTCGGATAATGTACACTAGAGAGACTAAGAGGCATAATTGGATTCCTATTCCACGTAGCGTGAAGAAAACCCAATGTGGTCTGCAGACTTTGAGACATGTGAAAAAGGTAGAAACCTTGAAGAAGAGGGCAAGATACGAAAGCATGTCTTTTTGTTGGCTTGATTCGATGCAATGTACATGTGGTAACACATTTCTTTCTCATAGAATGACCAGATATTCGAGCCGAGAGAAAGATGACGGTGAGAACCAGATAGAAAGGATGTCGTCAACGTAAATGCCGGCACGCTATGCTCAATGACAAGTAGATGGTATCATGACTCCCCTAATGTCGTGTAGTTGGGAAAATAGAAACAGAATCCCTTCCCATTTGTGAAGATGGGGCTCAGAAGAAAAATTGCGGAGTAAAGCCCGCGTCCATGTCCACGTCCATGCCCATATCAACCTCCGGCATGGTTTCATCCTGCTTCTTCTCGCCAGCAGCCCGGGCCTTGTCCGCCTTCCGCGCCTCCTTCAGCTCCGCGTCGACATCCCAGATCTGCAAAAAGTCGTCCATCTCGTTGAAAATGTCCTCCACAATGTCTGTGGACTCCTCGCCGCCGTCCCATCCACCAGTCAACTTTGCAGCCCCCCTTTCCGCCTCTTGCAGGTTCACTTGGGGGCTGTTTGTGATCTCAGCCCAGCTGGCGATTTTTCCTGCAGTAACGGGGGACTCCGGGCCGTGGCTGCAGGATCCATCTCCCGATGCGGTTGGCGCACTCTGCAGTTGTGTGCCCTTGCAACGGTCAGCCACGGCTGCAAAGTGGTGACTGAACTTCATGTCTCTCTCTTCGAGCGAATCAGAAGCGAGGCCGGTAGACGGCGGCGGAGGTGGTGAAACTGCTCGCTCCCTGCCTCGTGACGGCGATGATGACGTGTTCGTCTCCGACGAAACCTCCTCGCCGGCGCTGGCCGTCTCTTCATGCGGCAAGGGAGCCCAGGAGACCCGTTTCTTGGAAGCTGTGCTTCCCGATGCACCCTTTTTGCCAGAGAGGAGGATGCCTCGTGAGGTAGGACCGATACCGTTCGGCACCCCATCCCAGGAATAGCGGACCTGGCGGCCATGGCTGGGAGAAGGCGACATGAATGATGAAAAGGACGTAAAGGCAAACTGCGGCTCCGGCGTGGACGGTCTCTTCAAAACCTCGCTGGAGGGTGGAGGCATATCTTCAGAGGGCGGCTGGTGTGTTTCGACGCTTTGCGGTGGTAGGACGAGACTTTCGCCGGAGTCGACAGGGGCGAGTGTTTGCTCATGCTGCTCCTGCGTGAAGCCACGGACATCAGTCATAGGGCCTGTTGAGTCAGACCCATCTGGCATTTCTGACGTGTCTCCGGATGCCTGCATTGCAGGCGTGCCCGGACCTGCGTCTGTCGTGGAAATAGATGGCCTAGGCTGGGTGGGAAGTTCCTCTCGAACAACAATTGGCTCTACCGATCCAGGTACGTTAGAAGACTCATGGCCTTGGACTGTATTTTCCATCCCTGTAGGCTGGATGACTTCCGATGGCGCAAGGCTGGAAGGCGAGGCAGTTGATGAAGATGCAGCATCGGGAGCCACATCGCACTCCTGGGTTTTGTCGACCTTGGCTGAATCAGCTTCGGGAGTTGAGGTGGCGAGTACTTCGTCCCGAGTCGGCTGTGATGTTGTGATGTTGTCATTTCTTATCGGCGGTGACAAGGTCTCATTTGCCTCCTTGGTCTCAACATTTTCCTTTGACTGCTGGCTATTTTCCGTGTGCAAGAGGGATCTATTTGCGCTGGATGCCGATGGCCTGAGCGGCGACGACATATAAGACCGCACAGCCTTCTTTAGCGCAGGCCGCGAGTTGATCCTACCGTTTCGAGGGCTCAAGGATTGAAGAGCCGACGACTTCGGAAATCCGTTGGTCTTTGCAAATTTGGAGTCCCTGGAAGACTGGGTAACTTCATTCTGACCCTTAGCCGGCTGTTGCGAACTTGATCGAGCTGTAATAATGCTAGTGCTAGGAGACGGGCGGTTGACCCCCTCAGCTTCATCGTATATTATGGGATGTGTAACTTGTCGAGGTGGTGTGGCGCGCATTGGCTTGATGTGAGCATTGATCTTTTCGTGGCTGGCTTTCTGACCGCGCATGGAATCATCCTGGGCGCTGCGGGATGTGGTTGCTTCGTCTGGAGTTGATGCAGGCTCTTCACGATTAGAACGTGAAGCGGTAGCTGCACGGGAATCCAGATCTGGAGTGTCGTTGGTATGATCCACGTCGTATGTATCAAGAGGCTTGAGCGACGGGAGCTCCTGCTCCTGTGATTGGGTCTCTGCCCTCGATATAATGCCGTTGGCACCGCCGCCATGGTTATCATCCGCATCGGGCATATCCTGGTCGGGAATGCGCGAGCGTCGTGTTGGGGTTCTGGATGGGGATAGCCCAGTCATAGATGGTAAGCGGCCGGGCGATGAGGCTGGAGGAAGCGCCCGCTTAGTGGGAGTTTGGGCCGAAGACATGGAGACGGGAGACAGCGCTCCAAATAAGCTCGACCGAGGAGGTGGAGATGAAAAAGACGAGGGTGGATTCAATCTTCGTCGCACTGGCTCGTTGGGCGAGACTCTCCAGGGCGACAGAGCCAGCTTTCTTGAGGGCGAAGCGACTGATTGACTGGTAAGGAAAGCTTCACTGTCGTCGTCATCAGAAAGAATATCCTCGTCGCTCGAATGGCCTTGCCTTGGAAGTTTCGAAGTAAGCTCCCGGATATGAGCATAGATGGAATCACTCTTATCATCCTTGATATTTGTGCGTTGCTCCTCAGAATTTGATGCTGTAGCCCGACGTCCTGGGGTGGTGGGAGTGCTAATGTCCATCTCCTCTGATCTAGTTGTCCGACGCTTTTTCGATGCGCTGCTCACGCCAATGGATGACTTTGATCTCTTCTTCCTCAGCTTCCGTGACGGCGAGCTCGCAACCCAGGGGTCAGTGTCGTTTTTGGTCGACGTCAGAGACGCCATGTCATTTCCCCAGCCATCCTCAACAGCGACTTTGCCTCGGAGCCGTGACGGCGTTGCAGTGAAGGGAGCCTGCTTAAGGCTTTCCGGACTGGGAAGGGCACACTCTGCGTTTTTGAGAACCTCTATGGCCTGCGTTTCGACAGAGGCAGACGTTACAGGCCGCGTCGGATGAGTGCATTGAGAAGCCAGGTTTGGGGACTCCAGTCGGGGTTGCGGATGAGCGGTGCGGTTCTTTGACCGCCACGGATTGACCCAGCCAGACGCTTCGTCAAAGGGGCCCTTCAAGCTCGCAGACAGCAGAAATGGGACGCTGCCAGAGAGGAACTTCTGCCCGGCAGCCTCGTACCTCTTCCTCCGTTCCGCTGCATTCTCGTAGTCTTCGTCCTCGGAACCCTCAAAGAAGACGTCTTCCGGTGGGAGGACCGCCTCGCAATAGATTGAGCCTCCTCGCACCGTCGCGGCCATGGTGGTGGTGGTGCTGAGGCATCAACGGGTTATCGAAGGGATGCGTGCGGCATCAAGAGGCTCACAACACCGCGGGCGCCGAGCCAAGGGATTGAGAGAAGCCCCTCATCTGCGTCTCACTCCAGGCTGGTCGAGGGGCGACACTGGTTGACGCAAGGGCAGCTTGAGGGCAGCCGAGGGCAGTTGAGAGCGGTCGTGAGATGAGAACTGTTTCGAGCCTCAAGGTGAGTTACGGTCAGGCAAGCTCTACCTAGGCTTAGCCCGCTTTGGCGCGATCCGCCCATGACGAAAGACGCGTCCCGCGCGGTCACGTGAGCCCGCGTAAAGAGCGGAGCCCTCCCTGATGGCTGGCGAGCTGCAGCAATGGAAGCATCCATGCATGGAGCACTTTACCTGTCTCTAAGGTACATGTACGCTGCATCAGCTACCTTAGTACTACTCCTTTTTCTGCCTGCTGTGCATATAGGGGATACATAAGGTACGGTACGGACACTGCATGAAAAGGAGTAGTACTATCAACCTGATGATCCAGCACGGACTTCCAATAATACGTCAAGTTCTCTATTCGATGGGTCGCAAACTAGATGACAGCTAAGACTGGCGAGATTCCGGCAATCTTAGAGCTCTTTACCTCATCTATCATAGCCTTGTCTCGCTCCATCTGTCATATTAGGTACCTAGGTACCTTACCTTAGGTACCTACTGCAGTACCGTAAAGTACGGAGAGCTTGCACGTGATGTGCGAGCACAGTTGTCAGGGCAACCCCTCGCACGGCCAATGAGCAACCCTGTTGTTTTCCCACTTGTTGGAGACCGCGCGCATCATCGCTTCCCTCTCGTATGTACAAGTACGGAGCAGTACCGTTAACGACGCCTCCCGACCGAATCCCCTGCATGCGCTCCCATGCGACCAGCTCCCGCATCTTCAGCCTGCATCTTACTATACAGCTATCTTCTGCCGACATTTGACGCCGCCATTTCGGCCGTGTCCGCGCCCCGACTGCGCCGAGTATTTCTTCCCTCTGCGCGCCCAGACGGCAGTGCGCGCGCATCGCCAGCAGCTTCAACCTGTCTCACTTTGCTGCCTCTGCCGCCGCTCTGCCTCTCCCCCTGCCTCGACGCGGACCCCGCATAGCCTTTGTCCAGTATCTCTACAGCACCTCCATCTATGGCGTGAGCATCTCATCCCCTGTCAGCAGCGTCTCTACCGGCCGTCACCATGTCGTCGTCGCACGCCTGGCTGGACTCGCTGACCGAGGACTGGGTGTCGGAGCGAGGATCCTCGCCCGCGCCGCTTCCCCTCGTCAAGTCGACCAAGAAGAGCCAGCCGACGCCGTCGCCGAAAATCACCCCGAGTCGCATACCGCGCTGGAGGCATCCCGGCGTAGTTGCACCGCCGCCGCAGGACAAGAGCATGACGATTCTCGAGGGCGACCGAAGCTCCGAAGACAACAAGTCGCCCAAGAAGCGCCTGCTCAAGTTCGCAAAGGATCGCAAGCCGTCGCAGAAGGGCCACGTAGGGCGCTCCCTCTCCTCGACCACGGGCTCCGTCGTGGTGCACAAGAACGCCCGGCAGCGAACGCCTGCCGCCCGCGGGCGATCCGAGACGCCCGAGTGGAAGCGACGATTGGTGCACGGCAAGCTTGAATATGGCGAGCAGCGCGACCTCTTTAGCTCGGCGGCTGTTGGCCTGCAGGACATGTTCAAGCCGCCGCCGTCAAGCGAAGCCGACGTCGACTCGCCCTCTCCCAACCTCGACTCTCCTTCCCCCAACCTCGAGTCTCCATCGCCCAACTTCGAACCCCCTTCTCCTCTGCCCAGTTCGCCGCTCCCCAATCTCAACTCTCTACACCTCGAATCCCCCGCCACTGCAGATTTATACGACACCGATTTGCCATCGAGCCCGCCAGGGCAAAACAACCCGACGAATACCTTTGACCCCGACCAGGAGCTGAACGCTGACGAGGAGGACGGCGAATTTTCCCCGAACCAGGTCACACCGAGTCCGAGCCCTAGGAGGCCCCCGCGGGAGATCAAATACAAGCTCAACGTTGAGGATGACCAAAACGACCACTCAGACGCATCGCTTCTGAGCAGTGATAGCCCCGTCAATCTCTCCGCTCACTCCACGAAACAAGAGGGAGAAGACGAGGCCAAGCAAACAGACTCCCGAGGGCCTGAAGCAGAGGAAGAGCAGGAAGAGGTTAGGCAAGACGAAGGCGCAGTCGCTCAAGAGGGCAGCTACCTCGACATCCCCTCCTTGGTTGAAGGCGTATCTCGAAAAGCCAGTGGCCAGAGTTATACGCGAAACGAAGACTTCAGCCCCATCTTGATCGGCAAGCGCAGCGACGAGGACGGAAGGGTCGAGTTCACCCCCCTGGAGATGCCGACGGAAGAGCTGCGGGAGAGACTCGAAAGACTGCAGCTCAATCAGATGATTCTGGATCCTTCGCACAATGCCTCCGACAGCGCAGTGGAGGCGAAACCTCCAAAATCCGACGCCGGCGACGATTCTTCGATCAAATATCATTTTGACACCTCATACGGAAGCAATGATTCACCTGAGGGGTCACTGCAGCACCGCAGTCTGAGTCCTGATTTGGGCGAGGACTGGTCCGAGATGCTGCCTGAGGATTCTCTGCAGGCAAGCACGCCGAAACAGTTTCCAACGCTCCGGACCCAGGACGCCGATTCGAACGTGATGAATTCCTTCTTCGATAGCCCTAACGTGCCAAACGCACCGTTTCCAAGCCCTGACAAGAGGCAACTCCGCGAAACGAGCAACCAGTCCAACAGCACGAGCCCCCTGAAGCTGTTTGGGCCGTACGACACGTTTACCAACCAGACCTTGCTGCGACGCATCAGTCAGTTTGAAGAGAGCTTGTCTGGCATGAACTCGCGAGGAGACATTTCGCCTTCCACGCCCAGCCGTGACCCGAGTAAGAAACGAGTTGACCGCAGCTCCGGGGCGCAGAGGTATGTCAGCCATTTTGGGGCTGGTGAACTGGAAGGGTATGAATTCACCAACGACTTGTCTCACTCGCCCGCCGAACATTCCAGCCTCCTTTTCAAGGAGAAGACGACTCCATTGCATCCTCCCTTGGCCGCCAAGGGACCCCTCAAACTCGTCCCCCCGTCATCGTGGCTCCATGACGACGTTTCCCTGCATGTGCACAGGAGCCGTCGCAAGAGCAGTTCGCAGACTCCCTCGGTCGATGCTGATGCTGAAGAATACGATTCCATGTCTAGCTCGCCAGCCAACTCCGTCAGCTCGCAGGATGAAGCCTACGACGAGTCCTGGGCCGCAAAGCGGGATTACGGGTCCGAAGGCAAGCGGCCCAGAGCGTCTCCCTCCAAGCATCCGACACCAAAGCGTCGCCGAACGCTCCATCGCTCCGATATAGCCTTCGGCAGCGACGGTCGCAAGTCAATCGTGCCAAAGCTGCCTCGCCCTGGCTCCAAATCGCGGAGGCGCTCTCAGGCGGAGCGCTCAAACTCCATCGATCTCAAAGATGCAGAACGACTGTCCAGGCGCCAGTCTCATTCTTCCGCTCACACCTCAAAGTCAGTTCAGGATGACGTCTCTCAAGGGAGGGCGCGCCGCTCGCCAACGAGGTCGTCGATCCAGGAAGAGGATGAACCAGATAGCCCCGGTACCACTGGCGAGCGCAAGCCGTCTATACGGACACAGGACTTTGTGGATCAAGCTGCCCAGATCATGGCCATGATCCGCAACCAGGTCAGTCAGCCCGGGCTATCCAGTCTTGAGGAATCCGAGTTGGAGGCCGGGGTTGCCTCGCAGAATGCTACAATGGAGGAATCCGACGGATCAACGGCCGAGCCCTTCTCGCGACCGCCCAGTCGAGACGGGAAGCCGATCCCCAGACAGGCCCGACAGCAAGAGGACCCCGAGCTGGTGAAACGGCTCAAGAAGTACCAGGAGATGAGCGACATGGGTGATGTGATCTCCTCGTCAATGAGGTCTATGGGCCTCGCAAAGGACGCAATTCGCGCGGCCAAAGAGGTTGAACGCATGGTAGACCGAGCCAGCCGCATTCGATCCAGTGGGGGCGGCGGCGGCGGTTCGAATTATGATTCTGCGAGTGAAACGACGAGCCCGGTTCATGACTTGTTCTCCAGCGCTTCTGCTCGCTCCACCAGCCACCTGTTTCCCACCTCTTCGTCTCGAGGCTCTGAATCGCGAAAGATGATTGCCCCCGAGAGCGTGTCCCACCTGATTCCGGACAAGATTGGCGGCATGTATCTGGACAAGCAGAACAATATCTGGATTCGAAACAAGGACTCCAAGGCTTCTCTGAAATCCCACAACTCAGGGTCCGACGACAGCGAGGAAGATCCGTTTGCCAACATCCCAGACTTGTCCGTTGACATGACGGAAGAGATGCAGCATCTGAAACAGACCCCTCGCGGCCGCGAAGACATGGCGAGCAGCAAGGGCAAGACGTCTCGCCACAGCTCGGCCCAAACGCACTCACTCAAGAGTTACACGACTCTCGCGGCGTATGAGCCACTTGACCCCGAGGTGGCGGCAAGGGCCAGGGGGGAGATTGAGAAGCTCGATGCCCAGCCTGGTGAGGGCTCTAAGAGTGCTGATGACGGAGGGAGCCGCCTGCCTGTTCTCAAGGCCAAGACGAGCAGCGATGGGCTGTCGTCGAAGCGCCGCAACATTACGATATCGTTCACGTCGCCCATTGCCTCGATCATCCTGGGCGTGCTTCCTGAGGATATAGAAGGCCTGGAAGACGACCCCGTGCCCGGTGAATCATCCGAGTCGCCTCCGCTCCACGCAGCTCAGTTTAGCGGCGCGAAGGTAGTTACGCCAGACCCTCTGCGGACCATCCGCGCCACGTCCATGTCTACAGGCAAGTTTACGCCTAGGCCGGTCTCGCGGATTGACGAGCAGGATGAGGAGAGCACGGTGGAACTGCCGAATCAGAGTCGCAACCGGAGCCAGCACCAGCAAACACCAGCTCAGAAGGACCGCCACCTCAGCTTCATCGGCGACAACACGATGATGAGTCTCAAATCGCTAGAAGGCGGCTCGGGCTTTGGCTTCCTCATGAGCACTCCGGCGCACGCTGCCGTCTCGCTCAAGGCCGACGACAGTCTCATGATTGGCCGCAACGTCGGAAAGCTCTCGCTGAGCCCGCTGTCCGAATTCTCCATGAACAATCACGACAAGTCGTTTGGGCTCGAGGTGAGCTACGTCATGGGACAGAGGCGAATGGCGACGGGCGACGGGTCCAAGAAGGTGATGTCCATGACGCTGCGCACCCTTGTGGAGAAGCTCTCCGAGGCGCAGCCACACGAGCCGTATTGGGAGGATATGACCTCTCTCACCCTCCAGGACAAGCAGCTGACCAGCCTGCACGGCCTCAACAAGCTTTGCTCCAGAATCACCACGCTGGACGTGTCGAAGAACTCACTGGGGCATCTGGAGGGCACTCCCGAAGGCGTGCGGCAACTCAAGGTGTCGAACAACATGCTGACGGAGCTCACATCGTGGGACCATCTCATCCACCTGCAGTACCTTGACATTTCCAACAACCAAGTCAAGAGCTTGTCGGCGTTGAAGAGACTCATTCACCTGCGGAGCTTGCGGGCAGATAACAATCTGTTGACGAGCCTTGATGGGCTGGATACCCACGATGGCCTGCTCTCTCTCAGAGCACGCAACAATCTGATTGAGGAGCTTGACTTTTCCAACATCGAGTGGGGGCGCTTGACGGAGCTCGACGTGGCCTCGAATAAGATATCGTCGGTCAAAGGTCTTCACCTTCTGCCTTCGCTTTCTCATCTGGATGTCTCCGACAATCACCTTGAGACGCTCGTGTTTGACAAGGTCAACAAGACGCTGCGGAAGCTCGACATTAGCGACAACGATATCGAAGACCTGGACATTCGGCACCTGGGTAGTCTGCAGACGCTCCACGCTGATCGGAACCGCATCAGCCACATCTCTGGCTTCCGCCACGTCCGCCGGATGGACAGCCTTTCCTTGCGAGAACAGCGGGGCGACGCGCCGCTTGATCTGAGTTTCTTGATCAGTGCCTGTGAGATACGCAAGCTGTTCCTGTCTGGAAACTACCTGGGTTCGTTCCAGCTCCAGGCCGACTTCCTCAACCTACAGCTCCTGGAGCTGGCAAACTGCGGGCTGGAGGTGTTGCCCGACGAGTGTGGGCAGCTGATGCCGAACTTGCGCACGCTGAATCTCAACTTCAACGCCATTCGGGATCTGTCGTCGTTGCGATTCATCCCGCGACTGAAGAAGCTGCTCGCGGCGGGGAACCGACTCTCAGACACGGTGGTGGTGACGGAGCTTTTGACCGACTTTCCTCATCTCACGGAACTGGATCTGCGGGACAACCCCATTACCCAGGGCTTCTATCCCCCGGTCCAGATGCTCATCAGCCCGGATAAGATGGGCAGCGCCGACTCGTTTGTGATGCCAGACGCGGACATGGATCGAGACGAGACTTTTGGCAAGCGCCTGGACGAGACTACGAGGCTACGTCGTCGTCTCCACGAGGTGGTGTACGTTGCTAGCTGCAAGCGCCTCCGCAGGCTGGACGGCCTGGCCATTGTGAGGGAGAAGACTTTGGCCAAAGACGTGCTGTTGCAGAGGCTCATTGACGATGGGCTTGTACCCGAGCTGGAGGACACGCTGGTTGGCGAGTCTGAATCCGCACAGCAACAGCAACACCACGGAGCGGCTCCATCGCCGTCCATCAGCACTGCATAGGGACCTGCTGAAGAGTGTGGCGTATTGGTGAAGTTCAGCCAGTGGTACGCAGAGGATAGTTTTGCCTAGGGCAATTCCAAGGAGGAAGCGTCCTTTCTGCAAAAAGGGGATGAAATAAGGGGGTGAAGAAAAGTAATGATAATTTTTGGCTTTTTTTTTCTTTCTTTTTGGTTTGGGCGTTTTGGTAATTTGGTAATTACCAGGATGGAGCAGTACATTGGATTCGGTTTTGCATGGCATTGGCGTGTCATGACACAAGAGCGGGCAGGATAGGGAGCCTCTAGCTCTGACAGGTGGCGTTTTCTTTATTTCTGCCTCTTTTCTCTTCTCGTCTCAAAAGTGGCACGAGGGCTGGGGTTCTGGGCTATGATTTTCTGGCCTTTTCTTACTGTTGGCAGCCCTTGATGGAAAGGAAAGTTTTGTGCCTTTTCTGTTCTTTAGTGTTGGATCTCTTTTTGACGACCCGGGCGTTTTTTCATTTTTGTTTTTTTGTGTAAGAGTCTTAGAAGGGGATTTGGGTCCGAATGATGATATCCATACCTAGCACCGATTTTTATAGTTATTAATCTTCTTTTTGCCTTGCCTTCTCATGAGGCATAGACTTTGTCTCTATACGTTTGCTTTGTGATTATACCTCATGTGAAAGTTGTGTGATTGTGATTGGGTGCGTTTGGGGGTTGTGTCAAGGGGTGTTTGAGGAGGGAGAGCAATGCGTATGTGCTGCGTTTCATGAGAGGGCGGCGGGAGAGGGATATTATCTGAAAAGGTTCATGCAATTGATTGAGTAGAGGTAACTTGACCAGAGATGTATGCCTATGCGAGGATCATTGCTAGTGATGATAGTATGTTTAATACTCTTACTGAATGGTGGGTGGGATATGTGTGTTGTTGACAGCTTGGAGGCACATGTGAAGAAGATGGTGAGTGTGGGCATTCTCTTGACGTAGCTACTGAGGATTATGACTCTGAGGATGGGCACGGAGGTACTAATTGATAGGATAGAGATGCGCCTTGTATGTGTGATTGTTTCATTGGATGCTTCAGTTGGGTGCTAAGGCTGGATGATGATGATGGGAGCGGAGGTAAAAGGTGTTGGCGTGAACTCGTTTATACCGACTGGTGGGTGTGTGATTTGAGGAAGATGTGGGGGGTGCTTGTCATGAGTGTTGACGTCTGCAGATGCGTATCAAGGTGAAGGACTTGCATGTGAAATAGTGAGAGTGATGACTGTGCTTTATGCCTGATGGTGACGGTGAATACCTGGATGATGAGTATGGTATGAGTGCCTGGCAGGCAGCCGTCTGGAGTTGCTCAATCGGCACCCAATGCTTTTCAATGGGGAGAAGTCTCGGGCCTCATTTCTCACGCAGTTGGGCTTCAAGACGCTGGGGAGCTAGACTAAGGTAGTGGTAATAATACAAGCCTGTCTCAGCTTGAGCACCAGTTTATAGGTACGCTACAAAAGCATAAGGCACAAAGTAAGAGTCATATAGGTACTGCTTGTCATGATGACTGGAGATAACCCCAATCCGTCTAATTCGTATTAAGCGAGCCTTTTTTTCCAATCTCGAATAAGATGAAAGAAGAAGAGAAACAGCGCTGTGATTTGATGGCAGGAATACGGGGGTCGTGGGGTTGGGCTCTCGTGACGTCTAACGTCTGCCAGCATAAGTGTGTTTGGTTGGTGCTTGGTTGGAAGATTTCTCGGATGACAGAGAGAGAGAGAGAGAAAGAAATGGATGATCATACGTATGGAGAGAAGAGAAGGGAAAAGAAGCTCGTGTGGTCCATCAGTAGCACGAAGTGCCCATGTCAATGACTTTCGCCCCCCTCGTCCCGCCTCTTCGCCTTCCAACTACCTAGGGTAGCATAGCTCCCAGATTGTTAAGGTAGTTACTTCAAGCTTGTTCATCGCCTTAAGACGAAAAAACATAAAATCACGAGCTGCGCATTCTTGACGGCTTCTCATGAGACATTTCCATTATTGTTAAGAAAGAGAAAACCAAGGGTCCTTTAGAATCATTCCTCCCTCGTCTTGATTTAATTCTTGCTAGTACCAAGGTACATACATACCTACGTAGGTACTCAAGGTACTTGTAATATCCTGGACCCTGGATCGCCCGCTACCTATCCAACTATCTTAGCCCTATTAGCTCTGCTTTCTTCCCCAGCAAACCGACGACCAGCTTCTCCCCCATTCATCATCGCCATGCCCCTCGGCTGCGTCTGAGGGCTCTCTCTGCATTCCTCCGGCCTCGAGTCACGCCCGCGCTCTTGTTTGTCCCTGTGCGCAGCTCTTCTCTCTCTCTCTCTCTCTCTCTCTTTCTCTCTGTGTGTGTAACGGCTGCAACTCGGACGACATCATCGACAGCAAACAAATCCCCCCTCCAACCCCAGCATCGTCATCGTCATCGTCATCGTCATCGTCATCGGCACCTCATCGACATCGACAGCATCGACAGCATCAGCATCACCACCAGCACCACCACCACCACCACCGTTATCGACAGCGCCAGGCCAGAGCGTCCTGCCCGCGGCGGCCCCCTCGCGCGCGACTGTAGGAGCATGGACCAGCCCGACTCTGTCGCTCCCCGGCTCGAACGCTCCGTCTCGCAGTCGAGCAACGTCTCGTACCGCTCGCACCGCAGCGTCCGCCCCGGCAAGGCCCGCGCAGGCTTGCTCAACCACCACCACCTCAGCAGCTCCGCCAGCAGCATCGCCGAGAGCGACAAGTCCCTCACCAGCTTCCCCAGCTTCTCGCCCGAACTGCCCGCCACCGACCGCTTCGCCGACGCCTTCAACGGCCACGACCGCGACCACGACCACGACTACCATCACCATCACCATCACCACGACAACCCCGACCACAACCAGCTCAAGGCCGCCATCCGCCAGCCCGACGACAGACCCGCCCGCGTCAAGGCCCTCAGCGGCGCCAGCTCCTCCTCCATCGTCGACAGCCTGACCTGGCGCAACTCGGCCCGCGAGGCCCTCTTTGAGGATGCGCCCCTGTCGCAGACAGTCCCCGGCGCCCTGCACAAGGCCGACGACAAGCACCTCGAGCGCCTGATTGCCAGGCACGGCGCCGTGTCCCTCGTCAGGCAGATTGCCGGCGATCTTGCGCAGCGGGACGCCCAGATTGCCAACCTGCGGCGCCGCGCCGACGAGCGCGAGCGGGCCCTGCGCAAGATCATACGCGAGTGCGGCCTGTCCAGCCTCGAGCTGGAGACGCGGCTCAAGGTGGTCGAGAGCGAGCTGCGCAGCAACGGGCACTTTCAGCGGGACGGCGGCGGGCTCAGCGACCTCATGAGCGACGCCATGCGCGACACGGTCACGGAGAGCGCGGTTGGCGAGACGGACGTGGCGGGCGGTACGATTCGGGCCAGCAGCGTCGCCTCTGCGCCGGGCAACAGCTCGGAGAGTCCAAAGGGGGCTGGCACGCTCAAGGGCTGGAAGGACTATCTCTGGGGCGGCACATCTAAGAAGACGTCGCTGAGAGACGGTTCCAACAGATCGACCGTCATAAGATCGCATTCGAGCCTCGGCCAACGTCCGCCGCTGCAGGATGACCTCTTCGAGCCCCCGGCCCAGACCACTGGCAGCCCCGGCAACAACAGCTCCAGCCGGCCGTCTAGCATACACTCGGCCTCCACGCCCGAGCGGAAATCCATCGCCAGCTTGACGCTGCGGCTCGTCGCCGGCGGCGCCGTTGCGAGTCGCGAGGCCGAGGCCAGAGGGCGTGCCGCGAGCAGTGCTGCCCGGACGGAGGCGGCCAGGACGGGGTCCGTTGCCAGCAACCGCACCAGCCGCTCGTCGCGCGCCGTGTCTGTTGCCGGCGGTCCCAAGGCGCTCATGGCTATGGGCCGGTCCACGCCGTCGACGGCCTCGGCCAGCGCCAAGCTGCAGACCCAGGAGGTGCGAGGCATCGGCTCCGGGAGCTCGCCCGGCTCGTCCTCTCTGCGGCCCGATAACTTTGGGCCCGTCGAGATGGACGCCATCCTGCCTCCCGAGTCACAACCCCCGACGCTAACGCAGATGTACAACAACTACCCCAACAGCGAGTACCTCACAGACCGCTTCGGCTTCATATACGACCAGCGGCGCAAGAAGCGGCAGCGAGAGGCTGCGCAGATGGCGCACAACTTCCGCAACGGCGATCGCCGAGAGATGCTGGGCAACGGCAACCGGGCGGGCATCCTGCCCAATGTCATGGACGAGCCGCCCAGTCCCAAGATGAGCGTGTCGAGCGAGCCGCGGCCCGGCAGCCCCAGCTCGCAGGAGGAGAGAGGTCCTGGGGAGGACAAGGCCAAGCGCTGGCAGGACTACCTCAAGATTGCGACGTTTCCCACCGAGCTGCTGAGCCACACGCCGGGCATCAGCGCCACGGCCGTGTCCGTGACCGAGGGCACCGACGACCGGGCTAGCACCGCGTCCAGTCAGCGGCTCGTTGAGCGCTCGGCACGTTCGCCGGCCATCACGCCGACGGAGTCGGGGCTCGTGCCCCTGGCGAGCACCACGACGGCCATTGACAACGAGACGACGCTCACGCAGCCGCCGTCGGAACAGCAGCAGCAGCAGCAGCAGCAAGATTTGACGTCGGGTATGCTCGTCAAGGAGGATGCGGAGCCGGTCAAGCTGCTCCTCCAGCAGCTGAGCGACCTGCATGACTCTCTGCAGCGGGACAAGACGGCGCAGTGGAACGAGTTCCTGCGCAAGGTGAGGGCGGAGAGGCACCGCGAGGGCGAGGCCGCCATGGCCGCGGCCACGGCGGCGGCGGAAGCCCGCTACGAGCGCCCGGGCATCATCCTGCCCGAGGCCCGGGTGGCGGACGGTGAGATGATTGGCATCTCCAACCTGGGCAACAAGGGCAAGGTCGGGCGGGCCAAGTGGAACGGCTTCAAGGCGCTGGTGCTGGGCGGCATCCCCGTGGCGTACCGCGCAAAGATCTGGGCCGAGTGCTCCGGGGCGACGGCGCTGCGCATCCCGGGCTACTACGACAGCCTGGTGTCGCAGAGCGGCGAGGGCGACGACGCGGCCGTGGTGAGCCAGATCAAGATGGACATTAACCGGACGCTGACGGACAACATCTTCTTCCGCAAGGGGCCCGGCGTGCAGAAGCTCAACGAGGTGCTGCTGGCGTACTCGCGGCGGAACAAGGACGTGGGCTACTGCCAGGGGATGAACCTGATTGCGGCCAACATCTTGCTGATTACGCCGTCTGCGGAGGATGCGTTTTGGATCCTGGCGTCGTTTATCGAGAATATCCTCCCGCAGGGGTACTATGACCATTCGCTCATCTCGTCGAGGGCGGACCAGCAGGTGCTGAGGCAGTATGTCCGGACGGTGCTGCCCAAGCTGTCGGCGCACCTGGACTCGCTGTCCGTGGAGCTCGAGGCGCTGACGTTCCAGTGGTTCCTCTCCGTGTTTACGGACTGCCTGTGCGCGGAGGCGCTGTTTCGCGTCTGGGACGTGGTGCTGTGCACAAACGACGGGAGCACGTTTCTCTTTCAGGTCGCGCTGGCGCTGCTGAAGCTGAATGAGAGCAATCTCCTGCAGTGCGACACGCCGGCGGCGGTGTATACGTACATCAATCATCATATGACGGAGCATGCAATTAGCATTGACGGCTTGATTCAGGCGAGCGAGGGGCTGAGGAAGGTTGTTAGACGGGAGGATGTGGAGGCGCGGAGGGCCAAGGCGATTCAGGCTGAGAGGGAGGGGCTGGGGTTGAGTAAGAGGGATGGTAGTGGTGGTGTGTCGAGTGTTGAGGCGGAGGGGAATGGGAAAGGGGAGGAGGGAGATGAGGAGTAGGAGGGGTTGGATCCGAGACGATGGTGTTGTTGTAGGGGAGAGTTTGAGGGCGACAGAGAGGAAGAACAAGAGTAGAGGTTTAGAAGGGTTTTGGACGAGTGTTGAATATGATACCCATCACGTTGTAGTCTATTCTGCTTTTTCTGTTGTTTATTTATTTGTTTGTTTGATCTCTGCTTTTGAGCGTTTTGGTGGAGTGGCATTAGGGGGGGAAATAGATGTTGGCTGATTGATTGTAAGACGAAAGCGAAAGCATTTGGAAACTATACGGTGGGAGATTTCAGAGTTGCTGGGATGGCGTATTAGATGGGAATACACATATGCTTGACACAAGATATTGAAGAGTTTGTAGTGTTTTTGTCTATGCGGCGGGAAGTTGAGCGCTGTGTTTGTTGCTTGTTTGATATCTTGGTGTATGTATTGGGGGTTCTCTTGATTACACTTGCGGTTTATATGTCTTGATGCCTACACATTAGAGGTTGTATGCTTGATTATAACGATTATACTCTGATATCAGATAGCCTTTGATGAGGATCTGATTTTTTGATTACAGCACAAAATTTCCATAGAAGGACAAGTCGATTCTGGCAGAAGGTTTAACACAGCAGAGTGTTGAACATGAAGAATGGTGTTTACGATCTGATTCATTGGCTTTATGAAAGCCCATGCTACCGACGAATCTAGGAGAGGCTGCAGAGAAAATGAACCTGGGAGAGGTTGCACAGAGATCTGTTGCCTCTCTTCAAGAAGTTGTTTGGAATTGGCTATGCTGAATTAGACTCGTAGGTTGTGTACTAGGTATATCAATGTATTCCTTTTGTTTTCTTCTCGCAACGAGAGGCGACTTGCTTAACTACGAGGTGACATGAAAATATATAATGCTTTTGAGAAAAGAAAGTATTCTCTGATAGGTATACAGAGATAATGCTCCTGCTAGCTGGTTCTTAACGTCAAGCTTAGAAGCTCAAGTTTTGTCAGTTCACTTCATCGAAATACCAGTTGATAAAAATTTTATAGACACATAGGAACAAGCATTGGTATAACGCTAATCACACCTGGTTTTGAGGATATTGTCTGCTTGGTGTTACCTGTTTGTGGTATAACGTTCCCTGGCTGAGTTGATGCTTGCAGACACTCAAGTTTTTATTGAGACACTTATTGATGACACTCGTGTATATTGTCATGATACCTGAAGTGTATGACTATACCAATCCAGTTGCCCCTTTACTCCGTCAATCGAAAACTTCGAATTGCCAAACCATGATTACTTTCCAGAAGTTCCTGTATAAAGTTACTCCATCCATTACCCAAGACAACGCCTCAACCCTACCACCTGCCATGAAGATAGTCCTCTGCCTCCCATCCTCATTCACAAGCTCATAGAGCAAGTTAGATCAACTCCTCCATGTTGTCGACATCTTCGAAGCATGCAAGTGCCACATCCCTCCATGCCTTGGCCACTTGTCCATCAGTATCAGTCACCTCCTCCCGAACCTCACACTCAACATCATAGATGTCGTGATTCTCCACATACTTCTTGCACTGCATCGCAAGAGCATATCCCTCCTTGTATTTCAGGGTCCCCGCCTCGACGGTGATGACAAGGACGGTCTGCCAGCCCTCCTGGTTGCTGCTGCTGTAATGCAGCAGGGTCATGCCCCTTACCGTTTGCCCGATCAGAAGATCGAGGATCTCGTCAATCAAGATCGACTGGTTGTCGTCCGGGTCGGGAGAAAAGAAGCGCTCCAGGAGGACAGGGTGGGTCAACTTAGTGACCGGGAGGGAGATGCGTGCGGCAAACTCCCAGACGTTGGTGCTGGTCCGGGCGATGAGCTTGGGCCCGGGAGCGATGCCGTCGTAGTAGTAGAGGTTTGCTTCCTCAGGGCTTGGGGCAGGCATTCTTGCGGTTGGGATGTTGTATTTTTTTTTTCTTTTCTTTTTTTCTTTAAAGATGGTTGGGTTCCGTTGAGAGATTGGGGTTGTGGCTGTTGTGAGCTTGATGTGTAATAGTGCTCGTAGAGTTGTGAGTTGTTGTACAATTGTTGTACAAAGACAGTTGTATGCTGTTATTGTACACAATATTGTACAGAAGCTGTCTCTCAAGATGGATGTAAAGGATCGAGATGAGTTGACTGGGGGCCGGGGGAGAGTCCCCCTTCTTATATGACAGCCAAGGGGGGACATGTTGCGCTGCTAATCACTCCTCAAAGGGAGTCTGGATAGCATTATTCAACGCCGGTTTAAAGTTCAAGGCTGGCCTTTTTATGTTGACGCCGGAGGAGGAAAGGGGGTTTGCCATTATCGGACTCTACTGAGATGATCTGGGCACCTCGAGGTTGGCTGCATGGAACTGGTGGCTTCGGAGAGAGAGGAGTACATCTTTCCGGGCCCTTTGAACCGAGAAACTTGTCTGTATATGCCATAGAGCCAAGCCATCAACAACACAAGCCTTGATGTATCTCGGGAAAGGCGTAAACAAGGCGGTTCATGAGCCACCCCTTGGCCCTAAAGTTAAATATCTGATAAGGCCGTGTACAACAGGATCCGGTCCCTTTCTCAAGCACGCAAGGACTTTGCAGCTGTTGCCAACTAAGCCCCAAACAGCATACGAATCACTACCATAAGAAGATGAACTTTGTAATTGTACCGAAAACTCAATGTCGTTCGCATAAACTTGACAACGCCACCAGTTGAGCAGAGGACAGCCAATAAACAATCAGTAGCAAGATCAGATATGTACCTAAAGAAAGTAGAAGAGGGTCATGGCAATTATGTGCTCGCCGATCAGAAGATTGAGGCTGGGCTTCGTTGCTTATCAAAACCATCTGCCAGTTCTTCTTGTTTCGGTTGCTCAACCAGAAAAAATGGTCGTATGCCTCATCTAGGCAGGCATGGACCATATCGCGGTATGCCTTAATGCTTTGTCCAGTATTGGCGGGCTCTCTGATCTCACATTCGATATCGAAGACTCAGTGTATCATGTTACAACCCTTGTACTGCAAGGCGAGATTGTACGTCTCCTCCCAGGTGTGGGAGACCGCCTCCACAGTATCACAAGGACGGTTTGCCAGCCCTCCTCATTCCTGATGCTGTAATGTAGGATAGTCATCCCTGACAATTCACGTCAATCATGATGGTATAAACAGTTGAAATGAAAATTGTTGTGGAGATCCGTTGATTTGCTCTGCGGGATGGAGGAGAGAAGGGGGGGCACACATCGTCTATATCCAGAGGGAGCCAGTGTGAGCCAGCTCTTCTCCCGACCGGAGGTATTCCGACATTGAAACCTTTTGTTCTTGAAGCGATGGAGAATTGTTCCTTAAGCAATGTAGATGAGACGAAAATACCCGAAAGGTTCAGTACATAGTGCCGTATGCTTGGAGAAGTTGGGGAAAAGGGGGGTACGGCAATGATACAGAGGCTTCACAACCAGCTGTCGCGCTCGGAGGATGTCTCCAGACTGCAGTCGCTTGAAATTAACAGCAGAGTTAACAGGGTTCCCAGATCAGCAGCAGTACCAGAAAGGTTCATACATTGTTCTTCTCAACAAGAAGATTGAGACGCGAGTGACAAGAGGAACCGAGATAGAGTTTGTAAGGTCAACAAGCCACACGATAGATTTCCGGTGACAAAGGCGACAGTTCATGGCTTACGCCATGTTTCTTATTTTAACTACCCTACCTTGACTTGATGAGATAAGAGGTCGGTTGCACGAAACCTACTCTAAATCTTGCCCTATAGGTATAGCAACAACTCTAGTACTCGATGGGACACTTGAAACTGAACATGTGAATACGAAAGCCACCGAAAAGGTCCGAGGAGCTTAGGAACAAGCGAACAACGCTGAAGATTCTGATCAAATCGGGCCACTATCAGGAAAGGAAATTGTTTGGGAACGGAACAAAACGGCAACTGGAAGGAGAGAGAGAGAGAAAGGGAGAGAGGGAGAGACAGCAAAGAAATCATTGGAAACAAAACTGCGTCTGGGAACACGACACTGCTGGGGTCACAATGCGTTTCAGAAGACATACGCCGCGGCACATGAAGAGGAGAGGCATTCGATCCCTTGCCGTTGGGTCCTTTCAGAACAATATTGCACCAGTGTATAAAAGATTTGGCAAAGTGAGAGATGCATACATACACGTAAGTAGGTAGGTAGAAATAGTCCCTCACAGCTTGGCCTTGTTCTCCTTCCGCCACTGCTCAACCCACACCTTTCCAAACTCCTTCCTCTCCGCCTCCCTCCTCATCTCATTCTTGAACCTCTCATCCTCGGCCTCCAAGCCAGCGCCCCTCAGCTCCCGAATCAAATCCTTGTACATCTCGCCCTTGATGGTCCCATACACGCCCTTCTTGGGCTTCTCAATCAGATCCCGCTCCTTCACAAACTCCAGCACGCTGTCCACCCCGTTCGGCGCGAGCCCATCCGCGAGACCATCCGCAACGGCCTCCTCGCCCGTGAAGCGGTGGCCCTCGAGGGCGACCTTGCGAAAGATTGCGTTGGACGGCAGCTTGGCCCGGAAGAGGGACGCCATCGGGGGCTGCAGGGCGGCGCCGAAGAGGACCTCGTTGAGGCAGAGGAAGCCGCGCGGGGAAGGGGCCAGGCGGTAGTCGTGGGACATGGCGAGCATGAGGCCGCCGGCGTAGGTGTGGCCGTTGAGGAGGGCGATGGTGGGCATGGGGAAGCTTTATCAATTGAGAGAGAGAGAGAGAGACACATGTCAGTCAATGGAACTTTTTGATCTTATGATGTTACGGAAGGTTGAGAAAGTGAGATGCCATACGTTAGAAAGCGGTGCCAGACAGAGTAAAACAGGGCCCAGAAGCCGGGCGTGTCAATGGCATGCTGCAGATCGAGGCCGTTGCTGTAGAACTTGGGGATGCCGCTGGTGGTGACGAGGACGCCGGGCGGGTGGCCGCCGAACTCGAGGAGGTCGAGGGCGGCCAGGAGGGCCTTGCAGACGGCGGTCGTGAGGCGGTTGTCTGGCGGGGAGACGAGGGTGAGGAGGTAGACGGCGGGTTGGGGCTCGGTGAGGGTGATGGAGCCGCCGGGGTGGGAGCCGAGGGGGGGGATGGGGACTGTGAAGAGGGGGGTGGACATTTCTTTCAGAGAAGTTTGAAAGCTGGGATGAGTTGATGAGGATGAGTGAAGATGATGAGGATGGATGGTTGGAATGAGGATGAGGCTGAGGATGGGTGGGATGGGCTGAGTTGAGGTGAAAGGTTGATGGATGATGGATGTGTTGGTGTTGTTAGTGATGACGGAGGGCGGTAAAGTTGGACCTCGGCATCTACGTCGAGGGTATGGAGACTGGAGGATTCGTCTGGACTAAATAGCAGAATGCTACTTGTATGACAGGCTTTGCATCTGATGGGCTGTGAGCAACATGTCATGCCAGATTGTCAGGAAACAGACTCACTTTGCTTGCTGGGCAATTGTCGGATTATTCAACATGCTAGTACTGAGTTGTCTGGGGAGGTTGCATCACATGTCATTCGCGGGTTGGAGCATGGTGGAGTTGGGGAGGTTGAAGGGTACGTACCGACGGCATATGGCGCTAAGCCTTTTCTGGTTGATGATTTCTGATCAGAGAATGCATGAGAGCAAGACAGCGAGGTAATAGGAGTGAAGAGAGAGATGGTGGAGGGGAATAGCAATGGAATATGAGCAATAAGAAGAAGAATGGATCGTGATCTTTCAAGATTTGACATGAGGCGTGTATAACTGGGCGCCACTGGGCTGGAGTTGCACGTTCAATGCACCATCAGCTCGACCAGTGTCAACCTCGTGATTCAAGTAAAGCAACCAATTCCCATGTCTTTTCTTCATACAAAGTCTTGTACAATGCTTGAGCCTATGATACATGCCCATTCTATCCTAAAACTCCCAGTGCCCATTGCTCCATGCTTACCTATACAAACAAGCCCCATCCCTTGCTTCTTCACTGGTTCAAAGGCCCCGATGCTTCAGTATATACTACGCCTCGCAGACAATGCAAAAAAAAAAAAAAAAAAAAAAAGCAAAAGCAATAGAAAAGTCTAAGCCATCCCGATCATGGCTTTTGTCTCAGGGAAACACCCCTCAGCGCTTGATGAGCCAGCATAAACGCCAAGACGCCAGCACCATGTTGAAAAACATCCAATCCCTTCGTCCACAACTGCCAGCCCGTCCAGCACAGAGCACTCAGCTCTACCACACTCGCAAGAGAAGCAAAGTACATGGCCAAGCTAGACGACTTGGAGTCGCCACCCAGGAGCTGCTGAGTGGCACCACCTATGCTGCGGATGGCAATGATGCCTGCGATAGAGACTATAGCAAGCCGGAGCTCCCGCGTATAAGGAGTCGCAATAGCCAGAGGGAGGAACCAAGACGGGATGATGGCAATTAGCAAGTAGAGATCGTATTTGTGCGACGCTTCTCCGCTCGAAAGAATAGGAAGCTCTTCGTTGACGACTGTTTCTTCAGAGTCCGACTGGTCATCCCCAATCACGCTCTCGAAGCTGAAGCTCTGCCCAAGAGCATCCGCAAGCGCATCCGTCTCGTCGGGGCGTTCTGGCGCAAAGAAGCTGGGACTCTTAAAGTCCACACTGCTCGCTCGGGGCACTTCCTCCCGTTTCTCGTCCAGGAAGCTTCTTCCAAAGCTGAAGCTCTTCTCTTCCTTGACTGGCTCGACGGAAAACGCCCTCTTGATCAGCGGGGCATTCGGGGGGTTGCGCAGTCGCTGAGCCGGATTCGTCGGTGCCGATGGTACCTTGAACCAGAATGGCCCTGCATCAGGCTGCGTGGGAGCTTGTCCAAAAGGACGAGAGCCAAGCTGGGACACAGGAGCGTCCTGAAATGCGCGATAGGGAGACTTTTGCATATGCTTTGGCACCGGGGACCAGTCCATCGCATCAGGGTCTTGGCCGCGAACAAGCTTCTGAGGCGACTTGTCCGATATGCTGAAGCCGGCGAAGGAAAGCTCATCGTGCGTTGTCTGGTGTGGACGAGGATTAAAGCGAGGCGCCAGCAATGGGTTCTGTGATTGCCGGGGCGTAAAATCCTTGAGCGGCGATGGATGGTAAACCGCCGATGAATCCTGCACCCGCGAGAAGTTGGGCACCCGTGATGGCGTCTTGACCGGTGACGGGTTTGCTGATTCGAGTGCTTCGGTCAGAGCCTCGGCGAGCGTCCTTGGTTCTCGAATCTTCTTTCTGGGAGTCGAAGAAGGCACATGTTTTGCTGATACTGTCCGCTCAGTCACGCCAAACAGGGGGGTCGTGTCAACCTTGATCGAGCCCCTAGCAAGGGAGTAGATCTGGAGGACGGTCAGCCAACGGACCCGAAACTGGGACAGGCCACGGGAATCAAATGACAGACAAACACTTACCAATGCCATAATGCACATCATGGCAAAGTGCGCGCTAAGCTGCGCCCCCGCGGACTGCGCCTGACCGCCCTGCATTTCCAGAACCGAGCGAAAGATGTATCGAAAGAAGATGATGAGGCCCTGGAAGCAATACCACTGCGTGAACCCCATCAGATGCCGCGTGAAACCGCGGTTGAACTGCACAAAGTGCGGATTCCACCATGCAGAGAGAAACCCGGCCTTGATGCTCCATCCAATCAGGGTCTCGGCCGAGGGCAAGAAAGCCCGAAGCCAGTTCGACCATGTAATCAACTGCTTCGTGTAGCTTTGGTCGTCCGGATCGTACATGCCGCTCTCGTTCTTGTCCAGCATATACGACGCGCTCACCACGTGCCAGACGATCTGGATAACAAAGCCTCCCCACCACAGCCATCGTCCCATGGCGTTTGCCACGTCAAGGGGGGTCGTCTTCGTAGGAGCCCTCCTGCTTCGGCTTTTTTCCATCATCCGTCGTAGATGATCCGTTTTTGCCGTGTATCCGGCTTGGTTTATGCGCTCCTCAACCTTTTTTGCGCAGTCGGCGCAGACCTGGGGGTAGCGTTTCTCCAGGTCCTTGCGATAGCGGTAGTATTTGCGCTCCAGCTCGGGGTAGTCTGGGTGAGATGGGTCGTCGGGGAAATACTGCGCCAGCGATCTTGTGAACAAGCGTTGGTTCTTTAGGCACTTTTCACAAAAGACGCTGTCTGTGGGCGACGCCGGTCGGGATGGTAGCTGTTTGGCGAAGCGCTTCGGCGTGGACGATTCGAGGGCAGGGGGATCGGTGACGTCGCCATTCTGCGTCCATGATCGTGAGCCAACTGAGCATTATCGGAAACAGATTCATATCACATCTTTGTAATGGAATAACAAAGAAAAGCGGTTGACGAACCTCGTCGAGGTAGTTTGTCGCCTCGCAGTTGGTGCACAGAAAGTCGCGTATCCGGCCATCGTATCGGATGGATGACCGCCTCCCGCAGTAGAAGCAGGTCAACAGCCTCCCCCTCAAGGGCGCCATGATGCGCCCGTGCTGCCGCTCGAGTTGCTCGCAAGAGGCCGCGCAGCTCTCGATGCGATAAGCTGCGTGATGGCGACTAGCGGGAAAAGGCGGCGACGGGATTGGCAGATGCAAGCACAAGTGAAGGCGATTGATTGCTTGATGCTGCAGCTTGGAGTTTCGGGAAACTTGGACCTGGGGCGATTCTGCCGGGCGGTCAAGGCCACTTTTTCTAGGACAAACAAGCAGGGGTCGAGCAAGTGGGGCGGCAGACGTACGTACCTCTGTAGGAGCTGAGCTTCAAGCCGAGCTGTGCAAGCGTCACCCTACACTACCAAGACTACCTACTACAGTCCGTCATACATATCAGAGGCATTGATATGTAGGTAAGCATCAGCTTCAAGACGTGAACTCTCCCCAGGACTCTTCAAATCCCATCTGTCTAGACGCATCGGATATTGTGAGACCTCCTATCAGAAGAGATATATATATTCAAGGAGAAGCAATCTGATCCACGCCTTGTGTTGCTACACCACATACCACCCACCAGTCGCCTCACCTCTCCAGACCGAGAGCGCCAATCGGAAGCAAGACTCGGTCGCTACCAACTCACGCAACAGACTGCAGACAAATGCACACCTTCATATAAGCAAATCGCTTCCTATCTCCTTCGCTCAAGCCTATTCTTCTATTTCACACATCATTCCTTCTTTTGGACAAGCTTCAGCGAACCGAACAATGCAGCCACCATGGCATCTCTAGCACCTGCATTGCCACTCTCCTCGGGCTCATCAACCGCTCCTCCCCCGTACCATCTCACCATCCGCTTCTCAAATTCCCTCCCCGATCTCGACCTGGACGTTCCATCTCCACATACCACAACAGTTGCGTCGCTCAAGAACCTCATACGCGAGCGCATCTCCTCGCGCAACCGCCTCCGCTTCATCTACCAGGGCCGCCTCCTCTCCGACTCTGCGTCCCTCAGCGCCAGCATCAAGCCGCCATCAGCTCCTCCGGCCTCGACCCCTTCAAAGAGCGATGACTCTTGGAGCAGATCCAAGGCAAAGGGCAAGGCTGTTGACGCTCCCGTAGCTCCCGTGAGGATCTACATCAACTGCTCCATCGGCGATGAGTTGACGCCCCAGGAGCTGGCCCAAGAGCAGGCCGCCGCGGCCAACCCCCCCGATGAGTCGTCGAGCGCCGCCTCGTCTCACCCGAACGGCAATCCCTCGGCATGGACACGCCCACGGCCGCGCGGCTTCGACCGCCTCCTCCAGACTGGCTTCACCCACTCCGAGATCGAGACGCTGCGCACGCAGTTCGCCTCCATCCGCACAGAGGGCTTCGCACCGGACGCTATGCCCTCGCCAGACACTCTGCGCAGCATGGAGGATGCCTGGATCGATAGCAACGCCGGCGAGATTCCCTCGGCGGATGCCTCTGCCGAGGACGACTTCAACGGCATGTCGACCGTGCTGGACATGATGATTCGCGGCATGATGGTGGGCTTCTTCTTCCCACTAGGCAGCCTGGCCTGGTTGCTTCGCTCCGATGTCTGGAGCGAGAAGTGGCAGGTCTTTGTGGGCTCTGGCGTGGCGCTGAGTCTATTGGTGGGGATGGTGATGAGCCTGACAAATGTTTACTACTGAGAAAGATGAAGATTTCTGGAGGAGGGATCCGGCGTTTGCTTTTACACACTCACATAGCGTCTCTTTTGTGTTGGAAATACAGGTGTCTACATAAGCAGCAGCAGCCATTCTGCAACACGTGGACATATGTGCCTATCCACAGTTCATTGAAGCGGTTTGTAGCCTTGGGATTGTTATACCTGGTAGTTATATCCCCCAAAGCCATCCTTTGTTGCACCCGATATGAAAGTATAGCCGGCTTGAGTCGAGAGACCGCCAAGATCCATGAATTAGGTTCTCAGCTTTGAGCACATACTGCGAGTACCTAGTACCTAGGTACCTTAGGTAGTGAGGAAACCGGTGTGCGTCATCTGCAGAGGCTGCTCAACGGGAAGGCAAGAGCAAACCGGCATCAACTGCCACCCGCCGGACTCATCAATCACAAAGAATCGGAAAGAGCAACCATTATCGAGACTCTAGCACCATTACGTTACCTAAGCATGTCTACCTTACCGTAAGGTATCTTAAACATCAAACGAGAGAGAGAACAAAAAGCAAATTCTAGTAATGCCTGCCGTGTATCTTCATCTCTCATGAAATCATCAAGCTCTATGCCTCTTCATCGCTTCACCGCTTCACACCTTCTCCGTTGCCTCGCTCTCCAGCCGGATGCCCGCCTCCTCGTCGGATGGATGTTCCGTCACGTCAGATGCCACTCGAGTCTCTTCCGCCACCTGATTCTCTTCCGCCTCTCGCTCGCGCAGCTTCTTGAGCCTCACCTCCCAGCCACCGGACCAGCCAATCCAGCCTTTCTCGTGAGGCCCTCGGACAAGAACCAGCAGCAGCCCTCCGCCTACCAGACCGATGGACAATGAGCCGCTTCTGATCCATCCGCCACCCGCATACAGCGTATTTCCTACGCTCGTGCCGAACAACTGGCCGCAGAAAGTGGACACCATGTAGACTGAGTTGACCGCGTTCTGCGCGGTGGGCTCGATGTTTGCAAACGCCATTCGGTTGGACACAGTCACAACATTCATGCCAAAGTCTCCGACACTGGCCCAGATAACGGGTCCCGCCAGCGAGAACGTCCCGGTAAAGGTTCCAATGCAGACAGCCGTGAGCAGGATGAGATGGCCGATGATCAAGGTGGCGCTCGGATGAAGGCGTGTCATGACGAGACGTGAGAAGATGGGGCTGAAGAGAACCGGCGACATGCCCACCAGAGCAAAGAGGCCGATGACCAGAGTCGAGAGATGAAAGGGCGGACCCGCGAGCTGAAACGTCAGGGTAGTCCAGAACGAGGTGAACATTCCCATGAGCAGAAAGGCAATGAGTGCTGACTGAGTTAATACGGGCTGCTGGAACGGCAGCTGTACCATTTTGAGCAGGATACCGGGATAGGTTGCGCCGGGCCTCAGCACGGGAAAGTCAGGCATGAACAGCAAGGCGGAGATGACGATGGATATTTGCAGGCCAAACGACATCCAGTAGATGTTGCGCCAGTGGCTATACTGGGCCACAATACCAGAGAGCAAACGAGCCACCAGAATCCCAAAGACGAGTCCAGACATGACGATGGCAGTCATGGTGGGTCGGTGCCGCGCAGGGGCATAGCGTACTGTCAGAGGAAACATGAGTTGCGGTGTGACGGTGAAGAGGCCGATGACATAGGACAAGCCGAGGAATACCTCAAACTGTTGGGCCAATGTACAGCCAAGCCACTATTTCTCGAAGCGTCAGCCAACAGAAGGAGAAGGAGGCAGGCTCTCAAACTTACAATCAGAGACGTCACGAATACCAGGCTGATGATCATGGGCCGGCGACGGACAATGTCGCCGACGGGGACGATGAAGAGCAACCCGGTGGCATAGCCGGCTTGCAGCAGCGTTGGAACCAGCGAAGCACGCTCATCCGAGATACCAAAGTCTTGCGCCAAGATGTGAAGAATTGGATGGGTATAATAGAGGTTTGCGACACTGAATGCGGCTACCTAGACATGTATGATCGTCAGTCAGCATCGCCATGGAAAGTCGACGATGGGCAGTCTTACGAATCCAAAGAAACAGGCCATGGCCCACGACATCTCATAGTTCTTGTCTGGATTCCATCTCAGCCACGGCGGTGTCCAAAAGAGCTTGGAGAGGCCGGTCGAATCCTTTTCACCCGCCGTCGCTTCCTCCCTCACTGTGGCCATTGATGTTCGTTTCGGCACCTTTCGCTCTTGGTCGGCCACGTCTATAGAGATGGGACGGTCTAAATGGAGAAAACAAAAGACGCTATTCGGAGCTTAACAACTCTGGCCCTTGGCAATCTCGCCCTCGCCTATTATCAGACAGCAGTTGCGTTCTACAAGGACGCGGCGAAATCTCTGCCGTCTCCTGACGGCACTGCAGTTCCGATCCTTATCCAATCAACAAAGTCGTGAGGGGCACAAGACAGCGGCTTATCTCCGTCAAAACAATCGGCCTTTACTGGAATGTTAATGACAAAGGGCCCATTTGTCAGCGCTGCTGAGTACTTTGAGTGCCCAAGATGCTCGAATGGACTCTGAACAACCCCATCTCACCAGAGATATGTCAAATATCGCAAGTTGGTGGCTCGAAGCGTGCAAGAATGGATCAAGACCGAGAGTTGTTTCGATCGGTTTCTTGGCCATTGTCCCGTTTTGGAAATGACCAGCCACCAATCATACGGCTGCGGGAAGACGAGCGGCAGTGGCCACATTAGCTCCACTGGAGCTTGATTGGCCGAGGTGTTTCATCAGTATGTGTTCAGCAATATCTGAAGGTGTAAGTGATAATCTTCATCTGGATTGCGAACGCCAGCCTTCGAGGACAATAGTATTGACGTGGCAAACAGCATCTTTCTGAAGAAGAAGAGCCCTGTTGGTCAAGGTAATACCGGGCATCAGGAGCGTCTTTTGAGATGTCAGATTCAGCTCGCAATCGCCAAGTCGGGCATTCGCTGTCACTCAGAGTTGGGAGCTGTTGTCAAACATCATCAGCTATTGGTTTCCGTTCAATGGGTGCTGGGATGAACGACAAGTCATCAAGGGCACAACCAGGCGTCCTAAGCAACTGACATGGACGATACTGAAGCGACTGGTACGACCAGCTTTGCGTTGTCGCGACTGCCGCCAATGCCTGAGAACGTCGACTCTGGAGCCATGTCTCGGTGAAGGCTCGATGCCCTGATAGAACCCGCGCTGTCTGGCATGAACCTGGCAAAGGGCACCCTGTGGGTTGCCGATGGCAGCCAACGCCCTCTCAGATTTGAACAGAGGTTTTGATTCTCAATCGACCATTTACTACGCAGTTCGAATGCCTCGTGCGGCCCATACATGTTGGAGCAGCTTGGGTGTGGAAGTCGTTGAGTTTGCACGATACATCTGATCGACAACCTCTTGCAATGTCAACTTCAGATACAAAATTCAAAGTTGCTGCCTACCAACTTGAATTAAACCCCTTCGATCTGCGTATAGCGTCACAATTTTCGGCCGACAGCCGGCTCTTATCCTCATCATCAGAAAGTTCCACAAGAGAACTCCATATCGCCCCGTGTACGAAGCAGAACTGGAGGCTTTGGGTGTGAGATGCACGTTCAACAGCAGAGCGTCCCGCATGCGTCCTAGTAGCAGCGTATGCTAGTAGCCTACTTGACTCGTGCATTGCGGAGGGAAGTGTTTCCACAGCAAATCTCAGCAAAAGCAAAGAGATGAGCGGCAGGGATGAGGCATCGAGGGCGACCCAACTACCTGAGTCAATGGCCGGAGCAACGTGCCTTTTCACTGACCGCGGTGAACTCCACCGGCGCTGCCCGGTCTTTCACCTGTAACACGTCTCAATTCAACATAGGCCTCGCCTCACCGCCTCGAGACCATCAACCAGCTCGGCTTGTCCCAGGTATGATTGGAAATGACGACGCTACCTAGCCCTGATCATGGGCTCAGCCTAATCAAAGGGCTGAATCCAGAACATGTTCCTTATTCACCTGCAGTTTCACAATGTCGGGCTCTGGAGCTTGCAATTATTGACGAAGCGAATTCCTGAGTACGGAACAAACCAAATCATGTCAATACGTGGAACCAAGTTGCCAACTCTTCTGCCTGTCTTGCCATATTTTCAGGCGTGCTTGCGCCTTCGAGGAGAATTGGCCTATTACCCAAAGGAACAGTAACGTGCAATGGTCTCAGATGCAGACATTGACAACGCAACTTGCGAAACAAACTCAACGCCAAACGCCCCCAAGCTACATACAAGTACACTCATACTTGTTTGCAAAAAGTTCCAGATCAACATTTCGAAATGACAGCATAGCTGATGATCATGAACGATTGCGGTCGTCTCGCCACGTGCCAAGCGAGAAGATCATATATCCAGCTCCCTGGGGCCACTGCTCTCGTCTCCATCCAGGTGCCGAGGGAACCGAACGCGACCACGAGCTGATGGCCTTGCCCATGAAGAAGATGCCCCACGACGAGCGGTGTGTTCATCATAAAGCACTCTGCTCCAAGCACGAGTAGTACGCATATAATGACTCTGAGGAATACGGGAAACCATAAGAACAACGTCCTAATTGCAGCTCGTGCTCCGAACCACTTCCGGGAAAACGGTCCAAGGGGGATGCAGCTCTCGCAACTTTGGGCAAATCAGGCTTTCCTGTACCAGAACGTTGCTGTCCGGGCTGCTGATCTATCACATCTTTGCCTGGTCAATTTCTTGCAGTAGCTTGTCTAGAATGCTAGGACAATCGAGACCTGGGCGTCCGCATGACTCGGGGGCCTGGAGAGCCCACTGTGGTTTGATGAGGTCTCCAGGGCCAAGGGAATCTGTCAAGGCGATTTGCACACCTTGGTTGACACTCTCGGCCGCACCACCAAGCCGGTGCCCCTACGCTTCCTCCGCCAGGAAGCGAGGCGATTCCCGCTTGGAACATGACCTTCTGGGCCGGATCACGATGCTCCGGTTCTGGGCCTCCCCACGCTTCCCCGACTTGCACGGTTACCACCACTTGGGGGCAAGTCTCGCCTGCCCGCGCGCACGGATGCGCTCAGCTAGATCGGCCAAGTCCTGATACACCTGTGCAGCAGCGCAACGGATCCGCGCAATATTGCAAGTCGCGCGTAGGATATTCCCAGTTTGTCATACCCAGTCAAGGTTTCGAAAACCGGCAACGACTTGGTCAGCGCTCTGATAGTGCAGCCATCTATTACTAGAACCGGCAAGCAAGCAGAGCAATCAGGGCCAATTTGTCTTGAACAAGCCTGCCCTGCTGTCGCAACTGGGCAGCATAAGCCAGGGTGTGCCGCGGTTGTAACGCGCTGCTGCTACCAGCTACCACTGCTACCATTGAGAGTAGCTATTACTTCTACCAGCTACTATTACTATTACTGGCTACCACTACTACTAAGCTATTACTATAGCCATCTATCACTGCTACTCTGCAGCTTGGTAGCAATGTGACGGACAAGATGCTGACGAACGATGGCACACCGGCACGCGCCAAGAGGGAGGGAAGAAGGAGAAGAGGGTGTGGCGATGTAATAATCCACCACCTACGACTCTACCCGCCAAAAACCACTTTGTCCTCCGCACTTCCCAGTCAAGCATGCCTATACCGGCTACGCCCGTACGAGAACAACCTGTAAGTCATGTGAAGGGCATTGAGATTCTGCGCTTTCCAGTTGCGTCAAAGTCCGTGGAAAACCGGGTGACTAGGGCACACACTGCTTGGCAGAGTTGAGATGTGATGGATTCGCAGAGGGCGCATTGGTGTTTGCTTGGAGAACCGGCGCAATTGGCCTGGCTTGTATCATGGTCACCTAAACAGCTACGACGAGGACAAGACAAGAGCCTTGAGGGCGAACAGCGCCGCGATTCTCTCCTGCTTCCTGCTGGATGTTCTGCTGACAGACGACCTCCTCAGTGCAACTCGGTATCTTTCCCTCCGTGGCTATGGATAATACGAACTACGAACACGTTCGCCCTCATGGCCCCCTTGTCAAAAAAAGCGAGCTCAAACCACTTGCACGTACTTTGTACCTGCATTGCCAGACTACCCCTATCGGCACTGGGCAAAAGGTCTATGGCCACTGGGTGGAGCATACTAGAGCCATTAGCTCGGCGCCGTGCCGCGCTAAGGCAGCACTTTTCTTGCAGGACCTTTGGAGAGTGTACCTGATTCCAGGGCCCTTGGCAGCTGAGATGCCCTATAGCGCCTGGGGCACTGGAAGCCCTGCTGCTGGTGCCCTATAGCGCATCTGCACTTGAAGCTGTACTTGAAGGCAGTAGAAGCTGTATTTGAAGGCAGTGGAAGCTGCACTTGAAGGTAGTGGAAGCTGCACTTGAAGGTAGTGGAAGCTGCACTTAAAGGTAGTGGAAGCTGCACTTAAAGGCAGTGGAAGCTGCACTTAAAGGTAGTGGAAGCTGCACTTAAAGGCAGTAGAAGCTGCACTTGCACTTCAGGACTTGTGGAGGAAGTACTGGTAGGTACTTGGATCTGCTCTTTGCTTGTAAGGGCTCTCAGGTATTGCTTGTCTAGTGCGGCGCCGTCATGAGCTTAAGCCTTTAGTATGCTCCACCCAGTGGCCATAGACCTTTTGCCCAGTGCCGATAGGGGTAGTCGCATTGCCATTGCCTCTATCTCTTGAATTCTGCAACGGCAGAGAGAGTGCAAGAGCTAGCAGGGGTGAGGGGAGCTCCACACGCCGAGGAGATGGGACAACTTCGCCGAGGTGCTGCCAGGCCCTGATTCCAGGGTTGTTACCATGCATTTTCCAGTTCGATGATCGCGATGACAATGGCAATCCGGATTTGCAGTTGAGCGGCAGCAAGTGGACGAGGTGAGTGACAGGTTTATGACGAAGTTGTTGTTGATCGTTTATTGTTCAAGGAGTTGCTCATCTTTGTCTCCGTCTATGTAAGTATGATATCCCATATCCAGTCTACCAGCCTCTCTATATCGTGTTTCAGCACCTCCCGCCTCCAGTTCCCCAGGGTCCCGCCGCCTTCCCATCCCCTCCCATCCCAACCTCGAACAAAACAAGAAACTCCTTCTTTTCCTTCCTCTTCCTGACCGTGCCCTGAACGCTGCCCAGCTTAGCTAGCTCATCTCCTCACATGCCTCGGGACCTGCAAAAATGCTGAACGTGACCAGGGGCTACTATAACAAAGGGAAAAAAAATCCGCCAATGACCTAAAAAGACCAGAAAAAGTGACGACTCCCGACACCTAAGCCCAAAATGATGATAGCTCACATGAATTGCGGACATTGCATATATTACACCACCAGTTTTTCTGGGTTTCTTGTTTGGTTCCGACGCCCGCGCACCCACACACCAACTTTGTCCTCCCCCCCTCCAAGCAGCCACAACTCCGCGTGCCTGAACTAGCCCTCTTTTCTCACCCGTTGCGGTCCCCCTCCCCCCTGCACCCCTGACCTAGTACTCGTATGTTGTACTTGTAATGGGGTAGATAGCATGCACCAGCCTGAAAGAAGAAGCCTTGCACCGGGCTGGAAACCTGCTTTCTCAAAGAGAGAGGCAAAAGAAAATGCAGATTTTCTCTCTCATGCGCTCAACGTCGAACTTTGGAGTAATCGCTGCCGATACGGTGAACCATGTCCAAAGCGCTCAGATGCGCTCGTTCTGTTCCCTGTTTTGGCAAAAGAAAAGCCTTTCGTTCCCCAAGGTGAAATCGCCCCGCATCCCGCAGATGGAGTCTTTTTTTCCCTCATTAGCCGGTGCCGGCAGGAGGGGATGTGTGGGTGTGTGTGTGTGGGGGTGAGATAACGAGAGATGAAGGCCGGTAGTGAGTAGTAACAAAGGAAAATCAGAGTCCGAGGAGATGCAACAACAAGTCTGGTGTGGCCTTTGACTGAGTCGTAAACGTGACATTTTGTCGTCAGAAGATGATGCGTCTTGGCCCTTGGGCAGGATCAGCGAGGCTGAGGCAGCGAAAGGCTTCAGTTACCACTCATCTACTATATCTCACCACTTCCATTATCAAAGAAGTGGTAGATATTAGATAGTGATAACGTGCACCTTTGCTAGAGGGATGGATGCGTGGATGGATGGAGGAACCAGCCTCGTTCAATGATAGGCCGCAGCACATTTGTGGCTACACCATCTCATCCTTGAACGGATCCTCACGTAGCCTCGCGACGGGCTTGGCCGTCGCCACAAGCGGAATGTCGTCGATGCTGGAATGCGAGTGCAATCCCGTCGTCGAAACGCCCTCTTCGTCGTCGTAGTCGACGCAGTTGCTGCTGAACTGATGCTTGCTGCTACTGCTACTGTTGTTGTAGTTGTTGTAGTTGTAGTTGTTATTGTTGTCGTTGTTAATGTTGTTGGTCCCGCTGCGCTTAGGCCGCCATGAGCTGCTCGTGAGCGACGAGGGATTGTTCTGGCTGCGATCGCCCGAGCGGCGGCCGGACGCGCTGTGGCTGCTGGCGTAGGACGTGACTTTTCCCTTGAGCAGGCGGAAGAGGGGGCCCAGCGTGGGGAGGGAGGCGCCGATGATGAGGAGGGCGCCTTCGGCGACGCCAAAGATGTCGAGGTAGGGGACGGAGTCTATTTTTGGTGGTATGATTAGCAGTGTGTGAAGTGTTCTCTCAAGGTTGTTTTTTGCTTTGGTGGCGATGGAAGCTTAGGAGGAGGGGAGGGGGGAGAAACTTACATGTTCGATCCTCGGCCATGCTGTTGAAGGCCTCTGTGAAAACAGACAGCTTGTAGATGGAGACGATACTCGCCATGGCGCTGAGCCCCAGCGCAAAGCACACGGCCAGGCGGTTCTTGAGCGGCATGTTGAGCTTCATGATGAAAGGGATCGGGTAAAACGCAAAGAAGAGGTCGAGAAAGGCCGAGTAGGCCGTCGTCGCAAACGCCAGCTTGGTCAAGATGTCGACGCTGGCGCAGGTGCCCTCGACATCGGGATCCCACTGGTGCGCGACAGGCTGACACTGGGCGAACCACCAGACGGAGACGGCGAGGATGCCGCCCTGGCTGACAAAGGCCAGGGCGAGGAAGGCGGCCATGGTCTTGGCGCCATAGTTGAGGATGCGCTTGAGGATGGCGATGATGGCGAACTTTGGCAGCGAAAAGGACCAGATGACGACGGCGTTGATGATGGCGTTCCACTTGATGGCCTCCTTGAGCTGCTCCGCGCCCAGCGTCTTCTCGCGCCGGCCCAGGCCGTAGCCTATGCCGATGCTGGAGCACACGCTGCTGGCGATGAGGATGACGAGGCAGACGAGGGTGATGGCATCGTCGAGGCCGAGGCGGCCATATCTGCCGCGGGCGAAGCAGGCTCGGCAGACGAGGCGGAGAATGACAATGACTGTGTGTATCCGCCAATGGGGGCCCGTTTGTATTAGCAATGATGGACAAAAGAAACAAGAAAAGGCGAGGAAAAAGAAAGAAAGGGCATCAGTTTTGGGGGAGGGCTTGACAAACAGGTGGAAATGGCGGTTAGGGACCAGTTGACTGGGTTGGCCACGACGCCGTAGTCCTCAACTACCCCAAATCCCATTTGGCCGTGGTGTTGCGAGCCCGATTACCGTCCATCCATGTGGTACCCGAGTCCACGCCGAATTGCGAGTCCGAGTCTTTTCGTCGTTCGTTCTCAAGGGGGAGGGCGACCGGGAGGACGATGTACTAATAGGAGCGGGATGCACCCTGTACTTGTAGGAGCAACTGCAGGGCTCTCATTCCTCCTCCTCCCCCCCCCCCAAAAGGTCGAGAATCGGGCCAAGAGCCACAACGGAACTTTCGTACCTCGTAATACCTTACTACAGACAAGGGCCACCAGTTTCTTGGAGAGGCAGATGCAGGTAATTAACGAGAGCCGGCCTCACTCCACCCACTTCGCGCAAGCAAAAGAGGAAGCGGACGCCACCGCTAGCAATACCGATGGGGGGGAGGGGGGGAGGAGGAGAGCCTCATGCCGGGGACGTGGGATGGATGGGTTGGAAGGGAAAGCGTGTAAATGCACGTCACAACGTTCAGCTTCGTGCCACGTTCAGGAACGGCCGCCCGTCGCAGTCGAGGAGGAACCTGTGGAGCGAGCCGTGAGCAGCTACTCAGACGGGGTTGGTCTCTCTCTCTCTGGTCAGTAGCTGCTTTTGGGCAAACGACCCCCGGCCTGCGTCGTGCTGCGTCTCCATGCCCAGGCGCTGCTCCGTACTCCGTACGAGTACTACTACTACTCCGTAATCCTGGCCCAAACTCTTACACGGCCTCCCTTCTCCTTGACATGCATGCCTCCCAGTTTCTGCCACCGTCGCAATAATAAGGCGCAGCTCGAGGGCTGTAACAAAGAACCCCTGGGTGGCCCGTAAGGACGCCGACAGAGAGGTTGTCCTCGATCCCAGACTGAACCCCCTCGGTCAGAAAACCAGCTCCATCAAGGCCGCGCCCGCCCGTCGCAGTCTCAATCTGTGTTATCTGTGAAATAACGGCCTCGTCGCCGGAGTCATGCAACGGCCAGCGCTATGAAGCAGTTTTGCCATTTTCGAAGATCAGCGCCGCAAGCGCGCGGGGAATATTGGGCATAGCTTGGTGATAGTGCTTTTTCGCATTCCTCGTGCAATAAGCAGCATAGCGACTAGTAGTCCTGCTAGTAGTCTGCAATATAACTTCATGTCTGAGATGGCGGTGTCGACCAGGCTGTCCTTTATCTGTGAGCTCTCGTCATAGGCCGTTTGGTTGGGTTCCTGCGCATCATGTGTCGGTGCCTCTCCCTATAATACTTGTCCCTATGTGGGTGCTGCTCTCTCTCCCTCTCCCTCAACCTTCTGACATCTCTTGCTGCGACTTGTCGTAAGCATGGGAATAGGCCAGGTCCAGCATCCCAGGCCCGGCACGCGCCAGAACCCCGGTGTATGACCAGGGCCGTTCTGCCAAGGTCTTGGAATCTCTTGTTGGTACCCCTGGACATTTCATTGCCTTGTGGAGACCTCGGTCTGCAACAGACTTATCGGAGCCTCCGCGATTGGGTCGTTCAAAGTGCTGGCATTGGTTGGCGAGAGCACGCAGCTGGTGACTTTGCCTGTGCCTGTTCTATTGCATATCCTGTGTTCCGTTTTCCTGTTTCAACTCTGTCACCAGTAGTCGTGACCCAGTGTCGAGAATAATGGCAGCTTGAAAGTTTGATTTCGAGCTCAGGAAATTGTAAAGGGTATCAATAATGCACAGAAGCAACGGAGCATCGGGAAGAAAACACACAGGGGGGGTGTTCTGCCTCGAATCCTGGTGACATTCGATTTCAATCTCGTTTATAGATCGTACCACGTCAATCAGATGCTGCTAATGCCGTTTGCAGTCTACCATGCAACACCAGAAGAGGAACAGCCAAGGCACATGATGACAGGTACGAGGCAAAAAGGAGAAGAGGGAAAAGAAAGAAAGAAAGAAAAGCCAACGCAAGGGATCATGGACATAGTGGGAAATAACGTTCACTATGGCGCGCCATCGCCTATTAATAGCCTGTCATGTGAAAAAAAGAAAGGAAAAGAAAAGCAATAAGAAGAACAAGATCCGCTTGAACGGAGGCATTACGTTGAAAGGGGAAAATATGTATGTGCCAGATGTGATTCTTCATCCATTGCAATCCGGTCTATTGGCCGTTGACCCAGTAGACTCTGTTGATTCCAGTCGTTGTGATAAGAGAGCTGTCCGATATGAGCGGTGTGCTCTCCGTGTAGGAGACCTGCCGGGCACCACAAGCATCAGGGTCCGTCCATAGCAGTCGTCGATGCATTTTCCGATCGAAAAAGTCTTGCCAGACATTGCTGCAGCGGCTGATCGGCGGCATTATCGAACAATTGCTCCAGCAATGCAGGTGGCCTTTGCGGAGGCCCAGCATGCTTACGACTCGGCCGTCCGGCCCCCTGATCCGTGCATTTGTGATGGATCTGAAGCCGCAATACTACCAGCACCGCGTGTGAGGACGCGTGGGAGCTCGCAAGGGCAAAAGATCGGCGCACGCGCAGCCTTACGGCGAGTCAAGTCCTAGTAGAACAGCGGCATAAGACGAGATGCGATGTAACCTGTCATTTCCCCCCCTCAGCAGCCAGACGGCGTGCGAGTGATTGATGTGTGATGGAGCGTCTTGCATATATTCACCGGTGTGTGTGACACACAATGCGGGCGTCAAATCATGGTGTGTTGTACGAGTTGAATGAAGCTGCACCGACAGTTCGCTGCGACAATAACGGGCGCTGTCATGGCGCTTCGAATGCTGCCAAGTGTCCGTTGGAAAGGTCAGCTGCCTGATGCTGTCAAGAGAATTTCCTTCGCTATCTGCGAAAAACTCAAAAGGTGATACATCGTCCGAAGAGCAAAGGGAGAAGATGTAGTCGCCTTCGATGCCGCAAGTGGTGGACTCGTTTCCCCGCAACTCTCACACCAACAGTCCAGCATATCAATCAATAAGGGTTTCCAATTGAATGACATGGCAGGCCATTTGAAGGAATTATCGTGCACCGCAGCGCTCAAAGAACTTCGCGCTCATCGCTTCTTGATCGAGGATTGGCAGTTGGTGTTGGTGACCGGTGTAGCCAGCAAGGAAGCCCCTTTGCGAACTCTGCTGTCGGCTTTCTGTGAGATGTAAAGCAGCAAGAGCTGGCTAGCGAGTATGATTGTCAGGATGTGGGCAAATAACCTCGACGCAGCCAAGCCGAATGCCTCTTGTTCGCCTCGTCCTCAGGCTTGGCGATCGGCTTCAAAGCTGGGAAGGACTCTCGTGGCTGTTCAATGAGTTCCAGCGATCGGACCAGTCGAGATATCATAACGGCGGGTGAATATATCAGGAGGCCATCAGCAGAATCTGCCCAAGTCCGCTCGATCAATCTGAGTCGGGTATGGACTCAGGCGAGCCTGCCGCTGAGAAGAAGCCTGTCCGTGGGGTTGACCCTTTGTCGCTTGCATCAAAACTCCAGCTCTTCCACTTCCATGCCACACGTCACGCACGTCTTGACCGTCATGCCCTCCTCGTTCTCGACAGTCCTGCCCCATTCGTGCACATGCCGTCCTCCACCACCCACGGCATCGCCAAATTTGCTCGGCGCGCCATTCTTGTTTCCCAGCGTTCCGGCCTGTCGTCGGAATGCTTCGGTCCTCGTCTTGCGCTTCAGGTCCAGCAGTTTCTCTTTGAACTTGGCCTCCTTGCGCGCCTTCTTTTGTGTTTCACGCCGCTCGTACTCGGCGTCCAGTGCTTCTGCCGATCCCCATTTCGTGCCAATGGCATATTCCTCGACTTGAAATCTCAAGAACAGCATCATGTCGTGCCAATGAGATTTGTGCGGATTTGGCTTGTTCAGATGCGGAAGCAGCTCAGGATCCCGCAACTCAGCTGTTGGCAGACACATATGTCGTTAGTATCGCAGATGTCGCCAGTGTAAAAGGATGGACTTACGATCTGTCAGGAGATAGTCTTCCTTGCACTCCGTCTTGGTCAACAAAGAATACTTTTCGGGATACTTGTCTTTGCACTTGTTGCACACGCAGACGTGAAAGACCTCTTCCCAGACAAAGTCAATCTCCAGACTGCCGCATTCTCTGCACTTCTTCCTCGTCTTCTGATCATCCAAAACGCTGATACCCGGCTCAAAAGGGCCTGCTTTTAGTCGCCTCAGGTTTTTAAGCGTCTTTTGCTTCTCCCATTCCTGAATCGTCATGCCCTTTGGCCTCTGCTCGTCCACCTGGCCGGGCTTCTGAGCTCCCAGCGCATAGTTGTGAGGGTCGTCCTCCATGGAAAGAAAACCACCTTTTGTGTCTGTCATCGAGCTCATGTTGTAGTCTACAAACTTTGTAAACTTGCGAGCCGGTCGCAGGGCCGCCTCGTCGCCCGCGTTGCGCGCATCACGATTGCTGCCTCCCGCAATGTCTCCGGTGGAAATCTCTGTGTAGGTACGTTTCCCGTTGATCGGCTTCGAGACGTGCACGTTCTCGGTGGGTATGAAGCCGGCGGCCGACTTGGGGAGCACCGACGCAGTGCCCGAGGCTCGCTGCTCGGCTTCTCGCTGTTCGCGAATGGCTTTGGCTCGCAGACGACTCTCTTCCTATGAATCCAATTCTACGGTCAGTCGCCGGCTCTCGCGCGCATAACCGTGGCGATACATACTATGCGCCTTGTCATCTCTGGAGTTTGCGATGACGCAATGTCCGGTCTGCTCGGGGCCGGCGGCGTGGTTGGACGCTCCATCGTCTGTGGAACAAGAGTCGTACAAACGGTGCTGGAAATCTGAAGGTGGTTTAAGAACAATTCAGTAAAAAATAGGCCAGATTTACAGCAGTGCTTGAGGCATGAAGGCAAGTCACTTTGGGTGTTGAAAGATCGATGATGCGCGAGGGGCAAAGACGTGACTGGGCAAGTGGGATAATCGCCCACCTAACGCGAGGTAACGTGACTTGATTACAGACCACACCGGACTAAAGTCAGACATTGACGGCTTAGATACTATCACAAAAGAATTGATGGCGAATCTGTCGCCACATGATCGTCTTCCAGTGGGAGAGGAATCATGTGCGAGCGTGGCTATTGGTATGCGAACTGCACAATCATCATGAATGTCAACGGGAGGGCACAGACAATACTTTGTTCGCAGCATCGCTGGAAGGAGAACCAGTACACTCAAAGACGGTGCGCCGGGTGATGTATTCCCAAAAACAAAGCTAGAACTTTGTACCCGTTATGAAATCCGATGCCGCGCCCAAAAGAGCCCTTTTTCGTGTCCGCTCAAATATGGTACATTTATTCTATGCATTCTTTTACTCCTCCTTGGCACCGCCACGGCCGGCCTTCTCGGCAGCCTCGACGGCCTTCTTGTCGCTCTGGACGGAGCCGTTGGCACCCTGCATGGCGCTCATGAAGCCCTGGGCCTGCTTGAAGGGTCGCTTGAGATCGCCAGAGGCGGGCTGGCCGTAGATGTGGATCTTGGCGAGGTTGCTCTCGAGGACAGACTTGACGGGGATGATGCTCTGGATGACCAGGGGGTTGGTGTACTTCATGTACAGGTGCATGAAGGACATCATGGCGATGCCCATCAGCTGGCCGCGCCAGGCCTGGCGGAGCTGGTTGAGGTCGTAGGCGTGGATCGTGGTGGTGACGAGCTTGCCCTCCTCGGAGGAGCCCATGGGTGCGGGCTCAACGTACTTGAGAGTGGTCATGTCTAGAAGCGGAAAACAAAGACACAACGTCAGCAACCTTGACTGAACAAACAGCCGCGAACACGTAGCGTCAAAGACGCCCCGTGTCGTCGACCCATAGAGGCGCATGCAGAGCCTTACCCTTCTTCTTGTTGATCTGGACCTGGATGTAGAAGTAGAGAGCGGCGATGAGGACATTGCTGGCGATGTAGATGGCGCGCACAATGTTGAGCACGTTCTCGTCTTCGAAGGGAATCCTCTTGGTGACCTGCATCATACCAAGTATGATCATCAGGTTGGTGCTGGCGCCGGCAGTTAGCGAGCTGTTTCCATTGCGTAGGTACGTGTCCCATTGTCTGCGACAAGCAATTCGTTGCCTTGTCCTGCCCTCCGTCCTCCTTGTGCCTCGGCCTCCGTCTTTGGCCTCCGCGACAAAGAAAGGCCGCCACAACATGAACCAAGCTCGTGCACTTACATCTGCGGACTGATGGCCATTGTGTCGACGACTGCAAGCGGCAGTGATGCTGAAGGGCGAGTTCGCAAATAGAAACTGGGGAAGGTCCCGTGGTCTTGACTTGGCGAGCAACGGAACGGTCGTCTTTGCTGGTCGTGTGAAGGTCCAAGTTCAACGTGTCGTACCCCGAGGCTTGTCGCTTTTTTCGTTGGGGGCTTTGCTGGCCTTTCCGGCGATGGGCTGCACCTTTTTCCGGGGGCGAATCAGGGCTGCCCCGCTTGCCGCAGATAAGCAATTGCTACATAGGTATGTAGTATGTACTATCATTTCATACTGTACGGGCGCCTTCTCTTTGCTTCCCACGCCTTCGATTGGCCAGATTGGATTGCGCCTTTGTTCAGCCAGTTGATGTTTCCTCCCTCATACCTTTCCTCATAATAACCAAGGAGCAGCTCAAGCACAACTTCACCTGTTCTGTTCACATCAGTGATTCATCCACAAAGAACCAAGTTCTTGCATCATGAACAGGCAAAGCCCCCAGGCAGCGATCTGCAATAGCTACGTGCATGTCTTGTCGCCTTTCATATCTCTTTTCAGTGTTGTCTTGAGCCTCACCTGCATGCCGGATCAAGTCATAGCTTCAGGCGGTTCAATGCTCTTTGTGCTTTCAACTGGATCACCACCAAAGATAACCCAGCAACAGACCAGCTCGACGGGCCATCACGTCCATGGCCGTTCCTTTGAATCAGTAACATGACATGACTAACACAGGAAAGATATCGTCATGCAATACCATCCTCGTCTTGTCCCTTCCAATGAGAGTCCAGGACCGGCAGAGCTCAAAGACCGCACAATCACCAAGCTCTGTTCAATCATCGTTCCCACCTTGCCTCATGCTCTCTATTGAACTGTCCTGGAGAGACAAAGGCTCAGTCAGGCCCTCTGTTTCAACATGCCGTCAAGTGGCGGTATCCAAAGTACGAAATATGCTGTCAAGACCATCAAGCTCGAGTATTAAAGATGGATCATGTCTCATCGTCAAGTTGCTGCTTTCATCTCAGCATCACTACCGCGACCATTATCACCACCGCCACATCGAGACAAGACAATTCGCCCCTACGGCATCAGAGCCACCTGCTATATGCCCTCGTTTTTCAGAAACATACTCGTCGATCCGCGATCGAGACGAACCAGAAGGACGAACAGCATGCACGAACACCACTGGGAATACCATGAAAGCTCTGATGAGTACAGCATGACGCGTATCCGTAGGGGGGGCGATGGATTTCCGCCTTATGGAGGGGATTCATGGTATCCTTCGGACTGTGGTCAACCACCCGTTATCAGACTCGAAGGTACACCACCTGCACCTCCGCCTGGACCTGGGGGACCTGGGGCACCCGGAGCACCCGGAGCACCCGGCGGACCCGGCGGACCTGGGGGTTTCGGGGGATCTCCTGCGCTTCCAGGGCCTGCAGCTTCTGGACCTCCTGCTGTCGCCGCCGCCCCTGCTGCCGGTCCTCTCATTGCTTCGGTCAACATCTATTCTCAAACACCGCAAGCGGCGCCGCCGCCGCCGCCTCCTCCTCCCCCTCCGGCACGCCCTAGCTTCTTCCTCAGGGTTTCAGAGATCGAGTTCAATCGGGTTCGCGAGATCAAGTGCAGGTATGAGCTGGAGATTGGCCCCAGTCATACCATCCACGATCTCATGAGGTTCTTTGATTACGACCGTTACAACACCGATATGTTCGTGGTCTGGAGAGGCAGAAACGGCGGCGGAGAGCCACTGGGCCCCCATATGACGCCTGAACAACTGAGGGACAACGCCGCGTACCTCAAGGTGACCTTTATGCCCAGGTTCCAACCCGCCTATCTCGGTCGGGCTCGCATGTGAGCGTTACAAGCCTGTGGCCTACGGACGAGATGGACGAACAGGATGGGGGATGCAATGCTGGCATGGCTTCTGTGACGAGCAGAGTGGGCACGCTTCCATGCTTATTGAGGGTCTTGATTTATACTTGTGTCTTCTTTCTTTATCTTTTCTGTCACTTTTTCATGTCTTAGTTTGACAATTCATATAACATTTCGCTGGCGCTCGATTGTCGTTCCTTTACCTGCTGTGTCATGAAGCTTCATCTTGCATACCTACCAAATAGAAGACGAGTGAATGATGTCAAGCCCGGTGTTGCAAACGCCAGTTCTCAAAGTTGACGTGACTTAACACGGAATCAGTTTCCACCAGTCGGATTCCCTATGTCGTAAACTCTCCCCATTCTATCGTCAGGTTCCGAAGAAATGCAACACCGCGTGCACATGCCAGTCACTTTCCTTTCCCGCAGACCCAAGGCCCAGGAACCAGGGCCCTGGTTAATCACTCCACAACCGGCAGAAATCTGGCCGCATCGACGCATGGATGCCACCGTTTGTGTGAAATGAGATCTCTCCGTGACTCACTGCACCCACTTTTCTTTAGGCAACATACCAGGGTGGGTTGACAGCTTTTGACAGCCAAGTTGCGCAGCTCTTCATTGAGATTCTCTCAACCAAAGGGCTGGTTGTTGTTGTTGTTGTTGTTGTAGTTGTTGTTGGTTGTCTCCCGGAGAGGCTTATAACGACATTAGCCGAGGACCCGTTTAAGCATGTGCCCCGTCTTGTTGGGAACTTTTTGCTTTCCCGGTAGGTACAGTAATAGTATGCCCGCATATCGCCGGCACCCCTGTTGGCGGAGTAGCTTGGAGCTGGCAACCGGTTTGACAAAATAAGCGTGGCAGCGGCGGACACGGATATAGTCGAGCCAGTCTATGTGATGCTCCTTCTACAGGTGGTGCAATGACTTGACTGTTTAGTTTCCGGTTATTTCGTCTCGTGTTTGGTGTTCAAGGGCCAACCTACTCCGCGCAGACTTACACGGAAGGTCACTGGTAGTCCGCTGACCTCGGCACGTATGAATGACTTAAGCCAGTCTATCCAATTGATACCGTCTCGTCGAAGAGAATTTTCCCATCTCGGCACAGTTGGCAACATCAATTGCTCGTTCAAATTATTCTGAGCGATGGAAGCCCAGGCAACCTGCCCCCAAGTTACACAAAGCTCGCGGCAAGCTTAGATATGCTTGTTTTCAATGACTTCGTATTGACGACACAGGTTGATTAGCATAGCTCTCTGTGCGTCAAAGTGGTTGCATGCGTTTTAGCCAGGGCTTTTGCGCCGGAGGATTACCATCAGCACTGCATTGACTTGCATATGCGGAAGATCAGGGGCGTACACGTATGAAAAGGCGAGTGGCAGTTCGAAGACGTTTCTCCACCAAATGCATACTTCATCTGGGGGATATTGCATGTATTTGGGAAGAGGAAAGCTTGTATCGTCATGAGCAACTCTCAATACCTACGCATCAATTGACCCCGGCGCTTCGGATCCGAACCCGAGGCCAAGGCTCCATGTCCGGCTCGGGGCGGTTCGGCTGTGGCGCAGGCCATCCACGCCACCAATGGTGCCAGTTTGTGTCTGTCTATTTCAGCTTATCCGTTTACCCAGAACATCCTTCTCGTATGATGGTCTTCTATGGTGAACACGAGCGGATTTCTCTCGTATTGTGTCAGAATACAAGGCGATTCTTCAACAAGGCGAGACAAAGATGATTTGGGCTGCGTAATAGTTGTGGTTGTTGTTTGAGGCGTGGGATGCTCCTACAAGTAGGTCTGTTACGTTACCCGGTAAGCATAAGGCTAAAGGGATGAGACAGGAGCTCCTTTATGTGTGACAGCGTTTCTAATTCTGTTGATAGCAACGCGCATGCATCTTGTAGGCGAGTATGTAGCACTTCTGTTTCTACCAATGTACGGTCGCAAGGCGGATAGCAAGGTAATTCTTGTCTCTTGTAGGAGGGTATGGACCCCTCGCATAAGCGCACTGACTAGGTAGGGACGAAAATGGTGAGGCATACCAATAGTATGCGCCGGCGAGAAGAGTAGTCTGAACAGGTTCAAAACCACTGTCAAGACTAAAGCATCCTGGAAACATTTCATATTAACCATCAAATAGGCATTGGATCCGATCACCTTTGGGGGGCAAGGCTTACCAGGTCCTTGGCCTCGCTGCAGATCAGAACAGGACCTGGAGGATCCTCTCCCCCTTTAAGATGCGCGACGATCAGTGAGATTCTCACGCCACAGGTAGCCGGATCGTAACTCACGCCTATTCTAGAAACAAAATTCAAGATTAAACAATATGTCCCTAGGTAAATATGTATATATATATATATATACACACGGTACATACATACAAGTGATGCATGTAGGGTACCTACTCCTGCAGCCCTACGGGACTCACCTAAACGGAAGGAATGCAGACGCAGAAGAGCGTAAGCATCACATACAAACAGCAAAGTGTACCTACACTCCTTTGCATCTCACTCGATACGCCGTACTGGTTCCAGTCGTATGTATAGCCGGAGTCAGACGGGTGGACGGACCGAAGGATGAGGAGCAGCCGCTAATAACAGGCTCAGCCCGTGCCGGAAACCAGGGAAAATGCAACGCTACGGCTCTACTCGTGCCTGCTGCATAGGGCATGATTGCAATCCTCTCATTCGCGAGCGGCGCAGGTGACCAGGTCTCTATGGCTGTGCTATCCGCCCTTTTTTGTGGTCAAATGAGAGTTGAGACGCGTATACTGATGGGAGCAAGCTGAGTCGACCGTATGTCTCTTTGACAAGTTTTTGTCATGCTTTGTCTTGAAAGCGACCAATGAATGCTATTTGGAATAAACATCCATATGGCTATCATCAGAGAGTGGCCGGAGATGCAAGACTCTCTGTAGCGGACTGCGTCATACCGATGCTGTCATCATCTCATATGTGTTGCAGCGAGACCTTTTGTCTTGGGCATACATCTATCTGATCCTGGTCCCGGCCCTGTGACAGCAATTGATCCGGTTATCCGAAGCACTGCAATTGGAGCCAAACATGGGATGAATAGGTAGTGTTCAGCGTAGACTGTGTCATACTAGTAGTACCAGGTCTTTGTTGACAGCTGTCTAGAGCACTTCACCTGCTGTGGTGATTTCTGAGATTGCACGATGCGCTACTGACCCCGGCCCTGGTCAAAGCCTCGCCTCAACAGCCACAACTCAATCTCCCATCCTGCAAAGTATGTCAATATCAACAGGTACACGATGCCAGAGCACGCTGATGCACAGCCACGGTCTTTCTGTAGTGCCCTTTCCAATTGGTATGGAATGTGTGTCATAGGTACCTATAGGTGGTTGTGGTATAGAGGTACATGGAAGTTGAGGGCAAGAAGCATGTATGCCTCACTGGCCTCGGTTCGAACGTGTCTTCGTACTCAAGGCTGCGGACTTTTGTTGTGGCACGCAAGCCACGCCTCTAGACTGAGATCCTGCTCCAAGACATGTCGGCTATGACTGTGCGCTCATTGGCTTTTTGGTGCTTGGCTCTCGTTCTCGTCTCTGAGCTACATGTACCTTATGGTGGTTGCTGCTGACTCTGCAAAGAGCTCCCGAGTCTGGCTCTATCCACGGGCCGTCGTCCTATACACACACACCCTCTATGACTCTTTCCTTCTCGGTATGTCTTCCGTATTCTTTGCTTCTGCATCTTCTAAGCCAGTGTATCATCGTAACATCTTTCTATTTTAACCAATCAAGAAGTTCTGCCGCTTCATGCCTGTGCTGCACATCTGTTCTCACCTATGCATCTTAACTAGTAAGACAAGCTGTCTATAAGTCACCCATGTAAGCTATATATAGATATATATAGGTAATCCCTAGCGCTAGAAAAAAGATTACTTATATATAAACAGCTTAATATTTCTTTTAGCGCTAAAGATTACCTATATATATATAGCTTAACTATTATTATTTAGGTTATAATTAAGGAATTAATTATAAATACTTAAACTTATATTTATTATTTAATATAATAAAAAGAAGGAATTAATTTTATTTATTTTTAAAATTAATTTAAATATATTTATATATTAACTAAAATCTAAACCTAAAGTAAAAAAGAATTAATAAATAAATAGTTATTAAATAATAGCTTAAAAGTTATATAAGGAGTAAATATTTATAGTTTACTTTATAATATAAATAGCTTAAAAAATAATAAATAAATACTATTAAATATAAAGTAAGTTTAAAAATATTATAAATTTTTTTTAAAATTAATTAAAGTTTATTTAAGGTCTTTTAATAAATAATTTTATAGTTAAAAGAGAAACTTAAATAAATATAAGTAGAAATATATTATATATTTAAAGGAAAGTAAATTAATATTTATATAAAAAGTAAAAAGTATTATACTCTTTTTTCTTTTACTTAAAAGTAAGGTAATATATAAGTTTTTCCCCTTATTATTAACTTATATTTCTTATTTATATTCTTTTTTATTTATAATAGCTATTAATATTATTAAGTATTAAAAGCTAATAATAACTACTTTTTTTTAAAATAATATTATAAATATACTAGGATATAAAGGCCTATAAGGCTTATTATAATAAAAATAGCACTAGTTTATATATTAATAAAAAGATATTATTATTAAAGCTAAATTATATAAGCTTTTATAATTAAATCTATAATAAATAATAATTAATATTTTACTAATATTAGATTTTAAGATAATAAAGTTTTTATTATATTAAAAAAAGCTTTTTATTAATATATTAGTATTATAAATATAATATACTTTAAAGTAAAAGCTATATTATAATATAAAGAAAATATATTTTAATAATACTTTAAAACACCTTATATAAAAAAACAGGTATATTAAAAAAGTATTATAAGAAGTGCTATAACTTAAAGATTATCTTTAAAAAACCTAATAGCTATAAGGCATACTATTAAAATAAGCTAATATATAAGTAA